CTACCTGAAAGACATTCACAAGCTGGCTACCAATGGCACCTTTTTGACAACAGCTGGTCAAACATCAACTACAAACTAGTACAATCACAGCAGACTGAAGAGGAGCAATCAAGGGAGCTGAAGAGGAAGGAAAAGTATGCTCTGTTGCGTAAGCAGCTTGCCAGTGCAGCGGAAGAAATAGCAGAAATGACAAAAGGAAATGATACGGATGAGGTACTTGGTCCCCTACAGTCGCGCTCTGATAGAACTGTATATCAGACTACGGAGATTCAAGCTGTAGCTCTACATGACGCCAGGAAGAGCAGAGCGGGTTATCGACACGAACTAGCGCGACCTACACCACAAGAAGTGGACGAAATCAGGTCACTACAAAGTGACGCAAGGGAAGTAAGTACAATAATGGACGAAAGAAGAAAGAGTACAAAGGTTTCGAAACATCATGAAGCCACTTGTTACAACTGCAGGGCTACGTCTTTGCTTGCTGAATCTGAAGCAAGTAATATCTTCAAGCTAAAAGAATATGCACAAAATCGAGCTGCTCAACTAGAACACTTTATTCATCATCCGGAAGAAACAGATCTTCTCACGTGCCAAGCAATAGAGCAAGAAATCAGGGACATGAACGAGCTAGACAACAAGAGTGAGCTACTCACTATCGAACGTCGAGCAAACCTTCTACACTACAAGTACTGCAGATTCCGGGGGTTCTGTCAAGAACGCTACTGCAGAATTACGAGGGCATACAATGAGCAGCACCTTCGACGTTCTGAAGAGATAAAGAAACACGAAGTAACTTCAGCTGAGCAACGATATGGGAATTTGGATACACGGCTGGAAGTTAACGGTGTGCGGAATCTGAGCCCATCAGCGGTCGATGAACTACAGTCACCGCAAGGGACAGCCAAGCATGAAGTACAAAGCGAACAACCAGGACAACGCTCAAGACCAACCAAATCTGGAGTCCTACCCATTTTGGCGAATGAGAACTGGGTAACCATCTTCAACTACCTGACCAAGCACGGACACTGGGATCTTCTCAATAACAACCAGCTTGACCTCCTGCTACATAAGGAGACGAACCTTCTCTCTGTGATACTTGCAGCACATCAACAAGGGTACGGAGATAGATATATACGAAGCGTAGCTGCGAATGCTGCTGAACTGGCCATCGTCGGGCTGTGCGCGGCTGGTCTTCCGGACATACTACATGTCCTTGTGTCTGGCAAGAACTACATCCCATTACCTCTCGAAGCACTACAAGCAAGTGTGCTTTCACAGATGGAAGTCAAGCAGCTTCACAATCACCCGGATAAAGGGGAGTACTTTCACATCCTCTCTGACAACTTCCCACACAGTAACTTCTTCAATTGGGAAGTTGCGGTACCTGCAAATCATCTTCAGTGTCAAACAAAGTCTGCTCTACAACAACAATACTGGGATGCTAGATCGTTTACATATAAGCAGCAACACTCGGAACGGTCGGTATACCCACTCAATCTTCTGCAAGAGCATGATGGTGACTACTTCTTCACTTCACATTTGCAGAAACAGCTGGAGCTTGTCTGTAACTGCTCGACCAGCATACATCTTCACTACAAAAGACTTGACCATAGAGATCCTCTCTCAATAGCCGAACTAGTACTAGATGTACAACACTCATTACGAGCACAGGATGGCGACTGTCGGTTATGCCAACTACAACCTAGATGCTTCAATGGAGCGTACAGTACAATTACTAGACGACCAGTGCGACGCTGCCGCGATGAGGATAAAACGACGGTAATACTTCGAAGCACCATTCTAACGTTTGACCTCAGCAACAACACATCTCAAGATCCTGACGAACGAGCACAACGCTGTCAAGGACTTAGTAATCACAACTCCTCCTCCTCTTATTACACTTCAACTGAACAAGGTTTAAGTAAAGCACATAGCACAAGTCAAAAGTTTTATGGTCTTCTTGGTGGAGGACTCAAGTTCAAAGAACAAGATGATGTAAAGCGTGCGAGGTTAGCACTTCTACTGCAAACATCTGGCATGACCGAACAACGTGACGTAACAAGATACGCGGTGAAGCGGTATGTCACAATCTGCAGCAATCAGGTTCCAATTACCTTTCCCGATGAAGAACGACTAGAGCCAGGACGAGATCAGAGTAGGAAAATGGGACGTCCTCTACAAATACACGCAAATGATGCACCGTCACGACAAGTTGTAGATCTAGTACTACAGGAGTTCAGTAGTGAGTAGCTGAACATCATCTCTACCTTCTGGAATTAAATCGAAAGCAGTAAAGTAATCTAATAACAAGAAATGCAAGCAGTTGCAATTGAATGTCACAAATGAAAATCATATATTCTGATCTACCTATTGCGTGTGGGAATGAATGCTGTACATCATGAGGAAAGAGAGTTTGTTTCATGTCTGAGCGGGAATTAAAATCAAGACTCTTAAAGAGCTGAGTTAAAATGCTGGCCAGAGGATCCTGTTCACTGAAGGCTCGACAATGTGAAGAGAGAATAACTGAGAGAAATTACTGTCTTTCTGACTGACCTATCTTCTGATTTTGTTCTGATCCGTGAATGCCTGTAAATGTGCTTCCTATTAAGGCCTATATGACCATATCCTTTCTTTCCCCTTCCCCTCCTCTCCTTCCCTTTCGCTGTCCTGCTATGTGACGATGACTTACTTATTACTGCTTTCATCTTACCTGGTCTGCTGACCCTCCTGACTCTATGCCTTCCTGTACACTAAGGTCGTCCTTTCCCGTCTCCTTTCTGCTCCACTAATCTTACTTGCCAAGTTACTTGTTATATTAACAGCCAATTGAGGAATTGCGGCTTGTTTATTAAATGTCTACAGGTGCATCCTGGTTACAGTAAAAGTTGACGATCGAATATCTAGAACACTGTGTAAGCACTATTATTGTTGTACAAAGTTTATGAGTAAGTAAACGAGTGATTGTTGGATGTGTTCTCCGGTTGGCTCGTCGTCTTGTCGGTGGCTGTTCGTCGGTTTGCACGCGCTCTCTATCTGTCATCTCATCGGTTGTGCTGTATCATGTTCTTACCACTACACCATCGGTTGAGGCTTTCATAAGACGGTCTGCCAAACCGTGATGCACTTTGTGAGGACCCTAAGGTTGGCACCTTGTCTCCTCGTGCTGGGAGCTCTGGGCTGCAAGTGGTGCTTATGGCCCAGAGCCCTGACCACATCCCTCAATTGCTTGTCGGTTAAATAAAATTGACTACCAACAAAAACCCTCCCCTTAACTTTCAGCGTGTGCGATTAAAATTAGATCTTCTATTAGCAAGGTTAGTAAAACTGAAAAACCTACAATCTATTTCATACATCATATTTCTCTTTATATTTTTTGAGTATGAAGATGAGCGACTATTTTTTTGCTGGATAACTACATCACAGTACGAAGATATTGACTGACATTGATGAACATACATCACTAGACCATTATGGAATGCGGAGCAACGATATGACATTACAGCTCCTTACTGGTTTTTTTACCCATCGCCCAGGTTGACGCTGATCTGGATGGGACCACACAAGATGGCGAATTGGGGCACGAGGTTTTTGAAGACTACAGCCACAGCGGTGGAATCCAGAAGGGTCTCGTCGCGACGGATGGTGAGGGAGCCGACTCGTATAATTCTCAGTCTCCTCTCGCTGTTGATGCCGATACCCAAGAAGAAGAACGGCTCGAAGCTGGCGGCGGTGCTGATGTCGTGAAGGGCTCTACGTTTGCCGAAAGGCAGAGCAAGGGGAAAATGACCAAGAAGGTAGTCACAGTTTCCCCCTCGCTCTCTTTTTTTTTGAGATGAAGATGAACGAGGACAACTTTTTTGGTGGATATTAACTGCATCACAGTACGAAGATATTCACTGACATTGATACACATACATCACTAGATCATACATTATGGAATGCGGAGCAACAATATTACACTACAGTTCCTTACTAGTTTTTTTCCCCATCGTCCAGGTTGACGCTGATCTGGATGCGACCACACAGGATGGCGAATTGGGGCACGAGGTTTTTGAAGACTACAGCCACAGCGGTGGAATCCAGAAGGGTCTCGTCGCGACGGATGGTGAAGGAGCCGACTCGTATAACTCTCAGTCTCCTCTTGCTGTTGATGCTGATACCCAAGAAGAAGAACGACTAGAAGCTGGTGACAGTGCTGATGTCGTGAAGGGCTCTACGTTTGCTGAAAGGCAGAGCAAGGGGAAAATGAACACGAAGGTACTAGTCGCAATTTCTCAGTCACTCTCTTTTTTTTTGAGATGAAGATGAACGAGGACAACTCTTTTGTTGGATAAGTACATCAACACAGTACGAAGTAGATATTGAGTCACATTGATACACATACATCATGATCATTGGATCATTATGGAATGCGGAACAACGATATTACATTAGAGTTCCTTACTGGTTTTTTTACCCATCGTCTAGGTTGACGCTGATCTGCCTGCGACCACACAAGATGGCGAATTGGGGCAAGAGGTTTTTGAAGACCACAGTCACAGCGGTGGCGTCCACCAGGGTCTCGTCGCGACGGATGGTGAAGGAGCCGACTCGTATAGTGCTCAGTCTCCTCTTGCTGTTGATGCTGATACCCAAGAAGAAGAACGACTCGAAGCTGGTGACGGTACTGATGTCGTGAAGGGCTCTACGTTTGCCGAAAAGCAGAGCAAGGGGAAAATGAACACGGTAGTTGTCACTCACAATATCACATACATCATTAGATCATTATGTTTATGGAATGGGGAAAGTGGACACGGTAGTCACATTCATAAATATAGCTTTTTCGTCGATTCTGCTACATGATCAGCAAGACCTAGTACTTTTTTGTTGAATAATTATTGTTCAGCACGGAAGACCGAGATGACTAACAAGGACAAAAAAAACATGACATTGCATCAGAACAACACACACAACGTTGAACCACAACGCAAGTACGAATTAGTTTTGTTATCATTGATTCAGGTTTACCTTGACGCGGAGTCGACCCTAGAAGGTTCCGGATTGCAAAAAGAGGCTTCTGAAGACCACAGTCACAACAGCCTTGTCCACGGTCCCGGTATGAATAATGACGCAGCTGAGCATAAATACTACAACATCAATAACAACAACAACAACAACATCACGAGCAGCCAGCCCATCTACAAGAACAAGACTTACCAATCTTATCCACCGAATGAAGAGCGGTTCAGCGATGAAAAAGTGGCAGCATTGCTCGAAAGCATAAGGTACGAAATGGCCGAAGGGTGGAAAGGCAGACGAGAGTTTGCAGAATTTCTACGAACTTTGTTCGGGCAAGAGATAGCAGATGAAGACGACGACAAGGCGAGCACATTTATTGACATTAGCACTAGTAGAGTGGAGGAAAATACGCAAACAGGATTCGCCGAGGCCATGGAATGCCTAACAAGTTTGTCATCTGGTGTCATCGCCCGTATCTGCAACAGGCTACTCCTCAGGCATAATAACGAAGCAGGGACACGCCATTTGACACCACTCGAGATTCCGCCCATTGCGACACCGCCCTCGCCCAAGGAGGATCCGCCCATTTTGGTAGCTATACTTACTTCGTCGCTTTTCTCGTTGATCTTGATACTCTTAGTCTTAGTCACAGATATCAGTCCTTGAGTGGGAGTCCTACTCAGAGTGAGTACTTACAACAAGTAGAAACGCGAAGAAAGTAGGGCTAGGGATTCATTTTCATTTCTGCAGAAAAAGATATTGATATCATCGCTGTGAAGTATCTTATGATCGTTGCTGTTCAACACTATTTTCAGACACCGACGAACAAAGATAAAGTGCTTGATCTCATGGGCAGGATGGATGAGGAGGAGTTTCATCAGTTTGAGTGTGCTACTACAGCGGACGGAACGCAGAGCCCTCAAGTAGATCATAACGAACGACTCGATTTTGCTTTTTACCTGAGGGACCTCGGGGCCAACATGATGAAGACGACGATAACAAAAGGATACAGCTACTCCTTGCATTTTTTCGGTGGAGTTGAAGCAGCAAAGCTTTTTGAAGGTGTTCCTGAGCTTAAAGGATTCGGAACAAACCAGGAGGATGGTCGTCTTCGTGGTAAACGTGATACTTATGATTATCAGCCACGTGAGGTCGAAGGCTATCTCTCCGGGGCCTTGGATGCGTACGAACAATTGCTGGCGGACGAGGCGGAAACGGGAGTGAAGTTGCCGAAGGACAACCCCAACGGCAGTGTTGCTGTTCTGGCGGAATCAATATCTGACGAACAGAAGCAGGATTTTCTTGAGTTCCTCAACCTAAATGGGCCACCTTCAATCACAAACCCTTTCCGCCGGTTCCTTGCGACGGAGGTGCCTGCAGGCGAAGATAGCATTGTCCAGGATATCGAGCAGAGGAGCCAAACACGCTTCCGCGTCACCAAAGCGAAAGTCCAGAACGCTTCGGACTTGGAAACAGACAAATTGCCCTTCAAGCAAGCACCTGCTCGCCATAAAGAGTGGTGGCTTAATCTGTGGGGAACCGACACTGAAATAGAAATTGGGCAAGTGTATGCCGCCGCAAAAATGTGGCTGAAGAAGGACAACAAGAGACCTGATGATACTCGGACGCTCGAACTCTTTCGGGTAGAAGACCACTTCAACATGCTTGGCCAATCTCCCATCCCACTAGCCTACCTTGTAGGAGTACACAAGAAATTGGACGAGACGATGCAGGATGACAAGTGTGGGCGGGATGATCCTTTTCCAGAGCGGTATTGTTGGTTTTATACTATTGCTGTAATCTACCTCACCGCGCCTTCGCCAGTCAGTACAAATAACGCAGCGCAGGAATCGGCTTCGTAGACTACGGGACGAGAAAGCGGTAACTAATCATATCCGAGTCCTGCCCAAGGCACAAGAAGGAGAAACTTGATAAAAACAAGAAGAACATCTTCAATAAAAGGGACAAGAAGATCATCGAACATCAATAAAACGAACGAAAATATCTGAAGTGCTAGACCAAGGGGTACATCCAAAGGAAAGCTCCAAGCTTCACAGGAGCCATCTTGTGCAGCACTGCCAGTAGAGAACAAGCTCCAGACTACATTTCTGATTATTAAAAACTTATCATCATCTTCAACAACATCAACTTCAACGTCATTTGTCTACTAACACACGACAAGCTCGCTGGAAAACATGCGTCTAAAAGCAAGTCCACCAAGCATCGAAATACGTTTTCTGTTCCTGTCTCGTAGCATACTAGTTCATACACCTCTTCAATTGCAAGTGAATACAGTTGCAGCGCCGCTGCGTCAACTAGATCAACAAGGGGAACAGCTCTAGCAATTTTATACCGAGGTTTTGTACCTGACGAAGAAGACGGTCAACTGTTGAAGGATGTTGTTGCAGATCCAGACAAGAGGGAGATCCAAGAGAACGAGTGTCATAGCACCAGCACAACCCAAGTCAGTGTCTCATAATTTTCATACCATAGGATATTGCGAAGCTGAACCGGAAGCTGAACACGATAGTTATTAAGAATCCTGGCTGTTACAACTAACGGCGGTGGCGGGCTTTGTTTAATCTCTTCACCTTGGTGGAGAAACTAGGCATTTCCGGCAAAACAACAGAGTGAACAACCGCGTTGTGCAGTGAAGGGAAACGAAAAACTGATGAAGCATATTGACACTCAAGTCGATGAACAAAGAGATCATGCACATGTATCCACTTTTATTGACGCCAACACCAGAACTCATACCTCCCAAGACACATCTAAATTTAATATGTTCTTGTTTATGGAACTACAGGAACCCATTATATTGGTGTTGGTCAAAAATAAAACATATCTTATCCCTGACCTTGTCCGCGTCCTCTTGTGTACAAGTTTGCTGACCATCATGCTATTAAGGTACACCTTCAACACAACGGATGTGCTGGATCACTTATAACTACAGTGATTCTACTTTGAAGCGCTACAACGATGTTGGCAGAAGCACCAGGAGAGGACAAGAGGAGTTCGCACAGAGCATAGGAGGGTGAACAAGAGTAGAGTGATGTGCTGGAGAGAATCAATAAGACCAGTACGATTTTTGCCGTTTTAAGTAGTCGATTGCAAGAATCTTGGCCGAAGAATGTTGTAACAGAAAAAAAAGATGTCCTTGGAGATCAGGCAATATTCATGCCGAAGAGTCCACCTTGTTTCACAGAAGAATGTCACAGATGGAGTGAGATCGATCCGATACCGATAGTTGTTAATCACTGTATTTCATATCCTTATCTTTTGCGCTAGACCTAGTCCTAGAACCTTCATCGTTGTAGTTCATCAATTTTCAACAAAATGATGTGGAAGTCCTCACGGGCGCATGCCTCTACCGCCTTTCGGTGGAGTACAGAGGACACGAGAACCGTTGCTTCTTTGAGAAAACGATGGCCAATTTCTCATTCCGCGTTCCTGAGACCACCTGTAACCATTGCCAGTCTTGCCACGTCGAGAACCACGAATACGCGATCTATACAGCCTCCTGCTATTGGCACTGTACTAGAGGGACCACAGCGACAGCGCGAAGTAGCTGTGCGAATAGGGCAAGAAGCATACTTCTTCAGCACGGCCGCGGCGGAAGCGAGCAGTAGTACAACTAGTAGTGCCGGTGGCGCCTCTTTTGCACGAGGATCATCTTCATCGAGCGGAGGGCGCTTGCGGACAGCAACAGCAGTGCTGGGGCTTTTATGGGAGGGAGATGATAGATAATGAATAAGAAGTCGTATTGCTACTTAAGTACGTCGAGTCAGTATTTGCAGAAGTCTATGCCCGAGGACCAGCACGAACGCCAAAATAATACAATTTGGTAGTGCAGCTTGAGCTTGTGCTGCCAATCTAATTTGGATTTGGTACTAGTTACTACATAGTTGTCGATTCATTCATTTCGGTTAGGCGTGACGATGTACCTGGCGAAGGACAATGGACCGTTAGCGGCACCGATACGAGGCAGTGCCTTCTACGGCGCATTAGTTGATCATATCGATACGGCAGCGAAACATCATGATCACATATTGCAATACATACTTAGCAATATTGAGTTTAAGATTAAGGACTTCGACTTTCATCATTGTTTTTGTTACTGAAGATGTTCGAAGACGAAATGAATCCGCGATGGATTGATACAAGGTTGTACTTGGTGTAGCAGGGCAGAAAATGCTGTTCATAGTACACTGCGAAGTTGATTCAGTTGCAAGGGGCGATATTTATATTTGAACTGCGCTATGATGTTCTTGTGTGTCACTAGTTGTAAGACCTTACAACTACAGTAGTTATAGTTTTCACAACAGCACGTTGAGGTCGTACCAAGTGAGGCACCTCTTACTTCGCATCAGCATGGTCTTCGTTTTTTTTAACCTTGAGATTGCAAGAACAAGCTACCTAACTGTGTCGTCCTCCCTTCTACGCTCTAATTCTGGCGTTCCGCTTCTCCGTCTCCTAGATCCAGAGGATGCACACAACTTGACCGTCTTCCTGCTCAAAAACGGACTCGGGCCAAAGCTTTGTGCGGCGTCTGATGGCCGACCTGTGTTGTTATGACTCTATTCTATTCGTATTGATTCGTCATAGATGGTAGCGCCGTCAGCAGGTCTAGGGAATAGTAGAAGCATCTACTTTTACAATAGGCAAGATGGTTTCCTTGCGGATCCTTGAACTTACAAAATCATCTAAGTTAGTACCTACTTGTGGCAATTCTAATTCTAAACTGATCTACCTCACAACTGGGTCTCTCCTACTTAATCTGGTCTACTACACCATAATTCTAGCTCTTCTAATCTAATCTACCTCATTGTGGGGACTCAATTTTGACAATTGTCTTGGAATGGCAGCCGGCTTTGACAAACATGCAGAAGTAGCGGAGCGATTGCTCACTGACGTTGGGTTCTTATGATGTTGAGACACTATTAGTACTACAGCGCTTTATTTGTAAATGGAAGGTTGAAGTCTCAAACCTCACACTATAGATACGTGTTTCACCGACGATTCGTGTTGTAGCTCCGACTACAACTAGAGAACTAGCGTTCTTGCTGACTCTTGTCTACTTCTAAGATTTGGCTTTGTAGAAGTCGGGGGCGTAACGCCGCTGCCCCAAGATGGTAACCCAAAACCTCGCTGTTTCCGCCTAACAGAAGACCGCGCCGTCATAAATAGATACGGTCTCAATTCGCATGGGCATGAAATTGTAGCGGAAAGGTTGAAGCAAATGAGGGCAAAAGCAAGTACAACTTGTTATTTGTTCTATTTCTTTCTATCTGATTTTGGTGTTAGTCTTAGACTTAGCAGAAGCAAGTACTCCATGATTTTCTAGCATTTGCAATAATTGACTGGAGTTCATTTCTAGAACACGACAATATAATTCTAGTGATGTTACAGTGGAGTAGAAGTAAGATTCTTGTTCTTGTGCTTGGTACCTTCCCAACAACTCCAACTATCACAGGTGAAGAAGCGGCTTCAGCGTCCGCGTCTGGGAGTACTCGGAGTAAGATCTTTGGCGTGAATTTGGCGAAGAACACAGCGGGAACAGCCACCGCAGAAGAGGACTATCGCGCTGGAGTACGTGCTCTAGGGCCTTGGGTGGACTTTTTCGTTGTAAACGTTAGCTGTCCGAATGTCTCATGGACGAAGGGGCTCGCGCACAGCGACATAGCAGACCTGGCCAAGGCCGTCTGCAAAGAAAGGGATGAACTTGCCGTACTTCGCATTCTAGTCTACTTCCGATGCGCCGGATGTTGACTAAATATTAGACCGCGCAGGAGCTATGAAAGGGCACTAAAGTTGTAGGCGCAAACAGCTGACGTGCGTTTAGTTACATATAGTAGTCTTACTTTCGCACTTTCGCCGCAGCGTTCTGCTGCCTTTGCTTCCCCTCGAAGGCAGGGGATGCGCGGGCCGGTCCCTGACTAGGAGCGTCGACACTCAACTTCTACCCCCGTAGCCGGTTTTTTCCCGGTCTTTTCCGGTCGAGTGCCTCTCGGCGTTTCCCCTTCGTTCAGTTGATACAGCGAGCCGGGCCGCCATGCGGTAGCTCCGTGGCTTGTCGGTCCTCATTCCAGTCGATTCCAGCGGCGACGGTTCCGCGCGATGATCCCAATAATTCCAGGGCGCGCAGATTCCGCGCGATGAGTCCCATAGTTCCGAAGTGCGGAGATTCCGCGCGATGGTCCCCATAGTTCCGAAGTGCGCCGGTTCCGCGCGATGATCCCAACAGTTCCGCAATGCGCAGAGTCCGCGCCGTCGGTCCTCCGCGGCTCCGCTGTGTTTCCCGTTCGGTCGCCCTCCCCCTCTGTGCTGCTGGCGGCTGCGTTTCTGGGTCTGTCGCCCGCGCTGGTGGGTCGGTCTGTGTCCCCTCTTGTCTTTGGTTGTCTCGTGTCTTTCTCTCCATGTGAGCCTCACCACGCACAGCGCTGCCGTCGCAGCCTTTCAAGAATGGGGCTGATACTGAAGCACGCGGCGCGCGGTAGTCCCGCCATTGTCTCTTTTCAAACATACATTTTCAGGGAAGGTCACCACAGGCCAAGCGACGGCCTGTTCTCCTGAAGATCGGCCCCGATAATAGTGACGCGCAGCTTCGGCAGTTAGTTGCGATGTCCCTTGCTAACGGCGTCGACGGACTAGTAGTCAGTAATACCAGCGCCGAGCGGCCCGTATCGCTTCAGTCGTCAGCAAGTGCGGAGAAGGTTATGGCAAAGAGGTGCTGCGGCTATACACTCAGAATTACTCGTCTTACCGTTACTTATCCTCACAATCAATATCAATATCAATGTAGTTGCCGCTTGGGTACTAACGAAGTATGTAGCTGCTCCACAGAAAGGAATCGATGGCCATGATCTTCATCTAAGAACCTAGAAGCGGTTATGATTTTCTTGTTGTCCTTCTATTTATCTAATCTTTGTTTTGGTTGTATGCGGTGTAGTACTAGTAGTAGGTATCTGCTAGGATAAACCTAGATAGAACAAGGTTCTTTGTCTCCGGTATCTAAAGCGCGTGGTCTATCTGGAGCACCAATTCGGGAGAAGGCGCTTGAAACCTGTCGCATGTGCTACCGCCTCACCGAAGGCCGACTACCTATTGTAGGCGTGGGTGGCATATCCTCCGCAGAAGATGCATATCTTATGGGAAGTACTAGTCTGCAACTGCATTATCAAGAGCATGAAGGTCGCTGGAAAAAATGTTGATGTAGTTGTGTAGAGGAGGCTGGCATGGCCCTCTATTTTCTGGAGTAGACTTGCGTATTGTTCGGAGTTGAGGAACGTTGTCATTCATCTGGCGCTCTGGTTATAAATATGATCCGTGATTGCGATCAACATGATGCGAGCCGTGCTCTTAGCCTTGTTACTTATCTGAGCAGAACTTATTGAAAAGTGTTTAAAACAAGTTTTTTGCGTCTTCTACTCTTCTACCAGCTCTAACACCAAGAGAATTCGAGCTGGTGCAAGCCTTCTCGAGATCTACACGGTGATGGTGTACGAAGGGCCAGGGTGCGTCGCGAGAATAGCCTCAGGCCTGGAGGAACTTCTACAGCGGGATGGCTTCAAAAACGTCAAGGATGCGGTTGGAGTAGATGCCAAGAAGTGAAGGACCAGAAGAGCACCAATATCAAAAAATACGCTAAGAAGTACCATAGCAGATGACCACGATCAACATACTTTTTTACGAAGAACACAAGGTATATTATAAGATGTAAATTACACATTTTCATAATGATTTTTTCATACTTATGGAGTTTCTCAAGGATTCGTGGCTCGTCAGATAATTGTACGTCAGACAAGAAATAAAGATAAGCACGCAACGCCTACGACTACGTCATATAGCTGATGATCTCCGAGAGAAACTGGTATCTCCAAAGAAACTGCAGAGCCTACTTTTTCAAATATGATACATAGTAGATGATTCGCATGACCCGGACCGTGAGTAGTTCCTAGAGCTTTTGTCAAGTCTCAATGTACTATCAACGTTAATTGACTCGGAACAGTTCCCAGAGCTTTTGCCAAATCTCAATGTACTATCATCGTTAATTACGGAAAAATCAACGCCATGCCCATGGAAAAATCAACGCCATGGAAAAATCAACACCAGGAAAAATCAGCGCCATGGAAAAATCAACGCCATGGAGAACGAGAAATCAACGTCAACCTGGTGTGGCACGTGTAGACGAGGCAATGAATCGTCTGTAAAAATAGAATATCTTCAATCTACTGTAAAAATCGAAATCACAATTGTTGGCATCTTAGGTGACTGCGATGACGATAGCATCAGCATGATCAACAAAGACAACGTAAGTTGTACTTAAGTACTATTTTTTTTTGAAATTTAGCTCGCTGACGCAGATATTGACTTTGACATCACCACGAAAGACGTGGGTACAGGACGATCTATAGCGACTGCATTGTTCACATTATATATACTTGTTCCGCCGCTTGGGCGTACAACTTGTTCATGAGCAGATGATGCGCCTTTGTTGACGATGGTTCATCTGTCTTTTGCAAACACCTCCTCGTCCATGATTTGATGTTCTTTATCTTTTCAGAGATATCTTCCGGCAGTCATATATTACCAGTCTAGATGTAGACAAGGACAACTAGTAGATCCACTAGCAGCAGTACGACTGCTAGAACGTCTAATGAAGCAAAAAGATGGCACCGGTTGCGTCGCTCACAACGTCAGCACCAGCGTTTGGCTCAAATGTGGTGCCTGCTGCAGTCTCGTCCCTTGCCGTGGGTCCGGTATTGCGAATCCTAGAAACCTCCACGAAAAGTAGGAGACTTCGTCATCGTCACGCTTCGTTCCAATGGATGGCACAGAGATTTGATGCCACACGAACTGCTGCTAGCTCGTCGACTTCATCTAGGAACTTCGTAGGCGCCTCCTCTGGAACAATCGGAACACCTCCACATCAACGACATCACGGAAGCTCTTCTGGTGGTTTGCTGAATCTGAGTAGGCTATTAAGAAGAGCACCAGAATCTTCTTTTTCTGGGCCAAACATCAACGTCGCAGGAGGACCCTCAGCCTCAGCGGCGCCCGGCACAGTACGAGAGGTCCCAGGTAGAGGGACTGATCCTTTCCAATCCGAGGCTCCCAGGTTTCCCCTGTTCGACTTCAGCGTTCCCTTAAAGACGAGAGCGGCACAAGCTGCGAACGGCGCTTTCTTCGTTTTGAGTGCGATGACTGCTGGTTCTCTGCTGGGGTACAGCCTGAGCAACAGTGAGGCCAAGAAAGCTCAGATCATTGAGGATTTGAGAACAGGCGTTTTTTTCCAAGATCTTTAAGGCTCCCGCTGATAAGAAGGAATATCGAGGGTCCAAAGTATATCGAGTTCAAAGAGTTTGTGAAATCCTGCTCAGCAGAATTCAGAATCCTTGAGTGCTTCTTTTTCTACTTGAGAAAAAGAAGCCAAGGTGAATGCTATCAGGGATGCGTCGAACGCAGTATCTCTATGTCTAAGACCTTCTAGGGTTGGACTTCGGCCTTTCGTCATCGTCTTCGGGAAGCGGAAACGGTCGTGGTGCAAACAACTCAAATGCCGGACTCTCAGACTCCGAGGATGCCACCCTTATCGCGGAAGTGGATCAGCTGTCTGACGATGAAATCATTGCAACGATGCTGCCTTTGACCCAGATAACTAAGGCGGTACCTATAATACATCTTTGGAGTTGGACGCATCCTTGAAACGTATGGAGGAGGAGTATTCTAAGGGAAGACCCACCCATACCTTTCAAGGATGCACTTGCAAGATGAATTTCGGACAGCTCTAAGATAACTGACGAACTCTTTGATACCAGTGACAATTTACTAGTTGTAGTGGTAGACGATGAGCGAAGACTCCACGATCCGCTGTTTAAGAAGCAGCTGCGCAAACTCCAGCTTTTGGTCCAGAAGCACTGCATCAAACCGCCACGGGCGGAGGCTGAATTGTCCTTGGCGCATACTTATGGCTTCAATTAAATGGGTACACTACTACTACTACTACTAAATTTGATACAGATAGAGATACAGCTGAATGCAATTTTTATAGTTTTTTGAGTCTGCTCCTACAACTCGGTCATAATTAATGGCGACGACTTTACTCAGGTCACCCGCCTCGGTGCTCTACGTCGACTTTACTCAGGTCACCGATTCATCCTCGGAGTCGAGTCAGGTGCCGGGGGGCTTCGATGTGCAGGATTCACAACCTAACGTAACCTCCTCTACTGTCCTGGCGGTTGAAAATGTCAATGTAAATGTAAGAACCTCCTGAATTGTTTATAAATTTATTACCATTTACATTTTATCCAATTCCAAAGGCAAATCCATCAAAGAAGTAGATTCAGCCTCTTCATGATCTTCGGTGTAGCTCCTCCTCTAACTTAAGCATGAACACACGGATCGTAGCATGGCGACACAGACGCGAGCAAAGAAGAACCTGCCGCCTCCTAAAAAGCAAGACGGCCCACCTCCTGCATCAGGGAAGCAGGAGATTATTCTCGCATCCGACGCCGGTCAAGAAGTGATTGAGCGCATGCCTCACCACGACCTGAAACAGCCTAATTGGGGACTGCCCGACTCGGTTTCTTTTCACTTCACCGTACAGGAGAACTTGGCAGGAGCAAAGACGACTAGTGACGCGCACAAGAGCGTCAAGTTTATGACTTATCGCGGTCATCGCAAAGGCCTCTTTGAGTGGGACTTCAGAGAGGACCCTTCGCCGTCCAACATCGTGCGCTCCCAAGTGCAGCCGTTCTACCACTTTGTGTCCCAGGACGACTTTGATATCGTGGAGAGAGGTTAGTCTTAGTAGTTTTCCTAGACCGCCTCCATCGATCTAGAGTGAATGTGAAGCAAGATCAAGATTTTCTTTTTGTGCACGTCCGATCCCGATGAACTCTAGAACTCCAGAGGTAGTTCTTCTTCTTGTTGGCAATAAAAGTAAAATGTAGTTAAGGTGGACACATGGTCGTGTAACTCCGGTCGTTTCTGACTTACAGGTATCCAGACGATCTCCGCGCACCAATTTCCGCAGTTTGTTCTCGAAGACTCGCATGAGCACCCCGTCGTTGTCCAGATGTACGAAGAGAGTTGCTTCCTGTGCTTTTTGATGCGGCCAATGATGGAAAGCTTGGCGCGGTCAAAAGCCTTCATGTTTCTGGAGCCGGCACGGTTTGTGCGCATCAACGTGGAAGCGAACGATTTCCCAATAGGGTTACCAATGGCCCGCGGCACACCGCAGTTCTTGCTGTACAACAAAGGCAAGGGAGACAAATGGGCTGAGTTCAAACCAGCAGACTTCGTTGCGAAACTCATCAAGGCGTTGAAAGTCGAAGACAAAGAACAACAGGTACAACTGAATCTGAATCATGTGAATGCGGTATAGAAAAAGATAGAAAAATGCATGTTGAATAGATATCATGAAGAAGTAGGTCCAAATCTAACCTCCGAGGTTTGAGAGAGACATTTGACAACACGAATAATTGCAGGCTGCGCTAACCGCTCTGGCCGAGTCGGTCCAGAGACGCTTTCAGCTGTTCACCGCCGTGGCCATGTGGCAGCTAGAGTTGCGCAAAGTGGAAGACGAGCTTGCGAACCAAGACGGAACATCGACACCAGAAATCTGGCTAGAACGGAATGTTTTCAAGAATGGCGCCAACAAAGGAGCTCCATCCCCGTCCGGTCAGCCAGACGATGGATTTACACAGCTCATCACTGCCTTGATGGCAGCTGATATGAAAAGAACCGACACATTGGACCAGAACATAGCATTCCTCGAAAAGGAAGCAGAAGAATTGGAGAAAGATGTCTCACTTCTGGGAATCATGCTGGGAAAAGTTATACAAACTGCTGAGGAGCATTTTGGCGTTGTGTATGGTTCTGATCCTAATGGAGATCGTGACTACACGAATAGCAGCACCTCCTCGTCATCTTCGTCCACTGCAGACACGAGAGAAACTAGTAGTACAACTAAAAACGCTACTAGCAGAAGTAGCGCTGGAACTACAAGTAGCGCTGGAACTACAAGTAGAGATGGAACTACAAGTAGAGATGGAGTGGATGGGGAGACAGCGCAGCGAGCAGCATCCACTGTATGAAGGGGATCCAACACAGAGTCGTTGATCACTATCTCGCTTTTCGAAAGAACAACCAGATGCCCTCGAATACTCAAAATAAGCGAGTTACTGACTGAAATAAGACGAGAGTCTTGACTACATTCCTCTTCTTTCAGTATCTCCCTTATTTTAAGTAGTTACTCGCTTATTTCACTTTTTCGTAGTACACTTTTTCTTTTGATGTCGTAGTCGTTAAATAATGTACTTACTAGTAAGTAGTACTTTGTTCTACATTCTACAAGAACTAAGCACGATGTAGTTTTGAACTCATCTATTTTTACCTAGTGATCGACGGACCACTACTTTCCCCAAGCCCATTTCAAAAATGAAACGACGCGAAGACACGAAGATGACGCGTGCCAGCAGGCGCACATCTACATCCATTTCCGCCGATTTCTTTGACGAGCACTTCCAGGTGGGCGAAGAGAATGTCTTCGTGCATCAAGGTGAATGCGGCTTCAGCGATCCAGAAGGCGACGACGTTAACCAAGGTTCCTCCATTGCGTCCAGGAGCAAAGCGAGAGGATCCTTCCGAAAGACTCGAAAGGAGCCAGTCAATAGAGCTCGTGGCTTCTTAGACGAGGACGTTGATATGTATGGCTCTGGTATTTGGTATAGCCTGAATTTGATCATAAGGGTTCTCTTCTTGTTTTCCCTTATGATCTTCAAATTCAGGCTATGGCAAAGCCTGGCACCACTCATGATATAGACGGGGCAGCTGTGGGTAGTAGTTCTCGCATGCAACACGAGGATAAGCTAGAAGACGAAACGGAAAAATCATCTAGAAGAAAAGAACAGCATCAAAGAAAAATGATGAAAAAACGAAGCACCAAGTACCAACCTGAAGAAAGCCTTGGGAACACTGGTGGAAAGAAAGCGCTGTCAGAAGACCAGTTCGAACGCGTTGGCGGAGCATAGACAGGAATGCGAATGGCAGGGCAGTACACCTTGTTGACCTCAGCTTAGAAGTTGGGTTTTTTCAGACGTGGTCAGCTGATGGATGCGCCTCCACGAGCACGCATTTCTGAGTGGTCAAACAACGTGAGCTGATCTTATTGGATTATTTTACAATCCGATTGTCGAGCTCGAGGTCTGTGGAAGTGATACATCTACATCATATGCAAAGCGTGAATCTCTGAAGATGCCGATTCCAGAAGAAAAGAAGGAAGAAGAAGACCTAAGAACTCTCTTGTCTCAAATTTTCGTCTCAACTTCTTACTCCAAAATATATATCCAAAAATTAGAAAAACTAAAAAAATGTTCTTCCTAACCAAACAAACCTTAACCTACTAACTTGATGATAGAATATTATACATAGTACAATACTCAGACTCATCCCGATCCTTGATGATTGATTCTATGACGACCAAGTACAACATTCTTGAGAATTTATCCTTGATTCAGGACACACAAGCACAACAGCATCCGCGCATTAGTGGCAGTATTGTTCAGGCACTTTATCAGTGTTTTCCCGCCTTTGAATGCTTGTCGGGATTCGTTCTCAGTCTTGTCTAAATAATGTTTCGTCGCTTATTGCCTTTGACATCAAAATCTCTGTGGTCCTCGGAGAAATATCGAGAGATCTTAGTAGTTTGAATGCATGGCCACACCACGACAGAGGGACAAAAGAATTCGGTTGCGGCCTCGTCGGTTGTAAGCAGAAGTCTGGAGTCGATCTTCACGCTCAGTACATCATCCTTCTGTCCAGTCTCGAACAACGCTTTCCCCGTCTCCGATTGATCCATTCATCACGACCACTCCGTGCGGAATTATGATATACATGAAATGTGAATGTTAGTAGTAGAAGTACAAGAAAGTAGAATTTTTACCTTATTTTTTTGTGTGGATATGGCTCCTTACGCTTAGCTTGTTGACTGTTATCTCGCATAGTACAGTCACTGCGTAGCCCTGTCCGTAAAAAAATGTACTGTTACCGAAACATAACAATCATCTGCAGAGAGAACATGATAGAGTATTTCCACGTTGAATGACCATGTCTCCTCGTTGACCCAAGGAAATAGATCAAAAAGATGCTATCCTCATTGGTTGCAGAAGTACGCAGCGACGTTCGCGGAATCCTTCGCGGATTGGACGGTGACCTTTTCCACTCAACATGTTCAACATCTTCAAGCTCAAGTACAGCGACTAATATTAGCAATAAAACGTCAAGAACTACTAGTACAGCGACTAATATTAGCAAAACGTCGTCAAGAACTACAACGTCTTTCTTCATGAGTAGCCCCCCAGACGACAAGCGCACCCCTGAGTACACAGGCGTGGAGGAGGCCGCACCTCTGACGCGAGACGCGCAGCCCTTGTTTCCGAACTACCTTGCTTCTAAGCACAGTTCCGCAGCTCTGCATGCCGCTGAGAAGGCAGCTAGCTACGCGAAGATGGCACGATATTTCGAGGACGTCGCGACCAGGCATTGGCAGATAGGACAGTCTTGCAAGGAAAACGCAGTCCGTGCTGCGCAAGCGGCAGAGCATCATGGTACTACAACAACGACCACAGGAGCGAACAACAGCGACTTGCTCCGGAACGTGCGATTAGTTTGCGCGCGACTTAAAAACACGATTCTGGAGTCCGTGGAGAACGCGAAGGCTGGTAAAGCCGATTTATCTCCGGACGAACTGCAACGTATCTTAGAATCCGCGTCAATGCGTAAAGCTCGAATGTTGTGTGGAGAAATTGAGAAAACGTACAGCAATGAACTACGAGAAGACGATGAGCATGTAAGAGATCCTTTGTACCTCACTCCACCCGATGCCTATCCAGCAAAACCCATGTGGCCTCCACCGCTTGCGGCGGGATAACAGAACAGTAATTCGTCATCATCTAAGTACCAGCAGAAATAGCATACAACAGCCTTTCATCTGCTTCTTTGATGGCTATAACTACGCACAGATGTTGACCTTGGCCGCCTTGTCGGGCTTGGCTAATCGTGCTTTGTGTTCGCAAACCTTACGCGGTTTAGCGCTGCCTTAATCGGTTCTGAAAACATGGTAGTCATGGACATTCATGTGCATGCTGATTCTTCAAGTTGACAGCTCTCTGTTACGAAAGTGATCGTAATCGGTTTCAAGAGGCCCCACTTCTTTTCAATTCCATCTGTGGGACCGTTTGCCTTTGCTTAATTTGTGTTGGCTCCTTAGTATGCACGTGACCAGTCTTGGAGATCTGCCAGTTAGATAATTATGATACTTGATAGGTATAGGTTTGTTTTCAGTTTTACCTCCTGCAAAATGCATTTACTGAAAAAATGAATGTTCAACACAACAACAACAAAAAATGGCTAATATTTATACTAGTATAGTGTTAGCAAATATCGATAGATGATAACAACCAAACGCAAACGCGGTAATGTTGTACTTCGGTACAGAGTTGTTTTACTTTGTTTTTGCAGCTAATATTCCGAAGACTGACTCTGCTAGCTTAGTTACTTTGTAAGAAGTGGATGAGCTGTAGCTGTTGCAGCCGCGTAAGCAATTTGATCTTCACAGATTCTATTCCCATACGTACGGCTTCGTAGTGCACGCGAAAAGATGAGGATTGCTTTGCAAACCCAAGAGGGGGACATCAAGGACTGTCTCGACGATCTGAAAAAGGCCATTGCTGGTCTCTCTTCGTCGTCCGGGTCACGAGCAAGCCCAGCGTCATCACTAAGGCTTCCGCTAATTGTAGCAATGCATCTCTGTTATTTACATCGTGTAAGTGTAACTTTCTCTGTTAAAAATTTACAACGTGTAACAACTTTGATGCACTGTACTTATCCTAGTTTTATTCAAGTGGCAGAAAAATATCAAAGATCCGCTTCCAGTAGGTCGTAGTAATTTAGAAGATGTGAGTAGTTAAAATTATTCATTGTACAATGGATCCGTACGTAAAGGTCAAGGTCTAACATCAGTATCTTCAGGAGGAGGCGTTCAGCAAATGCGGTTATGCAACCAGCTTGGTTCACGGGCTCGGAATTTGCTCGAAAGCATGCAACTGGAACTGCGAACTGTGAAGGACGAGAGCATCCGAAACGGATACGAGAATAACTTGCAGGAGTTTAGGGGTGAACTTTTATGGCATGAAACGACGTGATGAATACTTTCTATGCGACTTGTATATGTAAGTATATTAAATAGAATATATTCTAAAATATTTTTCTATTAAGGAGCGAGAATTAATCCTTAGTATTTTTAGCGTTCGACAACACGTGCTCGCTCGCCGACGACGAAGCTCGATCATCTAGCCCTCTTCAAGATGACGTTTGCTGTCGTTATTCATTGTTTTTACAGGACCAGATTGATAAATGTACATGATCCTCGTCCAGAAGTACTTTCTTAGAAATGCAGCTTGTTCTTCTTCATCATTCATATCCTCGCAAGCTGCAAACTGAGCTGGAGTTCAGACGGAAAGAGATTTCCTCGCAGCGAGACAGTAGAAAAAAACAGTCGCTTTTAGCAGGTGGCCAAGGAGGGTTCGGGCAGAGTGCGGCAGAACGACTAAGCGACATACGGATAGAAATGGACACCGGAGACGGACAACAGCAGATGCAAGTAGTTGATACTTTTACGAGTACGACGTCTCATAAATATCTATATTTTCACGACGTCTCATATAATGCCGTGGTACTAGTAGAAGGTTATCATTAGGCCTTGGTTTAATGTAATTCATGATTGCTTCTAGTTCTACAAGAACTTCCACTTGCTAGTGTTGTTTCAAGTTCGTCTTCGTGCTCATCATCATAGTGGTTGCTGTTTTAAGTCTCTGTCTCTCCGCTCCTCAAACTCAGGCTCAAAATCGCGCAGTAGCGCTTGGGGACCAGCTGCAGGACCGCACTGAAGAAAGCCTAAAAAGGATACTTCGAATGGCGAATGATGCGGAAGTAGTTTATGGTGGATGAATATGGTCAGTTGTTTCAATCATCGTCTAGATGCTCTCTCCTGTCGTCCTGCCCTCTGTCCTGCACTTGGCCAAAAACAAGATAATTTGTTCTCGATTTCTTCTACTTAAGCCTTCGCCTGTAGCCAGAAGAACGTGATGAAAGCTCTATTATTATTAGAAGAGATTACATCATGTATGCAGATGCACAGCCACGACAGTATCCTATTGTAGTTCTAATTCCTCGGCCAAAAAGCCTTGCAGGAGATGCATGCACAGGAGAACAGGATGGGCAGAGTCCACGAAGACATGGATGATGTCCACGCAACGTTAGCGAGAACCAAGAACGTAGTTGCCGGACTAATGCGAGGCGCCGCTAGTGACAAGTGCGTCCAGATTCTTTGCGCGTTTATTGTTTATGACGGGTAGCGAATATGTTGACAACTACAGGTTCAAATATAGTCAACAACATCTTCTTCCTCAATATTTGAGCTATCGCTCGTTCAAGACCGTTTTTGACTAGGACTACACTACGTTTGCATCTCCGTCCACCTCATAGCTACTCTCGCACTACGTCAACTTGCCCCGGCCTCGCATTTACGCTAATAAAACTGTTTTCTTTAAGAATTATTATCTATACCTACTTTCACTCCCTAAGTCACCACTAGATACCCAACCTCCCCCTATGTATTAGGAATCGCTAGCGTTCCCGCTTTCACAACACTCTGGTCATACTCCTGTGCATAATCCTGGCAGCAGTCGGTGCAGATCAAGGACGGATGAACGTGCCAGATGAAGTGCGCAGTGAGGGGAACGGATGAGGACAGATTGCAGAGGGTCATCATGCTCGTCAAGATGTTCTACTTCGATGAATGTTCTAGTAGTTGTCGCCAGGCTTTCTCAACAAGAATTTCTGCTGCATCGACAGAAGATTTGTTTGCATGTTCTTCTGATTTTGCGTATAATATTACAGGGGAAGAGCATGAGTATAGTACAGCACCACATCTTCTGTGAAGATCGTCTGCTCCTCAACATAGTGGACGAGGACAGGAGCTAGCCTGGTGCTGTTCTTCACAACTGCTGACATTTTGCTATCGTCAACGAACTCCTTGGTGTCAAATAATCGACTCCGTTTTTGTAGCATACACGCAGGAGCGAGCATGGTAGTTTCCTGCAGATTATAAGGAAAAGCCACATGAGAATGAGTCGAAGAGAGAGACACATTGCTAACTGTGAACGACCGTGAGGGTAGCGAGACTGCAAAGTCAGAGATACAACTATCATAAGATATGAGTCCTATAGTGTTACAGTTACTGTTGTTACTCTTGCTGATGTCCCCATGTACTTATGAATCCTATACTGTTACAGTTACTGATGTTACTCTTGCTGATGTCCCCATGTATCTATCTCTATCATGTGGACTACTAGGGCCAGCCTGGATGACGACATGTGGTCCTCGTCCAACAATGTCGATACGATCGACGATTCTCCTTTCTCGTGCGCTTCTTCGCATGCTCGGATTCACCGTTCTCCTTGGATTTTCACCACTTCTACTTTCCCATGGTTCGTCTGCTGCCACGCCTGATCATGAGGAAAACATCGACACCTTCTGTGACGTAGTGAATACGAAACTTGACCACCAAAGAAGCTATGCTGAATTGAAGGGATTACCGAACAGCGGCACGACCTTGCATTCTTTTAAGGCCACTGCAGTTCTTGCATTCTTAAATCGATACGCACTCCTGTGTCCTTTTTAATAGAGCAGGAAGAGGACAATTTATTTACGACATAGTTAGATGAAATACTGACTTTGAAGAGTCCTCGGATCTCGGTATACTACTTTATTAGTAATAGAGTAGGAGAACGGCTGGACAAGGCGAAGGCGGATGGTTTCAAGGGTGCGGCTGCATTGGATCTAAATTTTGGGCCTACATGGGCCTGTTGCGGTCAGCTCTGAAGGCGGACCCCAATAATCTTCTCGCCAACAGCTGCTACGATCACATCACTTTGGTCAATGTCTGCCGCTCTTATCTCAATCTTGATCCGAGGTTGTTGAAAACCTCGCCTAGAAGTGGAAAAAGTGGTGGTGGAGGAGGTGGAGGTGGAGAACGAGACGAAGGTGGAGGAGAGCAACAAGAGGAAGAAGAAGACTTCGCAAGTAGAGGAAATCAAGGGCAAAAAAATGATCGGAGCAAAAGTAGTGAAGATCTTCATCTCGTCTCAACATTCAGACGAGGGCCTGAAGATCTTCATCTCTCAAGAACAAGCAGAGGGCCACCAGGGTCACGTCGTGACCGCCGTGGCGATGCCCGAATGCGATGTCTATGTCGTCTATTGCCTATTCCAGAAGCCTTGACTTATGATGCGGTCTTCAGTGATCATGGCTATCCCACACCAGGGTCAGTGGATCGCGTTTCTGTCGTCGAGCTTCTGAGGCATCCAGCCGATGTAGTCGCTGGATGGATCAAAAGTGATATTTTCACGGAGAATCGCACAGCAACGACGAAGAGAAAGAGGCCTCCGTATGTTATGACTGAGACTGCCCGTGTTGGAGAAAACTAAAAAATAGCTCTTAGTCTTACTCGGAACATGGCTGTGGGTGCCTGTGCGAACAGGGTCGTTCTTGCATAAGTAACTTCTTCGTTATCTTTATCATATCTGCGATACTATAACCTTTAGCTTTACCTACATTCATTTCATCTTTTACTTTTCCTAGTTAGATTGGCTCCACCCATATTATATTTATCATGTTGATTATATTTCTATACTGGAAATTATAATCTAAATTTGACGTGGTTGGATCGCATTCCATCAGCGCAATCAGTACAATGGAGTAGTTCTAATCCTCGATCTTCTTTTCGCAGGAACAGGACAGTCGCAGATGATTATGACGAACGCCACGTCAAACTCAAAAGCATTTCGGCTTTGGCGAAGCAATACACAAGAAAAGTAGGACACCAAATACTATACCCTTTATGTTCTATCACTATCTGGTAGGCAGAACTGGGGGCTGTGCAACTAGCTCTGTAGCACAACTAGTTGAATGTTCAAAAATAGACTCAGTCGCAGCCATCTTTCAGTTGAATATATCGTAGTGTAATGGTGTAGAATGTTCAAAAATAGACTCAGTCACAGTCATCTTTCAGTTGAATATATCGTAGTGTAATTACGTAAAAAGCTACGACTTCGGTTGCAGAAGAAGGCTCAGCAAATAAATGTAACGCTAAAAGAAATTGACAAGTCCTCTAAGCTATTACTGAGGAATTGACTCGTTGGTTTCCTCTAAGGCATTGCTGAAGATCCTGACTCGTCTTCTAGCAGCGTGTCCGTGTCAGAACGATCGACGGATGAAATCGACATCACTGGTCTTTCCGCGGCTTTGATTAAGCGCTGGACTGAGTACGCAGCTTGGATGAGGGGGCGGCTTATCTCTTGGCAAGACCTGGGGGATTCTTTCTCTGTTACGACTGCGGAGGGATCAGTGTCCGAGGAGGTACTACGCGTCATGTCTTATCTGTATGATTATTCGGGGGGATGCCTATGTATTTACCGTGGACTGCCCGTCGCCGGTGCTTCCGTTCGCCGCCTTACTTTCTTCGAAGGGGCGTGCGCCGACATGCATGGCCTCGCATCGCCTCGGCTTCTGGACAAAGAATCGCGCCAAGGAGCTCGCTGCTGAAGTTATCGACGCGACCGCGTGGCACTGTGATGACCACAGAACAGAGGGCACACAAATGGCCCAAAATGAACGCGGTTCAAGTATGGGCGTGCTTGGGTTGCGGTTCGCTCCTTTGTTTCTTTGTCACGTTCCCGCCCCGACAAGAACGCTGCCGCGCTCGGGTTTTGTTTGGAGATCGATCAACAAGCTCGGCCGCGGGAGATAGGGCTGGAGCGTGGCAGAGAGGGCGCGCGCCCTCTGACTTTTTTCACCACTTTCACAAACGTGTGTAGAATATTTATTAGTGCCATGTCCATCTCACACTAGTTTTTCTTGTTACTCTTCAGACCAACTTTGCCCAGCCGCGGGAGTTGGACCACACCGATACAACCACCGGCGCGGAAGCGGATGTTGCCAAGAAGTCAATATCTTCAAGCTTCTTCGGTGGCAAGGCGTCAACGCTTTACTATGAGGATTTTTTAGAGCAGCCGCGCTTACAATTAAGCCGCATGGTCGAAGCTTTTCGTGTGCCTTTCGCGCACATCGTGGACATCCGCGAATTCGAAAGCCCCTCATCATCGTCTTCGTCGGAGCGGCGGCCTATTCTGTATTTGCGCAAGCAGGATTTTGACGAAGCTCTTCGCCTAAGTGGGCGCTCGTATCAGCAGAAACTATGTGCGACGTCACTCAAGCGTGCGCACCAGCGGCAGAACTGGAAGCCATCACAGCAGACAAAAGACCTCCTCAAGAGGATCCGAGAAAAATTGGAGTTATGACTGGAAAACGGTTTTCTTTTCAGTGGTATTGTCTAGGTACTTCTACTTTTGTGGATCATTTGTTGAGTGTTTCATCGTAGAAGTGGTAAAAAAAGCACACGGCTAGGTCGTAGACGGCAATGAGAGCATGCCTCCGACGAGTGGAAGCGAATAGAGTGTGGACTTCCTGAAATGGTGAATCACAATCGACTTCGCTTCCTCTAATCCACTCCGAATACGCCAGACCGTACTACGAGATTGGCGCGATGCGAGCACTCGGAATGCATTACCTGTATGAGCGTTACTTCGAAGAGGATCCACACAGCTTCAGCTATCTACCTAGAAGTGCAAAAACCACCCGCATGTGTCCTGGAATGCTTTTCATGGAGGATATGAGGAGGGCTAGAGATGACGAGACTAGTAGTCGTACTAGAAGTTCGGAGCAGGAAGGTTCAGGAGCACCAGGAGAAGAAGCGTCAACTTTCACAGCAACAACAACTTCTCGAAATTATTACACCAGTTTTCTGAGGAACAACCTTCTCAGTTTGTCGTCGGACCAGTTGGCAAGGACAAGTGTGGTAATAAAAGGGCGAAACTGCTCAGAAGTTGTATATTGGTCAGACGCGGAGCGGGTTAAGAGGATTATATGGTCTCTTCAAACAGTATCGAAAATGGTAACTTTCGGGTAGATGCTGGGAGTAGGGGGATATGGGCTCTTCACATTGAGAAGATTGAGGATTTTTCTCGTCGTTGGTATAATTGTCCGAATCCTTTACGATAATTTGCTATAGAGGTGGCTTTTCTATTGTTCTTATGGAGTCACTTTCGTTCTTTAAAAGTGTTCTGTTCCTCGTTGAACGTCGAACAAATTTGAATTAGCTTGCAAACTATGACTCCACGTCATTCGCTTTGCCGTCGACGTTGTAGCAATGCCAACTGGATTTACACAAGTAGAAGTGTTCGCGTTGGCTTGCGCAGAAAAAAAAACTCTACGACGTCCAGGAAAGAACATCGGATTTGGAGAGCATTCAGTAGCTTTGTTGGCATTCTTGAAGATGAACGCAAATCAGTTATGAGCAAGAGCTGCTACTTCTATCGATACCTGCTCCAGGCGAGTAAGCTGTTGAAACCGAGACGATTGACTCGCTCACTTTTTATTATATGCTCTGTCGCGGCTGTTTCCCCTACTGCTCTCTAAACGAGAGACATCTAGTACTCTTGTTCGTGTAGGGGGAGCCAGAGAACAAGAGTTTGAGAACGTGTTGCCCCAGCCCTGTCCCGGAAGAAAGACTTTTTCTTTTGAAGTCCCCACTTTTCGTGCTATCACATACTGTAATTTATAGTTCCCTACTTTCTCTTTCTTGGTGTCTTTGATTGCGAAGATCAAAAATGTATGGATACATTGAGTTTCGTGGTGTGAAGTTTCTTTCGAAACTAGATCTAGATATTACAGCTTGCATAAAATTGGCAAGGAACATGTTGATACAACTAGCTATACAATTACGAAATTTGCATTCCCTTTCCCCCAACCGCCTTCTACGACCGCCTTCTGCGAGTTCTAGAAAATGCGACAGCGAGGAATACCCACGGATTCGTTAGGTGTTGGAATTTTGCCGAGTCTGCCGCGAAGTACTTATACATAGATACTTTTGATTGTTTGTTGATGCTTGACACTAGTAGGAGGTTTGTAATAACGGTCGCTTCGATCAAGCATCGAAACCCTTCGAAAGAATGTGGCGCGTTTCCCCTTTGCGTCGCGCATTGGGCTCCACCGCTTCTATCAAGAGATTGGAGCACTTTGCTAAACTCGAAGCAGCGGACGTGGACTACCTAAAGGGTGTAACCAACGTCGTCACCGCGCCAGACGATCTAGAGTTATGTTTTTGGTTAGTTTTCTGTAGATGTTGTAGGTGTAGCTAGTTCATCTTCATGTCTGGTTCTCAACAGATGTGCATCTTCGTCTCGCAGTAGCGCTAGGGCACCACGGTACTTCTTCAATTTCCTTAGTAATAGAGTAATTTTCTCGATAAAAAGTCACTTATATTAAAGTCGAAAACTACAACTCACGGCCGAGATGTTCTTGAAGAGACCAAAGTCAACTCAAGCACACTCTAATAAGGCGCTTCAACACGGATTGGCTAAAGCTGACGAAAGGAAGGAGCGCCCTGGCCGTGCGACCTGAAACAACAGCGGAAGTGTCGAAGGTGCTCAGATACTGCAATTAGGGTTTAGGGTTTCGTATGGAAGGAACTTCCTTTCATAAGTATATGATACTTCCTTACCTTTCGAAACTTCAACAAGTCTCGAAAGTGCTTGTTCGTGCTTTCCTCTACTTATTTCTCAGCAGAATTCGTTCATACTACTGACCGGAAGCTTGCAGTGTGTCCGCAGGGTGGCAACACTGGACTTGTTGGGGGTGCCACGCCAGTCTTCGATGAGGTCATTCTCAGTCTTGAGCGGATGAACAAGATTTAAGGGTCGTAGGTTAATAAAGGTGCTTTTATGGCCAGAAACTGGATAAAGCTGAGGCCGCTCTTTCAGTAGCCCCAGGATACAAAAAAAAAACTGTTTCTGAAATCTCCAAATCCAAATCCAAATGTTGCCGTTTGTTATGGCTTTCCTTCTCCTAAGGGGGACGGCCATGACAAACGGAATAAACGATTCTCAACTACCTTTATAAAAAAAAACCTCTAAAAGATCATCAACATTGACGAGAAGTCGGGGGTAGGTATATTCGAAGCGGGCTGCGTCCTCGAGACCGCGAACGCAGCACTAGAGGACAGGAGCCTCCTTTTCCCGCTAGACTTGGGTGCGAAGGGTAGCTGCCACGTTGGCGGAAATATCGCGACGAACGCTGGCGGGTACAAGATGAGCTCAGTCTTGTTAAGGCTTGTAGTTGGTCGTCAAATTCATGCTTTTCAGCTGTACATGTTGATGCATTTTACTTCAACTTGATGTCTACTTCGAGCAACACCAGGTTGATGCTAGAGTAGAACTTTTCATCGACTTTGTTCTTCACAGCAGACCCTTACAACTGATCCTGTAGAACAGTCTGCAGAACTGTTACCTTACGTTCACGCATCACGAGCCCACAATATTTTTCTCACCGACCAGATTACGCGTCCTGCGGTACGGAAATCTTCATGGCTCCGTTTTGGGACTAGAGTTCGTAAAAGCAGATGGCAAGGTCGTGGATGTGCTTTCGCGGAATAAGAAAGACAACACGGGCATTGACCTGAAGCAGCTATTGATTGGGAGCGAAGGCATCTTAGGCGTGATAACCAAAGCTGCTGTGCAATGGTACTAATAGATACTTCTGTTGTCTAATTATTTTACTATTTTCCGTGCACGTGCTATGGTTTTTTCTACTTAGGTCTACTGTGTGTTGCATGGGTACTAGGGGACACACGGATATCCACACATGATCCACACATCCACACATCCACACACAACACACAGCCCTCCCCTCTCCCGCGCCAAGCATGTTCTGCTTTTATCTGTGGACAGTTACGCGGAAGTCGTATCGTTATTCCAGAACGCGCGCTCAGAACTTGGAGAAATTTTGTCCGCTTACGAGTTCTGGGACTCGGAAGCGACGGGATGTATTTCTAGCAGTCTCAAGCTTCCGATACCAGACTTCATGTCTGGGCATCTAGAGCAAGGTGCGGGAAAATTTGCAGTTCTAGTAGAGACAAGCGGCAGCAACGCCGATCACGATTCCGAAAAGCTTTTTACTTTTCTTTATGAGAGGCTTTTGCTGCTAGAGATACTGGTGGCAGCGTGAATGAATGAATGAATGAATGAATGAATGGGTGCTGAGAGAAGGTCAGGCTAGAGTAGAATTTGATGAATCTTCCCTTAGTGCTAGGACATGTTGATTGTTGAAAGAGTGGCGTTACTAAGTACTCAATACAGAGGTAGAAGATCGTGAGACATGCTGTAATCTTCAGAGTGACACATCCTACTTCAAATTCAAAATCCACTAGCATGATTTTTACGCTTACGCACTCCATCCAACCCTGCTCAAATTCAAAATCGACTAGAATGATTACGCACTCCAAATCCAAATCCAAGTCCAACCCTCTTTAGCCTCATCTATGTCAGCCCTTCATATCCCCGAGTCCGCAGTGAGTTCGGAGAATGGTAGCATTGCCGCAGGAGGGCAGCAGTATCAGGACTTTTGGCGACTACGAGAAGACATTCCCGAAGCAATGATAAAAGACGCTACTACCATGTTTAAGGCTCAGCTTTCAGTGGTCACCATTTAGATTGGAGTCACTGAGATCGAAGAGGGGGCCTCTTTAGAGAACAGGGAAAAACGAAGGGAAAAGGGGAGAGTTGTGAAGGTGGCCTCTTCCGTTCAGCATCAGTGGCCACTGACTGCTGACCTTTAACATGTACGCCTACGACGTGACGTTACCGGACATTACACATCTCTACGACCTCGTCACGAAAAGCAGGGAGTTTTTCAAGTACTGTACTAGTTACTTTGCTACAACGGTTACATGATTTTACTAGACTTTTACTTTGTTGCGGGTACCACGTTCTACTTTGTTGACGAATGATTGTTATTGCTGCATTTCTTCTAGCACAGAATTATCGGGTGGTACAGGATCATCGTCTATCAGATCGACGAGTCTTCTATTGTGATGTTGATTGAACCACCTAAGTACCTCAAGAACATTATAGGGCTTTTCTCTATGCAACCCGACTAGTACCTGGATTTTTTTGTTGTGATTTGTTACTTACCTCGCTCTACCTCTCGGATTGCCCACTGATTTATCATATCTAGGTCACAGACCAGTAGCGGCAGTATTCCGGAAGGCCTGGTGAAGTCGTGTGTGGGCTACGGCCACGTTGGAGACGGGAATTTGCACATAAACGTCAGCGTCAAGGACGTTGATTCAGAAGGAAAACTTATGATCAATGTCGACGTTCCTTGTCTGTCGTATGGACGAATCTAGAGCAGCACGTGGAAATCGAATTTGTTTCTACATACTGAGGGAAAAGTTTCTCGTGTCTGAAAGAGCGACGTAAGCACGTGTCTCTTAAACAACTGGGTATTGGGGTCTCCCACTTCTTAATATGCATCTACATACTGATACTAATACTATCTATTGAGTTGTAGCTTCATTCTAACTTTCCTTATCCGCAAATAGGTTTAGGGTAGCGTGAGCAACGAAGCTAGGAGTAGAAAAAGTTTTTTCTTAGACTACTGGTTCATCTGGTTCTACTACCTCTTCCTCTAATTCCACTCCTGGCGAGGCTCTTCCAGGCTCTGGCTTTATGATTGGAGAATACGAGCCCTTTCTTTGGAAGCTGGTGCAGGATTTTGGTGGCAGCATCAGTGCCGAGCATGGCATTGGGAGTGCGAAGACAGACGCCATCCACTACTCTAAATCGCCTGAGGCCTTACAGCTGATGCGCGACCTCAAAAGAGCCATGGACCCTAATCAAATTCTTAACCCCTACAAAGTATTGCCACTGGAATGAGTGGTGTACTACTGGGGTAGAACAGGAGGGGGACTTTTGCAGGGGGTACTGCCTGTGGAGGGAGAGGTGAAGTAAAAGTTTTGTACATAAATTCCTCCATGGAGGTCCAACATCATAACGAATAATTTTGTTCGTGCAGTCACTGTCAGTGTTTGTCGAAACGGACATGCTTTGGCACCCCTCATCCTAGCAGCGCTAGACCAATCACACCCCAGAAGCTACATTCGATCCCCCAGATTTCCAGCAGCTCTGGTATTGATGGTCGCCACTTACACGCTTCATGCAGTACAGGGAAGTACAGTTCTTACTGCTGGTCTTGTTCTTCAGAGCAGAGGTCCTCCCGGTTCTGCTCATGCTGGCAAGAAGCCGCACATAAGTAGATCAACCTAAGTAGATCATATGTGTTTTCCTGGTCTTGTTTTCTTCTATGTGTCGGTCAAAAAAATTGAGTTTGACTATGTCGAGAGTGTGACGAAGTGATAAAAATGACAGATCATGAGCGAGTTGTAGTCAGAGAGAACATCTAATTTTACAGGAACATTTTTGCCGTAGAAGTTGGAAAAATCCCCAAGGTAACGACTTCTTGTCATGAGATGTTATTACGCTTCAAAGTACCGGACCCCTAAAAGCCTTTCCACCACAACATTTTCAACATCCCCCGTTTGTCTAATCATGTGATAAAATCAAAATCTAAATCATGTTATCGCTGACCACTAAGACGAACATGAAAATGGTTCCTCCTACCTCCACGTGGTCGCCAGGACGACTCTTCGTTCGGTCACTTTTCGTTACTGCAGTCAGCATTGCTTCCATTCAGGCAAATGTGCTGACACGGAATCCGATACCAGCAGCCCCTTCCATAGTTGAACCGCAACCATCAAGCAAGCGGCAACAAGAGCTGCCAAACAAAGCAACTGCTGCATTAGCAAAAGCAACGCAACAAGGGGGAGTTGTATCTACGGGAAAAACAATTCCTATTCAACTTGTTGAACAAGAATCGTCAAAGCCGAAGCACCAGACGGCCATCAATGCTCCCCACACCGATATATACACCGCGACCGGCACTGCTACAGGACTGCAAGTAGATTAAGGCTACTGCCAACTACAAGTCTTCTGGTGTAGTCGATGGAGATCCTAGAACTAGAAGTGACTAAGGAATCCGGTGAATAAGGTGAACACACGGCGCCTGTGAAAGAGAAAGGCTACATGAATGAGTGCAACGGTTTTCACAGAAATGGAGAGAGTTGTTGGGGTATTTTTTACAGAAATGGAGAGACTGATTAAGTGGGGTACATGTACAACCTGCACTGGCTCTAAAAAGAGGATACTGGATCACCCGCTGTCGATAAAGGCGTCACAGGCGGCTACACGTCCAAATGGGAGAGCTATAACAATCCTTATGCCCATTGCCCCTCTCAAGATGGCAACACACCTGATTTAAGGCAACGCACACGAAGATTTAAGTATCAGTTTACTAGTAATTCATTGATCTGATCATGATTCAGTTGCTGCTCCAGCTCCACTTCCAGTTGTGTGAGATATTCTTGTCACAACTCTAGTACGGTGTCTCCCAAGTAACTTCGCCTTAGAAGGCTTTTTAGTACGACAATCTACTTCTACCTAAGGTACGACAGTCTACGTCTATATTATCTTAAAGGTACAGGTCGAGGTCGACTACTTTTAAGATAATATATAAGAACGAACGAAACTACATCATCCGCAGAGGAGCCTACATCACCAAATGCGGTGAGGACTCTAATCAGCGACACCGGGACCGACCCATCCTTTTGCGTAGCGACCTCTGAGGTGTATGGCGATGCAGATCTCATTGCGAGGGACCCCAAGCAGGTGGCAAAAAACATGCTCGTTGGGGGTTTCAAGTGGTTCAAGTACACACACGATTTGCTGACAACGACGGACTTCAAATACAATTAAGGCTCGAGGAGATAATACATCTTATTTGGTGTTGTAGCAGAGTAGTTTATAGCACGCATGGTGCATGGAGTGCATGGAGTAGCATGGAGTGCATGGAGCGCAGAGCTTTAAGGGGCGCAAGAAGCTCCCCCTTTAGCTCCATGCTACTCCATGTGATCCATGCACTCCATGCCATGCGAGCTGTGAAACCTTTTAAACTGCTCTATTGTAGGCACAACAGAGTAGATAAAAGAACATCTTTAGTGTTGATGTACAACAGAGAGGGGAAGGGGTGGATCTCAGAACTGAGTTTCTCTCTTGGATTCTGAGAGTAAAATGATTTATCTCAGAAGTAGTTCTTTGATTTATACGGTGAAGATGGAGGCCCTCTAATGCAACTCGAAAATAACGTTCGAGAGGTTTATGCAATTGAACCGTCACATTTGTCCCATCACCGGTGACGCCTTGAGGCGGAAAGAGAATAGTCCCGCGAAGGTGTACCAAGGTGGCATCAACACGGTCCCCATGAAGGAACTTGAATGGGAAAACCATAGTGAAGTCCAGATGTCGCATACAAGTGCCCATCCGTTGCCGGCAGCTCAGCGACCAATAGACTATTATGGATTTATTTTTGCATTTGGTTTATAAGCTTAATTATGTTTTAGCTTTAAATCTCCAGATTTTTGCTCATCTTGGCTTAATGTTCTCCTGGAGGTGTCACCATGATGTCGATCTCTAGCTCCGATAGTGTTAGTGGTCAAACAAGATGAAGAAGGCGACGAGACTTTCTTTAGAGATTTTGAATCTCTATCTTCATGGTTTCTGAGTGCAGGATCGTTATTTTTTCTGTACGACAGTCGGCGACGCTAGTGTGGAACGAGGTTCGTCCTCGTCCTCTTCTAAGAGTTTCGCGACACAGCGCGAAATCCATTACCCGAAATTTTACCGGAAGGACCGGAGCCAACCTTAGACCACAATCGCCTAATGAGATGGCATGGGGAAATTGCTGTTAAGGGCTTTACCTATCATTCCGATCTGAGCGTCAAGTGCGACATGGCAGCTGTTCGTGACACCTCGACTTAAGGCTAGTTCTTACCCTAAGTAATCGTTTTTGTCTCCCATCGATCTAGCTACTTCGACTTCAGAGATGATGATAGATCGATTGTCTCCCACCTACGACTACTGGAGATATGATGATAATATTTTGATTGTGATGCTGTTACTGTTCTTTTCCGATACCTGATGAGTCATAGATCCTACCTCAACAAACTCAAAAAGAAAAGTCAAAAAACTTGAAAAAAGACATGATCTCCAAGATGAGTTCCAAACTGGATTTCGGTCAGCTCTAAACAGCAAATGCAAACTCTGGGCTCACAGCGGGTCTCTCGGGTTTCACACGGGTTGACACGATAACGGTCGAGTTTATGAACAGAGGTTGAAGACGTGAAGGGCTTCAGCAGGAGGCACGATGAGAATGAAGAGAACAAGTAGTTGATAATCCAATTATTACTCGGTTTCGTAGCTCTCCTCTGGAGGTACTACTTAACTGATTGGTCTCACACAAAGTAGACTTAGATTGCTTTATAAGAGGCACCATGACCACATGACATGACATAGTAGTTTAGCGGGATAACAACATTGACAAGCGGTGAAAGTTTTGTTAGTCGTAATAGATACGCTCCTGTAGCGGCATCAGAATCAGATCATGTTCGTGTTCATGATATGATCTCCTCCCCTTCATTACACGGACCGAGGTGAACGAGTACGGAGTGCCAGAGACGCAGGCAAAAACGATAAACGTCCTCGTCATTCGGGATCCGTGTGCTGCGCGTGGAGGGTCAAAGGATATAAAACTTACTAGGTTTTAAGGCTAATTATATTTCTGTAGGATATTTCTCGTCGTCGCTCCAAGAATTCCAAATAAGTACTTCTAGTAAGTTCTAGTGTCCTCTTCTAACTGTTGCAGAATCACGCTCCCGCGATATCGTGCGAATATGTCACCTTGCCAGATGGGACGCAAGACAGACGACTCGCTGGTGCCACGCTGTTTAAGAAGGAGAGTCTCAAGAACAGAGTACTTCAAGAACGTTGAGATCACCATTTTTTTTTGAATTTTGATTTTCATTCGTCAAGGTTCTTGAAGTACTCTGTTTTACAAATAAATACAATTTTCTATCATGGATGAAAATTCTGTCTCAGTAATCTTCTCATGATCGAACAATTTGAGTGAAGAGCTCGATACAACTACTTTTTTCGTCCTCGACGTCCTCTTCTTCTTCTTCTTTCATTTCTTCGGATAATGGTTTCCCGATTTTTGGCATCGTCTATGACCCCTATAGCTACAACCGGCAGGAGCTCGGCAGTACCGGCATCTTCAATCACACGGTGAACGTCAAGGGGTCGTACATGTATGCGAACGAGGTCACTGCTAATCCGAGTAGGGCACGGAAGGCTACGAGGTGGCACAACTATTTGGAGACGAGTTTTAAGGGTTTCCACATTGCATTCCTCACTGCCATCCTTGACCTGTTTTCCAGTAGGAAAGAAGTGAAGCATGTTCTGAGGAACGCAATGTCGCAACCTCTAAGAGTTACACCCAGGGCGTGTCCTTACCCGATCGACGGTACAAGCGGTCGGTGGCCTGCACGATGACCTCGGTTCATCCAAATGTTGGGATAACTGACACAATATGGAGGATGTAGTTTTTTCCATTTGCCAGAGCCAGACCATCTTCATCTTCGAAAACAAAGGCTCCTTTCACCTCTGATTCGGGAATAGGATAGCCAACATGTTGCCTATCCATGAAAGTGTTTAACGAAGCCAAAGGGGAGGAGCCTCGATCATGGTCTGAAAGATGAAAGAAACTACATTCATACACATTGGGCTACGCTGCTGGAAGCGTGAGCACGGCTAAGCCAACAGTAGCAACCGACTGGTGCCCATGGAAAAACACAGGAGCACAACTGGACACTGACTGGCCCGCGAAACGAAAAATTATGGGTTTTTTTTTGTTGAAATGAGTATTTCACAGATTTTGAATGAGAATGATTTTGTGCAGACTTCTAGCTAGATTCTAGTATCTGATACGAAAACGTTCTTCAGCGAGAATGAGTCACGTTGAAATTATCCTTCATCTACGAGACGGTATGTTTTTCACACGAATCTAAATCTTCTTCATTCTTGCGCTTACACTTTACCTTTACTAACTCCCCTCGCTTTAGAATCTAAGCTATACTCCCCTCACTTTTGTTTCTAAGCTATGACTTCTGTTTTTGCAAGCAGCATGCCTGGGTTTCGAAGGCGTTTCGAAGTCCACACCATGGTCAGACCCTCCCAAAGAATGCGAGACTTATGACAACAAGGACAGTATCAGACGCTGAATACAAGAAATAGAATCGGTATCAGTTGTGAAGATGTTGAGTACAATTCTGCGTCTGCCTTTGAATCCAAAGTGTATGTTGAGTTTCTAATCCGCGATTCTCGATTGCGACCCGGATGCAACCAGTGCGAACCACGTCGCCCTTCTGCAAGTGGGACAGCAGTCAAATCATGGCTATAAGGAAGAGGAAAGGAGCAATGACTCCGACGATGATTTTGCTGATCTCTAGAATTCCCAGAACTGCCGTGGTGGGTGCCAAAGAGGCTTCTAGTTCTAGTATCTGACTGAAATTGTTCACATTTTTCCAAAGTACTATGACTTTGCTATTTTTACATGATATTGCCTTTCCAAGAAGACGCGAGTGGCGAATTTAGAAGAAGTAGAAGAATTCTTTTGAGCTGCAGGCCCTTCACTGCATCTGCGCTCCGGCATTAGGTGAACAGTTAATGAGTCACAGCTGTACAAAAGAATGCTGCACTAGAGAGCGAGAGCTACACTGTCAGGCTGCTGTACACAAGAATGCTGCACTTCTAGAGAGCGAGAGCTACACTGTCAGGCTGAGTGGGAGTGGGAGTGCAGTGAGGAAGACAGTACAACTGCTACTATTTCGTCAACTCCTCTAGGCAGAGCACTAATGCGTCATAACTCATTTCCTGGAAGTACTTGCTTTTTGATGGGAAAAGTTGTGACAAGAAAAATGATGACCTAAAAACCTCTACTCAACTTCACTCTCCTATCCAAACAAAAAAAGTTGTTTTGTTGGAGCTGTGACCGCGTGTGGCGACGTGTGTTTGAGCTCTTTTGTACTATGGTCGCATGAAGACGTGAAGATATTGAAAACCAGTAATTCGGTTTGTTCGGCGCTGGCGTAACTACCATCATATACATACTTGTCGTGAAATAAACTTTCTCCACTCGTCGTCAGAGTCAGAGGCAGTTATTGAAGACTGCAAAAGTTCATGACCTCCGCGTCCGCACCTCGGATTAACGAACTCTCGTCTGCGCAACAAGGGTAAGTCATAGCTTGGCGGCTACAGCACTCATCTGCGAAGATGGGTCATATGTGGGATTACTGGGATGCCCCATGGAATAAGTTCTGGAATAATGCCATTCATAGGTATAACAACATGGCAGCGATTCCAGCCGGGCCGCGGCTAGCTATACAGGGCGTAATTGGTATCGGCTTCGCTGCCACTTTCATCCCGTGGGCGTACTTTTCTTTTCTAAACTTATTTTATGTACACCTAGGCATGATTAGCTTGTTTAGAAGTTAGAAGCTGTTCTTCCTACTACTCTTTTCTTTGTTTCAACAAGTTAGACTCTACTTTTCTTGTCAGAAGGTACATCAAATTGACTGAACGACCTCAAAACCATTTGACCACGTGGTAGAAGAGGTAACACGACATGAGATCTTGCAACATCACGTGTACGATTAGTACACATGCTGCACTCGAAGAGTCGGTCTCGATGTTGAAGGCGGTCACCTCGTGTGGTACTTACCTATAGAAGAAGCATCATCCATCCCTACCCCACGAAACATCAGGGCGTCCGTGGACCTGATTCCATATTATCGAAGTAAGGGATTTCTCACAATGAAAACGCGGATGGAGGGACACTACGACAGGGTCGACACTGGTTTCGTCTACAACGACTATGACTTGGGCGCAGATAAGGCAGTGGATAAGCTCCCGGAAGCTTCGAAGGGTACAGTTTTGCTCAATTCTTCTCTACAACTGTGCCACAAGAACATATCACCTTCCTTCGCCACAAGCACAAGTGCATAATGTATCATCTTCATGATCATGATCATCATGTACTTACTATTTATCGATAGATGTTGAGGTGATCACCTTCCTTCGCCACAAGCACAAGTGCACAGACCATACTACAATATTACTGGCTATATCTCATCATCATCGTCACAACCCTCTACTGCTTCTACCCTCTACTCCGCTTCTAAGTTACAACCAGGACGTGCCTACTTCTATTTGGACAATATAGCTATTTGGACATCAATAACTACAGCTCAAACAGGGTGCTGTCAGACCTACTTCTATTTGGACATCAGTATCACCTCATAGACCATACTACAATATTACTGGCTATATCTCATCATCATCGTCACAACCCTCTACTTCTCCTACAACCCTCTACAGGCAAGATGCGTCCCTATCGTCCGACGGAGTGGGCCACCGAAGGACCTGCGGAGCCAGCACCTACGCCGCCGAACTCTATCCCTCAGCAGAAGCTCTTCCTCGGATGGCGATCCTTCTCCTGGTACGAAGGTCTTCAAGGCGACTCGCCTTAAGGAGGAACATGCTTCTTGTATGTTGTCTAGAGGTAAGGCATGTTATGTTTACTTCTTGGATGTTGTCTAGAGGCGATTGTCGTGGCTGCCATCTCTTCTGAGGGTGCAAAGCATCGTATAGTCTAGGGACTGGTATGGCATAGCCAGTGGTAGACTTCATGATGATGGTGCCTGCTTATCACATCATTTTTATGGTCATCATTTCTTGTTCCTCGTCACAATTATTATTTGCGTGATACGAATAACCCTGAATCAATCAAGGGTACCTACACACTGCGCGCAAATGCAGGAACAAAGTGTAGAAGTAGTACTTGCATTTCCTATCATTTTTCTTCAGGCGCAGGCGCACGCAGACCCCAGCTTTTAAACACAAAGTTATCCACATCATGACTTTCTACTTTATTGGTGTTCACGACGTAGATAGCATACATGCCAGGTGTTGACTGAGGTGTGAGACCAGCAGTGATGGAGATCCGGCATAGAGGAGAAAGAGTGTGACAACGCGATGTCTGAATCTGTGGTGTACTAGGCTGATAACTACTCTTATCGGTATCTATATATAATGTTGTTCTTCAGAGAGATGGAAGCAGATGACGGTGGATCATTGATCTGGACTTCTAGGTTTTGTTTTTTTTGGACGAGGCTTGCTACGGAAGATTTTTGAGGCCTAAAATTTTGTTCAAGCTACTATTTTACGAGAAGTGTCTTATCTACTCTCTCAATACTGCTTTACGTTGGTTTACATTTGACTCTTTTCATACGGAATCATTTACATGTACATTTGGTGCTTACTATATTAATGCGTATGGGACGAGCAGTAATATCTTCCATCATTTCATCTCTCATATCTGTGGTTGTTTTTTTCAATCGTGCTTGCACTTGCACCCTGGCTTTTGTTACACCGACGACGAGCACACGCTGAGAATGCAGAAAATTACTAGGAGAAGTTCCTTATACCAAAAAGGATGATCATCTTCAACGAGCAGCCCACTTCACTGACCTAAGTGTACTTCCCATTCCAATGGCTACTGTGAATGTCGACTTTAACCAACAGGACGATGAGCGACAAACCGACTCGCCCGAGTGGAAGACCACACATCTTCAAGAAATAGTACAACTCGTAGCAGTAGCTGGGTATCGACATTATCGTTATCAATGTTGGAAAAAGCAACAGGAGAAGGTCGAACGCAGGAGCAACATAGCTCAGAATGTTGTGGAGGGACAGTGAGAGCACCAGGCTGGAGGTGGCCATTGCTGCCGCTGGTAACATCAGAGAGCAGGTCAAGGTTCAGCATGGTAATGGCACCAGCAACCTGGGAACTAGTGACACGACAGGAGGTCAACATCTCGCGGACCCGAAAGGACAACGAGGCCGGACGAAAAGGACACCATCGAGAAGTAGAAGGCCTGATGAAAGTAGTGAGAAAAGCAATAGCACGGCCAGCGAAAAGAACCCCAAGACTTATTCAGAACCTCAATTATATTCATCTTCATCCTCGACTTCGAGGACAGGAACAAGCGGCGCCTTTAGTGCTGCAGGACTTGCATGTTGGCAGATCGTGCTTCAGTTTATTCTACTGCTGTCTTTAAAGGGTATAATGCTCCTGGCATTAACCAGCGCCAATTTCCGTCCCTCGTATCAGCGACCTCTGCCATTGCGTTTTTCCCGTCTGGACATGGATCATCCCTCTTCAATCCAAGATGGAGTAACTCAAGGTGGAGGTAGTGGCGCGAATCCTGGTCCTCTACAACAACTAACTTCGACCACTGCTCATCAAGGCGACCAGCGTGATGCTATAGTTGTTGTGGCACAACAGCATGCTAACCAAGACCGAGCTGTTGAGGTTGAGCCGGCACAGGATAATCTCTCTGGAAGAAACGATGTCGATGGGGAGCGGAGCAGAGAGGCAAGTCGGCATTCATTACCTTGCAGCGCGTCGTCGTCAGGCGTAGTACGTGCTCCGGCTAGCTCCATGGAGCATCTGCCGCTCCGAAATCGAGGTGCTCACACCCTTAATTTTGCGGAAGAAAACGTAACTAGAAGAAGAGGATGACGGTCAGTAACATTTACAGCTCAAGAATTTAATCGACGACTTCTGACCTCCACGCATGAAGGTTGTAACTAAGTATGCTTTATTCAATTTCTTTTTCTTATAAGATTGAAAAAACACAACACCACCTCTATTCAACAACAGCTGGCCGCACGATTATCTCTTCTACGACGCTTGTTGATGGAGACGATGTCTCCCCTCATGCCCCTGCTCCGCCGCCAAGCTGCAGAAGTAGCATAGTTGTTAAGGCTCAGCTTTCAATGGTCATCATTTAGATTGGAGTCACTGAGATCGAAGAGGCGACCCCTCGAGAGAACAGGGGAAAACGAAGGGAAAGGGGAGAGCTTTGAAGGGGGTCCCTTCCGTTCAGAGTCCGTGACCAATGAAGGCTGAGCTTTAAGGTTCCTCCGCTACAAGAGATGACTGAAGGCCTGCTGGAAGTGCAGGTGTTTGATCCCCACGACGATCTCCATCAAGGTCGTGAGACTGCACAACGCGGAGAAATACCCGAGTCAGAAACTATTGCAGGAGCTGCTATCGGAGGCGGACCTACTGGAGATGACGCGGGAATATTAAGGGTAGGTGAATAAAGGTGCTTTTCTTACGTTGTCCTAGCAGGTGCGGCTTGGCCGCGAAGCGGTGGACCCTCAACCTTAACCTTAACCTTAACCTTGTTAGTGTCTGTTAGGGCCTCTCCTAAGGGGGATGGCCATAACCAACGGCATAAACGAACACCAAAAGCCTACCTCTAAGAATAGCAGCAGCTCCTGAAGATGCGGATGGTGAGGAAGATGATGAGCAACGATGCGCACCTGTGCCAGACCCTGTGAATTGGGCTAATATAAGGGGTTCTGGTTCTCCTAGTGCAAAAGCGCTCGTAGAAGATGTCGCGGTCGCGGAGCAGGATGATGCAGCTGTACGGCAGCAGCACTCTAGTGAGGACAGCTCCGGTTCACAAGAGCGACCAAGCACAATCGATGGCGGCTCTGCGTCGAATGTGCCACCTAATACAGCCCAGAATAGTCACGCATCGATACCTCCTCTACCTGCTTCGCGGTTCAGTTCAGCAACATCTGGTGCTTCCGCAATCCAGGAAGAGGACCAAAACTGTATAAACGCTGAAGGCGCGACCGGTCTTCGAAGGGACACTGCGAAGGGACACTGCGATTTGCACCAGCCGCGACGTGGCATACTCGAGTACCGACCGGGGTCTAGCAGTCTGGCACTGCGTGTATTGCAGAATGTTGCAGCTCCTGGTCAACATGATGCGGCCCATGGTCAACACCAGGAGCTGCAACATTGTGCACGTGATCGTGAACGTGATGAAATCCCACTTGCTGCCATGGTCCCGCTTGGAGGTGTTGACGGTAGTACTACAGCTACTCTTACAGCAGCTTCCGCAGATACACGCGCAGGGCGAGGGGGACGAGGCTTAAGAGAATCTGAAGATACTGCTGCCCGTGCAACAAAGGATCGTTTACCGCTTACTCCTGCAGCTGTAATGGGTCATACAAGTGGCGACTTTATTAGATGCGGAGAACAAGTTGATGGGACAACAAGATCACTGGACTCAGGACGCACAAGCCTTGAGGACGCGCAGAAGATATTACAGGAGAGACTAAACGAAGCAATAGGATGGTATTTCTGTATCGCTCTTAGTGTGCAGTACGGGACCGCAGTCTTGCTTCTTGCATTCTTCGCCAAGGTCCGCTGGTGCGAAAGGGGGCCGCATGGTCGTGGGAAGCCTTGTCGAGGAAGGAACGTTCTTTGTCAAGATGTTCACTTCTTTCGGCTGTTCAGTACAACTGGTAAGACTTCGAGTACTACTGGTAACTACGGTAAGTCTTCGAAGTCGCACCCATTGGGAGGAGGGACTACTAGCGCGATGCGCGGGTCACCTTCCGGCGAAGTCACGACATCATGTAGAAGGCGGAGCATGGTCGAGAAGAACTCTCAAAGAAACAATAGCCGAGTATTAGAAGTAGAACAGCATACTGCTTGTGCTTCGCATGGACCACGGCGGGACCGATTAGTGGGACACTCGGGTTTGGATGTCGTGAAGGAGAACCACGATGAAACTACTGACGAAACCAGGCAAACGTCTATGACGTCAACTGCACTATTACACGCACATATCAATCAAAAGCAACAAGGTCAATGTGTAGGAGCAAGTAATGAGCATGAAAGGAACCTGGTTCTTTTAACTACTGCTCAACAAATGTCGCAAGCTGATGAAGACGCAGCGTCGCCCTCTGTCGGGTCACTTGTGGACTCTCCCTGTAGCAACAATGTGCAGCCTCAGTCTCAGGTTTACCTGGAGGGACATCATAGAGCATCCTTCGTGGCCGATCAGACTGAAAATGAAGAACAGATACCGCTCAACATGCTGCCGCCAGCGACACCTTGCTCGTTGTCATCTGCACCGAATGAATATGGAAACTCTACTTTTCCTGGTGGTCTTTTACATCACAGAGCAAATAGACTAGACCGTACGCACAGAGCGCATGACAATGACGTGACGATAGATAGAATGAACAAAAGGCAAGCCGCTCTTGCTGGGGCTGGAGAGGGCAATGGCTTTGCAGCTGCAGGAGATGCGGAATATGATAATGTTGGCACAACTACAGCAGCGCCACCTGTTCTCTCAACAAAAAATAGACCAAGTAGTGCATCCTCAAACAAGCAGAAGCAGCTGCATTGGTGTGTGGAGTATCTTCTATTACTGTTGCACGTGTTACAACTCCTTTGTCTATGTTAAGGGTTGGAAGTTGACATCTCTATCCGCAGCTTTATGGCTTCTTCAAGTAGGAAAGCCATAGATCATATGCGAGCTAGAGACGCCAACTCTCAACCCCTAACTATGGGTGGTTCTATTGTGCTTTTGCTTCGGCAGCTATTGGAAGGAGAAAGACTCTGACGTGAATCTTCAACCGGATAGTGCACGAGGAGTACAACAGCAAGACTCTGACGTGAATCTTCAACCGGATAGTACACGAGGAGTACAACAGCAAGACTCTGACGTGAATCTTCAACCGGATAGTACACGTGTCGAACATCAAGCGAATTTCTTACACGGACCAGGCGGGCAAGATCAAGGTAGTTTGCACCGAGCAGGCGGGCAAGATCAAGGTAGTTTGGACCGAGCAGGCGGGCAAGATCAAGGTAATTTCTTACACGGACCAGGCGGGCATGGGCAAGATCAAGGTAATTTCTTACACGGACCAGGCGGGCAAGATCAAGATCATGACGGTGAAGGTGAAGATGAGGATTGTGTAGCTGTAGATCACGCTGCTAGCGGTGGTGGAGCCGGCGGCATTGAGTGTCAGTCAACTTCACAGCGTCTTGGAGCGTCTCGCAGCAGCCGACGGCTTCTAGAAAGTCTTGCCGGGGACGCCTCTGTCGTTCAACAATTGTCAAACGTCATTGCAGAGCAGCTACTCTCAGCGCTATTTCGCGATGCGGGACAACTATTCTTAAGGTTGCTGAAGATTGTGACTGTGACTCGTCATCTTGTCCTCTTGTGCATGAATTTTCAGCTCGTGGTAGTGAACTTGAGAACTTCCTTATTAGCATGTTCTTTGTCTAAGTTTTGGCGGACAACTTCTGGGTGATGAGGTGACACCGAGTAGCTCCGGCGGCGAGAAAACACCGCCACACAACGGAATGGCTGGCGAGGAACCGCAGTCCTCCTCAGGAGTGCAACAACAGCAAGGCTCGGAAAGGGAAGGCTCGCAAAGCGTGAGCACAGTTACGGACCATCCGAGTCGTGCACAACAGGAGCAATCAGAACAACAGCCGCCACAAGTAGAAGATTCAGCAGTTCGACGACGGCGTGAAATAGAAGCTTTGCGGGAAAACGATCATGATCCAACACAAGAAGATGCTATCGCGCATGCTCCCGATTTTCAACCTTCTTCTACAAGAACAAACGCAAACGAAAGAGAGGAGCCCACTCGGCATCTACATGCGGCTGCAGCGACAAGGGAACAGAATGAGGACCTCCTTCATGGTGCTGAAGACATTGGAATGGCAAGAGTATTGTCCCAGGTTATGGGTACCATGTTCATGTAAGTATGCGTTTTCCACCTACTATCTTGCAGGTACTCTACTCACAATCTGAATTTTGATGAATGATGGACACCGATTCTTCTTGTGCTTCCTTTAATGAAGAATCCGAGCACGTCGGTAAACAGGAAGGAGCCGCATGCTGGAGGACCACTGCCCGAACAGAAACACTGAGCACATGCGCGAACTCGACTCATCTCTGCTCCTTCACCATGGAGATGGAAGCCAGCTACGGCAGCAACCTTCAACCTGGCGGCAGCAGCAACTTTCTCCCTGGCCCCCACGGACGGCAACAAGCGTGTCGAACGATAAGCCTAACGCATGCTCAGGCTACACGGCCTGAAGACGACAGTACAGATGTATGCTCCCGCTATTTGGTAAAAACCTGAATTTCATCATAAGGGAAAACAAAAAGAGAACCCTTGTCGTGATCCAATTCAGGCTAGTACCAAATACCGGAATGATTCAACAGACAACTTATGGTCTGTGGTTGCTCGCAGCAGCCTTTCCGAGCAGTCCGATAATCATCTTCATCCCCGAGGAGATCACCCAGGATCTGATCATGACTTGCAGCATCTTAATGTAGCCTCTACCGTTGTTCGCCTCACTATTTCGCCAACGCTCGTGCCTCCTCCGTCTTCCAGCGGAGACCCAGGATTGGGTTCTTCTAGCATTAAGGCAACTCCAAGAGTAAGAGTAAGAGAGTACTGCTTCTATGAGCTTCCTTTAAATTTCAAGAGGTAAGTGAAGTTAAATAGCCTACAACAATCTATTCTAAACACCATTTTATTTCAAGGGGAAAAACAGCACGAGACTACTACTACAGAGCTGCTCCTCGTCATCCGCTTCCTTTTCAAGGGGAAAAAGAAGTTCGCAAGGACTTGACTCATCTCAGGGAACAAGATGCGACGCGGTTCTGGTTCTAATAGTGATGTCGTGGGTAGAAGAATGCTCGGAAATATAGGATCAAGCGGCGGACACGGCACAATCTCGGAAGACGCGGATGATCCTAGTTCATCTTCAAGTAAAAAAAATAGTATGGCCCCCGCACAGGAGGGCGCTGGCTTCCTTGCACCACGAGCAGCAGCCGTTGGAGGTTCGGGCGCAGGGGCATCTGGCGGCGCAATGTATCCACCACTCTCGTCCACCTCTTCCCAAACATCCCCTGGTGACTCTTTACTGGCAGCATCTGCGATGGCCCCGGGAACGACATGGCCGCTCCAGCCGAACAAAGATCCAAGCAGAGCAAGAGAGTGGTGCCTTTTCATTGTGTGGCCTTTGTTAAGGACGCCTGTATAATTATCCATCATCCGAAGCATCCTGAAGAAAGGCAGCTGCCTTCTCAGATACAACTCGGAAAAAGTAGCCTCAGGAGGATGAGTCTCGAGATGGCTTACCCACCAGTACTAAGAGTATTGTAAGCGCTAACTTTGTATATCTTTGCTGCAGTTTTCGCATTGCCTTGTCACTTGTGGTGGCGGGGTCGAAGAATAAAGGAGGAGAAAAGCCACAGCAGGCACTACGGGAACCGTCGCTCTGGTGCAAGATGGTGGACTCAATCCAGAGGTAGGAACTATTGGTTACAAATGAGTGGAGGACGAGGACAACGGTCACGATCTTCTGTTTTTGATTCCGAGAGGGAAGATTTCACTTCTTGTGGAGAACGAGAAGAACGTGGAAGGCACTTTCGTCGAAATCCTTCACCTGAACAAAGAGCCGAAATAGGTGCTCATACTATGACTAAGGGCAGCGGGCGGTTGATGCATGAGATGAATCTTCGGGGGAGCCTGAACGAGGAAAATTTGATCGAGGATGGTAGTGGCAGCACTTCTAAGCGTTTGCATAGTTCTCCGAACGGTGGGAGCAAAGACACTATTGATCAGGCGCCTCTTAATTCTCACACGAAAAGTGGGAGTGGTGAGAAACTGCATCACAGAGCGCAGGAGGGACCTTCGGGACCTTCCGACTCCCTAGTAAACAGTGCGCGCCGTGGAGGAGAACACGAACAGCAAGAACAGATAAGCACTCTATTGAGCACTATGAAGGCAAATCGAAAAGCTAGTCGTGGGTCCTCTGCGCAAGTGCATCATTCTCGCCATCTGACTGATGGCCGTGAAGGAGCGCCGTTAAGGAGCGATAGCCGCGACGTCTCGATGAACAGGAATAAGATGATGCTGGAAGAACAGGTGAGTCACCATATTAACAAAACGGTCCCCTCAGCTGCTACAGCTACAGAAGAAGCAGAAGCAGTAGAAGATGAGTTGTCTCAGAGCCAGAAGCTGCAACTACATCATACTCAGAGACAGCGACGGAAATTGATGTCCTCAGGTGCTTCGTCATCTAGAAAGCGCTACGTTGGAAACGGAGATGCTACTGGAGTCACAACTGAAGAGCCTGTTGTTCCTGTTGGTGATGGAAGAGCAGATGCACGACAGCATACAACCTTCCCGGGACCAGCACATGCCGATCAATCTAGAGACGATGAAAAGAGCCTCCTTGATGTCGTGACCGGGGGCCTACCAGGTGGCGCTTTTGAAGCGTTAGTGCATTCTGTCAGCGAGCGGGTGGCTGGGTCACTCAGTGAGCTCTTTCGCATGGAGTCAAAGTCTAGGTCTAAAAAAAAGCACCACCACAACTCTTCTAGCGGCTCTAGACTGAATGGTGGAGAGTTTGTTGATGTAGATGTGCCTGGAAGTAGCACGACCGGGATGTCAGGAGCCCCGTCTGAGTCCTCGTCCGCGCGAGACTATTTCCAGCAACCGGAAAAGAAAAGTAGTTACTTGAAACGTCTGCTAAAACAGCAGGTTGAACAAGCATTTCTGGAAGAAGAAAAAGCAGCGTTGCTTGGTACAACTTTCGAACACAGTGATCAACGGATGCTCGTCCGAGGGTGCTCATCCGAGGATGAGGACGAGGCAGCGAAGTGGCGCAGGCGTAAAGAACGGCGCAAGGAAAGGCGTCGAGAGAAACGGCGTGAACAAATGATGCGCTCTTCAAGTGGTCTCCACTCAAGTGGCCTCGAAGTTGTCAACACGACCCGTAGAGAAGTTGCACTAGAGCAGGTGAGTCTTCAACCGCAACATGTCTATCAGCAAACTGGAACACGAACAGCTGCACCACCTCCCACGCGACAGGTGACGACTTTACCTCCAAAGGAGACAATCCAGGAGACGCACCATCAGCAGTACTCCTCTGAGCAACTGAGACTTTTTGATATAGGGTATCGCGAAAGGCCACCTGAGGACCAGCCGCAGGCAGCTTCTAGAGACCAAACTACTTCTTCTAGTTCTACCTCCAAGGAAAGAAATATTAAGGGTAGGTTAAAGGTGCTTTTCTTACCGCTTTTTATGCCTCTCCTAAGGGAGAAAGGCATAACAAGCGGGGTAAGCGAGCACCAAAAGCGAGCCTACCTCTAAAAATAGAGAGAGAGAGGCTAATACGAATGCCTCCATTGGTGCGAACATACCAACAACATCAACAAGCTGTATGATTCCGCCTACTAGTACAATCTTGATGCTGCCGTCGCCCGCAGAAGCAGTATCCTTGTATCAACAGGAAGCTGGCTCTTCGTTGCTACTCAGCGGAGGCCGAGACTTTGGGCGAACGGATAGTCAAAGTGTTACTTCGTCGCGGAGCAGGCACGATGCGGAGATCTTCGGGACAACAACATCAAAGAAGAACTCAATAAACAAGGAGTTCTCATCAAGCAAGAAAACGAGTTTATTTAGGCTTGCCGATCTGCATTCAGTATCGGAAGATAAACATAAAAGCATAGATCCAGCAGGAGCGCACCAACAACATCAACAAGATCTTAGCACTAGCAGGGTAGGAGGTATATCTATATCAGGTGCGGCGTCGTCAGCATCCTCATCGGGAAGAAAAAATGAAGGTTCATCGCGTAGTAGATTTTCCGCACCAATGGAACATCTTCGACAATTATGGCTTGCTTCTACTTCTATATAATCCATTTTGTTGTTGAGAGGCATCCTCAAGAGACTCTTCAACAAGGGGGAAAGACGTCTTTCCATTTTGAGAGGCATCCCCAAGAGACTCTTCAACCTTGTTGAAGATGAAAGACGTCTCCCAGGATGCATCCATTAGGGTGAGCTCTAAATCAAGCAGGAGAGAAAAATATATATACATATAGTACAACCAGAGGAGGAGGCTACAATGATTACCATGATGATTCTCTATTTTCCGTATCGTCACGAAAAGCGCATGAGCATAGAAGTGGTTCCTCTGTGCTAGAGAAAGCGGTAGCAGGAGGAGGTGGGGGCACATCAGGCACTAGTACAATATTAAACACATCCATTGCGGCGGCAAGTAAAGAGGACCATGACGTGGTTGACGTAAATCTCCTACAGCAGGGTGTAGCTCCTCCGCAGGGACAACAAGCCGAGCACGATGATTCGGTGAGCAGTAGCTTCTTGGGTAACCTTTGGAACAACTTTTTGAGTCCCACCAACGTAACCTGTTCGTTAATTCAAGAGAATGATGCCCACAACACTTCAAAAGGCGCAGTGGACGACGGAGACGCAGTGGATGAAGGGGAGCGAAGCCAACTCAGTAGAGGACATCACGCTTTTGAGTTCCTAGATGACGAGGGTTCTTTTGGCCTATTGAGTGAAAGTGGACGAGGTCAACATCACCATCACCTAGACAACATTAAGGCTGGACAAGAAATTATTTTCCACTGATTTCAGAAGCACCAACCTTTTTTAAAGGGTCAACAAGAAATTATATCTTCCGTTTTTAAAGGGAAAAGGGGATGCGGCTGAAGATGGATCTATGGCAAGACTCTAATAACAACAAAGAAACGCAACACCAAAAGAACCTGACTAGCGCAGGCCGTGTGTTAGAAGAATTACGGCGATCGCGATCGACAGGAGGGCCAAGACGGGCTCAGCACAAGTACTCTAATACTTCTAGAACAATGGGAGCATCCTCCTCTGGAGGAAACTTCTTGTATTAAGGCTTAGGAGTTGACATCTCTACATCTCTATGCGCGTCTCTATGTCTTCTTCAAGTAGGAAAGCCACAGATATGCGAGCTAGAGATGGAAAGTTTCAGCCCCTAACTACACAATCAACATGGCAGTTTTTATGGTGGTCCTCTTGGGCCTTTAGATCTAGTACAACAACAACAATCTTCCACCTCTGGAAGCAACTCCAACTCGCAACATCTGCGACAGCAGCACCATAGTGGAGGTAGTCACAAGAACAGTACGACCAGCGTTGAGCAGATGTATCTATTGAGCAGTTCGAATCCCTTTCGGACTCAGTCCACTGGAGGATTGCAACCGCGACTGAGAGGACACAAACATCAGATGCAGACGAATACTAGTACTACTGGTTTTCATACAACAAGTAGTGGAAAACTACATTCGGCAGAAGGAGCGTCAAGATCAAGGTTAGCCGGAAGCGACTATGGGAGTAAGCGGACGCACATGCAGCTAATGGGTCGACGGGAAGGCTACGGCTATGGAAGAAGGGGCAAGACGCGAAGCGATGGACAAATTCAGTTATGTTGGGTCAGTGTCACTACCAGTACATGTACTAACTGTAACTACTCAATCCTTGTCGTAAGAATATTCAAGGAGCGAAGATATTCATATTTGCATGAAATAACGCGGGTCGTGAACAAGAATTTCTTTTTTTTTTCTCATTCTCTTCAAGAACTATAGGGTTAGTACTACTATAATTCAGAGCAGTTTATAGCACGCATGGTGCATGGAGTAGCATGGAGTGCATGGGGCGCAGAGCTCTAAGGGACGCAAGAAGCGCCCCCTTTAGCTCCATATAGCTCCATGCACTCCATGCCTTGGGAGGTGGCAAACCTTGAATAAATTATACTCTGCTATATCTAACGCTTCATTCTAAGTAATATTTCTCATTCTCTTCTCCAATATCCTCGTCCTACTCCTCACATCAACTGATCTTCATCTTCTAATGAACCCCATGCACCAGCACCCCAGCAATGTCGCGCAGTCGTCTGGAGACAGAGACTATAATGACTATAATGCCACCTATGGGACAGAGGATGAGGGGATTATCTGCACATTAGACGATCTCGAAAAAATTTAGTGAAGATTCAAAGTCTTGAACTTAATCTACTTATTTGTTAAGAAAGAAATAGAAAACTTTTTATTAAGGAACTCCTCGCCATAATTTGCTGTTGAACAATTAGCTAGGCCTACGCGCGTGGCATGATTGACGTACTTTTTTTCTTTTTTTGGGGCTGACAGACTCGTTGATGCGTGTAGAAATTTGAAGATAATAATTGATCACATGGATTATACTTACAACTATGAAGGCAACTCTGTGTCAGACGAGTACAAAGCAAAAATCAAAAAATGGAACACAAATTTTGGGCTAATATGTTTCACGGATGATTTTCATCTTCTCACCGTTATTTTTACAGCTAAGTACACTGATCCTTATTTCCAACTGGAATTAGTAATCAGTATTTTTCGTTCTTCCTTTTCGGAATTTTTTTTTTTTCCTTAACATTTTTGAACAACTAAAAAAAAAAGAATTTACGACGACGCGGAATGCATATCCTGCAAGCGCATCAATCTTTAATGCAGAGATGGGGTCGTCGGTCGCGAAATTGAGGTGTGTTAGCCTCTTACCACTAGTGTATAAACGAAGACGAAAAATGATTGAAATTTCCTGCGCCGCCGGCTCCCCACATCCTCTTGTTTCTTTTTTCATTTTTACGCACAAAGAGGATGAAATTGACAGGAGCGGTGTTTTTAGCTACGCCTGACAAGAAGATTTTCTGAACATTAGCATGACTCGCAGAATGGAGAGGAACAGAAAAGATAACAAATTGCGCTGAGGTTAAGAGGGCGACTTCGAAAATCGAATTTTGCGAGTGACGAAGTCGATTCTTCGAGAGAGAGAGACGAGTGAAGATTGGCCAATTTCTGTTTCTGGACCTGACTTTTTTTGATGAACAAGTCACGCCTTCATCTAAATAAGATGACGAACTCTGTGGGGCGTGGGCATCCTCCTAAACCTCTACAACAAAAACATGAGGACTTGTTGAATTATACAACTTAGTACTTGTAGGTGGACAAAGTAGAAAACAAAATCAGCATCAGGAATCGCAAAAAACAAAAGATGTTGGCTCGATTTGTGAATGCCGGACGCCGCTTCGTGGCGAGCAATAACGGCTTCAGGACGAGCCATAGTTTTGAGCAGAAGAGAACCATGGTCCTAGGAGGAGGAAAGCCAACATCATTTAGACAAGACTCTTTGCTCGTGGCATGCACAATCGCGGCATTGACACAGTAATGCTTTTTCAACACCTTTTAGTTGTCTCACAGGATGTTGATTTTCGTCTTTGTAACAAAGCATAATCTGCTGGTTCGATCATCAGCAGACACTGACCACACACAAACGTTCTTTCGCTGTTGTGCGTGTAGGTTCTTCTGAGAATCTCCGAAACCAACTTCTAGTTCTAACTTCCACCCTTTGATTCCATGATGTTCCCGTTGCCGAACTGTACAAAACTTTTTGCAAATCAAAACAAAACAGTTACGTGCCACAAGATCTTGTTTTCCTTTGGGGGCTTTTTTCCTACAAGCGCGCAGAGACTGGCCTTATGGGCGGGAAGAAGAAGTGCAGCAACCCCGCTAAGGCCTTCGAGGAGTGGAAGGCTTCTCGTCCAACCTGTGCCAAATCCGCCTCAATGTACGGCAGCGGAAGCTGCTACTATGCTACGATTTAACAGTCGTGAAGGTGAGGACTCAAAATGTGAGGAGCTGTCGTGGGGAAACCTGTGGATTTTTTTGGAGAAGAACAAGAAGATGAACGAGCAACTACGGGTAGTACGGTGTACTATAAAAAGGGGTGCAGTCGTCCTGCTGTGGCAGGCTGCTCAAAGAACAACTCACATAAGTTTACACAGAATTTAAATCGGCCTTTGCGTCAATATTTGCTGATGAAGATGTCGCTGATATATCGCTAAAAAGGATACTTCTGATCCCAATTAGTCCTGTTTATTTTCCATCTGATTCAAGCGCAAGCATCAATCTGCATCGCCCTAGTACGCCTCTGCGAATGAAGCACGTGGCGCTGTCGTGTTTCGAATAGGCATCAGAATTATAGTTGAGTCCGCGCGTCCAACGCGCTCTTCCGTCTTTTCGGTGTTCCTCCCAGCTCCGCGAGAATGCCAACGTGCTGACGTAAAAAACACTGACTGAATCGAACAAGTGTGTACAACTCTAGCCGCGTAAAGAAAGGAGGATGATCAATTCCTAGTGCGGAGAATGAGTAAATTTTTTTTGAGTTGAAAAAACCAAAAAGAGAAATCTCATACATCTATGTCTGAGCTTTTCACCTGGAGAGAATCTACCTAGAAGCTAGTAATATTATAGATATTAACATTCAAAGATCAAAAGGGAACGGTTGATGAAAAGAGTTGTATCAGCGAGGAGCGTCATTAATCATCCACTATAAGGTAAAATTGTAGCGGTTTCAATTTAGGAGAATTTCCCAAAGCATAGAAGAGCAAGTGGTATCAATAGAAGTTGCACTCAGCGACGATGAACAGGAAATGTAGATGCATGATCGATTATACGATCTTCAGTCCCGCCTAGAACAAAAAGAGGACGTGGTATTAACTTGATTTTATAGCTGGTGAGTCGGCTGCGTCCGAACTACCCTTGAATGTTTGCTCCAACTGCATCTGTACTAATTACCTAGTCGATCATCAATATGATGAATGGTCTTCTTCATCTGCGTCTGCTACTGCTTTTCCTGACTTAGCTGACGGGACAACAAGTAGAACACAGCACTGGCTGAACGGTCGTCCTCGATAGCGCAGGTGCTAATCTGCGATCAAATCTTCCCGTTCTCCTGTACTTCACGAAAACTGTACGGAAAACAGAGTTGTAGCATCAGGATGGCGGGGGCATGGAGGAAGAACGAGGAGAAAGTCAAAAGACGACTTTATGAGCTACGGGAGCAAGCCTACAGTAGTGGATTCGATAGCAAAGAGCGGGCACTAATCTGGGAAGAGCTCTTGCTTGGACACGATGATGATTTTGATCTTGATGATGTGTCCGGGATCAGTGACGAGGATCTACTTGATGATGGTCCTCTTGCCCATCTTCGTCACAAAGAACAACCGTCTAAGCAAGGGAAAAAGCAAGCAAGTGGAGAAGGAGAAACTCTCAAATCTGTTGGAGAGGACTCTGCTGGAGAGGACTCTGCTGGAGAGCTTGAACAGCTTGAAGTTGGGAAGGTTCTTGCGCGTCAAACGAGAGAACGTTAAGGCAACCTAGAGACAGAGAGCATCCTTATAAGCTTAAGATTCAATCTCTGTCCTGGGCTCTCTTTGAGAAAGACGCTCTCTTTCTCAAATGGGAGAAAAGACGCCAAGGCACGCTATAATTATCAATAAAAGGATGTTCTTGGTAACGCGGTACTAGCTGTTGTACTAGCTCGTCTAATATCAGATAAAAGAGATCAACGTCATCGAAGCAGACGTTCGTAGAAGCTGTTTTTCATGGGACACGCACAAGCGCTTATCCGAGAAGGATCGCTCCTCACAACGTCGAACATTGTTGCACATGCTTATGATAGATACAGTTTTCATCAACAAAGTAGAGGCTCTTGAGAAAATACGAATAGGAACTTCCCAAAGTGAACAACTTCATCTAAGTACTTAGAAAACGAATTATCCATATTATAAATATATATGGACTAGCAGTCTTAATTACAATGTAATTAAGACTGATTGTAATGTAAGAATGACGACTAGCAGACTGATCGAGAGCTCTTCTAACATCTTCGCACGCGTACTCTCCGGTCCAAAGGATGTGGCGGGATTGCATGGCAATCGAGAGGCCACTGCATCTGATGTTGGAGGTAATGATTCGGCTCTCAACAGCGGAAAAATGGAAGTGATCAGCCTAAGCGAGCTAAGAAAACGACGCGGTAGTGATGATGCTGACGAAACAGACCTTGCCCAAGGTGCGCGGCTATCTACAGCCTCTACAGGTACAGCGAGTGCTTCTGGAGCTGTTCGATTAAGGCTAAACGTAAGCCCACCTGTAATAAAGAAACCCAAGAATTCTTGCAAGATTTTTCTTTCATTCTGCAAAACAGTTCTTGACTTTGACCTTGTTTCAAATGAAGTAACCTAAGCTTAAGGCAAAAAGGATGTTGTTGATCTCATGACCAATATTTAGAGCCCTTGTATTGACAACCCTTACTCTAAGTTTCGCATCCTCTAGCAGTGGACCCGCAGGCGCACCCATCACAGCAACAACAGTTGCAGATGCATGGCACGGCATCAAGAACCAAGCAGAGCATGAGCCGAAATACAAGTATTTCCAAGGTTTCCACGATATTTGCCTCCTTTTTCTCGAGGCCTGCAAAACTACACATGAACTTCATGAAAAGAACCCACTTTTTCGAAAGTCAGCGATCGAAAAACGAATGAGCAGTAGACGGTCTACAACGACATCTTCGTCTGGACGTAGCGGGCAGCTCGGCTTAAGGCTACAACACATAGTCTTTTCATAATGGAAAAAGAGTAGAAGCTACAACACATAGTCTTTTCATATAATGGAAAAAGAGTAGCAGGTCCAGGAACAAGATGCTTTTCAACTCTAGGATAGACCCTCGTTCCGGTATGAACATTTAAATCCAATTTCAGCAATCGTTGGATAGCACGTCTCTAATTTCAGCAATCGTTGGATAGCACGTCTCTAATTTCAGCAATCTTTGACGCGCACGATAATGCTATAGAAGACGATCCACACATAGGCCTGGCCGCAGAGTTGCTAGACCTCTTCACAGAGCGATCTCTGATTCGGGAATTCCTGTCTCCGGACAAGACTTTCGACAAAATCATTTTTCCGCTGTTTGATTATGAATTGGTCGCAGTAGTTAGACCTAGAGCAGGACGAGAAGAGGACTCTCCTATAGCACTCTACTCCTCTAGCACTAGCTCTACTACTAGTGTATGTTGTATATATAAGATACGCCTATTAGGTTTTGAGTTCTTGTTGTCCGATTGGATTCAGACAGTCGAGGAGGATTCCAATCCAGAATAGTACTCCTCCTCCTCGACTCCTGATTATGCCGGCAGTCGAGGAGGAGGAGTACTACTCTGGATGCCAATCAATCAATTTACACCTCCGGTAGGCGACTGAATAAGCGAATGAACTGCAACTCTATTCAGGTCGAGTTTTCACCACCGACATTCACCTCCTCCTCCACTACGAGCAGCTAAAAACTGTAAATGGTTCATCTTCTTCTAACTTCTATTTTCTTAACTACAAGAAGAAGAACCTCCAGGTCAGTTACGACCGGTCGTGTTAATGTACGACAATTGACAACTAGTACGAACAACTATAAGGCTCTGATTAAATACTGAAACTGTAAATGGTTCATCTTCTTCTATAACTTCTCGTCCTAGCGGAGATTAAAAACTGAAACTGTAATAAATGGTTCATCTTCTTCTAATTTCTCGTCCTAGCCCAGATTCTACGGCTGGGTGATCCTGAGCTCGCACGACATCTCAAGGTGAAGAGCAGCACTAATACCACCAGCTTGCACTTCGCTTTGCCTTGGCTGCTGACCTTTTTCTCTCATTCCATCGAAGAGCTCGACACCTTGTTGTGGATTTTTGACGTCTTGATCGTTGAGTCGCGAATAGCAGTGCATTTCTCTGAGACCGAGACGAACACGAAAGAGAAGGAACAAGGTAGACCACTAATATCTTCCGGTTTACACACAGACGAGGAAGATGACGATGGGTTGGAAGGGGTGCTGCCGGATAGCAAGGGGTATGCTATCTTCTACTCCGACTTATAATAGATCATTCGTCGACCCTATTGTATATCGTTGTTGTTTCTTTCTTTGAAGTGAAATAGTTTCTTGAATTCTAAGGCCAGTGAGATTGTTGTAAATATTGACTATTCATTGTTCACTAACGAATTGACTATTGATTCTTTTGTATTTTTATTTCCTAGTTAGGTGTGCTCCACCGATACTATTGCTCACTAACGAACAACAGGTATCATGCAATTTTGTTTTTGATCGCTGGGCTTCTGATCAATGAGCGTGCTGGGGTGTTAAAGCTCGGACTTGGTGGAGAGTCGCGCAGTGGCGGCCCTCCGCCAGATGCTTCCATGTTTGCCATGCTCCTCAGTAGTGAGGCTGACTTACGACCTGTCTCGGAGGAAGACGCAACCTTCGTAGAGCTGCACATGCACTTTTCGTCGTCCAATTTCTCATTTGCCCGTGTCGATACAGGTCGCTGGTTGAGAACGACGAAACTTCTGCTAGAGGGGAAATATGAGCAGATTTTCAAACAAGAACATGAACAAGATGATGAACCTATTATACAAGCATCTTTGTCGTCGTCCACTAGTAGGTGTAGGACTACTTCTACCGATGAAGCGAGAGCCGTGCACGATGTAGTTGAAGAGAGCCGTGCAAGTGGTGCAAGTGATTCTGAAAAGTCCAGGATTCCATCTTCTTCATCCAAAGGATCTTCTACTTTAGACGACCTAGATCTGTCCATGAGGCACATCATGGACACGCTGAGGACACACCGCGAGGAAGTTGCAATAAGAGAAGCGAGGAAAGCACAAGCATTGGCGATCCGTAACAGGTTTCCAACGAAAAAACGTGCCCTCGCATACACTAGCTTTACCGGTGCTGCCGCGTTCGCTGGATCTCTCGCTGCCACGCAGCAAGAGCTCCTCTTGGTTGCAGACGCGCTCGTGGCATTTGCGCATCCACACGTCGCACTCCTAGTGACCGCGTGGCGGCAACTCCTACAGTGGTTTTTGTCTACTAGTGTTGGGGTGTACATTGCGCGAACAGTACTAGGCGAGACTACATCAGCATCAGCACAGCCGGCTTTCGTGGTTTTCATCTTGGAAAATTTCATCAATCCACTAGTCAGTGCGGTGGCGGCAGTGGGAAGAGCTCTAGGTCTCTTCTCGAAGCCTGAACCGACCGCTTTCGAACAGTTCTTGCTTTTTACGGCACTACAAAGGATCTCATACATGGAGACTCAACAAACAATTCAATCATTTTTTATCGAAATACGGAACTTATCTACATCTTCATCAAGAAACAACAATATCCCAAACGAGTTTAGAGGACCACCTAAAACTAAATACTGCAAAAGATTCATAGGCTTTGATAGATGTTGTTCGTTTGAGAAGATATTCGGTCCTTTGGTCTTCCACGGTCCACCTCACATTCATCCACTACGTGTCTGCTTCTAACACGCATCTCCTCGAGCTCTACCGCTATGCGCGTATCTTTGTGTTAGACATAACGGAAGCCGAGTTTTTGGCAGAGCAGGTGGGCAGCATGAACAAGCATCAGAGACAAGGGTTCGCGCTTCTGGGGATAGGGATTTTCTTTGTCTACATAGGAATATTGCGTGTTGCCTATTCGGGAATCAAGCACTCAGCAAGAAAGCACCAGCAACTCGAGCTGCACGACAAAACGAAGTAGAAACGAATTATGCGTCGCGCATTTTTAGCAGGGTAGAAACGCGCGACAAGACGGGGTAGAAACGAATTATACAGCTCGAAGTTGGCCAAGCAACTCTACTTGTATCTTTTTATGTTGTTTTTTACTCCAAGCGTTTATGTTTCTGTTACTTGCTTCTTGTTGTAACATTATTCTTATTCCTCTACTTTGGCTTTGCGTTTGAGTTTTGACACACGGTGACGATGATTCAACTTGCAATTCACATTTTCAATCATGTTGCTCATTGTTGTAATTTCTACAACTTCAAAATCGACTACCTCTACCGCGTTTGAGCTTTCTCCAACGCCTATGTCTGCACCATCATGGTCAATGTGCCAACCGCTTTTTACACATCATGATGTTGACGTTCTTAATATGGGAGCAAGTGATCATTCTGCAGTTCATGCCTGGTTGTCAGTGTTCTATTACCTTGTTCTATTACCTTCAGTCGTGGAACTGAAATTATGTCGAGATTCCCATTAAAAAGAGAAGGCGAGCAAGCGGATTGAATCTAGTCCTACACCTGTTGCTTTAGCTCGTAGAGGTCGGTACTTATCTTCTCACGTAGTTATTCTTAAACGCTATGCATTCATCTTGTCCTCGACGTTTTCGGTCGTATTAATCTGCCAGGAGGATACGAGAAACCAGATAGATTTATGTCATACGGGTACCAGGGAGTTGAAATTATTAAGTGGACGAGAGAAGACACTGTGATCATGACCACACTACAGATGAACCAGAAAAGGAACACTATGGCTCTGCTGAGGAGAAAAAGACCGCTAGAAGTAGCTCCAGGGCCTTTATTCTCTGGTCTTTTCCCTCGTCACGGTATAATCACCCTCAAACAGCCTCAAAGGTTTTCACTGATGTCGATGTGTGCTGCAATTGTTATGCTTCTTTTCTCCTGGGTGACCGACCTGGACCTACATTGTATTACGTTCGTCAACGCCGAACCGACGGCAGAAGAGTGGGAAGTGTGTAAGCAGTGTACGCGGCGGGAACGAGTTTTCTGCTACACGACCATGGAGTGCATGGAGAACCTGCATATTGACACGAAAACCACCAGAATATTCTCCAAGTGCCCAAATCCGTTGCTTATCTTATGAGGAACATTGATATGCTGTACTTGGGCTGATCGATTTTCATTTTCTTCTTTTCTATAAGTTCTGAAAGTATACTGTAGTACTCTCTAATCTCTCCCGAACCCTGTCGTACGAAAGGCGTTAGCATTTTCAAAATCTTTCTGTAATTGAGCACTAATTCATTGGTTGGCTTCTATGATAAATTGGATACTATTTAATTCATTGATTGGCTTCTATGATCCATTGGGTACTATTTAATTCATTGACTGGCTTCTATGATAAATTGGGTACTATTTAATTCATTGACTGGCTTCTATGATAAATTGGGTACTCGCTACAGCATGCAACTACGTAGTTATCTCCAATCTCTCCCGAATCCTGTCGTACGAAAGGCGTGCATCCGCCGACTGAGGCGCAGAAGCAGCAGTATATGAAAGAACATATCTACGAAGAATCTTTGCGCAAGCAGAACAGGCAACAAGGAGCGGCAAACGCCGCTGCAGACCAAGGAGGACGGGAGGATTTGTAAGGAGACGCGGCAAGAAACGGCGCTGCACACCAAGGAGGACGGGAGGATTCATTCTGAAGAGCGAGGCTGGATCATCACTACTCCTGAGCGAGTAGTCTGATGACGTTCCAAGGTCACATAGAGCTTGTGCCAGGGGAGATGGCGCACAACATCTCGGAGGGGATAATCATGTTTCAAGTTCTTGATCAAGTTTTTGTGCTTGTGGCACTAACACCTAACGAAATGTCGCTGGTCCTCACTCTGTTTTTGAAACGCTGTGAATCTCCGAAAGAGCCATCACAGGTGAGAACATGATCAACTACTCCACATATAGCGAAAAGATACGAGAAAATTTGGGAGCGCGCATGTTTTGCCATGTGCAAAAATGAATCTCAATGCTCACTTCTGCTTTATTGTAAATAGGTTGAGTGTCATCAGTATCATGAGTCAACGTCCCTCTGACTCTGAGTGACAAGGTAGAGTAGAGCGAGAGAAGAGACGGCCATATTACAGCGAGACGAGTGTGCTGATACAACTACACGTCGCACAGGAGCAACGGATATTAAAAACAAATCTGGAATCTGGTTTGATTTGGATTTTTCCTTAACATGACACACAGAAAAGGTACAAAAATCATACCAAAAATAATTCATGTTTTTACTCCTGAGGTGATCGTGTCCTGAAAAAAAATACGATGACGAGTTACCCGAGCAGTTCTTTAACCGCTATTCAGCAGCACGAAGAGCGCGTCAGCCGAACAACGCAGTTGATACCGCTGTTTGCGCGCGCAAATCTAGCTTTTTTCAAAGGAGAGGATCCTGCGATCATTGCGAACTCTCTGTACAACGCTTCTTCGCGAACCGACTCCTATAATATTAGCGCTGATGGTTCGGACGATTCTAGGGGTTCATCTTTGTTCTCGTCACTTCTAGTAACGACAAGGTCGACATCCACTCTGCATCTCCTCCAGTTAGCGGTTATACTAACCATCTTGCCTCTTCTCCTTTCGGCTGTTTTCGGTCGTCGACGCCTTCTCAAAGAGCAGACGTGGCCGATTCAATTCCGTGCACTTGTCTTCTTCATTGTTTGCGTCCTTTTTGTCGAGTTCTATGGCTATCTGGAACGTATATCAGTGGACCACGAGATCACACGAGCTGCTTTCGGGAACAACCAGATTCAAAATTCTACCGCGTCATCATCTCCATCAACACAACAAGAGGACTTCGTCAACATCAGAGGTGGAGATCTGCTCAGTAGCACGACAACAAACAACATTCGAGACAAGAATTATGGGTGTAGGGAATTCATCATCTCCAAATGAGTCATCTGAGATAGAGAAAAAGACAAGAGGAAATAAAGGGACCCAGATGATCCCTGAGATGAATTCCCGATACCTCTAAAAGAAACATCAAGAACTACAGCAGCAATTTTTATCAACCTCAGGCTCATCAACTTCTGCTATGCGACTTAGTCGGAATCCTTTGCTCCTTCTTTTTTTAGGAGGATTGTTACCAGCTTCCGCGTTTCTCGTGGACTCAGCGTGGATGTGGTTCGTTTCCCTACCTGGTGCGACTTTGCTCAGCCACTACACATGGATCTTACCGGTGGAAGGTATGCTTTGTCGGGAGCTTCAAGACTCTGGGGAGTTGTATCTTCCTAGGACTACAAGTAGAAGTGCAAAAAGAACACTTAGTAGCGATGGTGAAGAAGAGGACGAAGAGGAAGATACAATTAAGGGTTTCCGAATTGCATTCCACACTAGCATCCCTAGCTCTTTTCCCAGTAGAAAAGATGCCAGGGATGTTGATGTTCTGAGGTGAGTAATTCCGTAACCTCTAATACAAAGAATGATACAACAAGCACATCATCAACCTCCTCCGGGAGCATGAGGGTATTCCCGTCCTCTTGCGATGATGAGGATCTCTTCGCCGGAATGCCGAGGTATCTAGATCTCGCGCAAGTCCTTATGTTCAGCGTCAAGAAGTGTCTCACAGCAGCAGGGCTCTATCAACCTGGCTCTTCGGAGGGAACGAATCGAATAAGCCGACCTTCATCCACGACTACGACTAGGTCCACTGAGTCTATTGCTATTCATCGGGATAGTCCTCGTGGAAGAATCAGTACAACTAGATTATCTTCTCCTAGATATGAAGATGAACTGGTAGATTCTCCATCTCCGCATAGTACTGAACTGGTAGACGCTCCACTGGTAGAAGATAATGGAAAAAGGAGAAAACATGCCATGAGCAAGCATCCCGCTTCCTTAGTAGATGCTCTATTTCCATTCGCGCCGTCGTGGATCCGTGAGTGGACGACCACCAGTATGAACAGCGCTAGTAGTACAGCAAAAAGAACGAGTACCATATTAGGGATTGATGCAGAGCTCTAGTAGGGCTGCTGGCACCAGCCTTCTAGTAAGGCTGCTGGCACCAGCCTTGATGGATTCATCGGATCATCATGTGCATGATTTGCATTCAAGGGAACAGAACAACAATATTTGAAAGATAATTTCAACAATTGCAAGAAAATCACACATCAACAGCAGACAGAGTGTAGTGCCAGTTACACGACCAGAAAGTAGCTGGGTCGATGCAAGTACGTAGAACAAGTTCATATGAAGAGACGTGGTCCTCTGCTCCAGTATGCCCTTCACAAGGTTTTTGTGTCTTTGTTCAGCAGGGTGAGCAAGTTCAGAAGCTACGAGATGAGAGAACATCAAGAAATTGAAATGCTCTGTGAAATAAATATAAATTCATTGCATATTATTTTATTTTGACGTTTCCCCCTACTACAACTAAGTGTATTAGTACTAATACTAGTATACTAGAACTAGTAGAGCAATTTTTGAAACAAATTGATTTAGATAGAAGAACAAAATGCGGACTAGACTTGCTCGCCTTGGCCCCAGTAGTTGCGACGCGCCAAGGCCTTCACGTCTGCGCAGCTCCATGATGAAGTGTGGGCTTTCACTTGCACCTTCTTGTCGCAGTTCCAGTTTCTGTCTGAACAAGATTGCGACTATTGGCCTTTTGCTGTTTTGTCGATACAATTTTGCCGTTTTGTTCTTTGGTTCTTTCGCTGCATATTACGAAACAGCCAGTCTTGATTCCCCTGGTGCTACAACTTCGAGAACTACATCAAACGGTAGTAGAATCCGGAGCGATGCGGTAGCTGCGGGTGTGCCGTTGTTTACCGCCGCTGTGGACAAAAAAACGACTTCGGCTACTGGAACTCGTCGTGCCATGCTCCTCTTTGCAGAAGCTGCATTTGTGCCTCCTGCTCGTCCTTCCGTTGATTCTGCGTCCACCAGTAGAGCCTTTCTACTGCGGGAGCAACATCAAAGGAGTCCTGGGAAAAACATAAGAGCTTTGCTAGAGCAACTACGTGCATCTTCTTCAAGTTCTTCATCCTCAAGTCGAAGCGATCTTCCTACACGGTGTCGACGCCATGACCTATTTGGGGATATCGATGGGACTGCATCTACGAGTCGTATTCGTAGCGCCCTTCTTAAACTCAAACATGTATGGTTCTGGTATTTTTGGTATCCCCTGAATTTGATCCGAAGGGTTCTCTTCTTGTTTTCCCTTAGGATCAAATTCAGGCTATACCAAAAATACCAGAACCATTCAAAACAATTGCAAACGAAACCTGAAAAAGAGTCCTGTACAGCACAAGAAATGCAACCAATTCGGCATGTAACAGCACCTGAAGAATTGACGCAAGAGCACCATGAGAGTTCTGGAGCAGCCTCATCGACTTGTATTCCCCATCTTCGCGCCTCCTCAAGTAGACGACCGCATTCAGAACCACCTGGAGCAGGAAATGTAGTATATTCTACGTCAAATCATCGCAGGGCTCACGCTCAGCTTGGAGATGTGATGTATGGTTCTGGTATTTGGTAACCTGAATTTGATCCTAAGGGTTCTCTTCTTGTTTTCCCTTAGGATCAAACTCAGGTTACCAAATACCGGATCCATTCATGTGAGAAATGTCTTAGCCTCTCAACAACATCCTCAGCTACATGTAGTACAACATGGGCAAACCTTAGGAGGACGAACTCGTGCATTTATTTCTCGATGTACTACAACAGCTCCTCGTCCAGAAGAAGGACGAGAGGAAGAACACGGTTGGAGGGAGTTAGAAACCTTGATGGATCCTTCTAGTGAAAGAAGACGTGGTGGAACTATCATAAGAGGAAAAACGACGTCAGCGGAGCATCATGAAAGAACTACTTCAGCTCATGAAGAGTCGGAAGAATTTGATGATTCAATGGCATACTCGTTTTACCCAGCAGCACTTAGACGAGACTACGATTCTGAATCTGCCTATAATTCTTCAGACGATGACGAGGAAAGGAGGGAAGTAGGACGAGTTGGCTCTTCTTCATCTTTTTCATCCTGCTGGCACGGCCTCCATGCTTCACGGTTGTGCCGGCTTTTGCGATCACTTTTTGAGGGGTCAGTCACGGCGCATTCAAATCTTTTCCGACCTGGTGACAGGGCAGATGGGTACGGAAGATCGTGGCAGTTGCACACAGCAAATTCGCCTAATCGACTTACAACGCCACTGCTTTCACGACCCCGTGACGATGTGTCTACAGGTGAATTCGCCACAGAAAATCCAAGCAGCTGTGATGAAGAAACAGAGAAACGCCGGATAGGGGGACGAACAAGGAGTTCTAGCAGTCAATCTCGTGGCTCTGGTAGTCGTAGTGCTGCGAGCAGCCCTACTACTGGTGTAAGGAATTCATACACGAGTTGTACTTCTAGAACTACAACTCCTTCATCTCCGGTTCCTGGTAGTGCATACCCTACGCCAGAACATCAGAACTCGTCTATTAAGGATTCAATGTAGTTGGCCTATCTAAGAGCGTATCCGTGAACGTGATGGCCTATCATCTAAAAGCATTGGGTCCATGACGTTTTGTCGAGAAAAAACCATGCGTAGATGGATATCCATATGGGAAGTAGCACCAGTTGATAGGTACTAGGTCAACTGAAAACTACGCCTAAGTCTAGTACGTCTCGCCAGTCGAGTGGTGGCAGCAGCTATGAAGGCGGCACCGGCAGCACCGAGTCGTGGGCAGGGGTGAGCCCGGTCGAAGTGGCACTACATAGAATGCAGAGAGACCGCAACAGATACGATAGAGACAGTCAAGACATGTTGTACTTTGGGGGTGCACCGGAGGCGGAATGAATTTCTTTTCTTCTATCAAGTGGATGATTAACAACATGAAGCAGCACGAAAGAAAAACAGAATACATGGAAATTCTTCAGGATGCATCTATACGGCCTGATGAAATATGACGAAACTACATAAAATTTCTGCATCTGCTACACTATTCAGGCCGTTGCGTATGAAGACGACTCATACAACTTTTATTCATCTACTTTGTTTTACTTATACTCAATTTGATTACGTACAACAACAACATTTGAGGATCTTCTAGTTCGTGACCTTGATCTTGATGGCAGCAATTCGCTTTTGATTCAGAAAAAAAAGTATTGAATGTAACCGGGTCAGAAACTAAACCTGATAGTGGCGCAGTGTTTCTGTCCCATCGTGGCCCGCTGAGATTGCCCCGGTCAGTGCAGACATATAGAGTAGCAGAGTACACTAGAGGAAATCGCCCTCTTTCTCAGTAGTATGGTAATGGAAACGAAAAACATCATTAACATGCAAAAAGCTGAAGATATTCTGAGTAGTCGCACCCTGCGATTATACTACAGACCTACTTCTTCTTGTCCTTGCAGATGAGACACATAGAGTTGTTGACTGAAAAAGAAATGCAACGGTCGTAGAAGTGCCTTTTATGGTGTATTGGTGGGTGCGAGAAGCATGATTTTTCCAACAAGTGAGTGCTTGCGTCATTGTGTTTGTGTGTGCTCACGGCCATGCTGTAGGAACAACAGCAAGACGAGATGACTACGCACTTGAGAAGAAAACCCCTACAACAGTACACGAAAGCATGATCAAGGCACGACGATACATCTTGCATTTACTCAAATACCCACCAGAATGTTGTCGATGTATGAGTATGTGTTGCTCCTACTTTCTGTTTTTTAGTTTATTCTCAAAGTTAGGCAGACCTTGGGCAATAGCATAATGTCAACCACATCTCCTGAGCCTGAACAAGAGGAGGCGAGCCCTTTCCGTTGGGGTCGCGACTCCGACTCTTCGTTCGAAGATCACTCGTCTGCCAGTACGTCACCACCCCATGCTCCGACGCTGGTGCTTGGAAAAGGCGGCAAAGATGGGACGGAAGATTATGAGGCGTCCACCCCGACTAGAATTTTTATTTTTGTGTGTAATCTTCACCTTAGTCACTAGCTAAACACTCGATCTAGTGGATGTGCTTACGGTTACAGGTGGCGGCCCCAACACATAGGTGGCGTCACCACAAAGACATTTCTAGCAACATTTCGATTCGAGCGGAATGGTATCGGTATGCAAATGGTCCGCCTACCAATTTCCAGCCTTGTCCCAAGCGTCACCCCAGGCATCTTGGGCCTCCTGGGTTGTCGTTTCCGCTGGCCGCTCGCTGCGGCCATGTCTCGGCGACACTAGTTTGGAAGTGCGCGCATGTCTCGGCTTCACTAGTTTGGAAGTGCGCGCTTGGTTTTAGTGGCGCGCCTGAGGTGCGCGCCGAACCTTGTAGGAGAGGCACGCGGGCTCGGTTTGCATCCGGTTGGCCAGCTCTTTCGCGGGACTTAGAAGGGCTACAAAAGCCCGCGGCGACCTGGGAAGAATACTATACACGCGCACACCTTCGCCGTGTGAATGATCTGGGACAAGGTGCCTCCCTCATGCGAGAGATGAGAGAACGAAAAAGGAGGAGAGGAAGAAGAAGGCGGCGGGCCCATACTGTGGCGGTGGATGTGGAGGCGGAGGGGGTGGAGAAGTTGGGCGAGGATCTGAAGCCGGGGCATGATGAAAGAAACGCCAAGCAGCACAGCCGGCGGCATGTTGTTGCTACGCCGGGTGCATTTCCATGGGCTCCCGGACCCCAGCGCGGGGGCAGCTGCCACGTTTCCCCTTGCTCAAAAGTGGCGGGTGGGCCCATTCGTGGACCATCGTGCCGCAGGGCAGACCCTGCCGATGCTGGTGATGAACTTCACAGCCAGAGGCGCACGCAGGCACCAACTTGGACAGTGTGCTTGCTGGGGCCGCCCACTTTTACCGCATGAGTGGAACGAAAGCCGGGCGATGAACGAAGCCCAAGAGGCAGGGGCTCGTAGCTTGGTGCATTGAATGACGGGCGCAAGTTCAGCGCCTAGCTATGCGCCATGTCGTTCCGCTGGGGTTCTTCGGTCTGCAGTCGGACGGCATCGCTATCGCCGTAGCTTTGGACGCGGCGCGCCAAACTTTGCCGGCGGTGACGCAGTTCAAGCACTCGGCCAACCTTCTTGCACGGCGTTCGCTGTTTGGAAAGATGACGCGGGAGGCAGCTTTTTGCCGGCGCGGACGGACTTGGCTGCGATCAATCTTTGGGGCCGCGCTTGTGCGTGAATTGCTACACTACCTAGAGCGGACGCCTCGGCCCCCGTGTGTGTGAAAATTATGGGTGTGGACTTCTGGCGCCGGCTATCTCGCTGCGTTTGGGGAGTAGTCTGTGACCAGGTGGGGGCGCTTCGTCTATCAAAGAGAATGGAGCTGCATCCTGGAGACAGGAGCCGCTGACGCACCTAGTTCGTTATCTGGCCTGGCTGACGCAACTAGATGAAACGAATCGAAGAAGCTCGCGCCTCGTGGGTGTATAGTTGCTAGAGGCGCGCGCGGTCTGTGCATGGAAAAGGGAAAGGGTGCCGGGCAGCATGCGGGTGCGTCACGCTCGACGTCGAGCGATGGTGTCACGCTGAACGCAGTGAACCAGCGCCAGGCAGCTCGCTCGGACTCATTACCCTGCGGCCTTTTATTTTTGTCATTCTCTTCTCTGGAGCCCTTAGCTGTGGCTTCATGGATGTGCGCCAGCTGCTAAATGGGGCTACCCACGGCGCGCGGTGGCTCTCTGTGACTGACGGGATGCTGGCCCAACTCATCCCGCGACACCTCCTCGCGTGCAAAGCATGGCAGGCTTGGGCGCGTAGCATGTTCGCCCCCCTTTTTACAACTGCGCCCCATGAGTGGTTTTTCTTTAATTGCATCCATAATTCTAGGCTAGCAATAGTGACAAACGTGATCTTTGACAAGAAGAGGCCTATGCCTTTGAATGTTGATAAAATGATCTTCAAAATCAGATTGATCTTCCTATAATCTCTAATCTGCAGACCACGACGGACGCCCTGTTCGTCTTGGGGATATCAGTCCTGGAGGACAAAGCGACACTTCATCGCTGGGACCTGCATTTTCTGAAGCCGGCGATGAGGATGTCGAGATTCTCGAGCACTATTTCGAATACGTCGCAAATCAATGGGGTGTGGTAGACAGCGATGTAATGTTGAAACAGAAGGAGAATGGTGGAAGTGCTTGTAAGAGTGGAGCACTTGAATCTTCAAGCCTAGTAACTAGTGGCGCTCGACGTGGTGCGGCACTCACCAATGAAGATGAAGCAGATCATCTTCACGTCGACGATTACAGTAAGTCCATGTGGCAGTCCTATGGTGCATTTGCAGGCAATTGCCAAATTGAGAAATGTATCGTGTTTCTGGATGAAGGGGATGACATCTTAGATGTGCAGCGATTGTCGCGACGGCCTAGACTTGCGTCTCAACATAATTCCATGGCGGCGCTGGGAATCAAGGCGAACGGTGTATTGTTCCGAGGCAAAGAGCACACGAAAGAGTTTCTTGAGTCGTAAGACTACAGGATGCAGTAGTGAGGTTGTGCTTTCTTTGTTAGTCTTACTTTTTAGTTCTCCTTCTCCCTGGGATCCAAGCAGGCATGATTTCGGATAGATACGAGTGCTAAGCTAACTTTCTTCGTAGTCAATCACGCACCTGAGGACTAGAGTAATCGCTAATCATATTACATAACCATACTGGATTGCTTGTTGATGATGATGACTCAGACAGTAGAATAAAACTTCCCACTGGGTGTTTGATGTTGGATTTATCCAGCTCCTCTTCATACTACGACGATCCGGCACCTGAATGTTATGGCGAGAATATTATATTAAAGTCTTTTCAAGTCGAAGTCAATGAATGGTTCCGGTATTTGGTAACCTGAATTTGATCATAAGGGAAAACAAGAAGAGAACCCTTAGGATCAAATTCAGGTAACCAAATACCGGAACCATTCAGTCAAAGAGAAAGCCATGCACGGTTGTTGTTCTTCTGCCTCTCTTTAGTCTAGATCTAGGAGTCATTCATTGTAACGATAGCCATCATACCTTCGATGCCTATCGTACTTCCATCATCTTCATGCCATTGCTTTATCGATCGACCACATCAACCCGCAATAAAAAAAAGCCCTGCTCCTCTCTTGAGGACTCTCTTCTTCTAATTCCGAAGCTTAAATCCTCACTCCTCTCTTCTAATTCCCAACCTTAAACCCTAACCCTAACTACTCCTTCATCTTCTTTTTAAAGGAATCCTCACCCTAAGCCTAAATCCTCACTCCGGAATCCTCTATTCTTTTTAAAAGAATCTGTTCTAATTCCGAAGCTTATTCTTTTTAAAAGAATCTGTTCTAATTCCGAAGCTTATTCTTTTTAAAAGAATCTGTTCTAATTCCTCTTCTCTATTCTTTTTAAAAGAATCTAAATCTTTTCTAATTCTGTTGGTCAAGGTCATAATCCTAATGGATTCACAAAGATCACAAGGATGAAGATCAGCAAAATGACCAAGATCGCCAGGCAAAAGGTTACCGGAGCACCATCCAAACGCCCGACGGGTTTACCGTCGCGCGGGTGTCTCTGGCTTCTCCTCTCTCTCTCGTTTGTGGCTCAAGCCTCCCAATACAGTCAAGGACAAAACAGCACCGGAATGATCTCAAAGATAACCTACAGACCTAAATGCATATAGTTCCAAAAACAGTGATCATCAGGCAAAGGACCTTCAACGTATTCAGATAGAAGAAATGATGAATGTTTCATAGCTGTAATCAGGTTCATAACGTACTGTCAGTTCTGATCAATGATGAGAATCAACATAGGATGATCGTATGAATCAATGATGATAGCATAAGCGTTTCCATATGAAAGTTTCCCCATGCAACATGATATCCCAATGATGAAGCTGAGACTTCCTCCATGTAACCCCAATGAACATCCACAGGGATCAAAGCAGCCAGAGATCATTAGTCTCAGGCTGTGAGTGCAAATTGTGCAAACAGTATCACTCTCAAGTGTTTCTCACCGAGAAACTAGACGCGACTTAACAGTCTGTGTTCGAATGTATCCAACACTACTTTGACCCTTGAGCTAAGTATAGAGTAGAAATCCATCTAGAAACAACTTTTCAAAATGTCCTGCGATGCGAAAGAAATTTCGAAGAAACTCGGACAGAAGTCCGACTGGCGAGCATGGCAACTTGCCATACGTCAGGAAGCTAGCCGTCTCGGCCTGCTTCAAAACTACACGAATGTAGTCGGCATTCCGGCAGCTCCTCATGGTATTCCTAACGGAGTTACCAATCGGGAGGAAACAATTCGGCAGAAGTGGCGCAACCTGAAAGATGCGATTATTCGTAGTCTGAAAGGTGCCGCTGCGTCGTTCATCAACAACCAGAACGATAATGGGCAGGTGGATGCGATGGATGCAGGTGAGGTTGTTGTGCTCCTTCGTGATGTAGGACACTTCGATCAAAACAACCGTCAGGAACAACGGATGAAAGTAAAACCGCTTACGGATGGCGTGTTGAAGTTCCACAACGCGGATCAACCTGCAGATGTCACAGGATTCTTGTCGAAAGTCCGAGACATCATGAACCAGTCGCCCACCGTGTACCCGCCGGAAGCAGGAGTGCCAGAAAGTGACCAACAAAATGGTGCACTGCTACAGAAGTTGCCAGAGCTGTTCTGCAAGAACTTCAAGGCAACGATCGAACGCATGCAGGAAGAAGATGGTCTGACATTTGACCAGATTGGTGACCGACTTGAAAAGCGTCTTGCGACGTTGATCGAGGAGGGAACCTACAAAGTTGAGAACGATTCCTTCGGGAAGGCGTTCCCGGTCAATGTTCAGGAGACCTCGAATAAGCGTTCTCGTGAAGAGGAAGATGACGAGGAAAAGGCCAATGAAGGTGGTAAGATCTTTCTGTCTAAAAGTGCTCTCAAGCGCTTCAAGGCAAACACAAAGAAGAAGATCGCCGCCGAGGTCTATGCCTCCAATTCGAACGGCAAAGGAAAGCCGCAGAACAAAAATAATAAAGGTTCTGGAAAACAAGATACCCGTCCAGTCTGTTGGATCTGCAACAAACCGGGTCACAAATCCGCGTCTTGTTGGAAGAATCCACAGAACCAGGCAAACTGGAACTGGAACACCAATTCCCAATCTAGTAGTGCTATGGGTAAAGGTGGAAAGGGTAATGGCATGGTTCACATGTCCCAAGTTGCGGAGCTGTGGCAAGCTCTCAACGGCGGAAAGCAGAGCTGAGTTGCGGAACCGGTGGAAAGCGGATTTTGCTCGCTGAACTTGGATGAAGATGAGGGTGAAGAAATAAACGTAAATAATACAGGGGAGGTAAAACTTGTGGGACATAGTCTTTCAACTAGTTCCATTACTGCAAGAGAAGAAGTTAGTCTGGTTGATAGCTGTGCAAACAAATACCTTTCAAGACACAAGGATGACTTTAGTGAAATAACTATGAGAACTTGTAGGATTACTGGTAGCGCTGGAAGTAAAGACGGAAGAGTAGGAAAACTAAAGTCAAACATCTTAGGGCTCCAGTATGGTGTTTATTATGATTCACTACCAAAGGACTTAGATCGTATTATACCTTGGTTAGGTGAAGGGAACTGCTCGCAATTAGGATGGGAATTCAACTTCAAAGGCGCAGGTGGTTGTCTCGTACATACGGACACCGGCCAGGCCATACCCATAAGAAGTCATCCACGCTTGCAGCTTCCCATACTTGCATGCAACTTATTTAAAGAAGAGACTGATAGTGGTTATATTTGTTCAACAGTAGAAGAAGGAGTCAGTAGTTGTTACCTTACAAGACTCGAACTTCATAGAAGATGTGGGCACTTTCATATAGATGGCCTCCAGGTAAATTGCCCTGAGTGTGATCTACATAAAGGCCAACGCGCACCACATGCAAAAGCTAGAGATACTTCGAACTACAAACCTGAACCATTGAAGTTACTAGCAATCGACTTTGCTGTTGGAATCAAACCCGTATCAGTCAGGTCAAAGAGATGTGTATTAGTGATCATCTGTGATGTAATTAAGAAGGTGTTCTGTCGACCGCTTAAGCTGAAAAGTGACTGTGTGGAGGAAATAGAAGAAGTTATCAAAGGCATTCGCCAGGACTACTCCTTATCACTTGATGACAAGGTAGTGTGGTTCCTCCGGAGGGATGGAGAACCTGTCCTGAGCAGTGATGACATGACCAAAGTTATGCAATCGCTGCGAGTCTCAGACAGTCCGGCTGTTCCTTATAATCCGGAGATGAATGGGACCTGCGAACGTTTTATGCGGACTTTGTTCGGCAGTGTACGCACAATGCTGACTAAAGTTGATAAACGCCTCTGGTGTTACTGCGTCGAGTACGCTGGTGACTGCTGGGATCGTTTACCGCATAACTATGCAAAAATGCCTCAACATGATGGAAAGAGTCCAATTGAAATCTTAGAAGAAAGGACTGGTAGAAACTCATCGAAGAGTTCAATCGGCATGCTCCGCCGATTTGGTTGTCTAGTTTACTTTCGTGAACAAATTCAAGCCAACACTCCTGAACCCAAGCTCTCGGCCAAGTACCGCCGTGGCGTCTTCCTTGGACTCTGTCCGAAGTCGTCTGGTTGGTTGGTTGGAACTTTCGCTCATGACGATCGTTGCAAGCTTGGACATCGATGGGCGGAATACTCTACCCTAGATGTAAAGTTCAGAGAGGACTATCTAATTAAAAATATCGATTGGCTTTTGCCAGATCAGAAGGGCATCTACATTGAGTATGACGAACTGGAAAATCTGCAGAGTGGCGCGTCGTCGCTGGGCTCCCCCTTGCTTGGACAGTCAGTGCAAAGGCTGGATCATCAATCGGGGTTCTCTGGCACGGAGCACATTCCAGGTGGACCGACCGCGATTTCCGACGAATTATTTATTGAGACACTGGATAAAGTAGAGGAATCCAACGCAGCTGACTCTCCAAAAGGTGTTTCACTTGAGGAGGGGAATGCTGAAGCGAAGGATCGCGAGACATCTGCTCCGCTAAGTCCGTCTAAGTCGAAAGCGCCTTCTCCAGCACGTGTTGTGGCAGGCGAACGCCGTACACACGTCAAGAAGCGTGGCCGACCAAAAGGAGCGAAGGACAAAGCAGGCAGCAGGGTTCGAAGAACAAAGAAACAGTTAGAAGAACTGAGAAAGAATGTGGCGCTGTTCGCTAGTGCAGTAGGTGGCACGTGTGAATTAGACGAAGATGAGGAATTCGTCGAATCATATGTGATTTTGTCCGTTGCTCAAGCACTCAAGTCTCCTGATGCCGACAAATGGCGGGAGGTTATTGACAAAGAGCATGCGAGACTGCTAGCCTTTGAGACGTGGAAAGAAGCTTCTGACGAGGAGCTTGCGACCGCGCGACAGGCTCTACCAATTGCCATAATTCTAACTATTAAAAGATGTGGAAGATACAAGGCTCGCGCTTGTGTCCTCGGTAATCTAGATCGTTCAGGAGAGCTAAACACCTTTGCTCCCGTAGTTTCACACGCCGCTAATAGGCTGCTCCTGACATCTGCTGCGTCAGAACAGGACTATGTGATCCCGTTCGATTTAGATTCTGCGTTCCTCAATGCTGAACTCGATCGCGATGTCTTCTGCCGTCTCCCACCCATCTGGGCAGAGAAGCATGGACGCGAGATCGTGAAGCTCAAGAAGGCCTTATACGGCTTGAAGGACGCACCACGAGCATGGTTCAAGAAATATCACGACATACTAGCCAGTATTGGCTGGGAGCCGTGTGATTCTGCGCCAGGCTTATGGAGAAAGCCGAGTGCGAAGGTACCTGGGAAGTTCCTCAAGATGTCAGTCTATGTTGATGACAATCTTGCAACGGGTCCTGATCTTGATGAGCTCAAGACCGAACTAGAACTCATCTTCTCGCGTGCCCCTGGCCGTGCGATTGATGTGGAGTCCGTTCCAACCCCTTGGGGTCAAACGTGGCTCAGGTTCGACTTCTTAGGTGCCATCGTGTACTACTGCCGTGAAGCTCGAACATTTCGGCTCAATATGGAGGAGTACATTGATAAAATCGCAAAGAAATTCGAAATTGATGTCGGAAAACCGGTTTACTCGCCCAATTTTGACGAGTCGGCTTTTCTTGAGGAGGGGATCAAGATAGTCGAAGGGTATCCCTTTCGTGAGGTAGTTGGTGCCTTGCTATGGGTAGCTGTAACCGCGCGCCCGGACATTTCTGTACCGGTGGCAGCATTGGCTAGACATGTCAGCAAACCCGCGTCAACAAGAATGGTTAAAGCAGCCAGAAAAGTGCTAAAGTATCTGGTGACAACGAGAGACCAAGGACTGGAATACTCACCAGAACAAGAAGAAGAATTCAATAGAATCTATTCAAAGTTACTACCTGAAGGCAGAGATATGCCAGAGGTGAATATCTTTAGTGATGCAGGTTTCGCCAACTGCGCAAAGACTATGAGAAGTACAAGTGGATCGATCATGTATTTCAAAGGCGTTCCAATTGCTTGGAGAAGTAACCGACAAACTGTCCGTGCCTACTCTACGGCTGAAAGTGAATATATTGCAGCTTCTGACACTATCGTGCTTAGTGAACTGCATGACTTTACAGACTTCTATAGGCCTCTACCAACTCAGTTGGTACACACACAGAACGGCTTGTCTCCCTCTTTAGACAATGCTGTGCTCTGGATCGACAACCAATCCGCGATCACAACAGCCAAAGCAACTGACACACGCCCGAAGAGTCGCCATTATGCACTTCGCTACTTGCGTGTGCGTGATGCGGCCAGTAAGATAGTTTTCTGTCCAACTAACTTAATGAAGGCTGATGGCTTAACTAAGTTAGAATGTAGTTCGTCTCAACGTAGACTACTACTTCACCATATAGATAACCCGATAACTAAAGTTGAGTATGATGATTGTGATTCCTCAGACGATGAAACGAATGGGGATGATTTAGCTTACTATAGTGTAGTATATTCGGTTTACTTTGGTTTCTAGCCGAGTATACCGTAGCCATAGAAGAGTAGTTAGGAGATATGACTTCCGTGGTAGTCCAGAAGACTAGGGACTTCGACACGCAACGATTGAGGAGGGGTGTTGGTCAAGGTCATAATCCTAATGGATTCACAAAGATCACAAGGATAAAGATCAGCAAAATGACCAAGATCGCCAGGCAAAAGGTTACCGGAGCACCATCCAAACGCCCGACGGGTTTACCGTCGCGCGGGTGTCTCTGGCTTCTCCTCTCTCTCTCGTTTGTGGCTCAAGCCTCCCAATACAGTCAAGGACAAAACAGCACCGGAATGATCTCAAAGATAACCTACAGACCTAAATGCATATAGTTCCAAAATCAGTGATCATCAGGCAAAGGACCTTCAACGTATTCAGATAGCAGGAATGGTGAATGTTTCATAGCTGTAATCAGGTCCATAACGTCTTGTCAAGTTCTGATCAATGATGGGAATCAATGTAGGATGATCGTATGAATCAATGATGATAGCATAAGCGTTTCCGTATGAAGCATATGAGAGCTTCCCCATGCTACATGATATCCCAATGATGAAGCTGAGACTTCCTCCTTGCAACCCCAATGAATATCCACAGGGATCAAAGCAGCCAGAGATCATTAGTCTCAGGCTGTGAGTGCAAATTGTGCAAACAGTATCACTCTCAAGTGTTTCTCACCGAGAAACTAGACGCGACTTAACAGTCTGTGTTCGAATGTATCCAACAAATTCCGACTCCTCTCCTCTATTCTTTTTAAAAGAATGATCTATAAATCTTCTTTTCAATCTAAATCAAAATCTGTTCTAATTCCCAAGCTTATGTTAGGGAGCCAGATTGCGTGCACGCCTGTCTGCGAGCGGTGGGAGCTAGTGTCAGCTTGTTTCCAAAGCATAATATGCACGGGTACATCGAAGCGGTGCAAGTGCTGAAAAGCTACCAGTTAGTGTTCGAGCTGGACTGTGCTTGGTTATGGATTCTTCTTGACTACTTTGTTCTTGACTTCTACTTGACATGTTGGGTATGAAAATCGCAGAAAGTTTATGTTAATATTTTTTAGAAAAGAAATTTGGTTCTGAAACGCAGATTAGAATTACGTAGAGGACATAAATGGCTGCTCCTCTTTCTCAAGGGTTCTTACTGGTTCCTTGCACGAAATCATCATGGTAGAATGTGGCTAGAAGAGGGTGTACCTGATAAGAAGACGAACTTTCGAGATGTCATCATGGTAGAACGTGGCTAGAAAATACCTCTACCTGGGTAGAACGTGGCTAGAAAATACCTCTACCTGAAGAAGACGAACTTTCCAATCTCTTCTAACGTAGACAGCGACTGCTTTGCGTGAGGCCTTGCACGTTGTGGGAAGCGTATCCACAGAGTGCGTTTTGCGCTTCGACTTTCAACATTGTGGTGATTCTGGACAAGAAAATAGCGGAGACGACGTCGATATCGGTGTCCTAGGTTTAAGGGTAGGTTAAAGGTGCTTTTCTTACCGCTTTTTATGCCTCTCTCATCCTTCTAAGGGGGAGAGAAAGGCAAAAGATGAAGCGGGGGAACCCGCGAGCACCAAAAACCTACCTCTAATAGGTACTGTTCAGGAGGATGACGAAGAAAAGGACCAGGCCGATGGACGCGATGACGTCGACAAGGCTCTACTCGAAGATAAGGCCGAAGACAAGGCCGAACGTGGGCGGCTAAGCCTCATGCGCGAAATCGCGAAAATGAGGCATGCACATGTAAAATTGTTGCCCTCGGGACGTGAGCAGCATATGAATCTGCAGTTTTTGCGCGCCTTTGGTCCCGATAGATGCATCTATGCCAGCGGGTGGCAACCATCTAGTAGTTCTAGTTGTACTGGTGAAATATACTGCGATGATCATGATACTCCAACTAGTCGTGGCACCAACCTACTACAGGAGAAAAGGTGCACCACCACTGCTACTACTAGAATGGAGAAAGGGGTTACTGCCGTTATAGCAGCAGTTGTAGCATCTTATCAAAGCGAATCAGACGGGTTGAGGGATAGACCGAGTTCAAGAGAGAGCAACTGGACCCTGGGATACGGTGCTAACTGGTCCTTTGATTATGGGCAATTATATATAAATGAAGATTTTAGTATCTTCTATCAGTGAGGACTAATAAGGGTCCAGTTGCTAACTGGTCCTTTGATTATGGATCATTGGACAATAAATGAAAATATATTATGAAATGGTCGTTTCCTAATCCTACTTCTCTCTAGCATCATTGATGCCACAAGGAACCTGCACTGGCCCGAGTACTTACATCAAACCGGACAACTAGGACGACTTAAGTCTTACCTTTTTATAAATAGATATCAGTGATTCTTGATTAATGATTACTACTTGCCCGCTCGAGTACTAGACTGTGGCCCCACCTCTTATCCTCTAATCCCAGGAGGAAGCCAAGCACGAGTTACGCGTGCGGCTGACGTTGGAAAACATTTTCAGACGTAATGCTGAGAGGAAGTACATCATTTGAGAAGGGCGACTGAAGCTACAAAGGCAAATGGTTCCCCAAACAGATTTCTAGGAATTCTTCGAGACATGTGTAGTGTGTAGATGACCATTGTAAGGACGAAAATCACAAGGACCCTGTTGAAGGGCATCCTCCAAGATGACAAGACAATAAAGTAAGGTGCAAGATGAAAAACTCTCACAGTATTGATGATTGATGTCAGGGTGAAGATTCATCTCCTGTGTGCTGCTGGCTTGCCGGAAACCTTAAAACGTTTCTTCGAAGAACAGCAGATAGAAGTGATGTCGTGCTGTACCTCAGGTACATACATTCAAGTCAAAGAGAAAGAAGAGCGATCTGGGTCTTTTACTGCATAAGTACAATGATAGATGATGATGGAGATTCTGTGGTACCCTGTTTAAAAATATTTGTGTTTGTGCATGTAGTGCCGACAAACAGAAGGAACTTCGACTGGTTTGTGTTTCCTCAGTTGAAAGTCTAAGCACTGGTGTGCTGACGAAAAGATGATGAGCCCTGTTTGAGGAAGGAGGAGGTCGCTACTCGTCTGACAGTATGGTCTATTTTTTGAGGTCGTCAACCTCAACTTTGTCTCTCTCTTGCCAAGTTCAGTAGATTTACTATCCAATCAGAATGACAGCTACTGCTACAGGAATACTGGTTATTTAATGGTAAGCGCTTTCTGAGCGTTGCCGTCCTGTACTAAGTACAAAAAAAAGTTTCAATTACTTACATGGTTCTCTCTGCTCCAAAGCTTATATGGTTGTTCTATGAAAATCGTATTTTTATTCTTATCTTCTGATAGATATCAATCACGAACCTTGTTCTCAAACTTAGCAGCCAATGTATCATCAAATATGTTGTGTCCGAAAGTTCTAGCTTTTTTTACTTTAGGAATTTCCCCACTACTACATGAACTTTCTTTATTTTTGGCTACATCCATTTACATAGAAAAAATTTAGATCTACACGACAATCAACAAAAACTAGTACAAGACTTACATCTTCATCTTCATCATGGTCCAGCATAGTTTTCGTCCCGGGTTCATACCTGCTGCGCTAGTTCACTTGTTGACTAAATCATCTCTTGAGCAGCTTCATTCATGTTCTTCGCTTTTTAACCACAAGAGCATCACCACCACGATCACCACCACCTGTTGTAATACCCCACGAAAAATGGGTACACTACTACCACTACTACTAGCTGTCTTCGTCTTCGACTTCGACATGACTCTGACACGTATACAACCTGAATGAATGAAATAAGTACAGTTCTAGAAAATGTGTGATGCGATGTGAGGATCTGAAGATGTTCTTATCATGGTATAATGAAGAATATGGCCTGGTCGTACCGTCGCTGCAGTAGTACTATCGTGCGCCTGTTGCGCGTCTACTCTTAACATGCTGGCCACATTCTCGGAGACTTATCCGAGTCTTAATACTCTGCTTCGAGCCGCACCACTCACGTTATGGCATGATCGGCAAGCAGGTCTCTCCATACAACCCATTTGAAAATCCTACCTCTAATCAAAATCATTGAACGACCCCTAATATAATAATATGATTGTTCATAATAAGAGGACCAAATCCAATACATGGGAAAATGAAGGCACCAAGTCAGGGGAGCGCATCCTGACCTGTTGTATTATACCATAACCATTTTTACGATCTTACTTATAGTCTCTACTCGAGCCTGTTTCGTCCCGGACAACACGGCATGGCCGTAGAGCCGTGGACCTTCAACCTTGAACCTTGAACCTCCTTATAAATATATTTATAAGGAGTTATAGTTATTTAAGACTACTTGTTTTTTCCATTGATTCTAATCGCAACACTGTTGTGAGCCCGCATCGCACCGAAGCAGCTCTTGTTGCAAAAACATTCACGACGCCTATCTCAAACTACTCGAATCGATCGAAAGATTACAATCTGGTATGGCGCAATCTTCTTTTTCCACTACCGGAATCGTTCTCGTAACTAGGGGAAATTGATCTAATACATAAATCCCATAAGGAGCGTAAACAGAACATGGTAGTACCTCATCTTGATGTCTTGGTCAGATGAAGTACGGCTGGTGCTACTAGAACTTTTCCCGCCCCCCCAGCCCCATTGCCTCTTGCATTTTGTTGCCTCTCTCTTCATCAATCAGATTTATACGCATTTTGTCCGATAACGATCAGAAGTACTTGTACCTTGGTTTCTTGTTGTGGTTGTCCGATCATCCTGCCATCGTCCTTGTCCCGACGACCACCAAGCAGATATGTTGCAGGAGAGGGAGGAAACACTACCGTAGGACACAACTACAACTAAATTTAGAAGAACAAGGAGGACATTTTTTTCCTGTTATTCTTGACGACGTCGTGGCCTTGGTTTTTTACAACTCTGTTAGATGAAGAAGAAAGTGGACCAGAACGATCATAAGTAAAACTCTTAGGCAGGCTGGAAGAACAAGAAACCACTTCCAGAAAGCCGCTCTCGTGGAGGAGGAGGACTACATCTCCGTTGGTCCCAAGAACAAGACGAACACTGAGGAGGACTACATCCGTAGCAACAACAACAACAAAGGGGTCAAGGACACGAACACGAACTTCTACACAAACTGTTATATAAAGACATTTAGAAGTAGAAAGAACCTCCACAGATCTAACCTGTCCACAGATCTAGAAGAAGTACTTCTTCTTTGCCTCATCCTCATCTTCTTCACTTACCTTCTAGACAAACAATACGCAGTAGTTGAATATGTTGGACGGGAAGCGTCCTTGCAAGTAGTTCGAAGGAAGTTTTCTTCAAGGAAAGAACTTTGGGTGAAAGACGTGCTGGGGCTGCCACATTTCACTCTCCTCGTCGGAGCAACCGACACGGATATTCTTACTCTAGCATCCAAATACTTCTACCGGAACGCAACAAGAAGCACTGCTGCTCCTAGTGGTCGTCGTACGCATCTATATTATTGCAGGAGCCTTGTAGTTTACGGTGCCACAACTTTGACGAGTTAGCTCTTTCCACCTACTCCTTCAACAACTAGTGCTGCGTCATCATCAGCTATCTTCACAGCAGAACCTTGTCGATTCCAGAAAACGCCTGTGCCGCTTTGACCAGTAGAAGGCAACAAGGACGTGCACGAATACGACTATTATTTCTTGCCCCCATGATCTCGTCTTTCACGATATACTACTTCGACTTGCTGCCTGTGATCTCCTAGCTCTCCTAGATCACTTGTCGGTGTTACATACAGATACAACATTGGTGTTGTGTCAATTTTTGTTACTTGTTGCGACACAAGGACGCGTCATCTTGCGGTGATTTTGTCTCTACGGCCGTGGCTCGGACAGTCAGTAGTATCCGAGGGACACAAGGAAAATGGCCTCACTCTGATCTACTTCTTCGAGGAAAACGCTTTTACGTCTACTACCTCACTCGTCTGCTACTAGCAGACCACGGTAGATGCAGCACCACCAGGAATCTTGATCTTGTCGCTTTCTGACTAAGATTTCGATGAAAGACGAAGAAATCAAATTCTACAACAGCACGGAGATTATTCGTCTTAGAAGAAGCGAAAACTACAATGAGAATGAGAGATCATTATAGTGCTCAAACAACGCCAGTCCTGTCCAGAAGCGAAAAGGAGAAAGCAGACTAGATAATCTTCCAACATCTAGAACCGGAATCCACTTCATATGTAAACAACCGCCAAAGCATTTGGGGAAGTTCGCGCGTCTCTGCTTCAGTCTCGGAGACCTCTACCACCCTGATGGACTTCTTCTTCTTCTTCTGCACTGCCTCCACAACAAGAACTTGAACTTCCGAGTACTAGAATCTCTTCTAGCTGCCATCTCCAGTTGTATGAATGAAAGAACGAACAACATCCACAACTAGAAGGACCACGTCTATGCCCGATTCAGTCACAGTGACAAACAGTATCCGAATCCAGAACCGCGACAAACGGCCGTGCTGGTGCGTCGTCGTCCTGTTATTTTGTCACCATCTGCACTCCCACACTATGCACGCGTGATGAATTGCAGCCACAAACTGCATCTGGACTTTGCACAAAAACCCCTCGAGTGGGTTCATGAGTGAATGAATACAGCACTCAAGAAGATCAAGCTCAACGTGAAAAACGAGAAGAGTGAACAACTTCATCGGAAGGTGCTTATAATCTTCCGACGATATCACAGCCTTGATGAACTTGATACGATGACCAAGAAAATAACTGTTCTTCTGTGAACAGACGTATCTGGTAACAGACCCATTTTTCTACATAGAAGTTGCTAGAGAAGAAGGAGACACTACTAGCAACTACATCTTCTTCTTCACAATCAGCACGAATCGGGAAGTTGTAGGAGATTTCTTCACGATTGGATCACCATCATCAACGACGACAACAGCTTGAAGAGTTTTGGCTGGACAAACGTCAACTTTTTCGTCTGTATCTTCGAGCACCAGAACACTGACTTCCCATATGAAAGGGAAAAGTGTACTCATACTCAGAATGTTAGCTACTTTTCTATTAAAAACCAACCTAATTCCATGAGGACGAGTACACTTTTTTCTGTCATGCCCCAACGAGGACTTTCATTTAGCAGCATTACTGCTGCACCTCGGGAAACTTCTCATCTCTTCAAGATTCTTGCAGGACGTCTTTGTCGCCCGCGCCTACGTACCATATTGACCAGTCTCTCTTTGTTGTTGTTTTACAAATGGCGGAACACACAGACGGACCATCTACTCTACGTCGAGGAGCAGGAACACAAAGTGGTTCTCTGCTTCGACAACAAGGACAGCCCCTTTTCTCTCCGTCTGCATTTTGTTGACAAGAAGGTGCAGCACAGTGCTGGAGAGTTGCAAGCAGGTGCATCACAAAAAATCGATCTGCAGTCCTGGGGTCTTAGTTCTCTTGCAAGAACCCCGCATCATAGTCATAATCTTCGAAACTGAAATTTCAACACATGAAATCCAGTTGTTGATTGTTGTGCACTCCTGCAATAATACAACATCTTCAAGAACAACAACAGCATGCTCAGTCAGTTATAGCACCACGCACAGCATACGGTAATAAGGACCGGACCCTACATCGAATTCAACGTATAGCAAAATCCTGGACCCTAGTCGAGGGACTTCGCTCGAAGGGCGAACCGAAAGAAGAAGAAGAACACTTTGTGTCTTTACTTTTATGGCACAAGAACACAAGTGGCACCAGCAAGTAGTTGTAGTTTTTAATCATCTTTAGGTCCTCATTGTGAATAAGCAGATGATCATTAACAAAACGGGTTATAATAAGTAGAATCTACACGACTGACTAGTGAAGATTATGATGATGTTGAAAGTACTTACTTATCTCAATCTGCTCTGGCTGGATCTCATCATCATATGTTTTGATTTTCATCTCGTCTAACATAAGTATCCAGTCTTCTTAGCCTGGGTGGTGAGGACGGAGGACGATGGAAGAGCAATCGGCGGAGGTTGCGTCTTCAGTGAATGGCGAGAAGAACAGCAGCACAGGCTCACCCACCGCAGTGTCTGCAGCAAAGGCCGGAAACTCACCAAAGAACACTTCTGTTAAGGCTCCTTTCGCTATTCCGTCTCCAAAAACATCGATCTCGAAGCTCCTGTTTTCCCATTTAGACAAGAGGAAAACAGATGCGAGATTGATCTCAAGGTGGATTAGGGTGATCTCTAATATTCATGCTCCAATTTCGGTCCCTCCCTTAGTTAAGACTACCGCTCAAACATCCGCAGCGTCATCCTTGCCCATCTTTCCAGTCGAAAACGAGACCAAGGATGCACCCAGGGACGCTTGTGCGCTGAGTAGCGCTAACGTAGAGAACAATGCTTGCCTCAAAGGTGACAGTGCCTCATCTTCCACGGCCGCCCCCGACTGCGGGCCTGTGGTCCTTCCTAATCCAACGGGAGAGGCAAAAGTTATGAAAGGAAATTACGTACTCTGTGGATCTAGTAGAACAAGTTATTTTATCATCCGTAGAGAAAGAGAAGCCGCGCTCATAATTCTCAGAGCAGGCAGCTTCCTACTTTGAGGATGTTGAGTACGTTTTTTGAGGATGTTGAGTACATTTTTTCCTTTCATACCAGCTGACCAAAATATCGGAGGTACCTCCAGCGGCACAACAGCTACCAATCAAGTTCAAGGGACCACTGCTGCCAATCTTAAGGGTTTCCGAAATGCATCCCTCACTGCCATCCTTGGCTCCTTTTCAAGGGGAAAATAGGCCAAGGATGTTCTGAAGAATGCAACTCCGCAACCTCTAACAATGGTCTGCTCGACCAACGAAATGGGCTAGCAATGGTAGATACCAACGCCAACAATGGCAATGTCACCCGCAGTCAGGAAGTGGAAGGCGCGCTATCTCAATTAGCGAAATCGCGACCCCCTCCCGGTGCGCCGGAGGGGGAGATGTACCCACCGGGATTACATATAGGACCCGGACCCACAACTGCGTCATCTTCATCTTTATGGCATTGAACAAGTGTTACACTTAGACTACGCTGATGCTCTTGTATCTTCTATACAGGAGGAGCCACATGAGGAGCATCAGGAAATAAGAAAATTGATTGCAATCATGGACATATGGAGACTGCCTCGGATTCCGGTGTCAAATAGATTGCTTCCTCTAAGAACTAGAAGTGGCCTTCGACCGGTGGACGAGGAAAATTTGCAAGATCTCCGTAATGTCCTGCAGACGCACGTCGTCCAACCTCGAGGACCACAAAGACGTATTTTTTTATCTTTTCCATCCCCATCGTCGACCATCGGAAAATGCTCCTTCTCCTTGGTAGTGGTGCTATATTTGTTTTTTTCGACGTCACGACCCCCGTCACACCCGCTTGTCATATGATCTATGCTCATATCTTCATGTTGATATTGATAATTTCGAGTCTTCTTAATTTTTCAGTAACGGTTGTGATCCATTGTGTGGTCTATTACAACGGTAAATATAACATCGTCTACTTCTTAGGTTATCCGAACTACAACGAGAATCCTCAAAGTATGCAGAGCTGGGAAGCAGGACCAGGAATGGGCTCAAAAGGGCACAGAATTGCAGGGAGAAAGTACTTGATTGTTCGTATTCTTTCACAGTAGTTGTTTGTTCGTATTCTTTCACTGGGAGAAGGTATTCGAAAACTCAAAATAGCCGAGTTAGTGTTAGTGACTGAAATATGGGAGGCAGCTTAACATCAAGGCTGCTCTTCCTTCTCATAAGTATCTCGGTTATTCTCGTTCTTTGCTCGCTTATTTTAGTTTTTCGAGTACTTGTTTGTTCGTATTCCACAACCACAAAAATGAACTATGTATAATAATATGCAAATCGTTTCTTGAAGTTGATGAACCTGGTGAATGCATGAACCTGGTGAATGCAAGATGTTGCCACCATAAGGATGAGACTCACTTTGGGTTCCACGATCTAGCGGACGACTTGTTTTGTGCATCTACATCCCAAAAATACCACAGTTCTTACCCGATGATGAAAAATCATCCGGCGTCTGGGGACTGGTCATCGTCGGTTGACCACAGTCATCCCTCGTCGTTTGGCTCATCTAAAGGAGGCTGGTGCGACCAGACGAATTCCAAAGGGCACCAGACCAGCCACCTTAATATTAAGGCTACTGGATAATATGAACTTGCACAGATCTCGAGTCTTTGTCTTAGCCGTTCCTTCGGTGTGCTTGTGACGAGTTGATCGAAGCTATTACTTAGAGGTATCGTCGGTGTAAGTTTAATGTCACTTCTTTCCTCAGTTCCGTGTCGTTGTTAGTTTACTTAGTCAAAACCTGCGTGGGTAAGCTTAAGCATCGTGACGAAACACTATGACGCCGCGCGGCAGTCTGCACTGATAACTGTGCGAGGTTAATTGTATCGTATTGCAACGAATTCCAAACGGCACCAGTTCAGCCTTAATATTAAGGCTAGTGTATCACTATCTGAATCTTTTGAGGAGCGTAGAAATTCTGCATACTCTAAGAGCAGCATGAGTACGAAGAGCAGCAAAGGTGGCGGCCCACGTGGTGGCGGGAAGCCGCAGTCTTATGGAAGCAGCGCCGGAGCACATCCATCGGCAATGAACGGATCTTATGAGAATGTGAAATGCGGGAGAGAACGCTCTTCGGTTGAACTGCATGACATTAAAAGGACCCTCAGTCACGTACAGATTGACTCCTGTTCATAGAAATTGGTTCCTCGCTTATGCTAATGGATCAACCTGTGCGTGATTTTCATTCTTCACCTTCATCATATTCTAATACAGTTTCTCCTCATCCCCAGGAGCTGCCGCCTCCGGAGGCCCTCGTGCTGGCATCCGACGTCAGCATCTAGAGATTACCGCAGCGACTCTCTACGACAGTGCCCGTCCTGAGCTGCAGCGGGACTATTTTCTGTTATGATAGATGCACCCTAGAGGACTGCTTAAACAAGGATGGAATCTGCCTGGGCGTGATGAAGTACAATGAATTTTGAAGGAAAATAAACGACGAGTGGAGGTCTACCTTCTTCCCTTGATTATATTACTCCTCTCCTTGCCCAAAGAACTCGCCGTCCTTTATTTTCTTCTTACACATTGATTTCCATGTTCCCCTCCTCTTTCATCTCGTTTCCTTCTGGGGCATTGTTCGACAGACGTGGTCGAAGACATGATACGATATCGCGGACCTACCTTTCCCCGTCACGAGCGTCACGTCGAAGAGCAACTTAGTCACCCCTCAAGCGCCCGTGGAGATCAATATCGACAGCCGTTGTTGCCGTTGCCTTCATATTATGAAGCCGTCGTCTGCTTCTCTTGCAAGAAATGCTATCATTCTCATCTACTTCTATCTTATAACTCCTGCTTCAAGTAGAACTACACAGTTGTTAAACTGCGTAGTTCTTCTAACAGAACCTGTTTCTGTTTCTGTAGTTCTTCTAGCAGAACCTGTTTCTGTAGTCCCTTCTAACAACCCGGATCTTCTCCTCACGATGACAACTTCCATCCGTCTACTACATCGATATCAAGCCCTGGTCGACACGAACTGCGTCATCCTGACGGCATTCCTAGACAGCCAGGCCCAGCGAGTACCTTTGTTAAGGCGGGTTTCACATTGCATTCTCTTTGTCCACTCATAACATGAACGACCTTGGCCTCTTTTCCGATGGGAAAGAAGTCAGGCATACTTCCCATGCAAAAGAAGTCATCAACAAGGTCGAAGGCAATGCCTCTTGTCCTCAAGCATGTATCCTCAAGCATGCGTTCTATAGTTTCCGCAATCTGTCTAACTTTGGCGGAGCCAGTACGCCTGGAACGTCCTCTATGAGGGGAGGCCGCATGGACCATCTACGAAACACTGGGCGGAACCATGAGCGCGACCGTGACTATCGCAGACGACAGCAGGAGCAGCTTCAACAGTATCATATGTTTGTGATATTTCGTCATATCATCAACCACATCAAAGACTCTGGTGGGTGGCAAAAAGTGTAAAGTCTCAGTCCACCACATCAATCATCTTTTAATGGGTAGACTAAAACTATAAACTACTTCTACTTTTCGTCTTGGTGCATATTATCTTTTGAATCGAACCCTCTACGTCTACTTAAAATCATCACAGCAGGTTTATCGTCGAGAGGCGGCGAGTACCAAAAATCAAGAATTTTCCACCTGATTCGACAGCTCCGGGCATCTCTATCATGCTGCGGAATATTCCGAATCGGTACAGTTTCCTATTATCCGAGATCGATGAAGAACTCTCTCAAGATAAAATATTTTAGTTTTTTTAACTACTCAAGACTACCTTTCAACAACTACCTTTCAACTGCCTTTCAACAACCTTTCAACTTCCTTTCAAGATAGATTCCAACTACCTTTCAACTACCGGCAGGTTATCACCGAACCTATTGCTGAATTTTCTATTCGCGAACGATTTGGTGCGCAGAGAGCCGCTGTTCGCTCCGTTATTTGAAGGACGTAGTCTCGTAGGCTGTTGGGCACTTGGCGACGGGTGCTGCTACACTTACAAATAGTTTCTATGATTGTTGATAGTTTCTTTGTCACTAGTGGTAGAGGACGTTTTCTGCTCTGAGCTATACTTCCTACCAGACGCAAAAGGAAGTAGTGTGTCAAATAGTAAGTAGTGTATAGTGTGTAGAAGTGGTCTTTTCTACCCCTGGAGTGGGTACATTCATTCACTCACTCACTCGATAGCTTCATCTGTGTCCCTGACTTTCTCTCTGTCTTAGTCTTTTCTCCAGAGTATGTAATGAGACTTTAAGTTTTCCTCTGTATATATGCAGAACTGTAGAGCTGAACGGTTTAGGAATAAACGCCCAGCACTATTCTGTCTGTTTTTTGGGGGCGTTTGTTCCTAAACTGGGAGAGAATGGGGGTGACGCTAGAGAGAAACGCCGCGACAGGAATAAACGCCGCGCCAAATTTTCAAAATCGTGCGCGTTTTTGCCTGTTGGGGGCGTTTATTCCTATACTGTGAAAATTTGCCTAGATTTCGTCCTCGTCTAACGTTCTGCGGGCGGGTTAGAGCGAAATCTGTGAAAGTGTTAGAAATCGGCAAAAGGTTAGCACCTAAGCCGCATGGTTTAGCTCCTAACGCGGTGCGGCGTTCGCGCCTCTCCCCCACGCTAGAAGAGGCGCCGCGCGTCGTAGGCGGCAAAACGACAGGCCGCGGCGCGGCTCGGTATTATGTGCCTGGCCCTTGTGTGGGGTGCCTCGCTAGAGTTTGGGCCGTCGGTCTGGGGATTGCGCCGCTTTGGTTGTTCGGTGGGCCCCATGGATTCCCCCCCCCGCCCCCCAGAATCTCGAGGCATTGGAAAACCCAACGAAGACTGGCGCCCAACTCTTCTCGGGTTTCTGGCGGTTTGGTTGGTTTCTTTTTCGTGTTTTGGTGCAGAAGGGCCGGGCATTTTCTGCGGAAGAGGTGGGTGCAAGCACCTAGCCGCCTTGAATAAGCTAGAAGCTAGCCGGGGTCTTGGCCACCCCGCTTTGCTTGACTCTCAGTCATTCGCTGCCGTTCGCCTTTTCCTCTGGTAGTTGAGTTCACTCGGGGCCTCCTGGAGGCCCGCCATGCGGAAGCGCAGGGGCGGGCAACCGCGGAAACCGTTGCGCCTTCCTCGTGTTCATATCTTCCGCCGTCAAATTTATTTGCGCCTCGCCCCCTTCGCGCCTCTCAATAGGGTCGCGCGGCTTCGTCTCTGTCGGTCGTTGGCTCTTGTTGGGGCTTGGTCAATTTTCTCCCACGTTCTTGACTTGTTTGTTCGCTCAGAGGCTTCTCGTCTAGCCGCATACCCTCGCCATCGATAAGCCATCGGTCCATGGGGTACTTCTGTTCACTGGTCTGCGTTTGCAAGGACTTCGCCGTCGGCCACTTGCTGGGCCTTCTTGCTTCGCTGTTCTTTGTCCATCTGGTTTAGGGCTTAACGCTCCCGCCCCAAAATCGTTCTTTTCTGGCGTTCTCGATTGTATTGCATGAGCTGCGAAGCCCCTTTGTTTTGCACTGGGGCTTGCTCTTGTTTAACGCTTTCAAAAATCTTCGCCTTGTGCGTTCATTCCTAGCGTTGCGTTAGCTTCTAACGCTCTGCACATATAAGTATATATGTTCCAGGGGTGGAGGCTCCCGCCCCCTGTGGATGGAGCGGCGGGGGCGTCCGCGCGCCCTTTTTTCCGCGGTGGTGACATGTAAGGACCTCCGGGGGCCAAGGCCTCAAAAGGCGGAGCCGGAGGCTCCTGGCGGCTCTCCGCGTGTGCCCGACAGGCGTCCCGACTGTTGGACCTTATCAGGGGGACGGCCTCCGGGGGAAGAAGGCGGCCACGGTCGCGAGGCCTGGCCCCTTTGGCCCTCGTCCGCAACATGTGGGTGGGAATCAGTCAAAAGCAGCCCCCGGAAGATCCTAAATTGCAAGAGTGAGCTCGAAAGGCCTCAGAGCTTTGGCTCTGATGGGCGTCGCCTCAAGGATCTGGAGGGCCCGGCCATCGATCTCGAGACTTTGTCGAGCACTGCCACGGAGGTCAAGAAAGTTAATGCGCTTGCCTCCGAGCTGGGCAGCGAGTTGAAGTGCTCGACGGTGATCAATGTCCCAGGTCGTGCCCTCAGTCCCCTCAGCAAGGCCTTGGGCTTCGCTGACGGGAGCCGACATGTTCTCCGCCCAGGATCCTCCGGTGGGACTTCAGGGCATGAAGATGATCGCGGGGGTCAAGATGGGAGACACCACTAAGGCGACTGTCTCGGCCGCTGGGCTCGTGACTCATATGGCGATGCTTCTCCTGAGTGGCTCTGTCTTCGCTCAACACCGAGCAGATCAAGAGGAGGATCGCCCGGCAGGACGCGCGCGCGCTCTATGAAGGGAGAGCTTTTGCGGTCAAGTACAACATGGAAACCGCTACTCTTTCGTCTATCACCGGATGCCGACTCACGAGAGGGGGGCTCGCCACTGGTCTGATGTCGCGCGCGTCGCCGGCTACTTGTGCTCCGCGTGCTTCTTTCAGGCCTGGACGCTTTTGACAAGCACAGTGGCAGGCTTGTGCGATGCGCTGGCCCCTGCCCTCCCCGGTGTCGTGCTTGTCTACTCCGCTCGGAAGGCAGGTGAGAAGGCTGCGAAGTTCTACCAGCGCCCGAGCACGACGCTGAAGCACCCGCGGGCGCTGAGGGGCGAAGAAGATCAGAACCCTGCGGGGCAGCTTGCCCAAATGGGTGCGGCCAGCCTACGGCTTTGACTCCTTGCACGGATGGAAGCCCAAAAGTGAAGGCTCGCTATCAGGTTCAGGGCAGCGAGCTGCGGCGCTCCGCCTTTTCGCAGGGGCGAGTGCTTCGCGGTCCACGCGGTGGCAACGGCAGAAGACCCGCGAGCGCACATCGCCGATCGGGAGGGGAAGCTAGCCCATCTTCTGGAGGTGGGGCTGTTGCTTACGGTTGTTCAGAACTGAAACAAGACGGCGGCCACGATGGATTGAGAACCTCGGAAGGCCGAAAACCAGGCGACGCGTGAAGGGTTAAGGGCTCAAGGGGCACGCGCTTGCCCAGTGTGATTGTCAGCATTTGGCTACGCTTGTAGGCTGATAGGTTGAGAGTGAGCGTCACCTCTTCGACAGGATTTGGAGCGCCTTAGGGCTAGCTTGCACCTGATAAAAGTAAAACTAAAACAATTTAAAACACTTCAAGGAAACCCCTACTATCCCAAGTTGTCGAACTTGTGTTCGCTGTCTTTTCGTGGTAGTGATTTTCGGTCTGGGAAGCTGCAGCGAAAACTTTCTTTCACACCACCAAACGCTTGGGGGGGTGAGGACCAAAGGCGGAGAGGAGTGGGGGCAAGGCGTGCCCGCCTGGGTTCTGTCGGATACAAGCAGCACGGCGAAAGGGGTCAAGCCTTGCCACCTGCTTCCCTCGGAGGCCTCTCACCTCCCAAGAAACTCCCCCGGTGAGGAACCCGCACCCTGGAGGCTTGTAGGGTACAACACGCAACAAGCCCAAGGATGCCAAACTAGCCTTGCCACCTTTGCCACCTTCGGAAGCCTCGCGCCCCCGGTCTTAGTTGCTCCAACGGCCACAGGGATGGGGGCTCAGTAGGGTCCAGGCAAGAAGCGGGAAGGGGTCAGCGGTGGGCCTTTGGAGGCCTTCCCGCCTGGCTGTCTTGCAGAAAAAAGGGTCAGGGGCGGGAGCTCCTCCCCCTCAAAAAGTTAGATCGGGGGGGGCCTTGGCCCCTTGGACGTTTATACTTCATAGCATGAGTTCACGCAATAACTTCCAACTTGTTAGGCCCGGCACCGAAGGACCTTCTTCAGAGTTTAGTGCTTTGAAGCAGACACCGAGACAGAATGGCCAAGGAGAAGATCCGGGTTCGGCGAATCATGATGATGACACGAAAACCCATGGTGATGGGGATACGGTAATATCCAGATTGCTTTACATAGGTAAATAGCTAAGTTCTTTTATACCCCATGAATGGATGCAAGTGCATAAGTACACTACTACTACTTACACTTACAGTTGAGCTGCTATGTCGTGCTGGTGCTTACTTTACACTCTACAGAAAATCGATTTAGAAACGCCTATTTCCATACAACAGAAAGACACGCTACCGACTTCCTCCTTAGCCACCTTTGTGATCACCCCCATCAAAAATGTATTATAGGTCTCGGTGTCAGATGGTGAATATGTGCCTATACCGAATCCGAAGACTCAGGCAGATTACGAGGACCTAAGATCACGCCACGAATCTGCTAGACGGCGATTTGCATGGGAGGAGTTAGTGTCATGGAGTAAAGTCGATACAGCGTTCTACCCGATGCCTGACGACGGAATACCGGGAATTTTATCGTTAGGTATAACTTTTTCGCTTGTTTCGGTTCTAGTACTTCATCTATATTTGATGTAGTAGATCTAGATTATAACTGAGTACTAGCGATTATAGGTTGCGATTTTTGTTCTAAGACTACTAAAAAGTCTGAAGCGTTCTACTTCATTTTCATCACACCGTTTTTTCTACAGCATCAACAGGGGGCGAACGTGCTCACATCAGTCAAGAATCCGGAAATGCGACTGTTTTGACCGGCCCCTGGTCAAGGGAGGGGACAGTGGTATCTGCGGCCTCCGAAGTTCTCGACCCCGTGGTGGCTCAGTTCATCGATTTTTGCGATCTACCACAAAATCTTCATGGTAAATACGTACTATTTATTTTGGCGCCATATGCTACCGCTACGTCCTTAACAATCACGATTAACTATCAACACCAAGATGCTCCTGTTCGAGGAGATTTTACCAAAATTATAGTACGAAATTTCACTTATTTCCGTTTACTAACACGTCGTAAAAGCAATATGTATCCGGTACTAGCAGTACTGCTCCTACTGCAATATTTATTCAGTAGCAGCAATATTTATTATCCAGTAGCAATGATTATTTAAATCAACGTCTAGTATCTTCAAAAAAATCTGAGGTGTGAACCTTGGTTACGCATTCTTGCATTTTCGTAGTAAGGCTGTAGCCAACCGATTCGTGGAACTGCTAAGCGGAACGAGGTGTCCCGGGAAATCAGTGAAGAGGATGGAACTAGTGCCAACCGTGGCACGCCGCATACCCTACATTTAAGAAAATGATAACCAACATGGATCTATTTGTATTATACATTATACACCACGTGATTACTTTTACTGATTATATAAATATAAGTAACTTCTCCTTGAACTTGATAGTTTGAATGTTTCCGGTATTTGGTGACCTGAATTTGATTATATGGGAAAAGGTCAGTCGCTGGCGCCTTGGTTGTGTTTGTGTCGTTTGTTTGGTTGTTCGTCGTGGCCTTGTGCCCGTGTCTTCTCTCTCCAATCAAATCAGGGCTAGGAAGGGTTAGTGGGCATTTGGTGGTTGATTCTTGACTTTACCATCTAGCACAGCATGGAGTAGCGGCTGCGTCTGCAGTAAACAACTCAATTATTATATGGGAAAACAAGAAGAGAACCCTTGTGATCGAGTTCAAGTTACCAAATACCGGAGCCAGCTTCATTCTATGCTATTCCTATGAACAAGCCGAACCCCTTCTTCTCTAATACACGGACGGCATGGAAATGCAGAAAGGCAAGCCTACGAGAACTATGTTTTGGTTTGACGACGAAAGAATTGACGACATTCTTTATGCTGCAAGGGTACAAATGATACTTTCTAGTAAATGATTTTTGAAATACAACTATAAGTCTTTCAGTGGTATCTTCGCTGTGACACATCAAATAAATATGCTCTACCCGTGGTCGAAGAACAGGTAAAAAATGCGTCATTCATGAAGGCACGCCCGATCATGTTACATCCATCATTATACTTATACTTTCTTCCCCCACGTCCGTGCCAGGCTGTCGGAATACATCGGCGTTGGCGAAGAGGGATGGTCTCAGATCGGCAGGGCTCTGGCGGTAAACCCTTCAAGCAGCACCCGCGTTCGTGACGGAAGATTTATGCTAGGTTCTTGGGTTTGATTTACTTGATATTATTTCTTGATACAAATCGTTTCGGACGACTTGACCTGCTACTTTTCATCAGAGTCTTTTTTTTACTCGGTCTCAGTTGCAGTCAGCACATATTTTTAATCTTTAATGCTATAATTTTTATTAGATAATAAAACAAGGATCATGAAGACCCACGCTTTAATCAAAACGAACGTTCATGAAGCGAGGCGCTGGTAAAGCCGACTATTCCGTACAACGTGGAGAATTGGTTTTTGTATGATGCCACTCATTGAGAACGAATATATTGGCATGTCGTTCCTAAGTAAGAAGACAAAGGGGGAACGACATTCCCCTAGCGACATTCCCAATGAGTGGAAGCATTCAGTTTTGGCGGTCGAAGGTGCTGCTCCACGATTTCTTGAAATTAATAGTTGTACTGAAACTTAGTGGAATACGAATAAGCAGTACTTAGAAATTAACGTCCTAACTTGTGAAGAGTTTGGTAGTTTTTTGTGAGCGTTTTTTTTGCCAAAGTTAATGCGGCAGAGTTCACGTTACTCATTTTTTCACCACAAAAAGCGACTTTTTTCTGAGTCTACGGAACTCAATCAAGGAAGATGAGTTGCCTTACTGTGGTCAAAAACATTGTAATAGTAAGTAGACATAAACATGGTCAAAAAACCTTGATCATGAGTCTAGAATGAGTTAGCTCTTAGTTTTCGTTTTCATCAACAGAATTTCAATTTCTTCATCAACAATACATATGTGATGTTGATGTATCGCCAATCATATTTATATATATTCACCAGCGATAGCTTGCCAGCAAGAGTCTTCTCCAGTTTTGTCAAATTGTGGCATAAGCAGTCATCTTATTGATGACATTGTTTTTGATTTTCAAGAGTTTTTCGTCTGATTCTTTGCGGTATATCTTTTCCGAGAAAAGTTAATGTGGTACAGCTACAGAAGTTGGCTTCGCTTTCTATGTAACAAGAAGTAGTATGTAATCTATCAGTAATCGTGATCAGGTGGCTCAACGTCAGCATTCAACCTGATCGGATGCGGTGGGTGCGTGGTAAGGTGGCACAAGTTAGGTGGCCTTTATAGCGTGGTAAGGTGGCCTTTATAGCGTGTAGGAAGCGCGCATCTTGTTCCACATTTAGAAAAAAAATAGAAAACAGAGCAACGAGAAGCTCGCGCTCGCGGGATAGCGATAGGTTCGCGGTGCCCCTACATCAATGCCAGACTGCCTTGGCGCTAGACGGCCTTTGCGCCGAGTGGTAAATCGCGACACAGGTGCGGTGTGGCTGTGGGGGTCGCGTGCGAAACTTTTCTGCTGTACTTCGCAGCCAGCTAGTATCTATTGAGAACTGCTCGTCGTGTAAGATATAGCCTTCAAGGACGTATGAGTGTGTTGCCTGTGTATACTGTGAATGTGTGGTCGTGTCTCTCAATACAGTATATTTTTTCTCTAGAAGCGTCCGCGTGCGAATACGTATTAAACGCGAGCGCGTGCGCGAGGAAAAACAAAAAATCTTTGGTCCAGGTGGATCCTTCAACGAAGTAGATGACCTCCATTCAGCAATGTGGTCCTTTGTGATAGATGGATCAGTTTTGGAGTTTGTTCTTCTGTGGTCGTGTGGGCTACTACTGCTTTGTATGTTGTGTCTTTTAATTTCCCTGCTCGACAACGACAAGGACAGCTACTGTATTGATAACTGAAGTAGAAGATGGATCATGGTGTCTTGGCTCGTCGACAGATATGGACCCCTCGTGAAGGAGATGCATGTGTTTGGATTTTTCTCGTTTTTTCGTGGTATCTGAAATAGATCAGAAGTTTTTGCCTCATTATGATAGCCAAGTTGTTTCTGAGCACCAAACTGTAACTCTTCATCGACGACGAAAGTGGCCCATGGAACGGAGGAAGACTCCTGTGAGCCGTCTACTTGTAGTTTTACTGTCATCTGCTCACGGGGAGACGAGTAGTACGCTGCTACTTAAGCAGTTCGGGGAGACGAGTAGCACGCTCCTACTTAAGCAGTTGTAAACCGAACTGATCGTCGAAGTCGATAGATATTTACAATCTAAAAATTTCGATCATCATGCTCCTCTCGTCCTCAGTCTAGAAGTACATATCGCCACATGCTAATGCTTTTTCCAACGTACTATACGTAGAGATCTTCATCATCTTCCTAGGAATAATGAACAAGTTGTACTTGTTATACCTGTAGTGCTGTCAGATTGCGCCGGAGCGTCAACTTGATAATATTACTGGTATGGAATGATATTGACAAACTAATAGATCGTAGAAAGAAGACTTGCATCCGCGATTATACTAGAGACGCAGCTGGCCAGCGTTTTACTCTAAACTTAGTACTATTGTCTTCATCATTATGCGCAGATTACTACAGACAGAATAACAGAAGCAAGGTTATGACTTTGACTATCTTGAGCGGTCTCGTCGTTCTTATGAAGTGCAAACTAAAAGTAAAAAGGCCGATAGGGAGAAGCGCCACTGTTTAGGATCCTGAAGATTTTCAGACCATGATTAGGAATTTTAGAAGAAAAGAGTAGATGTTGCATGAGGTTGCGAGGTTGCGAACTGCACGGCGTTTCCGTATCAACCTTGCTATTGATTTCGCCCGGTTTTTTACAAATTATCCCTACTAATTATGATAGATATTAATACAAATGCTTTTTAGATGAAGCCCTAGCCCACCAGAGGGGCAGCCCACCAGAGGGCTTTTAGTTGTTTGATGGTGGGTCCTTCTGCTTGTTTGGCTCTGCTTGTCGTCGTAGGAGGAGGAAGAGGACATTTGCGAGGTGGGAGTCTGTAATTTTATATCTGCTTGTATAGATACTGATACATAAACATATCTATGATTGGAAAAGCTTGATAGTGTATCACTCGGTCACCTTGCTCTTTCAATAGAAAGATACAAGGGGACTGAATGGCCTCAGTCACGTTTGATTAACGTATCACGAGGGATGGGGATCACGACATGACATGATCTTGTAGTTTATGAAATCTGACACCTGCACACTGACTCGACTCCGAGTGTGGTCGCTGTGCCTGTGGTTCTAAGATGGCCCACTGCTCAGCAGCTGTTGTCTAACTAAGGGCTGAATGAAGATTGAGACGACACGCAAGTCCATGGAGCTGGGCTCTTGTTCCTGTTCGCTCTCATGAGTCACCGCTAGTTGTTATTGATCTTATTGCTATTCAGTCGATTATTGTTGTACAGTATTGACATTCTCTTTTCTTTCATCAGAGTACCAGCACGGTGTTGCTGGTACTCTGATGTTTTCTTGGGGATAGAGCAAGTGAACGTAGCTTTCTTGGAGATAGAGTAAGTTCGGACTTTGCCTACCCTGCCTGTGTCGATTTAGACATTTAGATCATTTAGAAATTGTGGCGCAAAATTTAACAAATTACCTGAGTCAAGTACTGAAAAGGACCTGATGAAAGCGAGAGCATTAATAGCAGGACTTCGCCACTTGGTGAGTAACGATCGACTTGTTTCGCGAAAACAGGAAGAGAATCCTTGTGATCAAATTCAGGTTACCAAACACCGGAACCATTCAACGACGCACTTTTGTTTTTCAGGGTCAGGCTCCAGCTCTTGCGCTATCTATTTGCTGTAATTGCGAAGATCTGTATAGACCACGTTCACACTCAGAAGATGTCGTGGCTCCTTTATATTGACCTGGAGCCTCATACTTTGATCTACTTTGTATTCTAGAAATACAACCATTCTCGGACGGAGAACGTCGCTTCGTGGGGAGAATGAAGCAAACTACCCTCGGCATCGAATTAGAGTGCCTATAATTTGAAAAGGGAAATACTTATACAGCCAAGCAGGTCGCGGCCCCGTCGAGGGCTCGGCCTTTGCGCTCCCTGTTTCTACTCTAAATGAGTCATCATTTCTTCTTGTTGAGTTTATTCAGCTAAAATTCGATGGATTTGGGTTTGGCTTCTACATTAGAAGCTACATATTAGAAGCTAAAACACGACGGATTTGGCTTCTACATTAGAAGCTACATATAAGCCCTTATCCTTCCTCCGATGGATTTGGCTTCTACATTAGATCGGCTTTCCGCTTACCAAATAATGTGTAGTACAACATGAGGCGAAATGGTGCTACTACTTCCTACTACTATGTACTCACGCAGGTACGTCATACGTACATCAGGCACTATGTACACTCACACAGGTACAACTTTGTACTCACACAGGTACTAATACTATGCACAACTCGTCATACAGGTAATATACAGGCTGCACGACTAGGATATTGCACCTCTATCTTCTAGCTAGTGTATCTGTGTATGTCTGTATTTCCAGGTCAGCCTTCTGACCATTGAGCTGTCTGGAAACCGCCATAGTTCGGTGAAATGACACAGGTCGGCCTTACGACCACTGAGCTCGAGACGTAAGTCCAACTAAAAAGCTCCACCATTTATAGACTTGCCCAATCACCCAGGAATTGAATCATGGGTACACTAATAGATACTACTACTTCTAATACTCCCAATAGCAATACTACTAGTAACTAAAAATACCAATCGCGACGTGCAAAGAAAACTCGCACTTCTCGTGCTGTGTATATCTTTCTTCATCATCAGTCGGATTTAGGGCCATCATTTGTTGTAAAAATCTAGCTCGTCTTAGGTCGGTCCAGGTTATGTCCTAAAGTGGCCTATCGCTATCTAGTTATGAAACGTTCTTTCGTTTCCTCTGACACATAAACGTCCGTACTTGGACAGGGTATGCGACTGGCAATACCAAAAATATTTAGGCTGTTGCTGTATGTTCCTTGTGCATCCATTTCGGTCGTAGCTTTCAAGCAATACCGAAGGGCGAGCAGTTGTTTTATGAATGTTAATGTTTCTCGCATTCATCTAAATCTGTGAAGTACTGCGCTTCTGCCGATCCGGTGCTTGACGCGCAGGGCTGAGGCGGACGCCCCTCTAGATCTAAATATGAGTGCGTATCTCTGTCGATGTTTCTCTTCTGCGTTAATATGTGTACCGTCATGGAATCTAAACCACACGGCCATGCCTGGGCACATGGCGATAGATTTTTTCAATCTCGTACTTAAAGCTCTCTTAATGTTCTATGAAGCAAGACGCGGCCAACTCGAGGCGCCACGCACCACGAAGATGATAGTCGCTATCATCAGGGTAGAATGGCCTTACATTCCTAAATCCGCAAATGATAGGTTTCCAGTCTCAAATATGTATAATCTTCCTTTTCTTATCGATTTGATCTTCGTGATCGTGTCGTCATTGTACTTGGTATTACCAGTCGACTACTTATTCCTCGTTGTACCTCGGTGGTGCAGTCACTGCAGCCGCGAGCCCGGAGTGCCCGAGACGGAGGCTAATGCACTCCACCCGTCGTCGGCAGGTATGCCCGATATCACTGGGATCACCCTTTCGGCGATCTTGGCTTACAAAAAACAAAAAAAAACTTCTCGTGGGGGTTCTCTCAATGAGTGAATGAATGTACCTCTTTGTATTATTAGTCGTCCCTCTCCCTTCAGTTTCTCCGTGGAGAATTGTTGAGGGCGGGTGAGCGACCTATTCCCGTGTACTAAAGAACCAATCTCAGCACTCAAGACCAATCGCAATCACCGAGAAGATCCATGAAGGTTCGGTCGCATTTCAGACCGCCTTAGTCTAATAGACTTATGTCTCACTGCGGTCGCATTTCAGACCACCGTGTTAAAGTTAATGTCGTAGATGGTCCACCCGGTCGCACTTACGACCACTAGTCTCGACTAAGAGACGAGGACCAACAGCGCTATTCTTTCGATTATTCAATAGTCTCGACTAGGAGACGACGATCGACGGTAAATGTCGATTACACTCAATTTCAATAGTCTCGACTCGGAGACAAGCATCGGCGTTAATATGTGTATGTCGATTATTAGAGAATAGTCTCGACTATGAGACGAGGACGACCTCCACTGAAGCTCCTTCAGTAGAGTTCTTTCACATTTAAGTTATTGATATTCTTCCCTTGACAGTAGATGTAGACTCTTACACTTAGTTTTTGTAGTCGAAATCGAAAATATTAATATTTATATTTATTTTGCTCTTTTCCAGTAGTACCGAATACGCAATCCGTGCGATTCTGAACATGGAAAGAGTAAATGTTGATACACAGTAAGCTGTAGCAGCTTGAGCTCCTTGATAGTTGATACGACAAAATGACAGGGGTAGACTGCTGAATACAGAGCAGGCTCCCCCTACTGATACGATAACGCAGCTAAATGGGTACCCCAGAATTTATTATGGGTACATTCATTCATCTATAGGAAGTAGATGTAACAAGTACTAGATACGGATATCCTAGTCTTTTCACGACAACAAGCACTAGATGTTGATACAACAACAGGGTGCACGACGCATCCTCTTCAGGTACACGTAGGAGCTGTGTCTCTGACTAGCCTATTATCACTTTCCCTACATCAGAGTAAAGCCTTTCCCTAGTACAACTCGAAGTCGTGAGGTACTTAGTCCATTTATTCCCGCCGATGCGAGCACCATCTTCCACTAACTATTAAAAACTTCAACATCTTCTCATTATCATTATCGTGCTTTCAAGCGCCACGACTAGGTGGAGCTGCTGAATTCACGTGGAGCCTACGCCTAGGTAGTCGTCCGACACTGAGATAGACTGGAGAAAGAAACTCTTCAGAAAAATAGTAAGGAGGGACTCCTTCTAGTTCGGCGAGGGAGACTCTTCCTGTCGGCCCTTTCTTCAACGCGACTGAAGAGAGGCTGAGATGATAGGTGTAATATTGGGTTCTTCATGCGATAGCGATGAAAGCGGAACAGTGGGATCTCACTCAACACATATATTTCATTTTCAGTATTTTCTTGATGTTGACGTTTAGTACAGAGTTCTACAAGGACTAAAGTAATTCTGATTCCAGAATAAGAAGCTCAGTTTCATGTTGATGTTATTACTCATTGTTAAAACAGCTGTTATCATAGGTGATTCTGCCCTTTCTGGGAAGATTCCAAAGCTGATCTTCCTTGATCGGGAATTTATCCAAAAAGATAAACATAGTCCTCAGTAGTATTAAGTTTCCATCGGATTTCATTCATTCGAATTTTTGATTTATTTGGTAAAGGTATAATACTATACATAGGTTGTTTGAATTTATTCAGGACTTATGATGTTTCAGTTTGATCTTCCGAGGAGTTCTAGGTGTACTGCGTGAAGTTCTAGGTGTAATGCTGGAGTTCTAGCTTGTTCTTGTTATTATGCTGCTGACGACGCTGCAGCGAGGTGATGATGTTGGAGGTACTCGCACTCCTGCTCTACCTGTAGACTCGCACTCTTGCTGTAAAAAGAATGTCAACCCTTTGGTCTTGTTCCTCGGTCTATCTTATTATTTAGACCAGGACTTTTCTCGTTGCACCACGTGAATTTTTTTTCTAATTTTGCTAGCCTGACAAGGCCCAACCTCTTCGGGACCGCTGGGGCCATCCCGATAACTTGGCCGTGAACCCTCGGAGCGGGACTCCGCTTCCAAGGATCGCGAAGTGTGGACCCTAAAAGCGCCTCCAGGGGAGCCCCAACCCTTGGGAGGCTCGGCTCGGAGGTGCTTTGGAGGGGTGTCAAAAAGGGGGGCAAAAAGACCCCACTTTGACACCCCAAACGACCCGGGTCATTTGGCGACCATTTTGGACCAAAAAGGGTCGCCTTAAGGCACCCCCTAGCCCCCACTAGATGGGGCCGCTTCGGTCCTCGCAAAATGACCCGGCAGCTTTTTTTCAAAAATGGGGTACAAAATGCACCCAAAGTGACCCGCTACATTTTTGGCCAAAAAGAGCCGCTTTCGGCCACCCCTTGCCTGGCTCAGACCTCCGCGTCGGAGGTTGGCACCATGGACGGCGAGCCAGGTATCCTTGGCGGCTGCCTCTCTGCGAATGTCGACGACGCCGAACGCTCCCAGTCACGCGATGGCCGGGGTGTATGGCTGTGCGCCAGGCCTTGCACCTGGCTGCATTTTTCAAAAAAAAACTACGTGGTGCAACGAGAAAAATCCTGGTCTAAATTATATTAGCGACTCTACTTCATCTAAGTAGATGCTATCTTAGTATCGAAGTCGACCGTGCTCAATTTCCACAAGGACGCAACAACGCAAATCGACTTAGAGGACTTTACTAGGAAGGTTGTGATGAAGATGGAGGACTACAACATCATCAACAAGCATCAACATCATTGCGATTGTACTACGATGTCTTAGTCGTGTAGAGCCGCGTCTACTAGCTCTAGTAGACAACTTGATGATGATGATGATTGTGCCTAACTTATGATGACTTAACCAAGATACAACTTGATATCACAACATGCAGTCTGCACAACCTTGAACATTCTAGCACAACCTTGAACATTCTCGCACAAAGCAGACAGTGCAGTTAACATGGAAAAGAGACCTTGAACTTGAACTACAGCATGAACCTGCGAGGAATTGATGTAATAGAATAGATAGATGTCCAGAAGTCCTTTAAAGATCTTTTTATTAACTTTAACCTTAAGGAGTTCACGAACAACATGCAGAAATATCAATACAACGAAGTAGAGGCATAGACACCGGCGTCGCTGCCTGGCTGCGACGACGAGCTAAGATTCTCTGATGTTCACGATGGCAGAGCCTGACGCATACTAGACTTGTGCGAGTAATGAATGAATGAATGAAGAGAGGAAAGCTACTTTTCTGCAGCCATGGCCCCTGCGATCGCAAGCCAGAGGACTTCCAGTCCAATCCAATGAAGAAGATTGTGCGTCCATCGGGCAGCATACCTCTACCCTAGCTAGTTCCGCACGTTGGTTTTAACTTTCCACCTCGTCCATGAAAAATAGCAGCCGCATAGAAATGCTACTACTGTGATGAAGTAGGCGCCAACGAAAAGAATTTTCGAAAAAAATATTAATCAAGAACTAGTACGAGGATCAGGATTGGTTTAGTACTTACTCTCGTCCCTAATGATTATGATACCTATTGAGAAGTAACTCGTTTCCTCCTATGAAGCCCTGCAAGGATCCCAACAGGCAACAGCAGGAGCTCTAACAGTGATTAACAACATGATGTCCTCCTCGTGTGTGGTCAAGGAGACCTTGTCTGGCAAAGAGTTTCCGGCAAGGTCAGTGGCAGAAGATGGCAGCGTTCTCGACTGCATCGGTGCCGGATGCAGACACAAAAAACTCGGATTCATTGAGTTGCGCATATACGCACTTGCGTGCTACGTTTATGGTCCACGGCAGCTGAAAAATACTTAGTATTCAGTCTCAGTAACAGTCTGATCTGTCTGATCTGATGATGCGAGTCTATTCGGCAATGATCTACCTTAGATTTCCCTGGCGACTATCTTTCAGAAATGAATGCAAACAATTTTTAAACTGTATCTTTCAGAAATGAATGCAAACGTTTTTTAGACTATCTTGCATAAATGAATGCAAACGTTTTTTAGATGAAGATAAACTGCAGCTGTCTTCAGAAGACTCAGACTCGGGATCTGGTTCTCCTCTGGAAGTGGAACCGATAACGTTTTTTAGAAAATAAATGAATGCAAACGTTTTTTAGATGAATGCAAACGTTTTTTAGATGAAGATAATCAGCTGTCGAACTTTTGGATTACTCCCCTCTAACGCACACGACGCAACGATCTCGTGGCAGAATGTGGACCTTTTAGCTCGCAACGCGACGAGTGGGCGCCATGTTTGCGACAAGCGGTGTTGAATGCTACAAACCCCCTCTTCTTAAGGCTCTACTTGTTCTGCTTTAGCTTTAGTCCAACGAACAACACACGACTTGGTGATCTAGTATCTGCTTTATTTCACGAACAACACACGACTTGGTGATAAGTAAAGCAGTGGGTGTCACAAATTCATCTTGAATGAATCAATGTAAGTACATTAAAGGCATGAATGAATGTACATTAAAGGCTTAGGCCTGGCGCTTTTCATATCGACGGAGTTGGATTCTCAGGGTATGACCTTACGCTCAGAACAATGTATGCTCCCGCTATTTGGTAGCCTGAATTCGATCATAAGGGAAAACAAGAAGAGAACCCTTGTGATCAAATTCAGGCTACGAAATACCGGAACCATGCAAACAAGAACCAACTTAAAATCAAATTTGGTGACTCAGACTCGCTACTTCTAATGTTCCTCCAGATGGAACTTCATTTCATGAAGCCGATTCCGGCAAGCATGATGTCCAATAGCCTTCGCGAAGATCTGGGACAACATATAGAGGATCCAGCAGAGCTCAGCAAGGTAGAAAAACTCGCACCGCCGGATGGTATTGCGAGTGGGACTATCCTTATGTTCTTCGAACTTTATTGATCTTTCATCTCTGATCTCAGATCTCAGATCGGGGAGTAGTTCAATCCTACATGCTCACTGCTTACAGTCACACGATTACAGTTACATCCTACATGAACATCCTAGACATGTACTACCATCTTTCTCAGCATGATTTCCATCTTGGTAAGTTGTAGAGTACCTATCTTGGAGGACGCCTTGGTAACAATTTGTATTACACTCGTCTCCGCATAGAGTACCAGTGTACTAAGGGTACCGGCCGCAAGATTGATAAGGGGACCGAGATACGTCACCCAGCTAGCGCTCTCTAATATTCTCCGCATCTGCGTACGCGGAAACACAATAGAGGCTTTCAAATTATGACCGTCCTAGGCAATGAGTTGTATCTCCAAAGTAGTCATCTGAAAGAAGAAGAGAAGAGGCAATTGACACCTCTAATCACAGACAAGGATCCATTACCTGTCGTCAAGTCTCGTGCGGTGGTAGGGGCTTTGCTTCATGTTTGGTTTGTCTCTCAGGACTTTGTTCGCGGATTCCGCGACAGCTTGAATAAAGAGGTGAAAGTGGCTGTAGAACGATGCAGGACTGCGACGACTGTTAAGGCTCCTGTCTCTTGTGTAGGGAGACATTATTGTCATGGGTCCAATCCGAACCGACTAACATCATCATTGACATTTGATAAAAATTACCATGAAGATACTTTTTCTTTGAGGGATCCTCACGATACCAGGGGCGACGATGAACTAATGGCTTCTGTACTAGCGCTAAGAGGAGCAATGTTGACAGTTCTTGTCGTGCTGTTGGCAACAGGAGATCCACTTTGGCATCTCCTATCATGGACTCTATGGACGCAGGTTCTAGTGGACGTGCTAGTATGGCGAAATCCCCTCGAAAACTACAGGGCCGCTCTTCCTCGATGCGAGAAAGTCCGCCATCAACATCAAGAGGAACTACAGAGACGAGAAGACGACCATCTTGTTCGTCTTCTTCTACTTCAAAAGCGGCCTCCGCTTCATCATCTTCAAAAGAACCGTCAAAACGGCAATCTCATTCGCAGCAAGATGAAGAACCTTCTCCACCAACCCCATCCTCTATGAAAGCGAAAACGAAAACGAGCGAAGACATTTTGACGAGTACAACAGCCTCGGCAGAAAGTGGCCGTCGACTCTCGTCTTCCTCTTCCTTGAGCACATCTTCGAGGCCCTCTACAGCCTCGTCTAAACCACTTATGATTGATTTTGATGAAGAGTTGTAATTGGATGTTATGTACTCCTTGTTCTAGTAAAGAGTCTATAGTCTTCAGATTCAAGAGTGTAATGAAAAACTACCGAAACCTATTGTTTTCTGAGATAGAAGAAATGTAATCTTGAAAAGCTACCGATTGTTTTATGAGGTAGAAGTTCAAGTAGCTACCGAGGATTGTTTTATGACTAAATGCATACCCGTCAGAATGTAACTGACTGGGTATTGGCCCTTAGGCGTCAAAAGATACCTCCAGAACAGGTAAATGAATGAATCGGGCTTGTCCTGAGGTAGTCCTAGTTGTAGGCACTTCTTGTCCTGAGGTAGTACTAGTTGTAGGTACTTGTCCACCTTATGAGGTAGTAGAACTAGAAGTTCTCGTCCACCTCTTCATACTCTCTCGCTGGATTGAACTACCTGAGATCAACTGGCATCATGTGCAGAGCTTGCGACAGGTCAAAATGGAGGGAGAGTTGTACAAGTGGCACCTAGATGGTAGCAAACTACGTGGCAAGCTGATTAAGGCTACCGCCGAACTGTTCGCATCCTCAGCATGATCATCCTTGCTTCGCTTTTTATATTTAAGTTGTACTAGCACGACTTGAAAAAGAACCTACACGACTTGGCTCTTTTTATATTTAAGTTGTACTAGCACGACTTGAAAAAGAACCTATACCTAAGGATCATGCTCTCAGGGATGGAAACGCGGCACGACTCGGTCTTCTAAGCTGATGCGAAATTGGAGTCCAAGATTTTTCAGATTGGAAGAAGGATTTCTGTCCTATCGTAAGATGGGGAGGATGACACAGCCTTTCAACCTTCAGCGAACACGTGTGGTTATCGAACCAGCTTGGTCTAGTTCTACAAGGGCGCAAGCGAACGGAGCAGAAGACACCGGGACAATTATGGAGGACAAAGGATGTAGCTGTAGGTCTAGGTTTTGCTTTGGAAGCTGTTCCCCGATATTTTGATCATGATCATCGGGTCCCTCCGTCACGTTGCACTGTCTTTTAGTCCGCCTGGCAGTCTACTTATAAGAAATCCTGCACTTGATCTTTGATTTCTACTGAAGGGGAAAAGTGAGATCCTGAAATCTACGAGAGTTCCTTTCGGTCACGGGAGTCAAGACAGCAGGAATTGAAACCTGCTGTCTAACTAAATGAGTTCACTGAGACGAAAACTCGACGAGAGAAGTAATTAATCGATCGATCTAATCTAATTGTCTACTCGTTGAGAAGGAAAGAGATCGATCACATTATCGATCTCTAACATGAATCAAATCATAACCATTTCATCAAATGAAACAGTTTACAGGAATGGAAAAATAAAATTTTATTTTGTTGTTGAAAAATCTTCCTCGCTGACGCTCAGAAGATTAAGGTGTTCACGAACAACGACACAACGTTTACGATCGTTTTTCCCCTTGAGAGATCTCAACGTGTCCACTTTCAACATTGGTAGCGTGGTAGAGTGGTTGCTTTTTAGAAGATAAAAGTGTATAACACTTCTAGAGAAGCAAGATCCCCCGATTTGAATATATAGCCCAAATATAACAGGTTGAGACTTCCACTTTTGTAAGGATAGTGTCGTTTGAAGGTCTAACCTTCCGTGATTTTTCTCAAGAAGCGAGTTCATAACACCTTGGATATAGTCCTAACTTAAAAATTTTTTTTCATTTTCCCTTTCCAATTTGTGTTTCCCCTCCTACAAAACAATAAGGGTTTAACCCAGGAAAACCTTTTAAAAAGTGCCCAATTTTACCTGGACGAACAGATTAAAAATATGTCGTCCTCCTCAGAATCGAGCTCGTCCTCCTCGGAATCCGATTCCGGCTCGACCTTCGCAGACCGAATCGACTTCCATAAAAGGAAGCAGCAGATGCTGCAACAGAAGGTCGAGAGACATGAGAAACGGATTGTTGAAATTCGCGAGGAGGAGAGAAAGTGCATTGCCGCACTGAGGAAAGAGAGCGGAAGATTTAAAACTTCCACGTCAGCGAGAACCAACAGCAAAAAGAACGCGAGTAAGGAGGAAAACAACCCCAGATCGCGATCGCGTTCCCGTTCAAGGTCAAAAGAAAATAAGACGCGCAAAAAACAAAGACCAGCCTCCCAATCGAGCTCTAGCTCAAGTTCAAGTGAACAATCAGACTCCGAAGAGGAAAACCAAGATTCAAGATGTCAATCCGGTCAGGCGGCTCTGTCTGGCACACGGAATGAAGAACACTCGAATCACAAACGAGCTCAAGGGGCCGAGAACCCTGATGAAGCCGAACGTCAAGAAAACGACGATAGGAAGAGTGACGGAGAACGTAGAGCAGAGGAAGAAGAGGAGAACAGGGAAGACAGCCCGGAAGTCCACAAGAGTAAACAAGAAACTGCTCAGGTGGATCAGAACCTTGGGGGCGTAATTGACGACAGATTCGAGAAACCGAAGAGAAAAATATCGCAAGAATCAGTACAAGACTTCGGAGATGGCAGTGGAGATGTTTTTGTTCAGGAGGAAGCTGCTCTCGCGCCGACCACTGAAGAAGAAAACGAAGAAGAAAAAAGGGAAGGAGAAGACAACGATAAGGTTGTTGATGAAGAGGAAGGAGCAATCGGAAGTGATTTATCCGAATCCTCCGAAGTCAAGCGTGATAAGGAAGATGAGCACAAAAGAGAACGCGACGACACTGAGAAGAAACAGGACGCGAAGACAGAAGGAGATGCTGAAGCAGAGAAGCTTAGACTTAAAAAGGAAGAAATACTCGCACGAAAGAAGGAGGTGGCGAAACGCGTGAGGATGACAGAAAGGGAGATAGTAGATCAAAAGCAGGACGAAATGGCACGTACAGCTAAGGAAGGAGCCACTGCCACGTCTACCAAACCCAACCAAGCACAAGTCGCTTTTTCTACTAATGCCAACAAGTCCTCACCAAATAGAGACACAAGGAAGAGACACCACGAACAGACACCAAAGGTGCCACCTCCAAAACTAAAGAGGCTGAATAGCACACAGAAAGAGGAAGCAACTGAAGGTAGAGTCACGTTGACAAAAAACAAAAACGCTAAAGGAAAAACGGCCGTCGTACTTACGCCAGCAGCTACCGTTGAGGAGAAGGCAAAAACAAACAAACTCGTCCCACATGAAAAATCGCCACAATGCAACAGGGAGAAAAGGTTGGAACAAACCGACAAGATAACGGTTGAGTTAACCGGGACGGTAAAATCCGTGTCAGAGACAATTAAAGGTCCAGAGGGCAAGACGGAGAAAACGTCCGACCTGGATTTTAGAGCGAGTCCCTTTATTGACGAGTTCGAAGACAATAACGATGTTTATGTCTATCCCACCGGTACCGTGAAGGAAAAACACCATGCGAATACTGGCGCATCTTCGTCTCAGAGTACCAACATGAGAGAAGTCAGTGGTATTTTAGCGCCGCCGGCACCAAGGAAGAAAGCCAGTAGCTTTCAGCCCGGGCCGATGAGTTACGCATCTGGCACACAAACCGTTAACGAACAGTGGGGAGATAAACTAAAGCGGATTGAATTCCAGCGGATTGTAAAGAAATTCGTCGATAACCCGAGTCAACTTACAACAGCTGAAACCTTCTACGTTGCCGCCGCCATGCTATCAGACGATGCAAGAACTCTGATCGAACACTCCGAATACTCCGAACATATGAAACGGACATTCTACGGAAAGTGGGGATTTGGCGGCGATATTGATGTTATTTGCGGTGAAATCAGACAGATAATTGAGGGAGTTCACATCTTCGACTCGCACCAGAACAAATACTGTTTGATGCAGGGGACAACCTGCTCCGGTGCTCTAAAGATGATCGGAAGAGAGTCGCAACACATTGTGAAGGATATTTACAAACAGCAAAACTACAACTCAAAACAAGTTGCGGCTCTGATTGGTGGAATATGCGGCTGGTGCAATGAGAACTTACTAGGGAAGATAACACCACCAGAGTTTCCACTAGTAATGAGGATCATCATGATGGCATATGCGTATCTATCTGACGACCTCGTCATCGAAGATATGGTCAACTACGGAGGATCCAAGGACAAGCGACACGAAGGACGGCCCTGGAAAATCCAATACACCGATAACCACGGGCAAGAAAGGTGCCACCACATCAATGTCACTACACAGAAGAAACTTGGAATTCCAACCGACTACGATGCTAGAAACAGGAAGGAGCAGAACCGAAGGGTCTTCCTGTTGACTATACACCTATCACTTTACCAATCGGCACAATTTCACAGCCATCTACAGACGCCAGCAACACTTGCAGTGAAGATCGCAGTGGCATATAAGGAGGAACTCAAGGGAACACTTAAACTGTTCTCGAAGGGCCGAAGCTGGGCTCTCAGAGAGTTTGAGAACGCGAACCTCTAAGGAAAAAGATTGGAGGGAGTGAAGAGAAGTTTGTTCTATTCCAAGGATGCCTAAGCCTATAAGGTGGGACGTGTCCGAAGAATGTCTAGGTTAGAGGAGACAACCGAATTAAACGGCTCTGTGCAGTCTGGATATGAAAAGTGAATAAGGCTAGCACAGCGCACGAATACGAAACGATCGAGCATATTTCAACACAAGGTATACAATATTTAGAAAAGAGAGAAATAACGCGAGGAAACTAGAAAGTTTAGCAAAAGTATGAAGAAAACGTGCTAAACATCTGTCGTGCCGGTATATCCTCACTCCTGGAGGAAAACTACCAATCCCGAAGCATCAACATGACGAATTACGAAGAGAATATGATTGGAGCACTGCGAAACCTACAGTACGACGACGCTTTTATTTTTGGAGACCTGAGCCAAGCGTTTATACAGATCGAGCAAGATTTCGTCGAGGAATTTGTTGTATATATAGACGACGTAGCACTACTAGTACGCGAGGAAGAAAATCGTGACGAAACACGAGAACAACTAAACAGACGGGAAAAGAGAAAGCAAGCAAGAGAACAAGAAAAAGCAGATAAGAAGTTCGAGATGAATCTAGTGATTGAAGCAAGAAGGAGAGCTAGAAGGTTTCGCCGAAATAAAGTCGGACGTAGTCTTTACTGAAAACAACCCTGCAAGAGTTACATTTTGTTTTACTCATCACTCATTAGTTCTTTTACACGAACCTGCAACCCTCATCAAAGGCTCGAACATTGTAAACCCCCCCCCGGTATTTGAAAACTCAAACAAAGTTTTAAAGCTCATGCCCCATTTATATATATATTTAAAAAAAAAAAAAAAGGGTGTCCAAAAGAGAATCAAGAGAGCAAAGCGGACACAAAAGTGAGTGCTCGCAAAAGGATCAATAAGAACTACGCCCAGAAAGTTTGTGTTAGGAGCGAAGAAGAATTATTCTTGAGGTCATTATGACGGCCTACACGCAGGTAGACGGGTTTTTACCTCGGTTGAGAGAAGAAGCCGAGGAAGACCTCTGTCCTGAGGGGAGCGAGCGTGGGAGTTGATACCATGGAAGGACTAAAAGTCCTAAGTGTTTGTTCTTGTATTTTAAGGTTTATGGTTTTCTAAGAACGCGAAGAAGAAAGAATTATAATCTAATATGATCCAGCGAATTATAATCAATCATAGAAATGATCAATATTTTGCTTACTGTCATTCGTATTCGGAGCGTTATCTGCTATAGTAAGACGATGTCAACTTCTGACACGGATATGTCAACCGGGAGTGGCGGACAGGGATATCAAACGCCCGCCAACGGGAGCACTATGCAACATAGCATGACGCCACCACCAGCCCTGAGCCCGCTCCTGCCTCCGAGTGGACAGTCACAACCGGCAGCCACACAACTACAGCAGAACAGCGTCTCTTTCGAATATAATCACGTTACAGACAACAGTCAACTGAGCCAAAATTTGAACGCGCAACAGAACAACCTAAACCAGACACAACAGAACAACAACCTCACACAAGTTTTTACCGGTCTGGACGAAAACACTAATACCGAGATGAGAAACTTCGCGTTAGATATTCAACGGAAAATGCACGCGCAAGAGGCAGCAATGGAGGCTCAAAAGCAAGCTATGAGTGCTCAATCCGAAGCTGCTGTTAAGCAGGCTCAAGAGATGGCAAGACAAAATGCTGAACAACAAAAGATGTTCTTCGAACAGATGAAAGCAGAGCGTGAAGCGGGTGCCAAAAGAGCGGAAGAACAAACAAGAGCACTACACGAGGCACTCAAGAGTCAGCAAATGATGTTTGCCCGCCTAAAACAAACTGAAAATCAGCGAGATGTACTCAGAGAGACCGGCGCTTTTGCCATTGGTACTCCAACACATTCTGACTCTGGAAAGAGTTTTGGCGGTAAGAAGGGGATGAAGTACGGAGATCCTAACTCCTCCGCAGCCTCTTCGTCCAGCTTCAACTTCATAGAAGACCGTGCAGAACAAAAGAGAGCTGACCAGGAAAGACGGACACAAGAAGGCAAGGGTAATATTTCGAGTTTCCTCGTTAACGAGGCACTGACCTTCTCCACGAAGGCGAATCTCACTGGAGACGCTGCTGCCAGGTTCAAAAACCTGGGGCGAGTCAATCTTCAGTCGGGCGACTTCGATGAGTCCCCTGGCAGGCCAAGAGCATACTCCGATCCGTGCGACATGCACCAGGCTTTTCCCAGAGAACTACATCCAACAATCGCAGGGCCATCATCTGTTGAACCAGGAGAGATTAAAGGAATCATGCCCAGATTTGTTCAGATATTCTTCGAGGAAGATGCTATGGCTGCAGGTTCCGTATACCAACAAGAGGACATTCTCATACCGAAACTGGACCAAACAAAGGGAATAGAGTTCCCGACTCTAGACAACTCGCCCGACATTCACTCTTGGGTCGCGGATGTAGAAAACTACCTGCTTATGCAGACTGCGACAGCTAGAGGATACCTATATCCACGCGCACACTCTAGGAACTACATCAAAAGAATGATATTCCCACAAGAAGGAAACCATACTGATGCTTTTTCCAAAAGCATGAAGGCAGTGCTTACTACTGTGCAGAGGGAAAAGCTACAAGCTACTGGCACACTCTCAGAGAGGATTCCAGAAACTCTATCATTCACGAACCTCCTACAGGAGTTCTACAAGATATTCAACGCGAGGCGCGTCATCGGATCGGCCGAAATAAGAGCCTACAACCAGTGGAAACCACCAAAGCACGCAAGTGTAGCAGGCATCATCCGGAACTACATCGTGACCGCAGCCAAGGCAGGTGTAAAATGCGTTGCGTCCAAAGATCGAGACGGTGTACATGTCCCTCTTACCCCTGCCGAAAACATCCAAGCAATTTCTCAATTTTTCAAGTTCTACACACTGCCAAACCACAAACAAACTATCAAAGAGATAACAAGAAACTGCGGACGCACAAACATATCCATTCAAGACATACTCGAATACTACAGTGTCGACGAAGATATGGATGCGTACTTCGATCTGACAGATTCACTCGGATACGGGGCAAAGAAAGCTACAGAGAAAGGATATGTCGTTGACGAAGAACAGCCATGGTGTGAAAGTCCTGCTGAGTGGTCATTTGCTCTCAATGACAACGTGCGAGGATCACACCAATTCAATCCAAGAAAGCCTCTTGGTCAATTTGGACCGGGAGGAAAACTTCAAACAAATTCAGGCGCAGGCAAAGGAAAAGGTGGCAAGGGTAAAAAGGGGAAGAAAGGCAAGGGAAAGAGGAAACCCAATGCATTCTGGAACAACAGATGCAGAAACTGCCTTTCGAAAGGATGTCACACTAGTGTCTGCACGAAGCCACCCATGTGTTTGAAGTGCCTTCAAGATGGACACGTGGCGAAAGACTGCACTAACGTCAAAAAGGTGCTATCCCCGACAGACTTCAAGGCATTCATTGACAAACGAAACCTCCCTTCAGCCTTCATGATCGTACAAATGGACCTAAACGCCGAACAGGATTTCTGTTTCTATGTCGGGTCTGCGAATGACATGGCCAAATTCTGCAGCGCTTTCTCTGCTCAATTTCCCCCGGGGGAAGAGAGTGATGCGGACGACGAACTAGGGGCAATATGTCCACAGACAGGAGACGAAAAGGAAACAGAGCAAGGAACAGAGGCTGCAAACGTAGGGTATGAAGGAACTACAGATGAGGGAGAGGAAGTATACGAAGAGGAAACTGAGGAAGATGATGACTGGGGACCAGTGCCACAAGAATTTGCACTGAGAGTCATGCAGAAGGAGTCGCTCATGATCGACAATTTCGGTGAAGTACTGTGTGAGGAGTCGAACAAAGGCAGTGAGCTTGGTACTGAAATCAAAAAATTTAGGAAAGAGGAAGAATTGGGAATAGAAAAGAAAATAGAAGAATTTGAAGAGCACCTACTTAACGACAGGAATTTTGTAGAACAGGACGAAGAATTCAAGAGATTCAGCACGAAGATAGGAAACGAGACGGAGTCGGCAATGAGAATCAAGGAACAAAGACCACAGTGCGCCACACAGATCAAGTCACTTGTGGGCTCAGGATACAACGTGGAACTCTACCTAAGAAAGACATCGCTTGATGCACTTGAGGGCTACCTAAACGCGAGAAACGTAAGAGCCCAGTCAAAGCTAAGTGACGAACTCTGCGGAACCGCAGGGAGCAATGTATCGATAATGAAAAGAGCGATACTACCACTCGAGAAAAGAATAAAGCTCCCATCGAACGGTATAGCCGCTATTCGAGGATGGGCACTGATCACGGTTGTTCCTGATACTTTCAACAGCGACGGAACGCCGGCAGGTTTTGATCTCGCAGGCGAAGGAATTCTACAAAGATGCGGAATATCCCAGATTAGGGAACACAAGTACGAAAACATCGGATCAGAAGAGCCGTCAGGAGTAGAGTGCTATCTAGAGAACAGCGCCACCAAGTGGAGGCTCGACTACGAAGGAACGCAGTGTCTACTAGACTTCTTCGACTACTCTGAAGAATTCCTACAGCAGATCAGGGCGATGCAAAAGAAAGGAAAGATACACAACTACACCAGGTACGTTCCATCATTTATCACGTCTACATCGGAAAAGGTAGCGCCAGTACTGGACTCTATTCCAGAGGACGAAGAATACCAACAAACGGAAAACAGAGTAGAAAAGGGCATGATGGAAGAACTGGAGGATCCACAGCCTCCTGCCGAAGAACTAGAAGGCGATGAAATCGGGCTAAGTGAGATCGTAGACACACAGATCAGGAATAGAGAGAGGGCTGAGAACAATGAGGTCGTCGTTCTCGAAGTGCCAACAGATGAACAACTCGGTATTCAACCAGGCGAGAATGGGTACTTTGTAGTTCAGAGAACAATAGCGAAGAACATAACAAGGCTACCGCCAGTAGAGGAAGAAATAAAAAACCGGATTCGTTTCAGATCGGTACTGGATGCGTACACCGGAAACGTGGTTCTACAGATGGACAAAATGTACTCAGCCAGGCAAGTAATGATAGAGCGCGAGGTTAAGCTGGGAGACTATGTAATCGACGACTTTGTCTACGTGTCTACGCCCGCCGAACCAAGGACTGAGGCAAGACAGCCTACAACTCCGCGGAGGTGTCATAAGTGCAAGGGTATGACGTACCTAGACATACCAGTCGCGATTAGAATCGGCGTCGAGGAAAGTGCACTCATGAATAAATTCGCACAGACGAGCTATTTGAACGAGATAGAGATCTTCACCAAAAGTCACGTGGACGCTGTGCCATATAGTCTAATCACGAGCACAAAGGTGATAAATGTGGACAACTACCTAGACACGCACAGAATATACGACAGTACGCAGATAGCGAACAAGACGGGTCTGCACAAAGACTACCAAGACGTGGTCATGAGCCAAAAAGAACAAATGAACGAGCTCGAGGAAGTCTTCCTAGATGTCATGAACGCGCCAGCCCGACACGGGAGCAGGAAGAGGGTATGCATCACATGCAAGTCAGGAGTAGGAGTTAGTGTAGCAGTTGCGGAGTTACTTGCACAAGCACACAAGAGGAGAAAGTTTGCAGTGAACCACTGCTCCGCACCGACGGCACTTTTCGAGAGAGGATTAGAAGTTAGACCTGATGGCGGAGTGGGTGAGAGACCACCCGAGGGGTCGATGCTCAGAGAACTAAGGTACGTGTTTGATCTTGGAACAAAGAGATTGTCGCAAGCAGATCGCGAAGTGTATAGAGAAATAGAGAACATGGCCATAAAACACGGTTGGCCGCAGGAGAAAAAGCTCCTAAAGCTCGTCTTCAATGAGCTACAAGGAATAAATCCAGCGAGGCTAGCGTATCTAGTAGAACTGGCATCGAACAACTATGAGTACTCGATAAAGCACCAGAGAGCTGCAAGGAACAGATCGATGAGAGGCTTCCTTCTATCGAGGAACACATCAGGAGCACTGGTGATGATTGACACAGCCTTTTTCGCAGCAGTGCCCGGCGATAACATCCTATACGCGTCGTGCGTCCTGATGAATCTAGTAACAAGGAGGAGCTGTCAGGTGACCGCGGGCACCTCGGTGAACATAGAAGAATACATTACGAAGAAGAAGCTGGACCAGGACGATGCACAAAGGATAAGAGAAGGCATAGCAATAAATGCATGCGATGTTTTCTCGGTGCCAGAATTAAGGAAAGGAGGCGCGCCGACAGCGGCCGCGGTGATGAAGCTGTGTGACAAGGCAGTAGACATGAGGATCATGCCACCAAATGGAGGAACCATCATCATAGACAAGGGGAGAGAGAACATATCGTGTGAGTGCGCGCAGAAATGGGACAAGGAAGTCAGAGACGTTTTTGCAACATCGACAGGAAATGAAACAGGGCTTGCACCTATCGAGAGAAGACACCTAGCTGTAAGAAATATGGACGCAAAATGCATCAGAGACCCTATTTTTGCAAACGTGCCACTAAGCGTCAGGTTAAACGAAATACACAGGATAATAGGGAGAAACCCGGCGAGCGCTTTAGACGGGCTGGCACCAGACACATGCGATTTTGGACCGTGTGAGGGAGTAGAGGCGTCAAACATAGAAGACGACGCAGTGGTAAGGTACAATATGGATGAGGCGGCAGCGTCGACTTTCATCAGGGCGGAACATAGCCAAGCAATTCAGGCCTACCACCGGGCAATTACACTTGAAAGGACGTGGTGGAGGAGGCCAGAAAGATCAGGGCACGAGAACGACGCGAACTGCAATTACAAACCAGATACCGAGAAGGACAGAAAATACGGCATAAGGGGAAAGACACAAACTGGTACCCGGCAACATTCGTGAAGTACCTGCCGTCGTCAGTAGGAGAACCCAGATGTGAAATAAAGACTGGAAATGGATCGTATCAACCACCAGTATACGTAGCACAGATTGAACCAAAGGTGAACTATGGCTACCGCGTGACCTTCCCGGAGTTAAGACCACTCAACATGGAATTTCTACGACTGCAAGGAAACAACACAGGAAGACCAAAACTGAGGCCCGTATCAGCAGCAGAGGACAACCTGCTGCCCTTGAAGAGAAAGGAGAGAAAGGTGACACTTCCGAGTTACCAAGAAGGCGGATCATCGTCGTCATCGTCATCAGCGCGACCGCGAATGGTAGAGAGACAGGAAGAGAGACAAGAAAATATACAGAAAGGAAGAAAGAAGGGCAAGACCAGAAAGATGGAATTTCAAGAGGTGGCTTTCTCTGTGGATGACAACCCATTAGAGCCGGAAAATATAATAAGAACAAAGGAGATGGTAACGGCCGACAGGGTGGCCGTAGAGGAAAGTCTACAGCTGATAAAGCCGACGAGAGCACAAAGACGTGGCTTAGCTTTCACGCTCCTGAAGGAATTCAGTCAAGACTTTGCAGGAGGAGAACTACGGGGCGACAGTCTGCCCAGTAGCCTAGTTCATGCTGCACTCTTCGATGCACAAAATGAGAAATACAGAGCACCACTGAGGACGTGGCTACTCAACCAAACCGGAACCGAAGACGCAGCAGGGATACTAGATGAGGATACTGATCCCGGAAAGGGAAGGAAAGCAATAAAGGTAGGCGTAGACGAGGTAGAGTTCATGGAACGGAGTGCACTCGGAAAGTGGGAAACAGAGGGAAAGAAGAACGAGGTCATTGTCATCGTCGAGTATTTCAATTCTGATAGAGCGATAGACGAAGACAATGCAGAAGAACGACTCCTAAAAATTGACAGACCACACTTTACCGAGGAAATGAGAAACCGGATACGCTCGCATTCGAAAATCATAGACCTAGACCAGTCGTGGCTACGGTACGTCTTAAAGGTACCGCTACACATGAAGAATGCGCTCAAGAAAGAGTTTAAGTCATGTTTTGAACAAGACCTCTTCGAAAAGATGGATAACGGTACGATCTTCGACGAGGAACAAAACCCCATAACGTCACGCGTGATATTCGATTTGAAGAGAGTGTCAGACACCATGACGCAACTGAAAGTCAGGTGGGTCCCTGGTGGCCACCAACAACACAGAGGCAAGGGGATAACATGCGAGTCGCCTACGCCCACAGAGACAGAGGTGAGACAGTGTCTTTCTTTCGGGAGAAGATTTAAAAAGAGAAAGCTTGTGTCCGGGGATGTGCCTCGTGCATTCCTGAAGACTCTGCGATGGGCGAGAGAAAAGCGGCCACGTACTCGCTTTCCATCAAACGTTCGCGCAGATGATCTTCTCGTGATGATGGCAGCCGAGTTCGACCTCGGGGTAACGTCGATTCTGGTTTTAAACATTCCGCTATACGGGACCAGAGAAGGCGCGCTGGGGTGGTACAGAACCCTGGAGACATTCCTGAAGTCGAACGGCTGGAGAAACTCACAGTACGCGCCGGCAGTCTATGTAAAGAAAGATAAGAAAAGCGGAAAAGTGCTCGGAATTATGTGCGTACACGTGGACGACTTACTAATTCACGGAGAGGAGGAGCACGTTAGTGAAGTGATGGAAATGTTAGCGAACAAGTTCGGAGTAGAAACATGGGAGCGCGGGAAGTTTATCTTCTGCGGTAGGGAGATAACAGACGAGGAGAAGAGAATCACGATAGACGTAGCTAGGAAGATACAGACACTTACGGAATTCAGTTCCGAAGGCAAACAAGACGAGGACATACTGTCAGCAGCAGATGTGACACAGCTGAAGTCCAAGCGTGGGGCGGTACTATATATAAGTACATGCCGAGTAGATGTGCAGCTCGCAATAAGACTTGTATGTCTAGGACAAGACGCAGCAAAGAAGTATCGCGAGGCAAGAATGCTAAACGAAATACTACGTAGGTTAAAGTCCATGCCCGACGCAGGAGTAGTAATTGATCTATCCTATGGGGATGAGACGTTCATAATCCTGACGGATTCGTCGTGGCAGTACCTAGGGCCCAATGTGCCCGAGGGGAGTGACGTACCAACAGAGAAGGAGGACGTTATGATCGTGGAGGACGAGCAGATCAAAATTGTTCATCAGATTCCGAGGACTGAGCTCTGGAAGCCCGAAACAGAAGAGCTGAAGACGAGGCTGAACGATTACGGATTCAGGACCACCAACGGGACGAAGGTGAAGAGTGGGATTAAATTCGAAGATAAAGACAAGAACTGGAAAGACCCAGAAAACCAGATCGGAACTGAGGAAAAATGGGTAGGAGTAACAACCTTTACAAAGAAAGAAGTAAAGAAACAAGAAGGGCACAAAAAGGTAGAACCAGTAAGATACACGACAGCCAAATCTGCGACTTCGAAGAAGCGCAAGAGACTCGAAGAACAGAAAAGGAAGTATAACGCAATAGAACAATATACGATAGCGAAAGGAGACGTGAAGGAGGAAGCCAATAAACTGAAGCCGATTCTTGGAATGGTGCTTCTGTCTGTGTCCCAGGCTGACTTGGAGGAAGCGGCTAGGGGCACCATGGAGGTGAAGAGAGGACTCGACACGAACGAACAAACAATGAGGTGCTCAATACTCTACTCAGATGTCACATTCAGCGACACAGTAACGGCCTCCTCATACGAAGGCGAACTTCTGGCAGCAAGGGAATTTATAGACGTAGGACTTGCACACGTTGCGAAAGTAGAAACATGGACGGGCACAGCTGAGGATCTGAGTTTGATCACGGATTCAAAATCACTTACGGCACGGCTTAGGTCGAAAGCAGCGATTGACGTGCAGGATGCTAGGGTCTATAAGCCACTCGCTCTACTGAAAAATCTGTACTCTCATGGTCTATTTGAGATCGGGGGAGTGACAGACGAATATAACCTCGCAGACGCACTTACAAAGGTGCCGGCCGGCAAGAAGCTCCAACAGCTGTACCGGGCAATGCAAGGCGGAGGATGGACTTTTGCAAGGGGCGAGATCGCATTATTCAGAAGACGTTTCGTATGGGAACTTCCGCTGTCATCAGACCAGAAGGAGTTGTCTTGACGAGGATGGCAAGGAATTGAGAGATTTGATTTTTTTACTTACGAGTTTAGTCTGAGCTTTTTAGAGCAGACAGATGAAGAAGACTGACTGAGTGACCATTGGAACAAACGACACTAACAGCAAACCTATACGACAGACGTAGACGCATAAAGTATCGCATGGTGATACTAGAAGGGCCAGGGGTTCTACACGAGCGCTACGTTGTCGATTTTTGAAAAAGTCACATGGTGACTGTAAATCGAGACCCATAATATGAAATGGGTAATTCTCCAGGGGAGAAATACAAGAAGCCAGAACTTTCATGGAGAGTCATCGCGGAGCCAGGGGCTGCGCGCGGCGAAAGTGGTTGATGGTCCACTGTGAAAAACCATCAACGTGGTGAAGATGATGTAAAGAAGAAAAATAACATATAATTAATGACGTAGCAAGTGTCTCATTTTTATTTTCAATACCCCTTGGGGTGATAAGAAATCCTGCACTTGATCTTTGATTTCTACTGAAGGGGAAAAGTGAGATCCTGAAATCTACGAGAGTTCCTTTCGGTCACGGGAGTCAAGACAGCAGGAATTGAAACCTGCTGTCTAACTAAATGAGTTCATTGAGACGAAAACTCGACGAGAGAAGTAATTAGTCGATCGATCTAATCTAATTGTCTACTCGTTGAGAAGGAAAGAGATCGATCACATTATCGATCTCTAACATGAATCAAATCATAACCATTTCATCAAATGAAACAGTTTACAGGAATGGAAAAATAAAATTTTATTTTGTTGTTGAAAAATCTTCCTCGCTGACGCTCAGAAGATTAAGGTGTTCACGAACAACGACACAACGTTTACGATCGTTTTTCCCCTTGAGAGATCTCAACGCTTCCACTTTCAACACTTAGTTATAGTTTGATGTAGTTCATCCTCTTCTTCTTCACTGCTCCTAGTCTAGTTGTAACCACTAACTTCTTCCAACTATCTAAATCTGATCTAAAACGATCTTGAAAAGTAGTTCCTGGTCAGTGATCTTATCCTTATGACAGAGTAGTTTATAGCACCCATGGTGCATGGAGTAGCATGGAGTGCATGGAGCGCAGAGCTTTAAGGGGCGCAAGAAGCTCCCCCTTTAGCTCCATGCTACTCCATGTGATCCATGCACTCCATGCCATGCGAGCTGTGAAACCTTATAAGTTGCTCTGTTATAAATAGCGACGCTTGTATTAACTACGAATGCTTACAATCTGAGTAGAAAACATGCTGCGTCTAACTGGAGTTTCTCCCCCCCCATCTCATTTACTACATTTTCCTCCTCCTCGTCCTCCTCGCCTTCCACGTGTACTTTTTCTAATCTCATTTACTACATCTTCCAGATTTTGGACCAGGAGACGCAACAGCCATTGTTTCGACTTAGCGCTCGCAACCGAGAACTCGCAAAGATGTGGGTCACGCAGATAGTAGCCTTAAGGCCCCCTCACTTATAATGGCCCTTCCCCACAACTGTACGTACCCCAAGACTGGGTAGATTAATCTTTTTAAAAGGTCATCATCTTTTTAAAAGGTCATCACTTAGTCCTCTTCGTCCATCTTTTAGCATTAGCTCATCACTTAGTCCTCTTCGTCCATCTTTACGCATTAGCTCATCTGCAGTCTGTTTTCAAGTAGAAAAGGGGGGACAGATGGGGCAAAAGATGGATGATTTTTTTTGACTTCTAATAGCCGCAATTTTTTTCCTCCGTAGAGAAGCGCACTCCGTAGAGAGGGGTCTCAGGCTCAGTTCACTCGTTACGTCATCGGATAAGCAGCAGGTAGCATTATCACGATCTGTTCTTCTAGATGTTGTGAAAATCTGCAGGTCAAACCATGATTTCAACTGTGAGCAGCGATCAACATAGTAAGCTTAAAATATCCTTAACATTACATTATATTGATCGCTTACAGCAATAATCCACTACCATCAAGTAGTTGATGTCGTTGAAATCCTGATCCACCTTGTACAACTTGGGAAATTTTCAACATCTGGACCAAAACAATACAACAGAGCGGCTCCGCAGCCTCGGCAGAAGCTTCTTGCGCCCCAACTCCTGGCGCTTCGTCAGCTATATCCGATCGGTCAGATGCAGACGGTCACTCCAGAATAGATTCAAAAGTGGACTTGCTTGAACAACTAGAGTCCTCCTGTTGTGATGGGAGCAAAAATGAAGGAGAAGGAGAGGGAGAGGAAATTATAAGTGGAGGTATTACATCAACATCAACTTCATCAAGCAGTGCAAGTGGGACTAGAGGTAGGACATCAACAAGAACATCGAATTCAGAGGTCACGAAAACGAGCGCCGTCGTGAAGAATTCAGTCGATTGGTTTGCAGTTTCAGTAGCTCTGCTTGCGGTTCTATTGACCAACAGCCTTTGCGGCGTTGATCTCTTATTGCTAGTGCTCACGACGGCGAGGGCCTCTTTGCCTTTCTGATTCAGATTCCTCACGACTTGGACTAGTTTTTTTCCCTAAATCATGACTACCACTTGAAGCATCTGCGTCAGCGTGTGTCCTCTGAAAGAAAAATCCGTATCCTCCACTTGCAAGAAAAGAAAAAATCCAGAACAGTCAACATTTGAAGTTCCATCATTGTTGCCGCTCAGTCAACATCTGAAGTTCCATCAACGCTCCTGGTGGCGAATCGATGATGATACAGATGCACATAAAAAGAGACTCCCTGATGTTCAACATCATGATTCCCAGAAGAAGACGACTGGCTGTTCATCAAGATTAAAGAATGTTGTCAAGGGTGCGAAGGAGGCCGAAGGGTTCCTCAAGGATATCAAAAGATCAAAAACGTCTGGGGTTACAACTTTAATCCACTGATAGAAGGTTGTCAAAAACTTGCTCGCGTCCATGTCTGTTCGTAGTGAAGTGCATTTACAAGGAGAAGCAGTAACTAATAATATTGTTAGCACTTCCGTGGCAGATGCTGATGTTCTTGCTGCTGTTTCGAATGATTCGCTTCCAAGTCTGATGATGATGCATAATTGATTCTCACTATCTTCCAAAAACTCATATCAAAACTCATCGCAAAGCAGGAGGAAAAGGAACGAGAGAGCACATGTCGAAAAGGAGTACTTGGCTGAGCTTCAGTGTAGTTAGTTAGTCCTAGTTAGTTCGAGTTTTCATCAGGTGGAATGTGATACGTAAGCTAGTAGTTGCTCCGCATACTACACAACTCTCTGTCTCTCTTTTATTTATCAACATAATTCTTGCAACACGACATGGATATTTATTATATTTATAATCGGCAACTCATTCTCATACTGTTCTTGTTGAACAATTTGAAATATTTTCAAATATACTAAAGATAATCCGACGTGATACGTAAACATAATCTTCATGCTGCAGCAAAACTACCTATCGCTATCTGAAAAAGAGAATTACGAGCACGCATGATTCTCTTTTAACTTTAACAAGTTAAAGAGAAGCAGGGTGTAGAAGTGTATTATTTTTTGGTCAACATCAACAGCAGAAAGGCGATAGTGATCCGACAGAAACAAGGAAGGACTCGCGGCGCGACGTGGTGCAGAGTCTTCCTTTTTTTGCTGAGAAGGAATGTAGGTGACCTCTCCTAGAGGACATCACTAGAGGACATCACCGTTACTTCTGAAAAAATCACACCAAGAACACGGACCACGACCTCCCAAGAAGAACCTGCGAACATACTATCTTCATCGTCTCATGCTCCTCCCCCAGCTGTAGTACTTCCTTTTTTTGCTGAGAAGGTGGCCTCATCTCTTAGCTTTTGGACTCGAAGACTACTAAACAGATCTCGCTTGGACCCCGCTTCTGATCAAACGTGACCCTCAAGCTCTAGCTCAAATATCACTCATCAATCAGGGACTTTCTTGGAGCACTTCATCTACATACACCCAATCTTTTTGGGGTTTGGACCTACGTTGGTTTGCAGCGGTTCGTGGTGACCAGCGACTGTTGCAAGACCGAACAACTGTCTTCTATTTCCGCCTACTTATTCCGAACAACGTTCTAGATCTACAGTTGCTTCTATTCCGAACAACGTTCTAGATCTACAGTTGCTTCTATTCCGAACAACTATCTTCTATTTCCGTCTGTTCCGCGCGCTCGTTTCAACACACACGAAAATGGCGAAGGTGAACAAAGAGGGTGGCAATACCGATGCGATGTTCGCGCATCAGCTGAAGAAGTTAAGGCTTGCCGTAATTCATCTTAAGAGGCATCTTTGGGCACGATTTCAAGGGGAATTCACTTCAAAGATGCACTTTAAGATGAATATGGATAAGGTCTAAAGAAGGCTGGCCAGCAACCGGACACGACAAAGAATTAAGGCTTCTCCTAATCCATCTCTTCCTCTTGAGGTTGAGGCCTCCTCTTCCTGGGGAGCATGCTTTTCAAGGGGAGAAAGTTTTCAAGGGGATGGTTTTCACAGGGATCATGCGTTTGAAGGGAAGAAAGTTTTCAAGCGGATGGATTAGCATTAGGGTCCGCACCAGCTCTAAAAGAAGATCGAGCTAGATTTGGGAGCCGAAGAACTCGCTGGACACAGTGTCTTCAACTTCCAATTTTAAGGCTAGAAATGGGAAGTTGAAAACACGGAACCAGGCAGCTTTGAGTGAGCTGCTACGTGGTTCGAATGAATGAATAGCATGTGAAGGACTTCTCGGCAGTAGAATAATTTTTACACCATTAGTACTAGGGATCCAGGCTCTTTATTCTCTTATGCTCTCGTTCTGTCTCATGCTCCTACCTCCATCTAACCATGATGCGAGGCCTTAAACAGCGACAGCAGTCGTGCCAATTGTCGTCAGATTTTGGTGCCACAAGAAGACTCAATCGCCATGGTGTCAGACACTGACGCGCAGATGCTCCTGAAGATTCACTTTCGTGAAAAAGTGAACCTTACAAAGTTAAGATTCTTCTCGATTTTCTACTTATTTAAAGAGCAGTATGTTATTATTAATTCATCTTATTAAAGTAGTACAGTGCACACCCGTCATTATAATTGACTGCGTATATCATCATCATCATCATCATCTACGTTGAAGAGTTTGTTCAGTGCATCTCATGAATCTACTTTGAAGAGTATTTCATTAGTCCTACGAGGGCTCCAGCGCTAAGGTGTCTCGTTTTCCGTTGCGACGAGCGACCCAACTTACTCGCTGATGAGCTAGGTGCAGAGTGCGCTCTGGGAGGTATGGGGCTACTAGGTGAAGATTATGGCTCCTTTGCGTAATTCGTCTCAAGAGGTATCTTGAACGAAAACTACAGGTCAAAGATGAGCGACCTCCAAGAGTCGATCGATGATGGTAAGTAGGTACTCGAAAAACTGAAATAGCCGAGTGTGCTAGGGAATAATTATCAACAGAGACAACTCTCGACGGTTACTGTTTTTCGAATACTTGCGTCTCCTTCTTTTGAGAAGTATGATCTATTCGAAAGTTGCTCGAAAGTAAATCTATTCGAGCTCTATCTCTAAGGAGAGCAGGAGGAAGACGAGGAAGATCTCGATCCCGAGTGCTCGTGTCAGCCACCTGGTAAGGTCCGCATCTTCGCAAATCAAGATGAGCTGGACTTTCAAGATTTGGACTTCTATAAACCAGCTGTGGAAGTCGATATGACCGACTTGCATTGTCCTCCGGAACCGAGTGCTCTTAGGAGAGAAAATCAACTATGTGTTCTTGATTTAAGTATCTAGTACTAAGAATGTAGTTCTAGTAAATTAGTAAATTGATTTAAGTATCTACTATAAGAATGTTATAGTAAATACTACGTTGTTAATCTACCAAATACTACGTGGTGTTGCTTAACCTACTAAGACCGGTGTTCGACGATTTTGCTCAGGTCACCCATCATCCTCGGAGTCGAGCAGGTGCCGGCGGGGCTCGATGTGCGGGATCCATAACCTAACCTAACCAGGCCGGCTCTCTTCTTGCGCTTGCTAGCTATTCGTGCGTTGATTAACCTACTAGTACTAAGAATGTTATTATAGCCTATTATACTCCTAATAAGAAAGTTATTATAGCCTATTATACTACTAAATCTAAAATCTATTGGTCCGGTGTTCCTTCTGCGGATTATGGTGCTCGAACAAATCAACAACATCTGGGATCAAAATGGTAGACTCACACTCATGCTCGCACTTACCTGCTCTCCTCTCACGCTTACCAGCTATTTGAGGATCAAACATAAGTCCACTTGAAGTTTTAAAAACTAACATCCTCTGTGGATCAACACATCCTCTATTGATAACATCCTCTATTTTGTATTAGAATGCATGTTATCCCGCCTCAGGGTAACTACCAATAACCCTCGAGAAGTATTGCAGGGAGGTTCTAACTCAATAGGCAGAAAGAAGCAGACGGGCAAGAGGATGCAAGATACGTCGGACATCGTAAGGCCTTCAAACGCGAGCTTTATGAAGAGAATTATCACTCATTTTCTTTTTTTACTCGTTCACTGAACTTCACCTCCACGCACGACTAGTAAAACCATAAAATTAGAATATCATTGTGTTAAATTTTTGTAAGGTTTTATTCAAGTCTATGTATATCGTATAGCTCCTTCTTCTAGGAATCAATCAGAAGATCTTCGCGTCTTCAACGCTCAACCCATGAAATGGATGACAACCTCCCCCCAATAAAAAACGGTCCTTTCCCCGCCACCTTCGGTCCTTTCCCCACCTTTCATTCCGTATATGCAGACGGTTACGCTGACGGGACCGAAGTTTCAGAGGTGTAGCACACTCCAAATTTTTATCACAGAGGCGAAAGACGATGCGGACCTAAGCTTCTTGAACCACCTGGCCATTTATGGCGTCCTGGCGACCGACTACCACACGACTTATCGATAGAAGCCTTAATCTTTTCCACTGGTACGACGACATCGTCCAGCTTTATCCCCGGGGCTGCTTCTCTGATTTTTTTGAGTGGTATTCATTTTCATATGGACGAGGGTCGTTAAGGTCCACAAAAGACAAACTGAAACACGAATGAGCTTCAATCTCGAAAAAAACATCATGATAGATTGTCCCCGTTATCGTTGTCGTCGAGATTTTCAATTATAATAACTCTAGAGAGGTCCTCCTATCACTGTCTTTTTTCTAGTTAGGTCCGTCGGCTCCGCCACAATTATGATAACTCTTCTTGAGTCTAAAAAGTAATGTGTATTTTGGTCCATTCGTTCTCCCAAGATTGATGTTTATCCTCTCGAAGAATTATGGTGGCAAGAAAGGGTAAAACGATACCTGTCGTCGAACAAGAGGTGCCCGCTTCCAAACTTGTTCTTGTGATTTTTTACAACACTGAGAATGCTCCTCCCTTATATGAATATAAGTGCCTACATTGTTCCAAGAAGCAACATGAGTAACATTGGTACACTGTTCCAATGAGCAACATGAGGATGGAGATGAGGCGTCGCGATACTCTCGCCCTCAGGAGTCGTGACCTTCCTCACTGAGCGTCGATGAAGGAAATTTCAATTTGTGGGAAAGGGCAAGTCATCGTCGAGGAATCTTTCCAGGGTCGTCAAAGGAACTACAAGGCAAAGGTGTTGTAGTTGGCAGTGTAGTTGCCATATTCATAAAGAAACATCTTTTTCTTTGCATACCATTTTTAGGACTCTGCAAAGCAACACACAGAGTCGAGATGGCAACAGCCATAATAATGGCTGTGTATGTGCCAATGCTGTCCATTCCTAGGCTCTCTACCTACAAACATGTTGATGGCATGCGCGTCGTGGTATCTTGCACACTTTGATGACGCTGAGCGATCATGTAATTGTGAGTTGTGCGGTCTTTTTCTCCTTGTTTTTGTTTCTTGATTGCATTTTCTATTTTATCTTAGCATTTTGCAATACATTTCGAAGGCTATGATCATAGCTTTGCTTGTAGCTGCAGCTCATCGTGTTTTTCCCCTCGTTTTCACCATAAGCTCGTCCTCAATCGTATTGATGTTGTTTATTTTCCATTTACCTTGGCAGATAGCAGGTTTTTACTTTTACTCACCTTCACCCATTCACTCACTCATTCAACGAAACCAGCAGGAATGTGAGCCACGAAGTAGCACTACAGGGGTCGTGTGTGAAAGAGAAGTGCTGCTATTGAAATTAGGTTTTTGCTTAGCTAAATAAAATAGAAACAGAGTCAATGACAAGGATCAAGAAGATGCATGAATGAGTCAGAGTCACCTAATTGAGGATAAGAACTATGTTGTGATTAGATTGGCGAGGAAACTCCAATTCTTGTAAGTAAAAATTAAGACAACTAGTTGTACCTAGAGCTAGGAGAGGATCAAGATTTACTAAAACTACCACCTGCTCCGACTTTTTAACAAGTACTACTACAAGTACTTCCTGCTCCGACTTTTTAATAAGTACGAGTAGATGAGCAGCAGCAGATGAAAATGAAGGTCGACTTAGTAAACGGGGCATTGCGTAGGACGAGAAAGGACTCATTTGGATCCGACCGGTTGACTACCTCAACCGAAGACGATGAGTCGGCACCCGGCACTAGTAGAAGCCTCTTGTCAACTTATGAAGAACTTTCATCTTACCTTTCGTGAGGCCGTCGCACATAGCCTCCTGGCCGAAAAGCGAAACCTTCTGAAACCTGAAAATTGGTTCCAGTAGCATGTAAGTAGTCGATGTTTTTCTGGAGGTGTACTAATTTAAAATCTTCTTTAATACTGTTTCCATCTCCTTATTACTTGTTCTGACTTGACTGTTCGTGTTCCGTCCCCCTCTCCTTATTGCTTGTTGCGGTTGGACAATAGGTTCAAAATTCTAATACTTATGGGAAAGCGAAGTAGAGAGCACCCCTGAAAGCGAAGTGCCGCACGCTGTCGTCATCTCAACAAAAGAGCTGTCATCTCACCGATCGGAGATAGAAGCGGAACAAGTGGAAGGTACTTGTTAACTGTGTAGCAACTATCTTGTTTCTGACCGGCTGAGGCAGGAGCCATTCTAGTCTAATGTAATCTAATCTAATCTAATCTAATCGCCAGTGGTAGAGAATGACCAGCACCAGAGATGTTGCAGGATGATACCTCAAAGAACTCAATCCCCAAAAAACAAATAGCAAAAATGATCACATTAGTCGACTTTCCTCGTCGAGTTCGGTTTTGTATGTGCGCATCTCGTTATCTTCTTGATACCCATCGTTCTCATTGATCAACCGGGAGCTATTTCTTTCGTGGTCGGAACACGTCGAATACGAAAGATCATCCACAGTGTAGTAGACCTAGCGTAGTCAGAGTCTCTTCTAGTCTGAGACTAGCTACTAAAAGGTCATCGTGTACGGAACCTCTGGTGCTGCATTTCGTCAACATAAAATAGACGACGTGAAGATTCGAAAAATCACAATGAAGAGCAAGTAGGTCTTGAGATGACACCCAGGGATCACTTCTAGCCTCATCTCGATACACTGACAACTCGTCGCTAGCAACAAACATGAACATACGACCTGCTGCTGCTCCTTTACAATAAAATAACACACAGAATATGAATAAGAATATATCAGATGGAGAAGTTGGCCTTGTCCTCCTGCTCTCTTGGAATGAAGAAAAAATCGTTCCAACATGCTTCAATCTTTGAAAAATTTTTTCAAAAAATGTTTGAATTTTGACCCACTACATGACATTTCCACGCAGTAGACCGTTTCGTCGTCGAGAGATGGAGGAAAGCGGGAGGAGCAGTCGGAGTTTTAATATCCCCTACAACTTGCTCGGAAGAGGATAAGATGTTACGCTTATCAAGACAAGCGGCTCGACGAGGTGGACCACATTTAGGAGCTGGTGCGAGGACGCCGCTGCGACAGGCACCACGGGATAGAAGCGATAGAGATAGTCAGGACGAAACACTGTACAACTACTTCTAGTAGACATAATTCTGGCTACTTATTGATGTTGTTTCTTGATGTTCATGATGGGAACAAAAACGCAGACCTTCAGCTTGTTCAATCATCATCATCATCATCATCAGCTTGCTCAGTAAGGAGAACGAGAAGTACGACTACGAGTATGATAAACTTCGATCTTATTTCGTTATTTCAAACTCACATGATACAAATACAATTACAATTACATCATCTATTTTCTATTTCAATCTCACTCACAGACATCATGCGTTCTCCGAATGCAGCGGACGAGCATCGACGACGAGTGAGGAGTCTCCAGAGCCTTGGTCTCGCTGTAGTGGGGTCAACCAAAGCGAGACTGAGGTGGATGGTGGTACTGGTAGACCACAGCAGCAAGAGCAGCACCAGTTGCCAAAGAGTAGCACTTGGAGCAATGATCGCGGGGGTTGTAACAACAGAAATGAGCTTGATCATGATCTTGTGTACAACAATTAAGGCTCAACTTTCAATGGTCATTGGGGTTGGCCACTGAGATCGAAGAGGCGACCCCTTGAGAGAACAGGGGAAAACGAAGGGAAAGGGGAGAGCTTTGAAGGGGGTCGCTTCCGTTCAGAGTCAGTGACCAAGGAATGCTGAGCTTTAAAACAAGCATCGGCATGCTGAGAATACTACTCTCGTCGTGAGTAACAGAAATAGCGGCACGGCACGAGGTCCAGCGCCACCGCTCTATCGAGGTTCTTCGCATCACAGTACGGCTTCGTCAGCGGATGACCACTACAGCAGGGAGGTAATCGATCAGCGCAAAAGCCATAGCACTGCTTGCGTCTTTCCAAAAAGAAACGCCGTGTCAGCAGTCTATCACCATGAGTCTTCCACACGAGCAGGACGCCCAACAAGTAGCTATCACCAGTACGACTACAATCGTGGCAATTACGGTCATGCAGCAACGTCAACTAGCAGATACAACTCATACAACTGCAACTACAATGAGGGCCACCACTACGGACGTGGACCCTCGTCACAGTACTACGACCAGCAACGTAGTTGGGGGGCGTGGCGTCATAGCTACAACTCGCCAAATAGAAATAGGATAGAAGTAGACTACTACAACAAGGACCATGCAACAACAGCAAGTGGTGCAGGAGGATACACACATCAAACGCTCTGGTCAAACACTAGTAGTTGGTCCTCGTCTACTTACAAGCACAATTACAGCAGTCCCGCTTGTATCCCTTCTGAAAATACTGCCATGGCCAGCTGGGCCAATCTGAAACAGCTGAGCAGGAAACACCTTTTTAATGCTGCGAGTTTTCACAAGTACTACCAGCCTTTTTTTTTTATTGCACCTCTTACTTTTTTGTTGTTTTCATTTCGACATGACGAAGACAAGGAAACTTAAAGTAAGAGATCAAATATAATATAACATCTAACTTTTATAGATACAGCTAATTATACTTAATATAGAATCAACACACATTAACCATCCTACTTAATCTTCAACACACATTAACCATCCTAATTAAAAGTCTTTCTTACCTCTCGAATGGGTATACTACTACTACTACTAGGTACAGCTACTTCGCCATTCTGGATTTTGAGAGTACTTGCGAATGGGACCATTCTCTCGATCCCGAGGTCATCGAGTTCCCCACAGTAATCCTAGATGCAGAAACCTTAGAGGTAGTCGCCGAGTTTCGAGAATATTATGGCCTGGTGGGAATAGATGCTATAATTTTCTTGTTGTAAAATGTAACTCCCCTAGGGGTGATAATTTGATGAAGTTAGTAGTCAGTGGTTTTTTTCCATCCATGATCATGAGTCAGGTTCTACCTTTCGAAGAGCTATTGCGCCAACTATGGAGATCTAGAAGGCAATTCTTGTAAAATTTTCGTCTAATCCCTTGTCCGACCAGTCGTGAATCCCAACCTGACACGGTTTTGCACGACGTTGACGGGAATTCGCCAAGAAACAGTGAACCAAGCCGACTATTTCCCCAACGTCTACGCCAGATGGAAGCAGTTCATAGGACAATATCCGAATGCGTTGTACTATTGTTTTATGAAGATTTATTACTTACAATATCTTCCGAAACCGATTGTGTTGCTGTTGTTCTACTTGTATTGTTTTGATATCCTTCTCCTCTCGTCTCGATCTTAATGATATAAGATTTCGCGGCGAGGAAAAGGAATCTTATATTTGTAAATATTTGATTACCTCCATGATCAGGGTGATCACTTGTGGTGATTGGGACGTCGAAACGATGTTGCCTGGTCAACTCCGCCACTCGAACCTGCATGACGACGTCGAGCGGACTTTCTGCAATATCAAAATCATCTTCGCGAACTTGTTAGGCGACCCAAGAAAGCACAAGAGCTACAACTACTACAAGAGGAAGGTACAACTGACTCTGACTTTTTTTTTGAAGCGTGTGGCTTGACCTTGGAAGATGTGACGGAAATCTTAGACTTAGATGTCGGCAATCTTAGATCATGTCGAAGATGTACTGGAAGATGAAACTGTTATGACTTATAGGAACCTAAGTAAAAATCCTTTCTATTGAAACAAAAACACAAAAACTCAGAAGCGAGATGGTATGGTCATCATGTTAGAAGCGTGTGGCTTGACCTTGGAAGGACGACATCACTCAGGTCTAGATTTAAGGGCAACGAGCTCCTCTCCTAATCCATGTGCAGAAGCATCTTGATGGAGCTGTTCCAATTGATGGGGCGGTTCCAATTGATGGGGCGGTTCCAATTGATAGGGCGGTTCCAATTGATGGAGCTGTTCCAATTGATGGAGCTGTTCCAACGATGGAGCTGCTCCAATAGGATTCTCATTCTTCTCAGAAGCATCAAGATGCATCTCTCTCTCTCAAGATGGAGGATAAGGGTGAGCTCATGCCTTGCTAATAGATGACTCCCGCAATATCGCCAAGATCGTTCGATATCTCGTAGAAAACTACGGAGAGCATGTGATGATCCCCACCATGTTCCGAGGCATCCGGAAGTTAGAACGAATATACTTCTGAACGAATTTTATGAATGAGTGAATGAACGACAGACGACCTTCTAGGGGTCGTTTTGGAGGAACACACCGGATGGAAACAGAGGTGCTGAAGTTGAACTAGTTCTACTAGTTGTGTCTGTACTTCTGGGAGAAGTGGTAAAACACTAGGAAGATAGATGGGTAGTTCACTAGATCGACAAGTGCTGGGAAGTGGGGACATCAGAGGGATCTTCGAGGATTCCTTTTCTCTAAAATAGTTTCGACGAATCGATGTATTTCAAAATAATTAATAATTGATGTTGAGCATGCAGTGTTGTCTAGTAAGTACGATCTCTGTTGTACGTTCAACTCTTGTTGACGTTTAGCGCCACTAGTTGTAGTTATAATTCTTGAACAAATTGTTACAAATTATATACCAAAAACAAAACATTTCTAAAAAAAAAGTATGATAGTGGCACTGAGTTTTTCACTCTAAGAAGGTGAAAAGTCAGCGGCCTCTGTCATCAATACGTAAGAATTATTTCAATTATTCTTAACATTTACATCACTTACAGCCTAATTCTGGTACTTGGTCATTGGTCAAGATGATAACAAGTTCCTGCATCAAACTTGTTGTCAGTTTATGATTGAGAAGTAGATTCAGATTGATGCCTCCTACAGAGGTGGACATCATCCAGAAGCTTCTACTTCTACTTACTGTCTATCACTGATGCAATACGAACAAACCAAACGAAAATGCTCCTTGTACTACTACTTGTACTACTTGTCTATGTTTACTATTACAACTAACTATTTGTATTTGAAAACTTGTTCCAACAAGCATCTTCATTCATCTACTATTACATGCTATTATTTCTCAATTTCAGCTTCTTATTCACATTGTTTTTCTTGAAAAAAATCATCTTGGTGCTGCGCGGGAAAGGGTGCTGCGCGGCAAGCGCACGAGTAGAAGTCAATTGTCCGTAGCCAACGTGACGTACTGACCACCTAGTTGTGTAGCCGATTACAGACCACCACACATCGAAGTTGTAGATGAGCCACAAGAGCTAGAGCCTCGACTACTTGTATTTTCGGCTGTAGATAGATGGTGGAGCGAGCCTATTTCTCACCTTCATGCAGGGTGACAAACACCCTCGCGCTCGAGCGCGGCACCTGAGTATCTACAAACATTAGATTATTTTGTAAAAATATTTCCATCAGGATTAGTACCATTCTTCATATACTTGCGAATATATAATTTTTTCCATTATCTCACTCACGTCTGAATCTACTTATTTCATAAAAGCACAAGCACTGAGTCTCGGATATAATTCTATCACCATTGTAACAAAAGCACTAGCACAAGCAGTAGATGACGCGATCACTGTTCTCATTTCCAACTACATGTGCAAGTCTAAACATCATTCAGTCTTAATTATTGGAACTAAGCTAATTTTGAAGATCATGCCTCCATTGCGCGTCTGATGAATTTTCAATTGACCGCTTCAGGAACTGTTTCATCTCGCTGATAGTTGAGAAAAACTATTCGAGGTGCGCAGCTAGTAATGATGATTTTCGTGCTGGTAGTAGTAGAGATACTACTAATGCAGGAGTAGTATCTTGGCGTGATCCTCGAATCTTCGTGTCATCTTCTTCAACTTGATTATTTACAAGGGGAACTGTTGTGCAAGAACTTTTGTGCCTGCTCATCATAGTCGTCATCCTTAGAAGAGGTAGAGACCTAATTTGCTCAAGCAGACAAAAAATTGATGGTTTGGGGTCGTCGGGGCCTATTCGTCTATTTTAAGGCTCCCCCTGATGCATCTTCGGAAGCATCTTAAGTCCGTTTTCAAGGGGAAAACGGTCGCAGGATGGACTTCGAGATGGATTAGGGTGAGCTCTAACTATTCCTTTTGACATGCTGTTGTATGAGATGACATGATGAGCAGCCACGACAAGTTTCGGATCCTTATCTCCGATCCTTATCGAAGACGCTCCTCACTGGCTGAACTCTTTGTCGAACAGTTGGGGTCGACGTAGTAGGTTAGATAGTTTTGCGTGAGCGGGCATAGTCAGTGAGGCACGACGAGCAGAAGTGACACGGTCACGTCCGCTAGGTTGATTGATTGAGTTGTACAAGAGAGGGACCACGGTCACCGGCTACTGTGCATGATCTTTCTTGTTAGAGGATAAACCTTCGCGGGATCTGACTTCTACTCACGACCAGGTAGGTAAAAACTAGACGACTAACTACTGCGCCTCTATTGATGATGAGATCCTGAAGAAAGATGTGGGTAAGAACTAAGGAGCTTTCTGCAGCAAGAAAACCCATATCTTAGAGCCAAGCAGCAAGGAGTGGCGTCTAAGATAAAGAAAAGATAGGCTAAATATAATAAGATATACGCTGCATGCCGTTTCTATCCTATAGGATAAGACTGTATGTGGCGTATACAATAGCAAAACATCACTTCAGATAAAACTTTGATGTTAGTATTTCTGTTAGAGTCTTCTACAGCTTGCCTCCGCATCAGGGGGCAAAGCAAAAGTGACAACACTGAGAAGTAGAAACAGGAACATATATTTAAACAGGACTTGGAGCCTCCAGACAGTGATCAATCAAAAACATTTATCAGGAGTTTAGAAGTTGACGTATTAGTTACAACATTTAGCATACCATCTCCATTATCAGAAGACTGAACTATAAACTTAAACGCACTTCCACTTTCTTTCGCAATTATAATAGCTAGATGAATTATGGCTTCTCCCTTCTCGCTTACAGGTCTTCTACGAGAAGGCCTGCTGCTCGCTTACATTCAGACAACATCTTGCTCAACATTGTTTAGTTCCACAGCTAGTAGTACCTTCTTGTTTAAACTACAAATTTTTAATGTTCTAATGGCGCGCCACCACGAAAACGATGAAGATGAACTTCCCTATTATGTTCAAGGGTTTCTACTCATTAATTATGTTAGTTATTTAAGATTAAGATTGAGGACTCATCACCATCAGGGAACAAGAAATAGAAGTTTAATATTCTGTTCAACTACGTTGACTGTTCACCAGGTCCAGATCGACCACCGAGATATATTTATAACTAAGAAGTTGTGAACCAGCATCAAAAATTGATACCGTCAAAAGCATCTCCTTTTTTTACCTTTTACCACCATGGTTCGGAAGGTCCCGACCACGAACGCGGCAACGAATCTTTCGCTATCGCTTCTAAATAGAAGTAGTAGGGAAGTAGACCTGTGCTGGGAAGATTCTGGGACTGGGGTTCGACATCGATTGGGAATAAACAATATAAGACTGTAATAATTCACCTACAAAGAGAAAGAGGTTGTATGTACTTATAAAATTGCTCGTCCTGATGTAACATGATTGATTGGAGGAGAGTAGACCATTCATATGTATGAGAAAGATGAATTGTTCTCACGTGATGCTCCTGTCGCATACAACTATGTTTGGTCCCGCCTTGAAAAAGCGAAGTTCTGAGGGCTGGGTGCAAAAGCACGAGGTAAAGAAGGTGTTCAAAGAAGTTGCTTAAGTCCTCGTGATGAACAGTGGCGAACAGCATTCCCAGAGAGCTTCACAAGAACAACCATGAGACACAGACTTGGGAACTTTGATGAAGCTCGCCAGTTGTATAGTTGAAGAGTCCAGGGTACCTACTTATGTATCCGAGGAGGACATAGAGCAAGATACTACCGTACGCTCCACCACAATTTCCACCACCAAGAAGCCGGTCAACGTCAACCTTATCATGAATTTCAAATGCGTCGGTACAACAGACAAGAAATCGGTAAAACAACTCGTCAGAGCATTCTGACGAGGATCCTGCGCGCGTGTGGAGTCACAGAGAATACTTGTACCGCGATTGGAGCGCCAAGTGATTTTTGCTTTGCTATTGCTAATAATCTAGTGGTGAACTACAGTGGTGAACAGCATTCCCAGAGAGCACAAGTAGGAGCACATCATATGGAAGCCTCATCTTGTTCCAAGGAATGCTCGTATGAGCAACCCGCTTCTCTGTCAGTGAATACTTGTAAGAACAGAAAGATGCTCTGATTGTTTTTACGTTGTTTTCCTCTCTGCCTCAACATCGTTGCTAGTGCATCGCCTCTGCCTCTAGCCCGACCGCTGTTGCGCCCGCTTCTCGTCCTACACAAAAAGTAGGCCCGTTGCCTGCCAACTAAATAAAGGCGAAGATGACTGACGGCCTCGACGCAGCTGAGCTGTTTAACAGCGCATGCGTGGGTTATACGTACGACGACCTCACCCTGATACCGGGACACATGGATTTCTGTACAACAACTAGAGCTACTAATGCATTTTTCTTAGACTTTCATTGGAAGCTTATCTCGACATTCATGTGGAGCAATTCTGTGCATGACAACTCTTACTATGATCTGCTCTTAAAGTTACCTTCTATCCTCAACACCTATGGCGTCACGCCACCACCACCACCACCACCACCGTAAACAGCCGAAGACGAGATCGAATTGAGTACGAAGCTCACTAAGAGACTGAGTCTACGATCCCCAGTCGTTTCGTCGCCAATGGATACGGTCACAGAAAGCCAAATGGCAATCGCAATGGCTCTCATGGGTGGCATCGGCATTATTCACAATAACATTACGGCCGCGTGATGTTGACGTCTTACTAGAGTCTGATTTAGATGATCAAGAATGGTTTTGGGCGTCTTGCCGAGAGGGCGGTCACTTATAATATGATAATCTTGTTCATGATCTTGATCATGATGATGGTGATGGTTATATTAAAATTAACTTGGCATCAGCTGGAGTCTCCAGTTTTTCTAGCTTGCCGCGCGTCTTGCTTACGAATAGGATAATCTTATCGTTCTAACACCCTAGAAATCGAAGAGCAGGTTGCGGAAGTGAAGAAGGTGAAGCGGTTTGAGAATGGGTTTATCATGGACCCTTTCGTGCTGTGTCCCGAAAACACGTTAGAAGATTTGTTGCAGCAGCCCTATAGTTCTGCGCCGATAACCGCCAACGGCAAAATGGGAGGCAAACTTTTGGGAATAGTGACTAGTCGAGACTGCGATTTTATGAAAACTACACTTCCAATAATTGCAAAGTAGATAGTATATATAATAGTAGTATTAGTTACTTGGCCTTTGTTTTGTTGATATTCTCAAGTGACACGACGTATTGAAGCCGATTTTCATCACCTGCTAGGTTTTACCTAAAGCTCCAGTTCTGGGACTACGAGGAAGAGCAAGTGGCTTTTGGTACATCGTAATTGGACCTCGTAGAAGTAGAAACGTTCATCCTTTGCCCCTTTCATAACCCTCCGTAAAGACAAGAAAGTGACACTTGGGACGATTATGAGCAAAGACCTCATCGTCGGAAAAGAGCCGATCACGCTACACGAAGCCAACAGACTGCTGCGACAAAGCAAGAAAGGCACTTCAAACAATATTGACATAAAGGCCGACGTTTTTCTTTTTCATGATGTTGCCTCAAATCACCACGCGCGCGCGCCATCTTCAGAGCCTGAAGCCTTTTCATCTTCATCCCCGCCAACTTTAGACTTTAGGCAAGACGAGGCCACTCTTTCTGCCTATGTCGCACGCAGAGACTACAACGCCGCCCAGAAACACTGGCAGCAACCCAATCAAAGCAAAAAGGTGGCGGACGTCCCAAGCATTTCGTGCATGGCTGGACCGCAGCGCCCTCGACTTTGTCGAAGGGTCGGGACGCGGGAGGGCTACTTGCTAGGAGACGGCTCGCGCGACCCTGGTGGAACTGCCCAAAAGTGCAACAGGGGCCCCGCTTCAGTGGCTGGAGGGCCGTGGGCTGATCGTCTGAAGAGGCGGGCCTGGCCGCAATCGGTGCCGTGAATTGGGGTCGCTGCATACCTTCCCTCGCGGCGTTTGCTCTGGAATCTACGCAGAGCACGCGCGGCGCTGTTTGCGCGTGGGCCTCCCTCACGCTTCTAGTGCTCGCCCGCGTTTCTGTACTTATCGAGCGTCCGCCACGTGCTGGGGGTTGTTATGGTGAGCGGGCTGCGCCTCGCTTGCACCTGCGTGGGCATGGGGGGGCCACCAGTACAGAAGGCGCAAGAAGGTGGCAGCGGTGATTGTGTGCCCAACTTCTCCCCGAAGCCGAAAGCACTGCCGCAGCATAGAGCGCTGGGCGGGACTACACTAGAGTAGACACAGCACGCACCACGCTGCGACGGGCAGGCCGCTTGCGGCGCTGGCGCCGTGGTGAGAGTGGATGGGTGGCTCTCAAACAGAGCCCCGGCCACTTCTGGGGCGGTTCGTGAGTCTTTAGCCTGTGAATCAGGGGCAACCGATAGCACCACCAAAAAAGCGGCGGCGCCACTACCTGGGGCCTTGGCCTTGTTGCGCGTGTGCAAGTGCGCCCCCGCAGAATGCGGGCAGTGCGCCTTGTGCTTGGGCAACTTGGTTGGAATGTCCAGCGAACTGCCAGCGTCCTGGAAGCAAAAGAGAAAGCTATCGCGGACGTTTTTCGGGCGGGGTCGCTTTCAGAGGTCAGACTTCTGGGCAGTATAATGAACCGCCTCCAAATATCCAGAAAGTAAGACAATGGCGCTGCCTTAAGCTTTCTCCCTCCACCGGCTCAGCCTGCTCCTAGGGCTGCTGCGTGGGCTGGTCGCTGTCAGTGGTCTGGGCTGCCGCGCCAGGTGTCGACTGGAAGCCCAGGCCACAGTCAGAGCTTGCACCGGGGCGGAGGCTAAAGCACGCGCCCCCACCAATCAGGCTGGTCAGTCGCTCGCGCTGTGCCGTCGGTCAGATGTTGGCCAAGCTGGCTGAGCGTGGCGCGGTGCGTCTTAGAGTTGGATCGAAACCGTTCGTGAGAAACGGAGGGGGGCAGCGCTACACGGGAAGGCTCAGATCAGGGCGATCGGGCTGAGTCTTTCGGTCGAGTTTCAGGCCGGTGCTGTTAGCAGAAGCAGCTACGTACGCCACCAAGGGCAGGGGCTGAAACGCTTCGGCCTCGGCACAGGTGGCCTTGGGACAAATGTAACTGTAAGCAGGCCATCGATTTCTTTGCGTCGCGCCCTTGCCCCCCGCTAGGCCCATTCTGATCAGATTACTGACATCAGCGCCAGACTGCATTGCTTGGGCAACGGAATCGGTAGCGGTATGCTCTTGGGTCTGGGTGCGCCGGAGACAAACCGCGAACAGTGTGCGGGGCTCGCTTATGCGGTATTGGTGAGACCTTGGACATTATCCATGGTCCATCGCCCCTGATCCATGGCCCATCGCCAGCGAGCCATAGGCCATGCGCCATAGTCCACGGGCCGCCGCTTTCTCCGTTGGTTTATCTTGCGCTCCAAAGAGAATGTCCTCCCCTGTCAGCATTGTGGTAAAGACCACCAGCAGCGGCGCTGTTGGTTAGGTCCACAAGAAGCGCCACGCCAATGGCTAGAAGGAGCCACTCTTGGAAAAAAAGGCACTACGTAGCTAACGCCGTCCGTGGTCCATTCGCTTACTTGATTCTCCCAAGTCGACTCAGGCAGCGCGGGCGCCTGGTCGATGCCGATGCAGTTGGTTTCGTCAAATAATCCCGCAACGATAGAAATACAAGAACGAAGCCAAGCGGCGGAGGCGCATACTACAGCGCTGCGCCGTTTATGGGCGGCGTTCAGCCCGGTGACTGGTGAAGAATTCAAGCAAGGGCAAGCCGGGGCGGAGGGCTCGGCTGGCTCGCTCAGCAGTGTAACTCGTCGCGTTTCGAGTCGCAAACGGAAAAAGGTCCGCGGCGCTGGCAGAGTGAAGACGCCGGCGAGGCATAACCAGCACCAAGAGGGGGGCCCAGCGTGAAACTTGGGGGGCTGTTCTAGTCTTAGGGCAGCACTCCCGCAAGCGTCGGCATGAGCCAGGGGGGCTTACCGCTGACAGAGAAGGGACTGCGGCAGAATCTGGGGGCACTGGGGTAGTTTCGACTGATCTTGATGCGGTGCTCAACGAGTGCCCGCTTGATAAATAAGCCTCACAAGCGACGCCGCCGAAATGGCCGCTGGCTGGCAGGCTATGTATCGGCTTGCGCTGCGCCAGGCGTGTCGCGATTTGTTTTTTCTGGTGCGTGAAGATGATGGCGGGGCCATAGGGACGAGGCTGCCAGATTCAGACGATGGAGGCGCAGGGCGGGCTTCCAGGTGCTGGAGCTGTGGGCGAGCTCTTGCTGAGGAGATCAGCCCAGGAAGTAGCGCCTTCGACTCCGGTGAAAGTCAAAAGTGGAGAAACGCCGTGGACGCGCGCGGTGGCTAATGGGGTAGACGCGCGGCCTTTCTTTGTTCCTTGTGAGCTCGTCTACGCCGCTTGCTTTATTTCCTCCGGCTCTAACTATCTAGCGGACCTCATGGGCCGCAACGCCCGCCAGGTCGACGCAAGAGCCAGCTTGGCGCAATATTTTAGCAGCGTTAGCGCCTCCCGTCTTGTAAGTGGTCGCTTTTGCTTTCATTTGTTACACATGGCAAACTAAGTAAAAACAGAGTAGGGGCTCGCAGTTGCAAACGCAGGTTCCTGTTGCTATGTAGAAGCTCAAGCTCTAAGATTCAAGAACAAGATCCAAAGGTCGCTCAGCACTAGATTTTTCAAAAAAAGTGGTCACCAATTAGTACACAAACACCTTGTGGAGTCTCAAGCTAGCAGCTAGCTGCTAACAAGGTGGCCCAACTAGCCGGTCTTCTTATTGGACAACTTCTTCTGGAGTACACGGGGTTCGTAGTTTGTCTTTCATTTCCCCTCTGCCTCTGCCTTTCTTACTCAGGTAAGCTCCCAATCGTGAACCAGACGGGCGATTTAGTAGCATTGATTAGCAGAAACGATTTGAAGAAAAACCAGCACTACCCCTTGGCTAGCAAGGACGCAAATAAGCAACTTCTAGTCGGCGCTGCTTGCTCTACGAGAGCAGAGGACGAAAAGCGAGTCGCGAAACTAGTCGAAGCTGGAGTACTTGTTTGTCTGCATGAATGAGATTTTTCGAAGCTGTTGATGAATATTTTTTTGAAGTTCAGGATCGGAAGAAGGCGATTACTAGAACAAATAGAATCGGAAGATGATTCAACAACAGACTCGGAAGAAGACGAATACAAGTAGATGAACAACTACTAGCACAAGCTGCCTAACCCTAGTAACCTTCACAACATCAATATAAACTTATTCCACAATCTGAGAGAAAGTTGGAAGGAGCGACTTAATTGAACAATACACCTACAATGTAGCACCTTCTTCATTCTTCTGATTCCACAATCTACTATTGCAGGTTGACGTAATCGCTTTGGATAGCTCGCAGGGCGACAGTGTATGGCAGGTGAATTTCATACGGAAGATTAAGCAGTGGTATCCAAACCTAGAAATCATCGCTGGCAACGTGGTGACGCCACGACAAGCGCGAGCCCTCTGTGACGCAGGAGCAGATGCAATACGAGTGGGAATGGGTATAATCGTGAACAACATACAAGAGACTCTTTAGTGAAACATCTTGGTAGCACACGAATATCTATGTCATCTCGTCACATTGTTGTTGATAATTATAGCAATATCAAACTACACTTCACAGGTAGCGGTAGTATCTGTACGACACAGGAAGTTTGTGCGGTTGGTAGACCGCAGGGCTCAGCAGTGTACCATGTAGCCAAATACTGTTGGGAGAAACATCGTGTCCCTGTGATAGCAGATGGGGGCATCCAAAAAAGTGGCCATATCATGAAAGCACTGGCATTGGTTATGGAATAAAAGCATGTTTCTCAAAGTAAGCGTCTGGCATGCCCTGTCACTGGGTAGAAGCTGTGTGATTGCAGCTGAAGCATTATTCTAGTATAAGTAGCATATTCATATCATCATCATCATCATCATCATCATCATCATATTACTGGTCTTGAAATTTCCCTCCAGCACGGTACAATTGAATTCTTATCATCTCTAACCTTCGAGCTTCCAGCGTTATGTGCGGAGGTACAATTGAATTCTTATCATCTCTAACCTTCGAGCTTCCAGCGTTATGTGCGGATCTATGCTGGCGGGGACAGAAGAGTCACCTGGGCAGTACTTTTTCAACGAAGGGGTGCGAATGAAGTGCTATCGTGGAATGTTATGACGACATGGTAATCGGCGTAATAGAGGTAAAGAACAAAACAAGTAAGTAATAGAGGTAAACAAAACAAGTAAGCCACTGTAGGGACAGCTGATCACCTTCACAGCTTCAGCATCAACATCAGGGAAATTCGTAGAACTCAGAGAAGACTCAGGAAAGTTGCAGGTCCAACCCGAACCCACCAGCATCATTCTCAAAAGTTCTTTCTACGTGCACTACAACTGAGCACGATTTCTTTCTACCTCCACCGCCACCTGCTCCCATCTTCATCTGTCCTTAAATCATCCTTAAAATTATAATGTTCTTTCTAAGCTTCGGCTCCATCTTCGAGGGCGATGATATCTCCCTCTTAATCCCTAAATTGAGTAATTATAGGTTGTTCCGGATCGCTTTTACGCAGATGGTAGATTGTATGGTTCTGGTATTTGGTAACCTGAATTTGATCCTAAGGGTTCTCTTCTTGTTTTCCCTTATGATCAAACTCAGGTTACCAAATACCGGAACCATTCATAGACCGAAGTCGTGAACTTATAATACCCCATGAGTGGGTACATCTATCTATCTATCTGTCTATCTATCTATGTCTTTCGAAAAGAAGCGCTGCCACTACAACTACTGTAGAAACCGTGGGGCGCCCTCACAACTTCAACATCAGCGAAATTCGTAGAACTCAAAGAAGATTCAGGGAAGTCGTAGGTCCAATCCGAACCGACTAACGTCGTCATCTATGTCTTTCGATTAGTTTCCTTCTAATCTTCGGCTCCATCGAGGCGATGACTAAGCGATCAGGAACCAGATACTTCGCAGAGACCCAACAAATAAAAGTTGCTCAAGGCGTGTCTGGAGCTGTTATCGATAAGGGCAGCATCCAAGATTTGATTCCATTCACGCTGCTCGGTGTCAAATCAGGGTTACTCAAACTGGGCGTACCAAACCTGCCATTACTCAGATTATGGACATCTTCTTGACATTTAGATGATCACAACACGATAGAGGTAGTGGCCTCATTCTCATATTGATAGAGATATGACAAGGACATTATTTAGATGATGTGGTCCTCCATAGACAATTGCACCGAGACGTGGACTCAGCAAGAACGCCAGTAGATACTATTACACTCATACATAATAGTTGTTGTTGTACAGTGACGATAATATTTTTACAAATGTTTTTGTAAAGGTGTTGAGGCAGCCTCTTCTAACACAGGAGAATCTTTACAACGGGACGACGCGGTTTGAGCTACGAACAGCTAGTGCCATCAAGGAGAGTGGCACACACAATATCCCGTTTTTGGGTGTGACGCAACCCGACTACTCGGGTGGAGGCACTGGCGGATCCGCGAGGGGCGCAAGAGGTCCTGGGAAAGTCCGATAGATGCAGATGCAGCTTCTATGTAGTACGTGGACTGCGAGAAGGAGAACCTACTTACACTGCCACTCAGATCGTGGACTACGAGAGCTTGCACTACATAGTAGTAGAAGTAGTACACTTTAAGTGATTTTCATATTAATAATAGAACGGAAGCCGAAGCTGCTATAATTAGTTAGTTCTTGTTGATTGCATTTGGGTTGACCACTAAGAAAATGATCGAGCAACAACTCATGTTAGTGATCCACTTTTCTGCCGAGTAATGCCCACGGTATTGCTTCTGTAAGGAAATAGACATAGTACTCAGAAGCTCTTAGAGCCGTTTGTGGTCATGTAGCTCACCTTTTTTTTATACGTCCACGGCGTGGCTGGTGACACTTCCTAGGGCATAAGAACGAGAGGACATTCTCCTGTGTACTGATCGTATCCACCACCTCGAAGATAAGGGTAAATTTTTTTGGCTACCTTGATGGAGCACTCAGAGATAGATCAAATTTGAAGCTCAAGATTTATAGCGTAGGTGACTAGTAAGAAGATCGGCGTTGAATGAATAGTACTGTGTTCCTGAAAGAATGTGTCAAGTCAGAAAAAGGCTCACTCGGTCACTGAGGCTTACCCGATGGTGCTTGTGGAGTTTCCTATTTTCTCAGTATGTTGGTACTGCTCGTGTTCGGCTGGTCCTCGTGCGAAAGAGGCGTTCATCTGTCACATCTCGCCGAACTGGGATGATCTCGGTCTCCTGTAGGATCATATCACAATCGGAGTACTATTTGGATCTCTGTCCCTGTTAATCGGTATCGGAGTCGGTATGTGTAGGACGCTACAAAATTCACAGTCTGTGGTCTTGGCCATCCTCACAGAGTCTCCAAAATTAGAAGTTCTGAATTCAAGAAAAAGTCTATTTTTGAAGATCGGTTCCATCATTCCCAGAGAAGATCCTTCCACCTTCCCACGACGTACATGCGAGCCGCATCAATTTTCAGTATGTGACCAGCTGACGGGGAGTCATGATCGTTTACTTTCATGTTCTTCTAACCGGCGATTTTCTTATTTAGACTGAAGATGAAACACATACTAGCTGTGGTTTTCATGTACCCGTAGATGTAGAAACATGGTCCTGCTCCTTGATAAGACGAGGGGATATCGCTTTTCGATATTGACGGTCCTATAGACGGGGCACCACTACCACTACACACAATTTGCGGGCTGCAAGTGCTGATGTATTTTTCGGCAGAGGAGTAACACAACACAAGACGCAGTAGGTTGCCTCTTCCAGCAGTGATCCAGACAAGACGCAGCTACTAGTTCATCTCTCCCTCATCTACCTCCTGAAGCAGCACTGGGCGACCTATTTTTACTGCCGACCGAACTCTCCGAACATTTCGCTCATCGATCATCATCCACATCCCAGCTGAAGCAAACCTTCTCCTCTTGTTCTCCAGGGCGGAAACAGGAGTACGTAGCACCACTACCAATTCAATAGCAAGCAAGTTGGCCGAGGCTCACTACCCTTACCATCCGTATAATCCGATTTGTGCTATCGTCCTTGGACGATATCTAAGGGCATCTTCGTGGGGGAAGCAACTACAGCGATACAACTCCTTATCGTATTGAGTCACACACAACTACACGACACACACAGTATTTCAATTCAAACGAAAAGATGACGGAATACCGCGTAGATCGCAGCAAGCATCCCGCGCCTGGCTATGTTGCGGTCGGCAGAGAGACAGTTGAAGATCTAGGTCTCGGCTCGAAGACAGGGAAGGCGAGAGCAGTATTAAGGCTCAGCTTTCAATGGTCACCATTTAGAAGGGGGTTTCCTCCGTTCTGCATCAGTGACCATTGAATGCTGAGCTTTAACAGTAGCAGGAGCACCGCATCTTCCTGGAAGTAGCTTTGGGCGACCGAGGCACGACAGGACCTTTGGCAGACATGCAGTTGCAGGGGAACAAAGGTCACGACACGAGGCAGAAGTATATTCGTTTTCGTTTTGATGTTCTTCTTTACTTTATAAGGGTCGTTGGAAGTTGACCTAATATCATCTAAGAGCATCTCTATGGCTTCTTCAAGTAGGGAAAGCCATAGATGATATGCGAGCTAGAGACGCCAAGAACTTTCAGCCCCTAAGTAACTGCTTGCTTCAATGTTGTCAGCACTCGTTGTGATCTTCATACTTTCCATGTCAATGACCAACATACATAGTACATCTAGATGATGATCAGACCGTGACCATACATAGTACATCTACGCGATCGACGTTAAAAAAAAAAACATGCTCGTTCAAATTGCCTTCTCTCTCAACCTCAACATCAGACACACCTTTCTGCCACTACACGGAGATATCACCTTGCTGTGGCCAATAGTAATCCTAGCGTAAACGCAGCTGTCGGCACCCTGAGACAGACAAAATCAGAAGGCAATATCGAACCCTATATTAAGGCTGAAATAATAGATTCAAATCCGTCTTCCCCAAGAGTTTTACCTTGGTCCCGTTTTCCAAGAGAAAATACACGGGCACCAAGACGCTCAGCAAGATGGATTTAATAGGCAAGTGCTAAGGATAGCAATGACGGCGCCTACAAATTTGAAGCTGAGCACGTTGCGAGTCTGAGGGGACGCGCAGCAGGAGACGAAGTCTACGACTACAGGAAACATAGTTGGTACATCACCATTTTCTCCGACTACAGGAAACATAGTTGGCACATCACCATTTTCACTTTCTCATCTACAGCTACACCACAGGTATCATGATGTGACGCGACGAAGGATCGGCGTGTCACGTCCAAATGCAGAAACAGAAGAGTGGGCGCAGGCGATAAAAAAGAGCAAAGACCACATAGGTTACGGGAATGGAATGATAGGGTAATATTATTATTACCAGTGTTTTGTCTAGACTGAGCCCTGCTTCGTGCCTAAGATGCGTTTCCGTGAATGAATGTTGCAGAGTGTTGATTATTTTTTGCCCTTCCACCTTGCAGCAGTGTCTCTAGTACCTAGCAACACCTGCGACTGCATTTGAATATTGCAACTAATTAAACGGTCTTCCATACCCCACGAATGGGTACACTACTACTACTACTACTAATTGCTGGTTATCCTTGATAAATCTTCTCTGGAAATGATGGAACCGATCTTCAACCAGCATTTAATATAATTGCAACTCCAACCAGCACTGCAGCAAGAACCAACGTCCCTTTCCCCGTCAGGTATGGCGACGTGCAGGCAACATCCTTAGCGTCCGACGCACCGCAGTGGATGTTCGGTGTGCGAATGGTCCCAGGAGTAGTGGGCAGTGGTATGCCCAGATGGCAGTATTCTATGGTGGAAGAGGACCCAAGGGCGCCTGGAAAAGCAATCCTAAACATTCAAAAGCGCTACTTCCAAAGAGGACCGAATCTGAGTAAACTCTAACTTATCATGAGAATGTTATAATCATGTCTTCATTCTTGATCGCGAACAAGTAGATACCCATACCCTTCTTCGAGTACTACTTGTACTCGTTCTGCTAATAGTACTTATTCCCTCGTCGTACAAGTGAATGGCTCCGGTTGTATTTGGTATAGCCTGATGAATTCGCTAACAACGATTTTCTTCTTGTTTTCCCTCACGATCAAAATCTTCATGCTACCGAATTATACCAGAACAATACACGCACTTGTCCTTTCCCCACTACTTGGACCTCCAGGTACTATCGAGAACGTAGGCTTGAAGCCGCCTCCCGGGTACAAGCGTAATGACCGTGGTATGATTGACTACAGGCAGCCTCTTCCGGTATCGAACAAGGTCGACGTTAATCGCGTCTCAGACAAGCGTGTGAGTGGGATGACAGGCACCGGCGCCATAGTAAAGCCTGTGGTCATGCCGCCAAGCAATCACCACTCAGTGGAGCCCGATTTCAGAGTATTCAGCAAAGTCGAGCGATACTGAGTGTGATGTACTCTTGAAAGTTTATGAAGCCAAAATCTGTTATCATTATCGTACTTTTCTACTTAAGAAACTTGATAATGATAACAGGTTTTCGTTTCATAAAGTTCGTTGTAGCATCACTGGGGACGAGTAGATTAAGGCTAAACCTAAAAAAGCAAATGTTGATCCCCATTCATATTGAATCTCCATGTCTATGAGTAGTTGTATGTCATCAAGGGCTAGAAAGGAACATAGAATGAAAAACACCTGTTTCAATAAGCCAGCTCGTAGTTGTCGAGACAAAGCTTTTTCCTATCATGATACTCATTCAAGTTTATGTCAGAAGTATGTGCATGATATCGAGTTTCGCCGTACTAATTCAATATCGAGACCAGCATGTGTCCAAGGTTCAAAGACTGGAAACTCCTTAGAAAGAAAATGAAATTAACTCCTCAGAAGTGTTCTGACTGCTCCTTCATACCACTAGTTTCCAAAGTTTATATCCCTGGTTACCATTCCGCTCGAGAAACCCCTACATCCTTGTTTTCTTTGTCCTAATGAATGTGAGGATATTCTTCATATCTTTATCTTATAAATTGTTATGCACAACACCTACGCTAACGAGCTGGCTCCTACTCACATGATGATATCTACTCAACATACCAATTATAACTTCGCATTTAGCAATATGTATTTATGCTCCGTTGCTTGCCATAAGGACCACACTTTCTATTCCGAATGTTGACGATTGTCTAGTAAGTTTGCGAAGAAGCAACTGGTGACGACTACATTAATCACTGTTGTGCCTAGTGCCCGAGCCCGAAGACATACAACTGCTGCAGCGTCGCCCCTTCACATAGTACCAGAACCAGTCGTGTCTTCTCCATGCTGAAGCATCACGACTTATCGGAGAGAATCGGTCCCACACTCACGTGCATCACGACTTATCGGAGAGAATCGGTCTCACACTCACGTTCCTGTCCACACCACCCCTTCACATATACACAACAGCTACTATGTATAATGAATCAAATGAATTTCAGTCCAACTCGAACTTCCTTCACACCATGGACAAGACAACTTCTATAGGTATAATAGGTTGATATGATTCATCTAGCTGCGAGATCGAAATTCTTCTAGATTTTTGTACTTAGTTGTAACAGCAGAAAAAGAAAGAAGAAAGATCAAGATGGCGTCCAAGCTTCCGCCGGATTTCGTCATCCGGCGTGCGGTGAAGATCAAAAACAAGTATGGCGAAGCAGACGCGTACTCGAAAGAGCTGGTCAAAACTGCGGGTGCGACAAAGTGGTTCGAGTCCAAAGTCAAATACGACTTCGAAGACAATATGAAGAGGGAGGATGCGTACTACAACAAATACCTACATGTTTATCTACTTAAGTAGCTCTTTGTATTCATCATCGTAGAGCTAGACATTTTTACTTAGCTCTTTGTACTATTCATCTTCGTACTAGAGCTACTTTTATGTTTATCCACTTAGCTCTTTGTATTCATCATCGTAGACATACAACCTACGACATGAAGAAACGGGACCACGATGAGGAATAGCGAACTGATCGCCATGATGAGGACTCCTTAGGGATCAGTTCTTGATGTATTGTTTGTTGTATTGTTGTTGAGTAGTACCACCTAGCAATACAGTTGATATATCGTCGTTCTCGATATCGAGTACCAATTTTGATTTTAGTCACCCACGACAGGGCCACGAACTCTCCTCTGTTTCGCCTTATAATACCACTCCGATTCTTCCCAATAAGTATATCAACACTTAAGACGACAGGGCTATCAACCTCCACCTTTGTACTACGATTCCTCTTCTCAAACGACTGAATCTTCCATACGAATACTCACAGGGCCATCAACGCCGAACTCGAGATCGCAAATAAGGAGCTTAAGCGCCGGAGGAAGCACAGGATGAAACTCCTCTACGAAAACGAAGCTAGGACCTATGAAGCAGAACTTCGAGAGCTAGGTTTAGCGGTGATCCGACGTATGTGAAGAGCTGGTGGTTATCGGATTGGTAGATTCTAGTAGATGGATATAGAAAGAACTTCCGGGGAGTTGGAAATTTATGCGGTCTAAGAAAAATGGGTGTTTGAAATTAATCGTGTAGGGAGCGTGCGCTCCTGCACCTAGATCGTCTACAAGGACAAATAATGTGATTGAAAAATTGAAATTGTATCTATTCTGCTACTACTTCTACTGGTAATATCTCTCGTGACAAAACAACAATTATCTCTTCTTGGTATCAAAATCTTCAACAAATTCCATCGACTTACTTACGAAATTCTGACTTACTCACGAAACTGCAGATGTCTGATGTGATGATGAGAGAATCGAATGAGATATGATGATAGCAAGCTAGCAAAAGCATGTATTTAATGAGATAGAAAAAGAAGGGGCGAAGCGAAGAGTGGTCTTCATTCTGTATGTGTTGAAGACTGCGTCTTGAGGTCTGTGCACAAGCACAAGCTACTTTTTTTCAACTACGAGGACGAGGAGTCAAAAAAAAAAGTAAAAAGGTGGATCCTCATTACGAATCTTGTCAGAAGATCAAGAGACAAAATTGACCTGCTCTTGGTCCAGAGGTTCGTTAAAAATTGGTTCAACATCAAGTAGTACTACAGCTAGAGCCATGTGGAGTTCTTGTGTCGCTACAACAGTAGACCACATAAGTCGTGATCACAGGAAAAATAAATGCCGACAAATCTAATACCACGATAGAAAATGCGGAGGTTCATCTACCTGACCAAAAGTCCTCCTTTGCTAGGAGGTGGATTCCTAACTGGGATCAGAAGTATTTTACGGCTTTCGGTACTACTCATCGAACCCGCTCTCGCGGATCTCCCTGTCCACTGCCTCCGCTCTCAGGTCGCTGGAAAATGGGAATTCCGAATCAGGAGCACTGGGCAACGGCGCTCAAGTTGCGGCCACGCACATCCGGACAATGCCGATGAGGAGCCACAAAATCTTTTCGGCACTGCTGCGCCTACGAGCCTTAGTTTCCGACTGGAATATCCAAATGTCGCGTTACGTGCCTCCTCTAGAAGTGCGACTGGCACCAAGAGCAGCCATGGCCAATGGACCATGGTTTACGATGAAGGGTTCGAGGTACGCTTTGGCGCAGAGACGATTTTCTCTTTCTCACGATTCATGCCCAAGTCCATGTCCCCATCCACTAGTATGGTTCTAAAAACAAATGGTACAACTACAGCTTCCCGCACTTCTTCGATTACAAGAAACGACAACGCGGCATCTTCCTCGCAGTGCGATCAGACTCTTGTGGGTTGGTATCACAACGAGGCCACTGGCGAGTGGGGATGCGCACAGGGTCGTCGAGTTGACCACCCACCTGAGAAGAAGAAGTCTTTTTTAGAGGTCAACAACAACAAGGTTGATCTTGCAGTTGTCCCACTTGTTCATCCAGCGACTGAAGATATTGCCACCTCAACATCAAAAAGCGCAGGACCTCCAGCAGATGCAGAAGCAACAGTTTTGACTCCAACCGTACTCAACGCCAAGGCCGCGAAGCTGAACGCACAAGCGCTGGGCTTGTGGCAGGCGAAGGCGTACGTCGACACGTACGCAGGATGGTCCTTCGCACAACTCAATCGCCGAGCTGGCGTACTTAGACGATATCCCTCAGAGGGAGGAAGCAGAACTGTGGCGCAGAGGAAGAATCAACATGTTGCGTTGATGCAGGATTTGATGCATACGTGGAATCTTCGAAACCATGGAGATACAGCAGAATTCTCGACCGCATCTTCCTTTGAGACGAGTTTTGATAAAGCCTGCGACAACACAGAAGCCAATGTCAAAAGTGCAATCACCCCTTCGCTCCGCACGCGCTTCATCAAACGGCAGCTGTCCCATCGAAATAAGGGACAATCTGACACCACGTTTTCCGAACCAGTGATGCAGAATCTGATGATTCCAGGATCAACTAAGTCAGAGTCTTCTTCTACCTCCGCTTCATCTCCAAGTGAAGAAGACACGAGTCGCGAATTTTCGGCTTGCACATTACAGAAGTTGCTACGCGAACAGCTGGCGTCTGCGTCCTCTGCTACATTTGAAAATGAAGGGAGTGGTGCTGGTGCTAGAGCAGATGGAAAAAAAACTCTATGGGGACATCAGCAGGTCTGTTTCTTTTTGTAATGAGGACACACACTAGCCAAGGATGAAGTCTAGGACCATAACACAAACACGACTTACATTTAATTTCCTCCGATTTCATCATCTGCGCACTACTAGTAGTACACTCCCATTTCTTTTTATCTCTCATCTTCTCATCGTCCAACTCCACCTCCACTCTAAAACCCGAAAAGGCCCTACCAAAATCCTGGGATTGGCGTGATGTGGATGGGAAATCGTACGTTGATCCTCCTATGGACCAAAGCGACTGCGGTTCCTGTTACATCGTCGCAACGACAAAAATGTTGTCAGCTAGAATGAGGATCAAACTTATGGTGATGTTGTAAAACTTAAGCTATAATCAGCTCGAACAATGAGGATTAGGCATATGGATGATAATGATATGCTGATGTTGTATGGTAGGACTTGTTATTGTTGTCGTTTCTATGAGTATGATCCACGACATCTATCATGGAATAAGTAGATGAAATGCAAATGATCGGGCTGTAGGACTGCATGGGGAAGATGGATGTAAATGTAAATTGTAAAAGCAAATCAAATATACAACAAGATGCAGCCCAAGAGCCATCTATGTCTATCTCCCAACATTTCTAACCGGAAAAAGGATCCTGTCGCCGAAGCGTTCTCGATCGCTTTCCCCCTCCATTGCAGCGAATACAACCAGGGATGTCAGGGTGGCTACCCCTTTCTAGCCTCCAAGTGGGCTCAAGACGTTGGCCTCATTCCTGCTCGATGCTTCCCCTACGCTTCTGCTGGAAAGAACAAAGGCGGCAAAAGCACTAACCTGATGGCACAGCCATCATCGCCTACAGGAGCCACTTGTGCTGATGTGGATCGAGCCTGCGTTGAAGCATACTTGCTGGAGGAGAAAAATTCTACATCTACGTTGTCTTCCGCGATGTCGACATCGTTGTCTTCCGCGTCGTCAGCACGGCAGAACAAGACTACCTTTACAACTAGTAGGGCGCCGGTGATGGCCACCAAGTCCTTTTTACAGGAGAAGCAAAGGATAAAGGCAGCTGCGAAAAAAACTATGTACCGAGCGCGCAACTACCACTACGTTGGCGGGTACTACGGCGCTGCAAGCGCGCGCGAAATCATGCGAGAGCTACACGAGAACGGGCCCCTTGTGGTCAGTTTTGAGCCGTCAGAAGATTTCATGATGTACGGTGGCGGCATCTACTACAGTGGCTTCCTACAACCGATAGAGGTGAAAACTGTGGAAGCAGCAGCAGAGGACAGAACAGCTGGGGACCAGAGTGGGGAGAAGGACGAGGCTACACTGAAGATGAGTGAGAAAACCACTTCTACACTGAAGAGGTCATCTTTTTCCAGTACCACGACATTTGATGAAGCTTCTAGTCCAGAATGGATTAAAGTTGATCATGCTGTGTTGTTGGTGGGATGGGCAGAAGAGCTTGGGCAGAAATACTGGATCATCCAAAACAGCTGGGGACCAGAGTGGGGAGAACAAGGCTACTTTCGATTATGAAGGCTATTGTCTATATGCCATTGAAGGCTATTGTCCTCTACAGATCATCTGTAGACGTACTTCTAAGATTACAGATCATCTGTAGAAGTCCATCGAAGGCTATTGTCTACAGATCATCTGTAGGATTATTACTTAACCATTCACGGCTATTGTCCTCTACAGATCATCTGTAGAAGTCCATCGAAGGCTACTGTCTACAGATCTGTAGACGTACTTCTAAGATTACAGATCATCTGTAGAAGTCCATCGAAGGCTATTGTCTATAGACCTGTAGACGTACTTCTAAGATTACAGATCATCTGTAGAAGTCCATCGAAGGCTATTGTCTACAGATCATCTGAAGGCTATTGTCCTCTACAGATCATCTGAAGAACTTCGTACTTCTTAGCACTTGTTGATTTTGAATGCCAAGGTTTGATTGGTATTGGTATTCGTTCAGTCTAGCCTAAATTATTTGTAGATTGATGATTGTGCATGTACCTGTGAAGAAGACATAGTCGCTACAAGTACAACCACAACAAAAAGGAAATCATTCTAATCCAAATAGCACGTGGAATCAACGATTCGGGCATCGAGTCGATTGCAGTAGCTGCTGACGTTGAGGTTGCAGACGTTGGTAAGGACGATGTGCCAGACTCTTTGACTTCGTTTCTTGACGAGGCAGAACTATGACGAGGCAGGATCACCTGTCACCTCCACCTGGTCGATGCAGCCAACACCCGGCCAACACTGGCGTGTATAGCAAGAACAATATTCAATCATATCGTTCATTATCTTGATCTTACTCTGTCTTTTCATAAAAAACGGCGAGGGTCACGGTCAGGTCACTCCTTTCTGGTTCATCATATTTTTAGTTAAAGATATCATGCATAGTTATAGTATTTGGAGTTCAATTTTTTTTTCCATTTTGTTTCGCTGCTATCGACAATGCACAGACGAGAGCCAAATGAAATTGTCAAACGTGTGGCGTCGACAAAAAAAACGTACGCAGAAAACTAGACACAGATGACTAACAGCATCTTCAACCTTGTAGATACACCAGGTGACTGAAGCTTTTGGAGAGCGAGATGAAACAACGAAGTTCCAAATAACGAGAGCGAGGTTAGAGCTAAAGAAAACCAACCCTAGATTGTTTCTATGTGCATACAAGCAGGAGAACGACCAATCTGCAATCCTAGGATCCTGATCAGAATGGAACTGTAAATGTGGAAGAAGCATAGAGATCCATTTGTAGATGATGAGGGTCATGATCCTCCAGCACGAGACGGCTCAACTTCTTCTATCCTGCCGTCAATATTGAGAGTGATTGTTCATCGCCAAACAAGACGAGAGTCGGTAGTTAGTGCTGTCGATCCAGAAGGTATCAGATAGTGCTACTTTGTTCAATTTCCAATCAATCGGCAGGAGAGATGATACAGATACGTCTAAACTGTGTGGTTTCCCCACTAAAATAGTTGCTGGTCCCAGAGGCCCCTTTATCCTCCTGGGACCACCTAAGTTTAACCCTCTCGTTTTGCCTGTTGTAATTTCTTCCCGCTACATCCACCAGAAGTAGATAAAGACGCGCCCTGCTGCCCCCTTCGTACTATAATCGGGCTAGACGAGTATAAGTAAAATGTAACAAGAACTACGTGCGGTATCAAAAGTTCACGGTGTAAAAATTTTTTCGAAGTTTTCGGGTATTTAACATCACCATCTTGTCATGGTCATCTATTCTCATGGCGCTTCACGCCTTGCATACCTCGAGTCGTGTTGTTAAGCGATCCTAATCTGTATTCCGAATGCTTCTCCTTGGCGTGTAGTTAGCGTATCATCTTTTAAGCGTAGGTTAAAGGTCTTCTTACCGTTTGTTATGGCTCCCCTAAGGGAGACAGGCAGAAAAAGCGGAATAAGCGAACACTAGAAACCTACCTCTAAGTCTTCTAGTTCTCGCACTAGTTCGTAGCTGATTCGGACACTCCTTCACTCAGAAATTAGGAAGAATGGACGACGCGGCTGTGCCTCCGGCTCCTGCAAAAGGAGGCAACGATGGCGAACAGCGTCCACTCGCAGAGGGAGACGAAACCGCGACAGCTGAGGATGATGGTGCGGTCTTAATGGTCGAGTCACAATGTCCCATTTGTCTCGACGATTGCCTCATCGCGAGTGAACGCCCAGAGGATCAAGCTGTTTTTCTACCGTGTTGCTACGTCTCGCTCCACGATGGCTGTCTCGAGTCTCTTCTTCGATCTTCCTGTGGGGAGAAAAAGAGTGCCATTGCCTTTTTCCTTGACCCGCCTTCATTGTTAAGGGCTTCCGGATTGCATTCCTCACTACCATCTATGCAGCTGGGCTCTTTTCCTAGTTGTAGAAAAGAAGCCAGGGTGGACGTTCTGAGGAATGTGGTTAATTCTGTAACCACCTCTAATATTGAATGATCCGGCAAATGATCCGGCGACACTTGTTCCCTTATCTGGGGTATTAATCAGCCGCTCGTCATCGGGGCCTACAGATACCGAAGATGATGGAGGTGGAAGTAGCAGCACAGCTGCTAGTAGTTCTTCTGGAGATCAGAAGGAGGCTGTAGAGACTAGAACGGGGACTTGTCCTGTTTGTCGGCAACAGTTTTCGGCTTCCATGGTACTGAGGGACGAAAAGCTAGTGCAAAAACTGCTGTCTCGAAAGGAATGGAGTCAACGCCAGAAAGACACCCTCGTGACCTCGGAATTGGGCAATCACTTGTTTTTAGGCATTTTCATCGTGGGATTTGGCCTGCGGGAAATCATAGTGCTCGTTTTGGATAGTTGCAAGGGGGTGGCGCGCTTTACGTGGAGGAAAGGATTGGACTTGAGTTATTTCACGATCGCGAAATCGACCCAAGGCTCCATTTGGACGCTAAAGCAGATAAAGAACGGAGGCGATCTCGTACTGTACGCGGTCGTGAGAGGAGGAGCGAAAATTCTTCATCACTTCCTCTATGGGGTAGCGAAATGCAAGCCGGTACATATTGTTTAGTAGCTGCATGTTGTGTAGCTGCACGTTGTCTTTCTCTTTACGTGTAATATCTTCAGCTTTCGAATTTTTTCATAAACAAGTTACGAGGCGTAGTACTCGGACAACTAAGTAGATGATCTTTCAATATTCCTTCAAAAAAATTATGCCAGCTTATCGAGGCAGTCCTCATCAACCCGGGACTAGCCTTGTGGAGGAACTCCACGAACGCTCGTGCGGCGGGCTATCGAGCCGCTTGCGATGGCGCAAAAATGACGTATGAGGGGTGTTTAGCCGCAACGGATGCGATGGCTGACACGAGTCACTGGCTCATTCTGGATATCTTTTGGGGAGAGTTTTGCATCCGCTTCCTCTACGGCACTGTTTTTATCCCTTCGAGAGACTTTTTTGCGGATTACATCTTCTGGCCCGGTCTGCATTTGACCTTAACCGGCTTGGAAAGGCTGACGAGATTCAGCTATTGGTACGTTCTCGTTCCTGGGCATCGCTACGTGCTGCGACCCTTTTTCGACTATGTCCTGAAGCCAACGGGGTACGTGGTTTACTATAGCTTGGGGTGTGTGGGGGAAGGCTTGCGCATCGCGCACAGACACACGTTTGCGCGGGTGCCAGACTCGGTCCGTTGGTCGTTCGCCTTAGCCAAAAAATCCTGGCTACGAGTGCGCACAACGATGGCGACCAAGTGCGCGCCCTTAGTGATGAGTGCGAAGCAAAAGTGGCAGGCCACACGGCAATACTGCACTGCTATCATCGGAGAACTGTATGCGAATAGGATACGCCCCCAAGTGGAGCGAGCGTATAACTCGACAATCGTGCCAGCTAGGGCAGCGGCAAGGGCAGCTGCGAACTCAGCGTCGGAGAGGTCGCGTTTGATACTTGCAGATCTCAGACGGCGCATGGATAGGGCTCGACAGCAGGCTAGTGAAGCATGGCAAAAATTTTGATCAACTGTGGGAAATCCACCTGCGCGACCCTCTAGTGCACGAGCGAGTTGAAGATAAACTGATACTGTTGTAGTAGAGCACACAACTACATGAGAAACTAGAAGCTTATTTTCAGTTTAACAGGCTTGTGCTGGAGTTTCTCTCTTTCGCTGATTGATTAATCTAGTAGTTGCATTTAGCGTCGTGAACGCCTCGGTCATCATGTGAACGACCAGGAAGTGGGCTCGAGAAAACTCGGAATCAGAAGTGTGACCTTTGTATTAAATGTACCCAAATCTACCCCAGTGCCAGTAGCGAGTACGTTCCAAGAATAACGAACTTGTTGTATTCGAAATAAAGCTTATCATGATGAAACTTACTTGATTTACTTCCTTGTAAAAATATATCATATTATTACTAGTGGTGTAAACTTACTTGTAGGATTACATCATCATAGTCCCAGTATATCTCTAGGAAGATCTCCTTAAAATTGTCCGCGTCTTTTGATCATCTGTACAGTTCCTTTGTTTTGATCCCATAACCCTATCGGGTTTTGATTGGGGAAAGCCATATACAAAACGAGTAAACTGCACAGGAGTTGTGAGTGTTACAAAGTTTAGTTTCGAACTTATTCTTGCTAGCTGTGCTGGTGCTTTATCTTCGCCCTGTCCTTGTGGTCATCACATACTACTAAACTATCGAGTATAACCAACACCAAGTCCTCCACCAAGTGAAGGTGTTCATCACAACGCTATTTGTTTATGTGAACCAAGTGAAGTTGTTCATCACAACTCTATTTGTATGTGAACCAAGTGAAGTTGCTCACTCATCTCTCCAAATGTATGAAAACGGACTCCTCGACTGAAAGTGCCTCTTTTTAATCCGCCAAGAACAACATCAAAGACCAAAAACAAAACTGCGAAGAACAATGGTTTCTCCGCTTGAGAATGCAGCTAAACACTGCGGATGGCGGATCACATCCTAATCCTAATCCAGCATCTAAGCTATCCTCTCTCTTTTAATCATTCGAGCAGCAAGAATACAACTGCTAATCTTCTCTGCGCCCACCACTGCTGGTGCGTCGAACTCTTCGAAAAACTTGTAATTGTAAACTGCTTCTCTTTGAGTTTCGCTGTAGTTGCCTTCACTCAAGCACTTGATTGCAGTCCTGCGTGGCTACGACGTACCGACTACCGAGTCGACACCAGGTAGCAGTCCTGCGTGACTACCATGTGTCGAGTCGTTAGAGAAGCCGCCCAAGAAATGTCAAAGTATGAGAACATCATCTTCAGCGTTTCATTTACATAAGATTAAGAACTACAGCTTGGTCCACAGTGATCTCGAGTGGGAATCACTAGAGCGCGCGCGAGATAGAGAGAGAACCGAGTATGAGTTGTGTGAATGCAAGAATCAGAGGACGACACCGATGGAAGAAACTTGAGAAAAAAGCGGAAACGGGAGAGACAGGAAACAAGTTATTTGGTGTAGTTACAGCCTCGAGTATAGAAAGCGGCTTAATACACATGATCCCTCCTCCTAGAAGTCTACTAGACTTAGTCTAGTAGACCCTATTATGACTACTCACAAGCCATCTTAGAAGCAGAAAATTCTACAACTTTTACACCATCGAGCCTTTCGAAATACCAGTTGTAGCTTGTTCTTGTATTTCACGACTGTTCTTCGAAGTAGATAATTACACACACTATCTACAAGAATGCACTCCAGCACGGATGAGATATCTCTGCGCGTACGAGTGGATTCGTGGAGGTCCGTCCAGTAACATTCTCATTACGGCGAAGGCATCTTCTTCTCGTGCGCCAGCATCTTCATGTTGTAGCCATTCTCTACTCGAAGAAAATAGCTGCCGCCAGATCATGTGCTCCAGCGCTGTTTTCTTTTTTTCGATCTCCAGTTGTTGCTCCCTACATCAATCTACTGGGTCGATCATCTACAGTTGTTGCTCCCTCTTCTAATCTCTGTTTCCTCTTACCCCAACGTCGGTACCTGAAAGCCCGATGCACAATCCCTGCGCAACTACGACGCGTGTTACTGAAAGAAGCTCCAAGTGAAGCACGAGTTGCAGCTGGTATTCAACATTATGCTTTTGGTTGTTCATCTCTAAGGGTTCTTCTTGGTTCTAAAGGATCAGGATCAGGAGTACTCAGAATTTAAATATCACTGAGAATATTCACTAGAACTACTGAGAATATTCACTAGTAGAACTAGTACAAGTACTGTTGGGAATAAATATCAATGAGAATATCATTTTCACCACATCATCTCATCTTCAGACGATTATGTTTCGTCTTCTCCTTGTGATTCCCCGCTTTCGCTTCTCCCTGGGGGAATGACGTCGACAAATTAGAATGCAGCCCTTACGGCAGCTCGCACTACAAAAAAAAAAAAGCGAGATTAATTGTATTGTATTGTATAATTGTCACCGATGGCTCTCCCCCAAAAAAATACTTCGCGCCAATAATGTAGTTCAATCCAAATCTTCTAATATCAACATAGAACTGGATCGACCTCGACGTCCTTTCCTTTTAAGAACGAAGATGCTACAACACCCTCTACAACTGTTGGCGATGCAGCTGTAGTTGGAGTTTCCGCACATCCTACGAGAACTAGTACATCAAATACTACAAGAAGTACTGCAAGTATATATCGTCACGACGAGGATAGCGATAGTACTAGCATTAAGGGTTTCCGAATTACATCCCTCACTACCATCCTTGGCTCCTTTTCAAGGGGGAAATGGGTCAAGGATGTTCTGAAGCATGCAACTCGGAAACCTCTAATAGCAGTGGTCCGCTGCGAAGCATAACTCGGCAAGGTTTCATCAGCAGGAGCTTCTACGATAGAGACTTTGAAGATTATACTGGGGAACAGGAAAATGGAGATAGTAGAATCGAAGATGAGAATTTTGATGTCGTCGATGAGGTTGATGAAGTAGAGGACGAGGCATCTTCTGGACATCAATTGACCCACGCTGAAATCAGCTTCATTAGAGAGGCAACGAGCAGATTCGTTCGCACCTCAACAAGTACTGCAGTGCAAGCACCTCTTTTATGAAGGCCAAGGAAGTGGAACCTGGGAGTTGAAACTCTATAACTCTCACTCTCTATCCGAGTACACTATCTCTATCAGTTCCAGAAGATGACTATCACTATCACAGCTCCTTATAATTTGCTGTGGTCAAGTTTCTTATTGAACTGGGTGGTCGCTTCGTCTCGTACTCGTATAAGCAGAAGAACCCGGCAAAGTACTTAGTTGTATTGCTCTGGTACTATTTGTTAAAAACTTGAATTAAAATCACAAGGATCCCCTTCTTCTTTTCCTTAAATGATCAAAATCAGGTTACCAAATAGAAATACCAGCATTTTTATGCGTTAGTATAATACTACGTCGGCCCCTTGGATTAGAAGGATCTGGCTAGTATTACTAAAGATGAGTGCTGGTATTTGGTAACCCGATTTTGATCAAAAAATTGCACTCACACTCACAAAAAGTGGCTATTTTCCTACTTAAATCCTAGCCAATTTCTTGAGTGTGAGCGCAGGCGCACTTTTTCGCTTCATAATTTTTATTCGTTAGTATAATACTAGCCAAATCCTTCTAATCCAAGGGGCCGACGACGTAATAGGCCGCCTTCTTTCTTCTGCAAAGAATCGTGAGGAAAATGAGCCTTCGCTGCGTTCGCTATATGCACTTCCGGAACCACAAGCGCAGCGCAGTCTTCGGGTGAAGGCTTTTCGGTTGCTCGCTGAGCGCCTAAGGGAGTCAGAACAGGAATTACGGTGAATAAAGTTCTTCCTCTTGTTGATGTTGAATAAGTAGAAGTATTAGTTCACTCCTCTTGTTGATGTTGAATAAGTACTTAGAAGTATAATTAGTTCATCTTGAGCTTGACAGGCTGAGGCTTTATCTGACTGGAGTCAGTTGTTGGTTTTAGTTGTATCTACTAACGGTTGTATTTTCATCTGACTGATGGCAAGAATACCTTTCTTACCACTTAGAAACTTCGAAAAAAACAAAGTTTAGACATCGCCGCCGTGGTCCTCCTGCGACCTCTATCTAATGCCCAGACAGCTACTCCAGCATGTGAAAGAAAGACTCATCGCACAAAGGAAAGAAACAGCTTCGATTTTCGGGAAGCGTAAAAACGATACCTCCTCTTACAAGCCTAAGCGCTCGTCTGTAGCTGAGTACAGAGTATTCGCATCAACCTGGCAGCAGATCGAGAAGACAGAAGCAGAGATAGTGGACTTCTCGAAAGATCTCGTGTGGGGAAACAGTTATGGTACTATTGGATTCGCTCCTCTAAAAGAATATTGGATTCCGTGCGGCAGTCTGCACTGAATTCTGTGCGAGATTAATTCTTGCATTGTATTTGTAAAAATGCACTCAATCAGGAACATATTACCTCAACAGATCACGATGACCGTCGTGCTGGTGCTCGTGACAAGGAAAGCATAAACAACAAGAGGCCATTTTTTCGATCTACAAGTGACTTCCCACTCTAGTAAGCATAAACAACAAGAGGCCATTTTTTCTATCTACAAGTGACTTCCCTCACTCTTCTAACATAGAACTACCAGAGGCCGCACCTACGTACGAGTTACTGGGGATATCGATGCTGTGCAAGCGATCGCCTTTATACGAACAGCTGACAATAAAGTCTTAGAGGCTGCCCCAATCGATGTTGCTCTGAGCAACCTCTTGGCAAGGATTCTGGACGAGGAGCACCAGAATTATGATCGAAAATCGTGAACTTTGTACCCTCTACTTTATTGTAGAAAACATGTTGTAGTGCTGCCATCATGATGTAGGAACAATAAGTACTTATAATTCTTGAAAAAGAAAAGCAGCTTTGCCCCCATTTAAGTAGTTTTTGTTTAAGAATGAATACTTTTCGTTGTAGTAGTTCGCCTTCGTTGGACCAAGACCAATTGCGTGCTCGGTCTTCAGTCTAGTCTCCAACTATGATGTCCACATCAAGATGTTCTCATCCCCTTCTTCTAATTGTCAGATCGCGACTTGTTTTACAGGCTTCACGTAACTTGGGGGGTCACTGAGCCCTCCGGTACAAGACGAATTGTTCTTATGGGTCAAAATATGTAGAAGGACCACAAAAATAAATAAAAATCTTTATCTCTAATATCTGAGATATCATATTTCACCGTACCTTGACGTTAGCCGTAACTACGTTAGCCGTGGCTAGTAGTACACTCAGAAAACCGAACAAAGTCAAATTATTCTTCTTACCTAAAAATTAGGCTAATGATAGCGAGTGATGAAGATGAATTTGTAGTATCTTAATCGTCTTATCTTGTAGAAACAGAGTAGACAGCCTCTAGTTGTTATTTTTCATAGTCGTGAAAGAATGCTCACCTCCTTGAGGCGAGCCAGCTCCTATCCTATCCTAATCTTCATCTTGCTGTCCAGGCGGTTACATCGTACTCGTAGAGTCTGTTCTAATCTCCTAGCCACGCATGCGGAGACTCAAGATCAGTGGAGGAACGCGACGGACACTGTGGTGAATGTAAATACCCTAGTGCAATCTGACTCCCAACTGCGCGAATTGCATGATGCTGCTCAGACTGTCCTAGAGCACGACAGCCTGGTTCAAAAACGTGACCGACTGACAAGAGAACTAAGGTTATAGCAAAGTCAATATTAGAGACTGAGAGTGTGACCAGGGCTTCTTCATGATGCTCAACTTACTTATTTGAATGAATTATATGAAGTCTGTCGAGTTCTAGAAGTCGCGGCCATGAGAGCAAGAGCATCAATAACAATAAGTATAGCTTTCTTACGTTTTCCACTTCCATCTCGTCCTGCTGTAGACGATGGACGAGAACGGGTTGCACACTGCTAATAAAAGAAAAACAACGGCGTTTTGACGAGCTGGCGGAGCAGAGCAGGCGTTTAGAAATCCTTCTTGAAGAAGCACGTAATACTAGTGCCTATCTAACCACCAAGTTGCAGCAGGACAGTTTGAAATTTCAAAAAAAGACCACTCATATGAAGGCTAGAAGAAATCCATCTTCAGAGGCATCCTGAGACCGTTTTCAAGGGGAAAAAGGTCCTCGGATGCGTCTCGAGATGGATTTCTCTTATAGTTCTAATAGTACAGTAGTAAAGAGGACGGGTAACTTGCGACGGGTGCAGCCTCCTCGTGCAGCGTCAATTTCTCGAACAAGTAGCTCATCCTCAAATCTTCGTGGTTCTACTCAGCCACGACTGCAACGAACTGGTGCGGCTGCAAATTATAGATTTATGATTATGGTATTAAAGGCCTCCGGCTCTCGCAGCGGTAAATAAATCTCCCAAGACTATGGAAGTAAAGGCTCTCCCATCATCTTGTTCAGTAGACGGTACATCAATCTTGAAGCTGTCCTGTCCCATAGGGAAATAACGTAGTTTCAAGATGTAGTATTTAGTAGGATGTTGTTGAAAGGATCTCCAGAACCAGTACAAGAATTAGGTGGGTCTAATAGATACTCAACGTCGACCAGGAGCAATAACGATCCGCTGGAGCTTTTTTATTCCACACCTGAAGATTACGATAGCGAAGGGACCAAACCGCTCTTTTCGACTGGCACTTTCGATTCCTGTATCGATCTCCTCAGACGCGTTCTCGACGCCGTCTTTTTCCTATTGGAACTATCGCTTGACGTCACCGTGTTCTTTTGTGGCCTGGCGAAACGGTTTTTCGATAATTGCATCTTCTTTCCGATTGTCGTCCTGCTGTATTTCGGATTTCTTGGACTGCACTGCGTGGCATCGAGCTTTTTCCAAGCAACTTTCGTCCTGTTTATGGTCTGTACTAGTTGTACTGCCATTTATTTTGTACTGCCATTTATTTTGTTGTAGCTAATGAACAAAGAACAACACATTATGAGATTATACGGTAATAGAGAACCTCCAACTGAGTAAATAGTACAACAGTAGAAAGTTATTTTCTAAGTTATCCTCTCTGTTTCTTCCTTCTGTCTCCGATCCTTTCTCGATCGAGATTGGGATTGCTCAGCGATACGGAGCCATCTTGGACTACCTGGAAAGTGCCTTACTTCTGGTCATCTATTTCTTCTGCATTTTTCTTCCGACAGCTTGCTGGGTCGAGCGAAGGTATTCGCGCTTGCCGCTTTTGCTGCAACTAGTCCTCGTTCTCTACCTCGCTTTCTGGTGTGCAGGCACATTGACCATCTACACTCTCCGCGCAATGCTCGTTTCGGGCTAGAGTCCGACTGTCAAGACGAATTATATAGCTGGTGGTCCTATACCGTTGTGGTGAAAAAAGTAGTAGACTCGTTAGTAGTAGACTAGTAGTAAGCCAAAGCCAAACAAAAGCAAGAGGTAGAACCTTGTGTTCATCTTCTAGAAACAATATTAAGAACAAGAGGTGACAAGAAGAACTTCAGGAACAAGTCCACGTCCTACAACAAGTAGTTCCGCAGGGATGGAGCGACGTGGATACCTGTTGAATGACTCTACTGGGCGCAAGGAGTATTTCGTGTTGCGGAAAGGTGTCTTGCGGAGTTACAGGTCGGATCGCGGTGAATTATTGAAACAGATCCACTTGGCTCACTCAGGTGAGGTGAATTTACTCCACGATGGGGTGTTGGAAATCAAAGCGCATTCGCCCTACACGTGGGAGTACACGCTGGTGGCATCGACTGAGGAAGATGCGGAACACTGGTAATAAGACATCACTTCTATGTTGAAAATCAGGTGCGGAACACTGGCAGTATAAGGCATCACCTCTATGTTGAATTATAACACTGGTAGTAAGACATCACTTCTAGTTCTATGTTGAACTATTTTTGACGTTCTTGTTGAGATCAAAACTTCTCAGACTCTCTTTCTATTCTTAGTGCTAAATTTTCTTACTGATCGTGGATTGTCGCTGTTACAAGCACGCTCCATCGCCTGTTCGAATTTACCAAGGAACTCAAGAACCCGTGTTCCCTCATTGTTTTCACAAACCACAGGTACGACCTCTAACTGAATAAGAGAATCACAAACCACAGGTACGATCTCTTCCAGAACTGCATAATAGAATCGCAGAAGAGTATACAGAACATGATCGAACTTCTGCGAAACGGAGCCCAGCTTGTGAAGTACAACTACTCAAACTACAAGCGAACGCGGCGTTTGTTTTGGATATCAGACAACGGAGATGAACTCAGGATATGGCAGGCAGCCTTATTGTATTACTTAGATCTAAGCAGGTCAAGCCTTATTGTATTTGTATTAATTAGATCTTTCTAAGGTTAACATTCAGAACAACAAGAACTTTGAATACATACATTATAGATTGTAGATCATTTTTGAAACTACACGCTGCTGCAGATTGCTTCTGGTGATGTGAAGACTTCTTTTTCCACCGCTCTTTGGGTACATTTACCGCTCTTCGGTAGCAGTAAAAAAATGCACATAAAACACCCACCAAACTAAGAACCTGACCTTTCATGCTGCTGGGGCAAGCAGAAGAGTCTGACCGACTATAGCAAGGTCGATTTGCGCGATTGCATAGGCATTATCTACGGTCCGGTCACTACAACGTTCGTACGCTGCCAAGAGACCGGAAAGGACGCTCCATATTGCTGTTACGGTGAATTAATCATGTGTTACAGTTATAGAGTATTATAATGAGTAATTTCTCGACGAGAATTCTCGTGTTTGGTGGCACAGCATTTTTAAGGTTAAACAAGATGTTTACGGACTCTGTTTGGAAGTTAAAGATGTACAGGTCGTCGTGGATATTCATGTGCTTGTTGAGATGCGCATGCGGTGAGGTGAAAATAAAGATTCTACGTAAATGTCCTATAATGATCATCTTCTTCTTTCATTAATTCGAGTCTCCTTGTTCTCTAATTTCCTTTCTCCCTCCTCTTTATGGGACGAACGCTGGATCTCGCAAGCTACGGAGATATGATCAACATCTGGTTTCTCGGCTTGCAGTACCTCATAAGTAGGTACGGGACAGGAGGACAGTCGATGCCGGTCCTCTCAGATTCCCAATTCGTCGTCAAAAAAGGCCAGTACAAGGTGATGGAGCGCGCTCACCAGTTGGGTGTCACTTACATTTAAGGAGATCATTTGCTTTTCTTCGAAGATGCTTCATCAGCTCTCTTTGTTGCCATTTCTTCAGCTTCAGCTTTCGTTCATCTCGTGGAGGTCTATTTAAGAAAGTACTTATGTTGTGCATGTGGATTGATGTAGTACTCCTCTCTATCTATAACTATGTGGATTGGCATCAGGATTGATGTACTCTCTATCTAAGTACTTATGTGGATTGATGTCCCTCAAGTACGTAGGATATACGACCAGTGGAAACCGAAATGACCCTCAGGAGGAGCAAGGTTTATTTGTACAGAAATACAGTTAGATATTATAGAGTAGGGGTAAGAACTGATCTAATACATGCGACATTTGGTGCTGTCAGTGAAAGAGATGGGTGGAATGTATGCTGGGGATTCTGAGCAGTTTTGGAGGCATAGCATAAGGGCATTTGGTGCTGGCGGTAGTCCCTACAAACCGCCACCTAGGATTATGGCTTTTTGTTGGGGTCCAAACCTAGTAGAAGTCAGTGGCAAGATTTCTTTTCAAGGGAAAACGCTGTACAAGGATCATAGCTGGATACCAAGATCGGGATTCAGGCACACTCTAAAAGAAGTCCAGACGCTCGGTCGAAGTTGCCAGTGCCTAAGCAGCTACCTGGTGTGCGAAGTGCCGATAACGTGAAGCGGACAAAGGATGATGATGCACCGATGGCTAATTTATGAATGCGGATCTTATCTTTATAATGAATACCAACTGCACAAAGTGACTGTTATTTCTCTTCTTGGTCGCACAGTGCACTGATGTACCAGCAACTACCTGAAGATTAATAAAGCAATGATGATAGATAATACTTGATAATATATAGTTAGATAATACTCACAGTCTGTCACACTGTGTTTGGTTTTTGAGCGTGAGTAAAAATGGTTTTCCGTCTGTATTGATGCTTGGCTGATGAGTTTTCCTTCATCCCCTGGCAACGGTGTAGCCACCTCCGGCGGTAAGAACACAGAGGCGCTGGAACTAGAGATCCAACGTCTCCAGTCCGAGAACGAGAGGCTGAAAGCTACTAGTGGAGACATCAGCGGAGACGGAAGTACTGCTCTGAAATTCATGGAAGAGCGGTGCCGGGATCTGGAAGGTCAGGTGATAAACATGCAGCAGCAGATTAAGCAGCAACAGCATAGCAGCTCACATTAAGGCTTGACCAATCTATTGGTCACTGAGGTTGGTCACTGTGGTCACCATTTAGATTGGAGTGGTCACTCTGATCGAAGAGGTGACCCCTTCGTGAGAGAACCAACAGGGGAAATTAATGGGGAGAGCTTGTTCGAAGGTGGTCTCTTCCGTTCGGCATCAGTGACCACTGACTGCTGACCTTTAAGCACAAGATGGCACAACGTTGTCAAATTTGCGGAAACAAGTGGAGCAGTACCAAGCAGAACTGGCGACTGAAAATTATGACTACATTTTTGACATTGTTTACTAGGTGAACAAAAAAACGCGATTGCTCAAGATCTTTATAATTATAGCAGGAGAAAGTCACACTCATCGTCATCTCAAGCACTGTTCTCTCCGCTTCAAAGCTTATTATAGAGGAAAATGAGTCTCCTAGTCCCATAGTCTTCAAAGTTCTCGACTTGCACTCCTCCTCTAAGATCAAGGCGGTCGTCGTCGTGGTGAGACGAAGGTTACAGAACTGGAGAACCAACTCACCGCACTGACATCCGAAAAGACTTCCTTAGAAGCCACTGTGGCCACACTTGAGACAAGATTGCAGAACGAGGCGGCTGCCGCAATAGAGTTTATGGATCATCCGCATCCCTGTAGGATCTGTTGTTGCAAGTATCTGTTGTTGTAAATTAGACTTGATTTTTAGAAGTGGTCGTCGCTTCATGACTTAATTTTTAGAAGTGGTCGTCGCTTCATTTCTTCTATCATGTGTAAGTAAGTACTATATGCTTGTACAACTACAACAAGAATCATGCTCGTCTTGTTGTTCTTGTGACTGTGACGAGAGCACAGTTAAAAATAATGTTTCTAGATTGTCTCGACCTCCATCCATCTCCTATTTTATTCCTTCTTTAGTCCATCTCGTCTTCATACCAACGAAGACATCTGTGTTAGAGCGAGCGAACAACGAGCAAGCCCAGCGCATTGAGGAGCTCACCGTGGAGTGTGGCCAGGTGTCGAAAGCCCGTGACGACCTTGCAGCGAAAAACGAAGCCCTCCGAAAGCAGATATCAGGCAATGAGGAACAGAAAAGCAAACTTCGCAACCTATTTTTATGGGACGATACACTTTGTTACAACTCGGATTGTAAAGCTATAAAGTGATGTAGATGTTGCTGTTGGTGTTGCACTAGGGGGCGGAAGATATCTGTTGCACTAAATGAGGTTCTGAAAAAGATTCATCCTTTGCTCTAATCTGCGTCTCTCTCCTGAGCAAGGCCAAGGACCTGCAGATCCTACAGACAGAGCTGAAGTCAGCCGTAAGCGTTGAATTGAGACAGTTCCAGGACAGCTACTTCGTTCCGCTGGGGCGTGGCGTGAAGTCTATGGGCAACAGTATTGCCAACATGCAGGACTCCTTCAAGAATGTGCAAGCCGAACGCAGACGTTTGCATAATATGGTGCTGGAATTGAAGGGAAATATTCGGGTACTATTTATATTTAAGTACTTACGTTCGTTCCTCCTCATCTCCATACTTCAAGTACAGGGTAAGTAGTGTAGTTGAAGTACGTTCCCCCTCATCTCCATGCTTCAGACATCAAGTACAGGGTAAATCTAGTGTTATTGTGCCTCACTTCATTTGTATACCAGATGGAAGAACTCCCTTTATGTTAATCCTGAAGAACATGTTCTTCGTGAAACAATTCAGCCACGTCTTCGTCTTCCATCAACATCAAGTCCGTAGAAAAAATTGTTCGTCTTTTATAACATCAAAAATGCCAACATATCTACTTTATCCATCTGCTGGGACTAAGCAATCGAACATCACAACCCACCTCCAAATGTTGATCACATTTCTTCCAAAAATGATAACTTCTTGATGAGGTCTTTGCTCGTGTGCGACCGATAAGCGATAACGAGAAAGATAGCGAACCCAAAGACGGCAATAAGACAGTTCAGTTCAGCGAGGAAACGAAAGTGGGAATCTACAACGACTATGACGCCAGAAAAAAATGGTTCGAATTCGATCGATGTTTCTGGCCTGGAAGCCAACAGCAAGACTTATGATTTGACGATATAAAGATATCCAAGCCTCTGGCTCAGCCTTAGTACTGGAACTCGTTACGAGTAAGTAGTTCTATGCTATGTAAGTAATTCATTCCTCTAAAATGAGGTACAGGATTTCTATGCTGATGACAATTATGTTGCAGCACCACAATCGGCATAGTGGTCTCAATGATCGCACCTTCATCTTCCGTAGCCATCCTAGACAAAGACATGTGTTAGAGTTAGTCTCCCAACTAATCGTAATCCCTGTTTTTATGGAAGATAAGTAGTCCTATCTAGTCTCCCGCTCCCTCAATCTGCCTATCATCTTGAGCATAATCTCCCTTCTTCGCCACGTTGATCATGGCAACCATAAGCATAAGGCCACCTCTACCCTATCTCTCTTCGTTTTCCTTCATAGACAAAGACAAAGACATGTTAGTCTTCCATCTAATTCTAATCCCTGTATTTATGGAACATAAGTAGTCCTAGTCTCCCTTCGCCATCTTAAGAATAGTCTCCCATCTTCTAACCTCTGTCTTCGTGGAGGCTGCCCCTCTCGCGACTAGTGTGCTTGATGGTTACAACGTAACCATTTTCGCCTACGGGCAGACCGGAAGTGGAAAGACCTATACGATGCGAGGGCCAAAGGAAGATCCTGGTTTGTACACGCGAGTTCTTTCCGAGCTCTTCAAGCTTGTCGATGAGAAGATTATGGTCGCAGGGTTAACATTTGTTCATCTGCTCGTAACCAAGTACAAGAACTTACTAGTTTGTTACTACCCATGATCCTCTTCATCTCGAGTAGATGATGTAGTTGTAGAAGTATTATGTGCCCGCTGATAACCACGTTGAAGGTTGAATGGCTCCGGTATTTTTGGTATAGCCTGAATTTGATCAAAAGCAGGGAAAACAAGAGGAGAACCTTATGATCAAATTCAGGCTACCAAATACCAGAACCATACAAAGGTAGACGCATGCATTACTCTGGTGGTCGCAGTTGTCATCCTCATCTCTAACTCCCAAGGGAGCAGTCGCATCGCCTTACGACTTCAGATTACGGAGATCTACAACGAACAACTACGGGATCTCCTGTCATCGAATACTGCTCCTTCGGGGCCGACGAAAAAAGTCGATGTGAAACTCGGACAGGATGGATGTATTGACTCTTTATTTTGTAATGCTGATGCTTCTGAAGTTTGGACATCAGGATCATGGATGTAGTCTTTATTCTGTTAAATGTTGACGTTTCATCTCCATCAAGAAACTTTGACTGTCCTTCAGCCGTGAACCTGACAAATGTCGAGGACTATCCGGTGAAGGGGATACAGGATGTTTTTAAGCTGATGAACGAAGCGGATGCTAACAGGGCCGTCGCGTGCACCGATATGAACGAATACAGTAGTCGAAGTCACCAGATTTTGACCGTCAAGGTCGAAAACGAATCACTGGAAACTGGGACACAGTACATATGCACATTGTGACAAAATAAATTCAACGTGGGAAAACAAGAAGAGAACCCTTATGATCAAATTCAGGTTACCAAATACCAGAACCATACAAAACATCCGACAGTCAGACGTCTTTAACCCCTCTTACTTTCAAAGGTACTTCGGCAAGATCCATTTGATTGATTTGGCGGGTAGTGAGAACGTCGGCAAGAGCGGAGCAACGGGTCAGACGTTGATTACGGCCACATCTCTCTCGGGAAGATCCTGATCTTCCTTCACTCGTATCTAAATCTATAGTATGAATGGTACTCATCAGAATTCCAACACGGACACAGTCCTAGTAATTGTACTTACACCGGACATGATGAAGATGCCTCTTGAGCCGCGTTTCCTTATGATCTAAACCAGTTTACCAAATACGAGAACCACACATCCCCCAGCCCGTCGAGTTCCAGCGATGGACCACTCAAACAGTGTGCTAGCTCTAACCTACAAGAAGCGCAAAATATCAACAAGTCGCTTTCTGCTTTGGGAGACGTGATCCAGAGTCTCCAGAGCAAGTCCTCCCACGTGCCATACCGAAACTCAAAGCTTACCATGATGCTGAAGGATTCGCTTTTATGGACGAAAGGAGGGATCATCTAGAGGATAGTCGTAGAACTATGGTAGAGGTAGAAGTAGAAGTAGGTATACGATCATCTAGAAGTAGGTAGATTTACCTCTTTTACAAGTAGGTAGATTTACTAACTTATTTTACTTTTACAGCTGAAATATAAGGAGCTGCACTTGCACTTCCTCTCTGCAACTGCTGTAACAAGCCTAAAAAAAATGTACAGAGTATTAGTTGCAACAAGCCTAAGAACATTGTACTTCTGAGTATTATCGGAGCCTATCGCGAGAAAAAGCGTTATCATTATCGTTTCTTTCTCTACACTACGTACCACCAGGGCAGTTGGTGAGGTTTCTGTTGGACGAGAAGCAAGTCCTTTTTTGAATGAACATAAAGCTCACCCTTCTAATACCCGGAGGCGATGCGAAAATGCTCATGATCGTACAATGCTCGCCTGCTCAGAGTAACGTCACGGAGACGCTATCTACACTGACCTTCGCTGCGCGAGCACGCAGTGTTGAGCTAGGAAAAGCAAAGCGGAACGTTAGGGCTAGCGAGGCTTGAAGATTAATAGGGCGGCGACAGAAAGCAAACTTGTAAGTATGAATACTATCATCTTCAGGGTGTAAAAGACAGTAACATTTTTTGAAGAAATTTAGCATCAAACTGAAATTTTTGTACGCACAAGCACAATGATTGGAGATCTTTATATATACTTATAGACAGACTGCAAGAAATCTTGGGGAGAGTTGTCCCCGTATGAGATACCAAATAACCGTATTTTAGACGTAATCAAACAATTTATGTACTACGCTTATTTTCGTGAATGATATTGCACAGCGTCAGCGCATCGATTTTGTAATAACTTCAAAGATGGACAACGAAGTGTCGTGTAGAAACAATGATTTCTTTTTCTCTATTTCTAACAGCGATTCAAGTTTATTGTAGTTTCGTTTTTATGGACCGACGATATTGATTTGAACAGATGAGGGATGTTGTCTAATAAATTAGTTTTCATCAATCTTGCAATAACAGCACATGCACAATTTTTTGAGTTGAGTAATACGCTCATTTTCGTTGTCGATGGTCTTCGTCTTAATTTGTTGTGGTGTGTCGTGGCTCTTAGCTGCTTCCCCGGTCGTATTGATTACTACGGTGGCTGTGGTCCTCTAACTATGACGAAAAGAACACATGATCAAGGAGGGCAGCAATTTGAATTTATTTGGTTGGCTACAGCCAGCAAAGTATCTGCCCAGCTGGACGTCTGCCTCAATGTTTTTGAGGACTTGCCGAAGGGCTTCCTCTGGGAAACCCTTCGGAGGCGCATCCCGGATTTTTACCGCGGTGCTATAGAATTCTTTGAGGTCCTTTGCCTCCGCGGCATTGACGTCTGCCTTCCAAAGGCCAGTACTCTTGTTCTCCCCTATTGTTTGAAATCCATGGAGGATGTCGTCCGGTAGCGACGTGTCCGGATGGCCCGTCAATGCGATGAGTTTTCTCATTGCGATGACGTTCCTTGTTTTGGTTGTCTGTAGCACCCTTTTTAGGTGCTCTGGCGCCGTAGCGTTTATCAAGTCTGCATTTGCTTGCTCCGTCTGCGTCTTCAGACGTCTGAACAAGGCGGTGGCTTGTTTTCTTCGTTTGGCTACCGCTGCCGGCTGTAGCTTCTCGGCAGCTATCAGTTGTTCCCACTCGAGTGGTAGCTTTTGGCCGTAGGTCTCGAAGTGTAGTTGTGCTCGGACCCGATTGACGAAGTTGCAGACCGCGTCATGGAGCTCGCGGCGGTCGTTGCCGTGCTCCATTTCTGCTTGGCTGACGTGTAGTGGCGTGGCAGTCGTCATTTTTTGTGACTAGGCTTGGTTGGCCCCTGGGAGGATTTTTTGTCGACTGTCGTCCAGGAACCTTCCAGAGAGCGTATCTTTTCTCTCACCTAAGTTAACTCACCAGTTAGTATAATCACTTCCCCCGCAAGCTCCTCCAGTGCATATACAAACTGGAGACTTAACCCCCGGGGATCCTAAATCTACTGGTGAGTTATACTTTTTAGTGCTGTGGCAGCACGGTAGGCTGGCTCGGCAGACCCAGGTCTTTGCCGGCGCCGGTCGTTGCACCTACGGCCCATAAATTTGCCACGGAGCGTGGCGGGAGGCCTTTACCTCCCCAGAGAGAGTTGCACACCAACGTCCGGGTGTCGTAACCCCTCTCGCGGCTCGGCCGGTGTTCGTGCACCGTCGCCCTACGAGTCAATCAACCGGCACCCGCGAGGTTTCGGGTGCTCGCTCTTCGCGTCGGACGCTTTGGTCCGGGGCGCTTTGGCCCGGGTGCGCGGCTAATCCCTCGGCAGTAGCAGGCGTTGTCCCCCCGCTGGGGGACAAGGTCACTTTGAACCTCCAGCCCGCGCTGTCGGCCTACTACCGGGGCTTGAGCTCCCGCTCAACCTCTGGTCTCGGTTTGACACGTGCCAGCGGTGAATGGACCGCTCCGAGCCCTTATCCTTTCCTCACCGGCACCTTCCTCCGGAGACCCCGACCAGGCTCCGGCTTCCTGGTGCGGACTTGAGTCGGCGGTCTGAGACTCGCGTCCGCCGTCGAGGGGTTACGGGGACGTGTGCCGGCCTTTGCACAGGTTTGCGTCAGGACCTCCCGCCGGCCAGCGCCCGCGTCGGTGGTGTGCCGGGGCGGCTGCCGCCCTCCACCGCGCTTGTCGCTCCCGTGGGAGGGACGAACTCCCGGAGCGACAGCGACAGCAGGGGCCGGCAGGCGTTCACATAGTTCAGCCAGCCATAGTCGGGCACCAGTGGACTGCTGAACCGTCTGCAGCCGTGGGATGGTGTTGATGAACAGTTTGTGCTTGCCGTGTCTGGTCATGTAGTCCGCCAGGTTCCATTCGGATTTTATGTAGACGTACCACGGTTTGACATTGTTGTCGTACCAGTGATTGACTACGTCTACTGCGGTGTTTGCCACCACCGCGGATTTGCCACTACATTTGATGAAGTTGTAGAGTACTGGCGTGTTGTCGATCAGCACTACGAGGTCGGAGTTGCTGGTCCAACTCGGTAGTTGCTTTGCGGCGAGGCCCACCGCGGCCGCCTCCAGTACCTCTATCCTGGCGGTGGCCCATCGGCCATCCGTTAATGGCTGCATTTGGATGAGGGTCTTCCCGCTGTGGTGGATCATGACGTATCCTAGCGTTGGCTCGCCGTTCGGCCCGCCATCTGTTGACGCGTCCGTGAACAGGAAGCTCAGAGGCTTCACGATTTGTTCTAGCCTGAGTCTGAGCCTGTTCACCTTGTGGACCATCTTCTCGATGGCCGCAGTGGAGCGCAGGAGGGCTCTCCGTTGCCACCGCTGCTTCACCAACTTGTCGAAGGTGGCGTCTTCTGTCCATGCGTAAAGAGATCTCATGATCTCGTTTCCGGCTCTGTTTGCCGCGGACACGGTGATGAAGTTTGCCAGTCCGAGCAGTCGCTGGACCACCTTTTTGTCCAACTGTCCTGTGTTCACTTTCTGCCGGAGCTCGTTTGCGACTTCCGCGACCTGCTGGAGCATGTTGTCTGGCACCACAACATCAATTCCCGTTTTTGGGCTTGTGTCGTAGTGGAGGCCCAGTATGCGCACAATAGGGCTCTTTCTCGAGTCCTGCTGTGCTGTCGCTTTTGTCGCGAGCTCCAGCCCCAGGCAGTCGCAGAGAGCTTCGTATGCCTCTATTGCCTCATCCGCTCCCTCTTCGAGGCTGAGGATGATGGCGTCGTCGATGTAGATTGGCACTACTGTGTGCCCGAGCGTGGCCATTATTTTCATGACCAGCTCCGCCACTCTACACCAGCTGCTGACGCTGAACTTGTTCCCCATGTTCAGTATCGCCGCGAGGAACATGCGGTAGCGCCCCTGGGTGTCGTCCCAGACTCCAACCGGGTTTTCCTCCGGGTGTTTTACCCCTACCTGGTAGTAGGCCTTGCTCCAGTCTCGGAGTGCGATGCAAGGCTTTCTACCTGCCGGGCGGGTCTTCATCCTCTCCTCGTTGAGGAGCCTCACCTGCTCGCCGAGTTGGCGGTGCTCGTCGGTGGTTGTGGCTTCGCTTGCGCTTGTTTTTGCGCGGAAGTCTGCGACCTCTTTAGCCACCTGGCCGCAGATATCCGTGGTGAACTGTGTCACCGGTGCGTGGAGGGTGAGGCCCTCTGCGCCTGCAGGCGCCATGTAGCTTTTTACAATCTCCAGGACCGTTCGCGTCCCGTGGAGCCTCACCTTTTCCGACATTTTTGAGAAGTCGTTTTTCCACCGCTCGTCGATTATCACGCGAACCTTCTCTGGTTCGACCTTTGGGAAGGCGTACGCCGGCATGACCTTGAGGTCCTCTGGATTGATCTCTTTGTATCTGCCCAGCTGGACGTCTGCCTCAATGTTTTTGAGGACTTGCCGAAGGGCTTCCTCTGGGAAACCCTTCGGAGGCGCATCCCGGATTTTTACCGCGGTGCTATAGAATTCTTTGAGGTCCTTTGCCTCCGCGGCATTGACGTCTGCCTTCCAAAGGCCAGTACTCTTGTACTCCCCTATTGTTTGAAATCCATGGAGGATGTCGTCCGGTAGCGACGTGTCCGGATGGCCCGTCAATGCGATGAGTTTTCTCATTGCGATGACGTTCCTTGTTTTGGTTGTCTGTAGCACCCTTTTTAGGTGCTCTGGCGCCGTAGCGTTTATCAAGTCTGCATTTGCTTGCTCCGTCTGCGTCTTCAGACGTCTGAACAAGGCGGTGGCTTGTTTTCTTCGTTTGGCTACCGCTGCCGGCTGTAGCTTCTCGGCAGCTATCAGTTGTTCCCACTCGAGTGGTAGCTTTTGGCCGTAGGTCTCGAAGTGTAGTTGTGCTCGGACCCGATTGACGAAGTTGCAGACCGCGTCATGGAGCTCGCGGCGGTCGTTGCCGTGCTCCATTTCTGCTTGGCTGACGTGTAGTGGCGTGGCAGTCGTCATTTTTTGTGACTAGGCTTGGTTGGCCCCTGGGAGGATTTTTTGTCGACTGTCGTCCAGGAACCTTCCAGAGAGCGTATCTTTTCTCTCACCTAAGTTAACTCACCAGTTAGTATAATCACTTCCCCCGCAAGCTCCTCCAGTGCATATACAAACTGGAGACTTAACCCCCGGGGATCCTAAATCTACTGGTGAGTTATACTTTTTAGTGCTGTGGCAGCACGGTAGGCTGGCTCGGCAGACCCAGGTCTTTGCCGGCGCCGGTCGTTGCACCTACGGCCCATAAATTTGCCACGGAGCGTGGCGGGAGGCCTTTACCTCCCCAGAGAGAGTTGCACACCAACGTCCGGGTGTCGTAACCCCTCTCGCGGCTCGGCCGGTGTTCGTGCACCGTCGCCCTACGAGTCAATCAACCGGCACCCGCGAGGTTTCGGGTGCTCGCTCTTCGCGTCGGACGCTTTGGTCCGGGGCGCTTTGGCCCGGGTGCGCGGCTAATCCCTCGGCAGTAGCAGGCGTTGTCCCCCCGCTGGGGGACAAGGTCACTTTGAACCTCCAGCCCGCGCTGTCGGCCTACTACCGGGGCTTGAGCTCCCGCTCAACCTCTGGTCTCGGTTTGACACGTGCCAGCGGTGAATGGACCGCTCCGAGCCCTTATCCTTTCCTCACCGGCACCTTCCTCCGGAGACCCCGACCAGGCTCCGGCTTCCTGGTGCGGACTTGAGTCGGCGGTCTGAGACTCGCGTCCGCCGTCGAGGGGTTACGGGGACGTGTGCCGGCCTTTGCACAGGTTTGCGTCAGGACCTCCCGCCGGCCAGCGCCCGCGTCGGTGGTGTGCCGGGGCGGCTGCCGCCCTCCACCGCGCTTGTCGCTCCCGTGGGAGGGACGAACTCCCGGAGCGACAGCGACAGCAGGGGCCGGCAGGCGTTCACATAGTTCAGCCAGCCATAGTCGGGCACCAGTGGACTGCTGAACCGTCTGCAGCCGTGGGATGGTGTTGATGAACAGTTTGTGCTTGCCGTGTCTGGTCATGTAGTCCGCCAGGTTCCATTCGGATTTTATGTAGACGTACCACGGTTTGACATTGTTGTCGTACCAGTGATTGACTACGTCTACTGCGGTGTTTGCCACCACCGCGGATTTGCCACTACATTTGATGAAGTTGTAGAGTACTGGCGTGTTGTCGATCAGCACTACGAGGTCGGAGTTGCTGGTCCAACTCGGTAGTTGCTTTGCGGCGAGGCCCACCGCGGCCGCCTCCAGTACCTCTATCCTGGCGGTGGCCCATCGGCCATCCGTTAATGGCTGCATTTGGATGAGGGTCTTCCCGCTGTGGTGGATCATGACGTATCCTAGCGTTGGCTCGCCGTTCGGCCCGCCATCTGTTGACGCGTCCGTGAACAGGAAGCTCAGAGGCTTCACGATTTGTTCTAGCCTGAGTCTGAGCCTGTTCACCTTGTGGACCATCTTCTCGATGGCCGCAGTGGAGCGCAGGAGGGCTCTCCGTTGCCACCGCTGCTTCACCAACTTGTCGAAGGTGGCGTCTTCTGTCCATGCGTAAAGAGATCTCATGATCTCGTTTCCGGCTCTGTTTGCCGCGGACACGGTGATGAAGTTTGCCAGTCCGAGCAGTCGCTGGACCACCTTTTTGTCCAACTGTCCTGTGTTCACTTTCTGCCGGAGCTCGTTTGCGACTTCCGCGACCTGCTGGAGCATGTTGTCTGGCACCACAACATCAATTCCCGTTTTTGGGCTTGTGTCGTAGTGGAGGCCCAGTATGCGCACAATAGGGCTCTTTCTCGAGTCCTGCTGTGCTGTCGCTTTTGTCGCGAGCTCCAGCCCCAGGCAGTCGCAGAGAGCTTCGTATGCCTCTATTGCCTCATCCGCTCCCTCTTCGAGGCTGAGGATGATGGCGTCGTCGATGTAGATTGGCACTACTGTGTGCCCGAGCGTGGCCATTATTTTCATGACCAGCTCCGCCACTCTACACCAGCTGCTGACGCTGAACTTGTTCCCCATGTTCAGTATCGCCGCGAGGAACATGCGGTAGCGCCCCTGGGTGTCGTCCCAGACTCCAACCGGGTTTTCCTCCGGGTGTTTTACCCCTACCTGGTAGTAGGCCTTGCTCCAGTCTCGGAGTGCGATGCAAGGCTTTCTACCTGCCGGGCGGGTCTTCATCCTCTCCTCGTTGAGGAGCCTCACCTGCTCGCCGAGTTGGCGGTGCTCGTCGGTGGTTGTGGCTTCGCTTGCGCTTGTTTTTGCGCGGAAGTCTGCGACCTCTTTAGCCACCTGGCCGCAGATATCCGTGGTGAACTGTGTCACCGGTGCGTGGAGGGTGAGGCCCTCTGCGCCTGCAGGCGCCATGTAGCTTTTTACAATCTCCAGGACCGTTCGCGTCCCGTGGAGCCTCACCTTTTCCGACATTTTTGAGAAGTCGTTTTTCCACCGCTCGTCGATTATCACGCGAACCTTCTCTGGTTCGACCTTTGGGAAGGCGTACGCCGGCATGACCTTGAGGTCCTCTGGATTGATCTCTTTGTATCTGCCCAGCTGGACGTCTGCCTCAATGTTTTTGAGGACTTGCCGAAGGGCTTCCTCTGGGAAACCCTTCGGAGGCGCATCCCGGATTTTTACCGCGGTGCTATAGAATTCTTTGAGGTCCTTTGCCTCCGCGGCATTGACGTCTGCCTTCCAAAGGCCAGTACTCTTGTACTCCCCTATTGTTTGAAATCCATGGAGGATGTCGTCCGGTAGCGACGTGTCCGGATGGCCCGTCAATGCGATGAGTTTTCTCATTGCGATGACGTTCCTTGTTTTGGTTGTCTGTAGCACCCTTTTTAGGTGCTCTGGCGCCGTAGCGTTTATCAAGTCTGCATTTGCTTGCTCCGTCTGCGTCTTGAGACGTCTGAACAAGGCGGTGGCTTGTTTTCTTCGTTTGGCTACCGCTGCCGGCTGTAGCTTCTCGGTAGCTATCAGTTGTTCCCACTCGAGTGGTAGCTTTTGGCCGTAGGTCTCGAAGTGTAGTTGTGCTCGGACCCGATTGACGAAGTTGCAGACCGCGTCATGGAGCTCGCGGCGGTCGTTGCCGTGCTCCATTTCTGCCTGGCTGACGTGTAGTGGCGTGGCAGTCGTCATTTTTTGTGACTAGGCTTGGTTGGCCCCTGGGAGGATTTTTTGTCGACTGTCGTCCAGGAACCTTCCAGAGAGCGTATCTTTTCTCTCACCTAAGTTAACTCACCAGTTAGTATAATCACTTCCCCCGCAAGCTCCTCCAGTGCATATATATTGGCATCCACCTCCCTGGAGGAAGAAGGCTGTTGAAGAAGGTGCTGAGTAATTGTGAAACATCAAACGATGGAAAAGTAGACGGCAACTAATTGCTTTTCGTCATGTGTTTATCAGAGGTGAAGTTGAAAATTGGTTGCAAAACGGGCAGACTTTTCACAGTGCTATGGTGCTTTTTCAAAATTTGGTTGGAATGTAGGAGTGATGATGATCACTCGAGCTGTACTAGTCGTGTAGAAAATTAACTCATCTCCTCGCACAGAATGCGTTGCATCTTTGTGCCCTTCCGGAAACGCAAATTTCCACCAAAACATTTGAATTTTGATAAAACCATGATAAAAGTTGGATGAACGAAAATGCCTATGGTGCAGCTGCAGCGAAGAGCAAGGACTGCGGTCCGCGCGGCTACGAAAGCCGCGTGTCAGCCGCCACGTGGAGTAGCGAGAAGATCGCGCGAAGACTTTGCTACTTTGCAAGAATTCAAGGAGTACGTACGGCCTTTGAGCTTTACTTCCACCAGAGAGTTTAGGAAGTGGAGCGCCTCACGCGAGCGTCCGCCTTTCATCCCTTCCGCACCGGGTAGATTTTACAGGCGAGAAGGATGGATTAGCTTCATGGACGGGCTTGGATACGAGTGGCCCTCCCGATCAGCGGCTTCCATTCAAATCGCGCAGCAACCAATCCTCAACGTGCAATGCCGAAATGCCCAGAACGCCATTGACTGGGTGCAGCGTGCCATAGCTGGTCTTAGCGAAGATGGATACGAAATTTTGCAACTTCCGCGATTTGGTCGTGCGAGCATTCTTTTGCGTTCTCGCAGCAGAAACGCAGGTAGTAGCAAACCTGACAACGAGCTCTGTGATTCAGACACAACAAGTCCGGTCAACAGCAATCGAACCGCCGTTGCTGGTGCAGATGGCGTATCGGCTGAAAACACGACATCAACGGATGGCACAGAGGCTGCTGACCAATGGTGGGCTCTTCGCGTGAAGAGTGCAGCCTCTAAACGGAAAGCTGTTGGCGACAGGTACGTTTTCTGCTTTGCCGGTGGGATCGACCCGGACGTCGGCGTTGTGACATCGAGTCCTCAGCATGAAGAAATCAATTTTTTGCACCCCTGTGAACTGGCTCCTAACTACAAGGGGAAGTCTTGTTTTTGGATTTATTCATCCGATTTGCAGTCCGTACGAGAGCTGCGCGAGCTTGACCAGGCTGACAGTAAGCTGTCTTCGCTTCTTAAGAGACTACCAACAAAGTCGTTTCAGGAGTGGCTCTCGTATCTCCCCTCAGGATCCGCTAACGAGCTGCGGGAGTGCTTGACGCGCCAATTGGTGTCACAGCTGGTGACACCAGCAGAACTCACCTTTGAGCACGCGTTTAAATACTCGGATGTGCACAATGCGGTCTTAGGAGGGCAACGCGTTCTGCTGAGGTGTTCCCGCATCGACGAGGGTAGCGGTAAGGCTAAGGTCGTCTTCGACCGTCGGCGTCACGAAGGAGTGAAAAGTAAAGGTCGAGTGAAGCGTTTGTCTGTACCGTTCGACGAATCAGACGATATCGATTTCTTCACCGTGATGCTTTATCGCGGCAAGGCCGAAGAGTTCGGTGCGGCGACGGAAGGTATCCTTTCAGGCGTTTTCGTCTTCCCCAAAGCTTTTCTTCGAGACGCGAAAATCCTCTCAGTACAATTCAGAGGCGGGCGGTATGGTCTCGGACTCTATCCTCCTGGATGTGCAACCCCATCCGAAACCCGCAGAGAGAGCGCGCGCAAGCAGCAACAGTACTATTTCCCTGTTGCAGACCTCCAGCAACTCCGGTCTTCGTCTCTCTGTCAAGATGACCAAGATGAATCACAGCAACAACAGAACGCGCTGTCATTTCCGTTACACAAGGACACAATTGACCGATTCAAAACACTTCTAATGACGTGCGCGGGCGTTGCAGATAACATCAACAACCAATCTGCTCGAGAGTCTGAGACTGACTCGGCTCAATCACTGCAGAAGGAAATTTCCAACAAATCCGAAACGCTGTTGGGTGTTCGTGCACAGGAATAATGATCAGTTTCCGGTCGGTCAGGTCTGAACCACTCGATCTTAATCTTCGCTAGCTTCAACACGAAGAAAGGGATATTAAAGGATCATGATATCACAATCCGTTGTCTCATCCATACATACGCAATATGGCAGTACGTGTATCTTCCAACAAACTAGGTGCTTCAGACATGTGGTTGAAGGGGGAGTCTCGCGCAGTGGTTCCCCTTCACGAAAGTACAAAAGTAGTCGGTGCAACTACACCTTAGACGGTCGGTGCATCTATCGGGCTCCTTAACTCACACTTGCTGGCATTCTTGTCAAGAAACATCACGCCACGCCCAACTCTCGTTTTCGGGTGCTTGCCTGCTACTTCGTCTTTCTTTATTTCTGGACCTTGCAGTTGCTGTTGCTCTCTGGATCTGGTCCATCGAATTAGAATGACCTCTGCCGAGGCCATGTCATCGGGAAGCGCGACGCCGCTGCTTTTGATATGGCAGCTGCTTGTAGAGAATAAAATTTGAATTTTGCTTTCAAGTTCAACTGATGACGATGAGACCATGTTTCAAATACTATTACACACATACGTATGAGTAAAGGACCAAATTGGAGGACCACAGTTTTCTCAACTACGACTAGAAATCCAATTAATCACACTTAGTCCCCCCCTCTCCACCCTCCCATTCATTCCATCCACGTCCGGCGCGCAGTGTGAGTCGAAGCGGAACGAGCAGTAGCTCGAAACTCGTGGCGTCGTCTCCAGGAGACGAGAGCTCGCGAACTTCAGCATGTTCCTCTACGGGCGATCCACGTGCTTCTAGTACTGGAAATCAGGCAGCTTCTACTGGAAATCAGGCACCGAAGAATTCCATGGTTAGTAGAGCTGAAGATGCGGGCATGAAAACGCCTCTCGTTGGTCAGCAAAGACAAGATCATGTGAGTCCAGTGACTCTGACAAGTGCTAGACCGAATCGACCACCTGCTAAGATACCGACTGATGCAGTACCTGCATGCTTTTCAGCCTCAAAACCACGGTTCTGCGACGACCGATCAAGCGCAATATGTCTCTTCGATCCGCCGCCTATTTATGGCTGGAATGAGACGTGAAAACTACTAGCCTTAGTGATCTAAGTACTTAGGTAGAATACCGATGTGGAATTGTTGGCGAGATCGTTATGATCTCGGTAACAGCATTAGCATATATAAGCATTTTTGCACGAAGTATAATTGAATCTACTTCTAGCTACTTCCTACTTCCTAAGTTCTCGTACCAGAGCAAGCGCGCGCGACAGATGCAGATCCAACAATCACACCAGCAAGCAGTTCGACAGGGCTGGCCTTGCTACGGACCGACTTGGCCAACGAACGGACGTTTCTAGCGTGGATACGAACAGCGGCAGGACTTGTGACACTTGGGTATTGTTTTTGTCCACCAGAACGTTACTGTCACGATCATATCTCATCACCGATTATTTTCACTTCCACTTGGTAGTTGCTGTTACACCTGCACCTCCTGCTGTTGATACCTCTCCTCTAATAAATAATTTTTCCTCTCCTCCACCTCCTGCTCATCCACTGGGAACACCAGTTTCGCAGTCGATAAGCTGTCCAGTGGGCGCATCGACTCGATATGCGCAGTGGTCTTCGTCGCGCTTGGGGTCTGGTCAGCGGCTGTAGGAACGATTCGGTACTACCAAGTACGGAGGAGTCTGATAAAGCGGAACTACCTTTTGAGTCTTATACCAGAAGACTTCCGCATCGGACGCATTGGTCTCAGATGGTTCATCAGCGTGCTGGGACTCTTCTCCGTTTGTGCCATGTCGCTTGTTTGTGCCACACGCATGCTAGGCCCGCACGGTCCTGCGGCTTCCGCTTCTACCGAGGGTGAAGAAACACGAGATGAAACACGTAGCTCGCCCTTAGCATCATCTGCATCTTCTTCAAATGAAGCTAAGGTAGTAGTAGGAGTTGGAGCCTCAATCAATCCGGGATCGAAGGATGCAGTTTCAGAAGGTCTTGTTGTCCCAAGAACATCCACAAAAGGTCTACTAGTAGCCCCAAATAATAATCTTGCGGTCTTCAACCCTGACTCGACGGCGACGACGACGTCAACTACAGAAGTGCCCAGAGACGAAAATACATTAAAACGAGCATCTCTATCTGAGACGCGATTCTTGGGCCCGCGAGGAAGCACACGAAGTTCTTGATGAATAAGTACACGAAGCATCATTAACAGGAGTAGAAGAACTCTTCATCCCCAGCAAAGGACGAAACGAAGGATCGCGGTGCGCAGCGCGATTATTTATTTTTGCATAACAAGAGTGGTCAGTAGCGTTTCATCTTCTATTGTTCTAAAACGAAGCTGCTGGACGTTTCTATGGGGGTAGGCAAATCTACTAAATGTTATAAATGTACAAGCAGATGAAGCTGCTGAGTCATCTATTATCCACCTGATAAGTTCTTAACACAGGAAAGTCGTGATGTGAACGTGAAGATTATCAAAAGAGGAATACAAAAATGTGACGGTGGTCGATTGACCCAGACGACAAATTTCGAATATATCATATGACATATGTCTTCATTTGACAAATCGAACATTCTTTGCCACGTAACAGCCGTGACAGAGGCGTGAGAATTTCCGCACTAGCAAGAAGAAAATCAAAATTTATTATCGGTGCGATGAAGATGATCATGATATTCTTTATCTTTTGTGATGCACAACGGAGTATTCACCATCTTCAGTTTGTCAATAATTGCCTCTTCTTCCACAATAGAATCCATTGTCTCGGGCTGAAGGCCGCCGTGCAGTTCGAGGCTCATCGTGAGGAGAATAGGAATACTTGATTTCCATAGCCCATCTGAGTCGAAAACTTGAGATGGAAGTCGATACAATCATGAGTGACAGAATGAGAATGAAAAGAGCGCGAGCTGGTGCGTCGAACCTTCGAAAAGCTTGTAATTGTAACTGTAACTACGCAGTGTGAATGAAAAACCGCGCTCCTCCTGGCTAATATCATTGATTGAAAGACTAGCCCAGGATAGAGTGTAGAGTTGTGATGGAGATTGTAGAGATTTTCTGCTTATCAAACTGGTTACTACGTTACAACGAAAACAATTTTTACTAACACGGTCGCACCCCTATATATAACTATCGAAGAGGAATAAGAACTTGAACTGTATGAACTCTAACAAAAAACAACTTATACTTCAGAGTGTAATTCTTGTTAATGATATTGTCGTATAAATAGAACAGCAAGAAGATGTCCTTGGTGGAAGAAGAGAAGGGGAACATGACGGAGGTAGTAGTCGCAGAAGAAGTCGACGAGGTTTCGTCGACGGCAGTGTTTAACACGCTGTTTCTCCCCACTGCTCTTCCGGCGCGACATGAAGATCCTGAAGGGAATCGAATTTTCGAGTTTTTGGAGGACTTTGCGAAGGATCGCCTCACGGGGCGAGAAGCGTGGCACAAGAGCGCGGTCGAGAATCGTGGCACAACTTAAGGCTAGAACCTTTTCATCAACTCGCTTGACCTTTTCATCAACCCTTTCCAAACAATCAAGGGGAGCTACTTGATTAACTGTAACTAAGGAGAAGGAGTTACAATTAACAGAAAATGAAAGATTACTTCGTATGTGGCTAGTGTTTTACAGAGCAATCAAGGGGAGCTACTTTCATCTTCATCAGGCCACTCAGCCGTTACTAGCTCTAAAAGCCGCTGAGTGCAGACGCGAAAACTGTAGAGAAGTTTTTCAAGAACTTCGTGCACGTCGAGCGTGCTGATGGATTCAGCGCGGCGTTCCATACGAAGACGCGGGGAGCAAAGTCGGGGGAATGCCTTGGTTGTTGGATCAGAAAACAGAACTGCGTGATGGTGATCCGGCGACGCGAAAGCAGGGCCGAAGTGAGCTTGTGGACAGCGCAAGGCAGCCGGAAGGAGTGCATGCAGTACGATCACCTTTTCGCTAAAGTCCCAGAGTACCAGTTCGACACCGCCTGGGCGAACGTGAGCAGCGCCACCTTCTCCCGACTAGTCGAAGAACTGCGGGCTGACGCTTTTCCGCGCGCCCAGCCACCGGCACAGGAAACGAAGGACGGAAGAGGCAGCAAAGTCAGGAAGCCCAAGTCGCAGATCCCGTCAATGGCCTATGTCCGTGATGTGCTCTTGGGGGGTGTCATCGAGGCCGACGCAGCCTCGGTGGACATATTCCGAAATCGTGGAACTGGTACTGTGACAAGTTCGGCACTTATTTCTAGTGGGACGAGTTCTTCATCAAGAAAGTGTGACAATAAAGCAACATCATCATCAACCAAGGATCTCCTGTCGACATCATCGTGCACGGAGGACCGTCTGCAGAATGGCCACCTGCGGAAAACGGTACACGACCACGTACGCAGAGACGACCAGAACGCAGACGACCCCGAACACTGGCAAAGATCCCCAGCTTGGTTCGTTTTCCGCTCAGCACTCCACTTCGTCTGCGCCAGTCTGCTCAACAACAGTGTGCTATACAAGGTGCTGCAGCAGTCCATACTATGCTACTGCTTGGATAGCCAGGTGGAGCGTGCCTCCAGGCAGGTCGCCGCTTTTGTTAAGGCTAGAGATAATCCATCTTTGAGAGTATCCCTGAAAAGTATGAGGGAGTATTCTCGGGCAATACTCCCCCATACTTTTCAAGGATACAGCAGAAAGATGAATTGCGGACAGCTCTAATTTTGCCCGTCCGGATGCAGCAGGAGCAGATGATGTGGCGAAGGCGCTTCGCTTGAGTTCTTTTTCAGAGGCTGTCGGAAAAATCCAGCGAAGGCAAGTGAAGCTACGGGAGCTCGTAGAGCAGGCTGTCGCAGGAGGTTCTTCTGGTTCAAGGGATCTTTCTGTCTTGCTCACGATCGCAGACGCATTCTCGATGAAGTCCGTTACTGGAGGAAGTGTTTTTGTACACAAAGCGGAGGCGACGCGAACAGAGAAAATTGCCGATGGAAGCCGCAGTGTAGGAGTTGCTCTCACACGGGAGCAGGTGCGAGAGGATCGCGAGCACAAGCTGACGAATTCGGAGAGTACGCTAGTGCTGCTGGCAGACGCGGTAGCAGCACGGGGTGGCGATACGGGAGACTCCGAGAACGCTCCGGAGGGCGCACAAGCTCATTCGCTGAAGGTGTGGAGCAAAGACCGAGACCTAGGAGACCCTGAGAGCGTCTCGCAGGGATTAGCGAGCCTGAGACTCGACCTTGAAAATGTGAAGAGACTCGAGCCTCCGCAGCTCTGCGAAGTATTTGCAAATGTCGAAGACGCGGTCATGAGCATGTGGAAGCGTCGCGATCGCGTATACGTGTTTGACGGTGCTGAGATGGTTCGCTTGCAGAAAGCATACGCTGGGGCAGGCCTGCAGCACTCCAGCGGCTGCTTTCGCTCTCGCAGCCGAGTCGTTCTGATGTCGTTGACAATGTTCCTGCTGGTGGATCGTCGAGCTTGCTTCTTAGAGAAGGTCGTCTCCCGGCATGGGTTGCAGATCCCGCCAGATTTTTTACATTGTCTTCTTCTTGAAACAGCAGAGCTGCGACTACATTTGGAAGAGATCGAGCACTACCTGGCAACTCGCCGTCCGTCGTGTCCAAACAGCGCGGAAACAGAAACTGCTGACGCAATGGACGTGGACGGAGAGGCTGAGGAATCACTCGTGCCAGATCGCGACCCGGTTTTGCACTGCAAGATCTCGGAGAAATCGCTGGCGGTTTGCTTCGCCCGCCAGAGCGCGGAAATGCAGGCAAAACTACGGAAAATTCAGTCCGATTGCGACGGCATAACCGCGCGGAAGCGCCATGAGCTGGACAGCCTCAAGGAAACGGCTAGAGCATTAGTTGGAGAGGCTCAAAGAAATAATTGCACATGCAGATTCTACATCAAGAAGAATGGACAAAATGGGCGGCGTATGACGAGCTTACGCAATTGCCTCCGGTGCCACGCTGAAGAAAAAAGAAGAAATTTGTCATTTCAACAGCACATGAAACTGTTGCCGGAGGCAGACTTGAAGCGGCAGGCCATTGTCTTCGACCTCATGAAGCCAGAGCCAATCGACTCGCTGGAGCGGAGCCTCGTCGTGTTTTCAAGAACCATCTTGCACGCTGCAGATGTCGACGCCCGTGACGTACTGCACACACAATCTTTTCACTCTTGGAACGCTCACCCCGCTCTCCGCGACTACAAAACAGATTCGCGTAAGATTACCTGCGAAGAAGAGACTAGGTGCGTAATTGGAACGACAACACCTCTCTCGCACAACGCGCATCGCATCCATCCAGATCACTGCTACAGCGTCAGCGTCGAGAACGATGGAAACACGTGTCCCGGAGTCAATATTGGGAGGTATTGATGATTGAAATCCTTAAAAAGCTTAACTATTGATTGAAGATTAAACTTGAAGGTTTATTTCTTGCGATTTCACAAACACAACTGCAAATCAAAGACTAGGATGAAAGTCTTAATAAGATAGAAAATATCTCAAGTCATATTTTTGAAATCAGACGCATGACCAACACCATGAACATCTGTATGTATGACAAACGACGCACCACTTCAGGGCGGGTACGCTTGGGAAGGTGGAAGCCGTGTCAAAGTGGGGTTGGAGTTCGCTTCTCTCGCTGATGCATGTCAAGTTTGAAACGAAGCGGTATCCTCAGAAGGGAAAACTCTTGCTTGGGACCGTCCACAAGGAGAACGAAATCATCGCGAGCCAAAGCGAGGCCTTCGCGAGTACTACCGATGCGTCCGAGACAGTGGAGCTCCGGGAGTACGTTGACTACGGGCTCTTGCGCGCTGGACACCACTTGCAACTTCCGCGATTGATCGAGGCAATACACACACGGACGCTGGACTTCAACAACCGGGACGTGTATTCGCTGGTGGTGGCTTCTTTGTGGCAAGTTTGTGCGCCAATAAAGGGAGAGCAGTCCTCTCCGATCACAGTAGACGCCGCATTGCTGCAGACCTTGCCCTGGCGCGAGCCTACAGCGCTTCTCGGTGATCCCGCCTTCGCGGCCGATCTGCTGGCAGCTGCGCGGAGTTTGCTTGACGCCTGCAAGGAAAACTGGGACAAGCGCGTCACGCTGCTAATCGTCATCAGTATTGCGCAGTTTGTTTTCGAGCACCTGCCAAAGACCAATGTGAGCGGTGCAGGCGGCAGCTCGAGTTCATCTTCCTCCAGTGCTTCTGACGCGAGCGAGGCGTGTAGGCTTGCTCTAACAAGTGCGCTTGCCTCTTGCGCCAGCCTTCTCAAGGATTGTCGCGAGGTCGCACTTGCTTGGCTAGGAAAGCTTTGCGCTGCGGCAAACGAATCTACCAACGACAGGGAGATGCAGGCGCTGCGTACGAAGATTTTGGAAGTAGCCGCTGCTGCAGCGCAAACCTTTGGTCCAACAGAGCTGCTTTTGCCACGCAAATTCGACGACAGCAGGCTGCTCCAGCACTGGCACAGAAAATGCGACGTCAGCGACTGGCTCTACGTCAGAGCACTCTACCGGGATAACTTCTCTTCGGCGGCGCTTGAGAGCCCCTGGCTGAAACGACAGATCCTCGCAGCGGAAGACGTCGCTCAGGCGATCGGGAGATACCTTCTGTGCTCCTGCCCAACTTCTTCGACGAAGATCGCCAACGAAGCGCTAGATAGGTTCTTGTGCCGCTATTGGAGCGGCGCAGCCTGCTTAGAGAGCGGCTCGGCGAGAACGGAGTGGAAACACGTACCCGGCTCGGCGTGCTTCGAGACAAGACTTCTTGCTGACCCTGATGAAAGCAAGAAGAAGGACAGACCACTTCTCCAAGTTGACTGCATCACCGGAACCTTCCTCGTCAATGGAGACCCGTGCTCACGACTGCCCGATGAGATTGTCGGTCACGCAGACTATGCGCGGATATTCGGAAAATCGATCTTCATCGTGCAGCCGATCGGCAACCGAACCTACAAAACCTGCATGCCGCTACAGGGTTCGTATTTTCTCTTTCGCAGTCAGGGTGTCGGCCAGAATCCGCTGATCATGGAGGAGCGCTTGGCACATGAGCACAGTGATCTGTCTTCAGGAAGCGAGTTAATGGACGTTTCGGCCGAAAACAAAGAGCATGGCAGTCTACACGAGTCTTTGCCGGTGTCGCCGAGCAGCAAGCGGTCCACCCGGTCCGTATACGTGAGCCCAAGCACGTTTCAGTCCAAGGACTCGACGCGGGACCGCTACCAAGATGACCTCCCAAGTGAACTAATCTCAAACTACGGAATTTGGCTTTCTGTAAGAGCAGATGCGGCAGGACTACTAGACGAGGAAGGTGCCACAACTAATACTAATCCTGCGACTGATGGTGCCAACGGTGTAGTTGAGGCTGCGAAGCCGCGTGTCTGGGAGCTGTCCTTCCGACCGGTGCACTATGCTGACGCAGAATTTCCGCTTCGGCGCGACTACGTGCTGAATAGTGAAACGCGTTTTTTGCACGACAATCGCTCTAAACGCGACTTGCTCGACTTGTACAGCACTAGTGTGACGCAGTTGCATGAGCAAGTATTTCGCCGTCTCGCGCCCTTGCAGCACATGCACTGTTTCTGTACGAACGAGACCGAGGACAAGAAGATTGCGATGGTGCAGTTGCCACGAATGCAGAACATTCGGTTTTTTGTCAACGCTTTGCCGCCTTTGAAGTCGGCGGTGCTAGACGCGGCGTCCCCGAGCATCGTAGGGTCGCCGTCGCGTAAAAGGCGACTGCTCCCGTCCGAGGAAGAGGAGGACAAACAGCGGCTCGACGAACCTATGTCGCTAGGTGGAGTGGAAAACGACGAGGATGAAGGCATGAATCCGTATCCGGAGCGCGTCTGCTATAACAAGATTTTCTCCCCGGAGTTTCAAGATTTCGTGATCGTGGAGGATCAAAACTACGGCACTATGCGAGGTCTGAGTAGCGGTCTACTGCTGGCGCCGCCGGCTTGCGCGGACGGCGGAAAGCCGACCCAGAACAGACTACTCGTGGTTCCATTTTCTACCGATGTTAAGCGAGACGCTGAAGGCCGTGTTTGCATTGGTATCCACGACTTACTCGACCCAAGCTTCTTCGTCTTCTCTCTGCGTGATGGCCTCGGCGACATTCTTCCGCAGCAGGACACGCTGGCGACACTCTTTCTCGCGTTGTTGCACGGAATCACGTCAGGATTGACATCAGATGAATTTCTTGGCTGCACCGGCGCGCAGCAAGCCTTGAAGTTGCTACGCAGCGGTCGCGCACGCGGAAACATCGTGAATTCGATGCCAGGTTCTGACACCCAGGCAGAAACGCAGCTTATCAAGTCATTGACTACAAGGGTCGCTTTGCTCAAAAAGATCGCAAGTTTGTCACTACCACGAAACGGCGGAGTGGACGGCTGCGCACTGCTGGAACAGAACTCCGCTGATTGTCCGACGCGACAGCCACTTGAGCCCTTGATGGCGAATGGCCAGTACGCGTTCATCGCGCAGGAAATGCTTGAGGAGATGTCCTTTGCTTTGGAGCTGTCCGGACGCCCGGCATTGACGCTAGAAGTGGGTGACGGCGAGCAGCAGAAGAACAAAGGCGACAACTCACACTCAGTGATGTTGACCTTCTACGGCGTCGAGCTCTGCAACGAACTTCGCGAGCTCGGAAAGGTGCTTCAGAATCGCACGGCACTGCTGAGTTTGCGAGCATTGCTGCGTTCGTACAAAATATACCCGGAGGCTCTTCGGCCATCAGAGTCGGACATGACGAAGTACGAGAAAAAGACGGACCCGCGCAGAGGAATGCCTGTCAGCTTTTCAAAATGGCTGCACACAGGCGACGGCGCCTTCATTCTACCACCGGCGCACCAGCTTTCTGCTGAGCAACTGCATTCATTGAATTGGCTGGACAGTCTATTTCGCGACCCATCCAAGCTGCGTGATTATCCACTGGCTTCGCTGAAGGCGCTTCTTTGCAGCGACAAAGTGGGGCAGAAGTTTTCGACGCTCGCGGGTCGACGATTCACTAGCGCCACGGCTTCAAGCAATGGCTGGGGGATCTCGGGTGCCGGTGAGCTGCAGGAGGACCTCGGAAAGCTCTTTGCGCTTGCAAAGGCGATGATGACGACACCAGTCACTACAACTGGCGGCAGCTTCGACGATGACGACGGGGGCGCAGACGATGGCGGGCTGGGTTTTCCTCAGCCTGCAGGTGGACTGAACGATCACGATTCGGATTCCGAGGACGTCCCTGGAAGCGTCCACTTCGGACACCTCTTTCTGGATTTGTACGAATTGGCGCGCTTTGCTTCGATGCCGGGCAATCGCATGCAGCTGAACTCGGTTGCTCGCAGAGAGCATAAAAACAAACTCCGTGCACTACTGGCGATGCTGGCCCTCGAGTGTCCGGAGGCGAGCCGAACCCTGATTCCGGTGCTTCTACTGATCGTTCACTACAGGGATTCGGTGGGCCTGGAAGCTGCGTTGCCGTACGAGAGGTTCATCCGGCCGCACCTCGCAGCGTGGAAGGACGAAGCCGCCGAGTCCTGCGTGTCGCGGTATTGCCGCGAATTTCCGGAAGTAGAGCCACAGCGAAGGCCACGAGACCACTACGGCATCGAACAAGAGAATTGGGAGGACTTCCAGGCACGTCACGGCGCCTGGCTCGCACGAAAGGCGGCGCACCAGGCGCTGCGTCGAGATCTAATTCGCATCCTCTGCAATCGACTGCGCAAGGTTTTCTTAGAAGGCATATCCGTGAATGCAGATCGTGATGTGGTGCCCGGCGCGTGGCGTGGTGAGCTGGACAACGCTGCATACACACTACCAGTCGAGAATCATGCGCTTTTCAACTCGAATCTTCGTGATGATTTCGCGGCCCATGCCAACCGCATATTCTCCAACTGGCGAAAAGCAAAGGCGCTGCAGGACTGGCTCACTCGACTGCAGCCAAAGCTTAGCATCATTCGGAGCCAGATACCCAAAGCTGACGCTAACAAGGGTCAGGGCATCGTGTCCGGCAGCAGCAGTACTTTTCTCAACAACCACAATGCGCAGACTGCGGCAACTCTACAGAGTCTGCTAGACGCAAGCGCACCAGCCAAACGAGACTGGGGCTCAAAACAGCAAATCATCATCGCACGATCTCGAACACTCACAGATGCCGTCGTGAAGCGGGTAATTCGCGGCTTACCGAACATTCCCACTGGACCCAGGTTTTGCGATCTACCGTTTGATGAAAAGGACGCACCTGCGATTCCGAAAGCAAAGCGACAGAGAGTAGACCAGCCGGATTCTCTCACGGCCTTTGCAAGCAGCACTAGTCGTGATGAGCGGGCAAGCAAGAACAAGAAGCAGAAAGCATCTCCAATCTCGGATTTGCAACTATCGTCGGTTGCTGGAGAATACGCGGAATTAAATGCGCTTTTTGGCAAGGAGTTGGAAGAAAGTCTCTCACTTGCACAGGCGGAGCTTACCAGCAAAGACGAGGATGAAACTCTTGAGCAGCATGTTCCCGACACCCAAAATGTGCTGGCGTACCTGCAGGAGCAGACGAAGCAAGCGGAGAGCGTCTTCAAACTCCACTGGAAAGCAGCACGGGACAGCCTTGGCGGCGTGCAATATCTGGAAGACACCTTTTCGCAGGACGCCCACACGGTGACCGATCTGCTCATGTCAGGGCTCGGGAAACACCGCTCCAGTGCAAGTTTGACAACGTTGATTACCCGCTGCGGCCTGGCATTGCGGGCTCTCCAGCGTGCAAAGCGGTGTTTAGAGATGTTTCGAAAGAAGCAGCTGCATCACCTGCGCATCGAACTAGAGAATGACCCTGCGCAGAGCTACGACGTGAAGAGGCATCCGCTGTGGTTGGCGTTTGAAGTGGAAAATGATCTCTGCATTCGCAAGCGGCAGGCGAAAGTCGCACAGGAGCTCGTAGATGGGGAGACTAACCGACTTTTGCAGCTGGATATGGGGGAAGGCAAAACTGCTGTAATTGTGCCCATCTCGATGCTGGCACTTGCAGATCCGCAGTCTTCATCCGGTTCGTGTCATCCCATTGTCCGGCTCACGGTGCTGTCCTCGCTTTTTCAGACCAACGCATCGGACCTTCAGTTCAAACTAGGTGGAGTTCTGCAGTGCCGCATCCTGCCGCAGTTGTGCCGCAGAGATTTGAAGCTCAGAGCGGAGGTGCTACTGCGGTCCCTGGACATGTACAAACAGGCGAGCAAAAACGGCGACGTGGTCATCACCGTTCCTGAGTACCGGCTGACGGCTGAGAACAAAGCGTTGGAGGTCTCCGCGCCCAGCAGTGCGCACTTTGACGCTAGCGGCATCGCGGCCGCGGCACTGCGCGAGCAGCAGCAATTTTTCCACTCCCGCGGTCGCGAAATTTTGGACGAATCAGATGAAATCTTGAAGCAGCAACTCGTCTACTCCCTCGGTTCGCCACAAGACATGGACGGCTCGTTGATCCGCTACCAGCTCGCATCTCTCGTTCTGTCAGTCGTGTCCCAGAATGCGGCTGCCTTGCTGCAGAAGTACGGTCCTGACGTGATCGAGGTAGAAGGCGCTATTTCTGCGCGAGCGGGACCACGACAGCAGCAGCTGATAGAACATACGATCAGAAGTCATCAGCATGAGTTTGCTGGATTGCGATTACTGGAGCACGCGTCGCAAGGTACAGTGTTCACGGACATTCGCGATCTGTGTGTCGACGCATTGCTGGAGTCGCACCGACTGAAGCTCTCGCGCTCCGAAGCGACACAATTGAAGCACTTCATAGTGGACGGGCACTTGAATGAGCACACGAAAGCAGCCTTTAAAGATGAGTTTGACGAGAACACGCAGAAAATCGCTCTGATCATGCGGGGGCTGTTGACGTTCGAGGTGCTACTGGTCGTTCTCCGAAAGCGGTGGCGAGTCGAATACGGCGCACACCCGACGAGACCTACGTATTCCCTCGCCGTGCCCTTTGTGGCCAAGGACGTTGCCTCCGAAAAAACGGAATTTGCGCATCCAGACACCTGTGTTCTGCTGACGCTCTGCAACTACTACAGAAGCGGTCTATCCGAGAAGCAGTTCGAGGCGGTCTTTCGAAAGCTGGACACGCTGTCCTCATCAGAGGCGGACGCGTTCTACGCAGGATGCGCCGCGGAGATCAACGGTGACCTGCTCACTGAAGAAGATGCGAAGGTTCCCGCCTCGCGCACCGGAGTGAACCTTGATGATCGAGTTTTCGTTTCGACGGTGCTGTATCCAAACTTCCGGCGTCACATGCGGATCGTGGACTTCTGGCTGCAGCGAATGATCTTTCCCGCGCAGGCCAAGCAGTTTCCGAAGAAGCTGGTTGCCACCGCTTGCGACTTGTGCAAAAGCTCGGAGCTCTGTCCATCGTGGAAAAGCGTCACACAGGGCTTTTCGGGAACGGACGACACCAAGCACGTGCTGCCTGGTACCATTGTGCAACGGAACATGGAAGAGCTGAAGACTACCGCAGGAGTTCAGCTGTTGCGCTTCCTTCGTCCAGAAAACGACGGCTACCACGTGTTGCAACAGGAGACGTCAGGTGGTAGCCCAGCAGAACAGATCCTGCAACTGGCAACAGAAGACCTGGAGGTAGTTGCTATTTTGGAGAGCGGAGCGCTCAATCTGCAATGGACCAATGAAACGATGTGCCGCCACTGGCTCGAGCGTCGCCCCGACAAGGACTACGCGGTCTTCTACGACGCGGCGAACAAGATTGTGGTCTTGAGCAGGCTTACTGGCTCCGTGACTCCATTTAAACTTTCGCCGTGTGCCAACGACATGAGCCGCGCCTTGCTCTATCTCGATGACGCACACTGTCGCGGATCAGATTTTCGACTCGTTCCGACCGCAAAAGCGCTGCTCACGTTGGGGAAAGGCGTGTGCAAGGATAAGCTTCTGCAGACGGCGATGCGCATGAGGCAGCTAGGTGAGGGTCAGCGCATCGCCTTCGTAGCCAGCCGTGAGGTCCACGCACAGGTAGTGCCCATCATGGAGGCGAGGAGCACTAGGGACGATAGCAAGTCCGCTGCTAGTTGCAAGCGGCCTCCGCCTCGTAGCGTGTTGGAACAGGAGGCAGGGAATGCAGAGGCTGATAACGTACTTCAACTTCTACTACTTAACTCATTTCAACATGAATATCTTTATCAATATTTATACTAGAGTAGTTTATAGAACGGATGTAGGATGGACTTGGATGGATCGGATGGACCCCCCTGATTCTTCCGGTCCTACATGAAATGGTGGGAAGTCCATCCGTTCCATCCGATCCATCCGATCCATCCCATCCCGGATCTGGCACCCCTATAAACTGCTCTATTATACATAATTTACATCTAATAGATACGTTAGAATAACGACACCAGAGGTTCCATGACATGACTACATGACATGAATGTTGAGAATCAATTCTTCTTTCAACACGGTTTTCTTCCTCTTCGAGATCTTCGGCTAAAATTGAAACGATGTTAGCAAGATTCTAGTAACTTGGCGTCGTCCATCATTGGTTTTGTTGATGAAGAGCGTTCATCTTTTCATGTTCATCTCGAGTTCTTATGTAGAGTCTGCATACCATAAAAATCGCAGGGTCCGTCGGAAGAGGAGGTCGTAGCCGCACGAGAAAAAGCCGAGGCACTGGAGAATGTGAAGAAAACACTCGAGAAATTCAGTCACAAGTTCTCTGAGGAACAGGAACAGGACCTGAAAAGAAGCTTAAAAGTGATTGCGAGTGCCAAGAAGAGGAATACGACAGTGAAGCGTGAAGATCAAACTTCTGGACAAGCCTTGAGCAGTTGCTCGTGGTCTTCTAGTAGTACAGTTGTAGGATCTGAAGTTTCAGGCACTACTATGGATCTGAAGTTTGCCCCTGCCGTGCTCGAGTGGAGTCTGCAAAACACGTACAAGCGGCTGGGGGATCTGGTCCCCTCCTTCGCAGCGCAAAGCAGATCGTCATTGGTCAAAGCAGCTGCTTTTCGCAAGTTCGAGGAGGACACAGCTGTGCGTGTGGTCGCTGTTGAAGAGGCAGAAATGGCAGATGCGTCAAACTCGCTAGTTCCAGAGGGTGATCATGAAATTATGGACCGCTCGGCGTCTTGTGCGGAGGCCTTGCACAACCTTAATCGACCTGACGAACAAGCAAGGCAACAGCAAGCGGCGAAGGTCTTGACAGAAGCGTGCATAGAGAGCGAAGTGCTACCCTTAGAGGATATGTATGGACACTCTCGTGGTCTGCATGGACTACCGGACCTCGTTGCTCGCACATTGCACAAGTTCCTCAAGAATAAAGAACAAGATCCGGATGGTACTACTATTTAGCGTTTCCTTTCGCTTTTTGTTTTACCTGCAGCTCCTCATGCAGATTTATAATTCCTTGCTTTGTAGAAGTTGATGTTATTTGCAGTCGTGTGTTGTTTTTACATTCATGATGATCAGATTTATATTTTTGAATGCGAATAAAAACAAGCAGTACAACATCGTTTCTTGATGAAAATAAAACTCAGACTTCTCACCTTGTAACTTCTTCATCTTTTCTTGTTTTACAGCAATGGATGTTGACGATGGGCAGCCAGCAGCTGTTGATGCTGCAAGTGCATTTAGCCGAAAGATCTTGCAGCGTGTACAAGCTCTAGTCCCGCGCGTACGACGGTTTGCTGCAGGCTTGGAGGAGGAACAGGAGCGCGAACTTGAACAAGAGTTGGAAGAAGAAGTGCAGAATTTCCGTCCACCAGCGGCTGCGGCGCGGCCGGAGAGTCATCCATCGGAAGGGCTTCTGAATTTCCTCAAGCACCCAATGCAGCCGATTCCTGGCGGCCAGCACACGCCGCTTCTCCAGCTACGCAGCGCAGTATCGGGCTGTGGTGAACTGACGGAGAAATTGGCTGACGGGTTGTTCGCGTTTCAGAACAATGGAGGCAACGCGACCTGGCGGGACGCGGTTTACGTGACGGAGAACTTCGCAAAGACAATCTGCTCCAATCCTGACACAACTGTTGACGGCACGTTTTACCTAAAACAGGTCCGATGGCTGATGTACCACGAGGAGCGGAACATCGCAGTTTTGGTCTCCAATTTTGAGGCTGAGTACTGCGCGAAGTACTTCGTGCGCGCCAGCATTGCTCGAACCGGCCCGGTGAAGCTTTTGCCGTTCGTTCCGGTTGTGCGGCGCGGCCAAAAGCCAAGTGACGGATTCGCGAACTCTTTCGCCGCTGGCTTGTTGTTCACAGACCTGCAGCGCGCGTTTGCTCCTGCCATTCATGTAATCGCAGGCAGCATTCACCTGGACCCGCTGAGCCAAAGCGCGAAGGAAGTTTTTCGCTACCTGTCGCTTGCTCCACGGTTCGACACAGGTTTATCGGCATTGGAAAAGAAGCAGTGGGATGGTCTCTTCGAGCGTGGCTTGATCGACAAGGATGGCTTCGTTCGCGGTCCCACGGAACAACGGAAACGAAAGGATTTGCAATCGCGTGAGGATTTACTCAAAAGCGTTGGAGTGTCCTCTAAGGCGTCCTCTGAGAGTCTGCGAGCTTCGGTCCTGCTAGCGCAGTCTCCGGTGCCGTTCTTGGTTCATCTATACACCAAGGGTCGACACCTAGATCACGAACTGCGTTCGAGTCCGGTTGGACAAGCGCTGGGCTGCGGAGCCCTCTAATCGCTTACCCTTTTGGGTGATCTCTCGAATCGAGACGACGTGCACGTGCACTCGTGCAGTTGTTCGAAATACTGAACACGGAAGAAAAAGAATGACTCCCAGAAATAACCATCGTTGTATATTATGCCACGACCCGAGATGAGTAACAATTTTTACATGATCAATTTGCAGAAAATATATTAATCGTTATCGTCCACCTTTCTCGTCCACTAAGTAATGTAGCTCAATATTAGCAGTCACTGTCACGTTCACTATCTCTATCAATACGAATACCACCACCAGTATTTTCTGAGTACTTGTATAATTCCTTCCTCCCGATAAAAATATGACTGGTGCTTCTATGAGTTGTTTCCTCTCCTGCTTCCTCCTCCAGAACGATCATTTGTTACAACTTTCTCCTCTAAAAATTTCATCTTTGTAATACCAGTTTCGAACCTCTAGACTTTCACATCATCGCAGTTCTTGGTACTCGAAGGTCTCCAAGCTTGTAGGGAATTTTGAAAAACATCAAAAACAAGTCTAGCGATAGTATGCTAGTGACAAACCTCATGCTGATTCAGTAGTGGTTCTTCTGTTAGAACAAGACTTTCAAGCACAACCGCGACTCTTGAGAAACTGGCATCATCTTTCTAATTCTATTTGCTGAGCTTAATATTTTTATGTTGTTCTTGTTGGACTTGTTGAGTCTTTGTCTTCTGCAGCTGCTTCCGTCTGCTTCTACCCCAATGCTACGGGCCTCGAGCTCGTCTCGAACACATTTCAGACTCTTCGAGACTTTATCAGAACACAACCTCTTTGAAGCAAAAGAGACTCATTCCGTCTAGTAAGTGACTCCGTGTAGTCTAAGTACTAAACTCATTCCGTGTAGTAAGATGATTACAGCTAAAATAGAAGCAGAACTTGATATTGAATGAAAAGCTTCATTCTACTTATTCCTGTCGACATGGACAACAACATGATGGAGTATTCTTGTTATATTTATACAATATTTATTTCGTAGACCAGCACATCATCAGTAAGTCTAAGTTAGTATCTCTCGAGACCTTGCGCGAAGATTCGGCAGCGGCGCCCTATCATATCCTATTCTATTTGAGCTATTTTTACAAATCGATAATTTCTTCTGATTCCTTGTGCTTCGACGCACGATCGACGTTGTAGCTCCACATGATTATACCTCGAGCTTTGATTTTCTCAGAAGTGAAAATACCGAATTCGTGCGGTACAACTAGGCGATTTAGATCTTGTTCATTAAGTGTGCTTATGCCTGTGCTGATTTCTTCCTGTCATGAGGCAGCACAGCCTGTGTGCCGCGAAGCCGACACGACCGCACCGGCAGTTGTTCTATGAAGTTGTTCTAGTTTGAAGCTGATAGAAGTCAAGTCAACAGAAAAAAATGATGGCGAGAGACGGAGATAGAAGAAACTCATCTGATGACGTCTATTCGTTGTACTCTTTGAAGAAGTGCGAGTGGTTGTAAATACATTACATTGATATTAACCTCATCAACCTCATCAACAAGCTCGTTAAATCGATGAATGCCTTACACTCTTTGGATTTGAAGATACATTGATATTAACTAAGTCTTTGTGCCTCCTCTGAGGTAGTATTGCTCTAAAACTGATGAAACAAGTATGAAAGATGCACAACTTTGATCCACCTGACGGGAGGCGCTTGTGTAAGTACTTAATGTTGAAAAATGCTGGAGCTGGTGCTGGAGAGTCTGTAATGATATGGTTATCACTTCTATTAGGGATTGTCAGTCGTGATTGTGGCGCCGTATTGGGCCCCATACGAGAGAAGAGATAAAATGGCTCTTGCGGAGGCGTCGGGCTCGTAGCGTGAAGGGGCATTGGAGTCACACACTTTGCGCTTCAGAGATTAGCTACGGCAAGGGATGACATCAACATGACGTCGAATTTATTGTTTGCCGCGATGAGCCACAACTAGAACTACTAGAACTGCTGGAGCTCTAGCCTTCTTTCTGCAATCCAACTACTTCATGTTGAAAGGACTGCACTTCATCTGGAAAAGTAAAAAAAAAAAACGCGACGTAATGGACGTAATGGACGTTGACTCTTCTAGTAGGAGCTGCAAGTCTTAAGAAGGGGAAAGCACAAACACAACTTCAGTCGTCGACGGAAATTAAGGCTCACAATAATTCATCCGAACCGAGGGTCTCTCTTTGTTTCATCCTTAGGAAGAACTGAAGAGCAGTATGTACTATGATTTGTATAATCAGCTCAAAATGTGAATTTGGATGATCGCGAGTTCTAAGAGAAATGGTAGCGTACAGCTAGTAGAGGCAAATATTAATCTTGCGGTCTACAACAACCCTGACTCAATGGAGACGACGTCAACTACAGAAGTGCCCAGAGACGAAAATACATTAAAACGAGCATCTCTATCTGACACCCGATTCTTGGGCCCGCGAGGAAGCACACGAAGTGCTTGATGAATAAGTACACGAAGCATCATTAACAGGAGTAGAAGAACTCTTCATCCCCAAAGGACGAAATGAAGGATCGCGGTGCGCAGCGCGATTATTTATTTTTGCATAACAAACAAGAGTGCTGGTCAGTAGCGTTTCATCTTCTATTGTTCTAAAACGAAGCTGCTGGACGTTTCTATGGGAGTACTTGGGGGTAGGCAAATCTACTAATAATGTTATAAATGTACAAGCAGATGAAGCTGAGTCATCTAGAAGTATCCACCCGATATATATATAAGCTCTTAACACAGGAAAGTCGTGATGTGAAGATTATCAAAAGAGGAATACAAAAATGTGACGGTGGTCGATTGACCCAGACGCGAACTCGCACTGCTGATGATTTTTTCTGAGGATTCATTGTTGATCAGTTCTTGCTCTTGAGTCAAAAATATTTTACCCTTCTGCACCTATGGCTTGTATTATTGTGAAGATGGAAATGTGAAGCTCATTATCGAACCTCTATTGCGCCACGTGCTGCATACTGAAGAGAGGTTGTCTCGCGGTTCTGCTATCTCCTGGTTCCTGCGTGACGTGGAAATAAATTAACGTGAAGATGCCGCGCGTGAATGAAAATCGTAGTGCTCAATTTTCTGTGGTTTCCAAAAGAGAGAAGCAAAGGGGAAAACTACCCAAGTTTGAGAATGGCTTTTCTGATTCTGTCTGTATTCCAGCACAGAAGGAACTCGGCACTTCAGCAACGGGCATCTGCGCACATCCAAAAAATCCCTCATCCCCACCCAACGTCTCTCCTCTTCGCCATAGTAAATTACTATTTAGACGTATTATACAACATACTGATTCGGCAGGAGGAGACCTGTATATATCATACTAGAACGAACAACTCGTTACGTGTTGAACTTGAAAATTCTCCATTGATTGTGGTTATAGTTTTAGGTTCTATTCTTCAGGAGAAAATGTGATGTGTTTCTGTTTACGCAAAGGTGGGGTGTATTCGATCCCGAACAACTGCTAGCACATCAACGATTCGTTAATCACAGCAGAACTGAGATAGCTTTTGCCATTTTTACCACACCATTACCCCATCATAATCTTTCACATTAAGATAACATCATCAAACAAGGAGTAGATTGGTACTATTTTTGTGTGACTTTCTTCTACTTCTTCTCACCCTTATTGAATTGAATTACAACTCGGTCGTCCGTGTCCGAGAAGAGAGTCCCCTTGTTCGTGGTTAGAGAATCGGGCGAGCGTTGTAATCTTTCAGTACTACTAGACGGGGTGGTGCTCGCAGGAGCGGCGACTCGAATTCTCCTCTAGTTTTGCTAACTATGTACGATTGCTAAAGTCTTCTGGTGATGTATAATGAATTTTATTGCCCTTCCTTCCGGGTAGCAGGTACAGGCACTATAGGAACTACATCATTGAGTAGATGACTATATAAAGATCTTACATGATTGAAAAATAAACCAAGATCATCTAGGGGCTGGGATGCTCCTGCTCGCCAGATATCGACTTAATGGAATGGAACGAACTACAAGTATATTTTTTTTCACTCAGAACAACAACAAGTCGTTGTACGTGTAGAAACTGTCAGTGAGTAGATATTTACGTTCGGGAGACACTGGGAAAAGGGCTGAAGGACTCGGTTAACCTGTTCGGTCTTGTCATATTAATACTGTAAGGATCATCATCTTCATAATAATAATAATAATAATAATAATAATATATTATAGGGATCATCATAGGCACCTTTCGACTGTTAATTACATAATCATAAAATTAATTGATCATAATACGAATAATACTCAGTCATCTCTCAACTTTCGTCTAAGACGCACAAAGGAGAAGATGCCGCTCGACTTCGAGGATAAGGTCCTCGTCTTTCTCCCTCGTCGCTCGGTCGACGAGGTAAAGTTCTTCTGCGGCGGTGCCGCCATCACGCCAACCTGTGAGAAGCTAGAGCAAGCGGCTTCGCTGACGCCGATCACAGCGGTTTCGCTGACGCCGCCCGGCAGCCTGATCCATAGCATCAAAAGGCCCTTTTTCGGCGAGCAGGCGCGTCACTACGTTGCGAAGACCATGGACACCAACGAAGACTTTGAATTTGAGGCGAAGCGCGGCAACGTCGTTTTTTTGGACGCGTTCGACGATGGAGCTACTGACGCCGATGCGGGGCAAACCGCTTTCGATGCGTATGCGGGAGCGGCCATGTCTTTGCTTCTGCGGACGAAAGAAGTGTATGAGGACGGAAATCGCCTGTCGCGCGCGGTAAAGAAGTTCTTTCATGAGCTGAGGCTGATCTGGTGTAGCAGTGCCGGCGAAGTCCGCACGAAGGTCGGAGTCCAAGCAGCGCTCCGCGGGCTTTGTCCCCTATACGCACTTTGGGCGCTTTTAACGCACTCTTCGGAGGATCTTGATGCGTGGGAGGAGGGGGATTTGGTGGAACTCGCTGCAGAAGTCTCGCGTAATGCAGCGCTGCAAAAAGCCGCCGTCGCTCTCGGTTTTGATAGAAGTATGTTTACGTCGTCATCACGCAAGAACGACGCGGCTACAGCTAGTACTGGCGTTCCACACTCTTCATCAGAAGCAGACACGGATGGCCCAGGAGGAGAGAAGCGCGCTCTTGTTCTGAAACTTGCGGATGCTGTGATGGGCGCTTGCCTTGTATACGTTGCGAGCGACTGCAATTTAGCAGCAGTGGAAGACTGGTTCTCCGAGAAGGTCGCGATCGTCGAGTCAGTAAATGGCAATGGCATCACCAGACGCAGGGACTTGGTTGGAAAATTTCCGTATTCCGAGTTCGTCTCCTTTTGGCAACAAGCAACCGCCGTTGCGGAACAACCCGCAGCAGCATTCTGCGCGCTAGCGGAATTGCTCCTGGACAGGTTTTTGGGGCCAGAAATCTGCTTTGACAAAGACGTGCTGGTCACAGTGCAGATCCTGAAAGCTGCCCTGCGCAGCGCATTCGGTGTGCCGGAAGTAGAAGCGGTGGAGGAAGGTGTTACTAAGCGATGCGCGCGACCGCAATTGGAGCCGACAACAGGGAAGAAGAAACGCAAAATCAATATCCAAGCGGAGAGCACAGGCAAAGGGCCTGCAAATTATAGCTTTGGGGCGGTGGCGGTAGAAGATCATGGCGCTAAAACAACAGGGCGGACGAAGGTACTTTTTCCGGACTTCATTGGGGGAATGCAGCTCGCGGGCAGAATAATGGAACTACAGCCAGCTGCAGCGCAGACATTTTGTAGTGACGCGGAGAAGATCCTGCAAGAGGTTGACCTGGTGGTGGTCGCAAATCCACTCGGAGGCCAATGCGCCGTGCAAAGTTTGTACAACGCAGTCTCCAGCTGGCCAGTTTGTCGCGACGCGGAGCTCAGTTTGAGTTTGCTACGCACCTTCCACAATCATGAAATAAGAGAAGCTAAGCAGAGCACCTTCTACAATCATGAAAAAGAACCTGAGCAGGAGGACAGGAGGAGGACTTCTGGCCGCAGCAACGACGAGGCCATGCGCCGCGCAGACGTAGCCGCGCACTACCGTCATTCACTCGCGGAACGAAATGACGACCTTCTGCAGCTCAGTGAGCTGCTATCGGCAAATCCAGTTGTTCGGGAGTTAGAAACGGAGTGCAACGCCTTGAACATCCGCAACTGGGTTGTCGAATTGCGAAAACTAGTGCATAAGCACCAGCGCGAGCTGGTTACGAGCCGGAGACGGGGAGTGTTTGGAGCTGCATCATCTAAACAGCAAGCTGTCGTTCTGCAGTGCCTACCCTTTCAGCGAGGTGGCAATGACTTCATTCTCTGGCAAGTCGGACTGAGTGTGAATGGACGGTATTGTGCGAGAGAAAAGTCAGAATCAATTGATATGCCGGAGGAAATCGAGTTCGAATTCTTTCCAACGGGTGAAATAAAAGAAAGTGGCAGAGAGCTGGAAGACGTGTTGATTGCGGACGGCGATGACGGAGTTGCGCTGACCGAGATCACGATCAAAATTGAAGCAGCGACGGCGCGCAAGGCGGTCGAGCAATCCTGGGGGACAACACCTGCTGTTCTCGAGAGCGTGGGCACGCTTGCGTCGCAAGGTGCGGACCGTGAAGACGAAGCCAAAGCGCACGATGAGCATCTTCGCGATTTTTTTCCCGACGAGATTACCATTCCACTCAGAGGCGCAAATGGCGCCGCGGATTTGGACAACGCGACGTTGCAGCTTCTTCCGACGGCAGTTCGAGACTGTCCCGGGTACCGTCGCTTCGCTGTGCTGGTCGGTCCCAGCATTCACTCTACAATAGCGGCTGGCGCATCTGCTTCTGCTTCGCAGCTGCGTCCTCCGCTTTGCGATAGTCCGCTATTGACGCACACTTTCATTAGTAAGCCTTTCGTCGAAGATGGAGAAGTTCTTGTAGAAGCCTTGAAGCTGAGCCAAATAGAATTGAAAAATGACACCAACCTGCAGCAGCTCCTCGAGGTCCCAAGCTTCCGTTACTTCTGCTCCATGAGCTTGCTGCGCACTCTGTCCCCCCAGCTTGCGAAGCACGTCGGTGAGTACTGGCGGAAGCGCCTTCTGCCCGACAACGTGCAGCGGGATGCCACCGAGGTCGCTGTGCGGGAACGCATGGTAGAGCTCCTCAGCAGCGACGAGCCAGAAAAGCGTGTGGCAGTCCTGTTGGATAATGAAATGGAAACGTTCATGGAAATTCTGACGGGGAACGGGAAGGGGAAGGCAGCTTCCGGAACCGGACACGACCTCCAGGAGATGGCGATCGACAGCTGCAATTTCAAATGTGTCATGGCGACGATGGGAAGTCGGGCCAGTGCCTCTTGCGTGACGTTTCTGAGAATTCGAACCACGGGGCCGCTGAAGCCACTGCAGCTCCGCGAACTCCTAGACGCGATTTCGAGTGCGTTGTTTTTAAGAGTGGTCTTCGAAGAAAGTAGTTCTTTGTGGCAGACGCTTTGCGCGGGGGACATGTTGAGTCGTGTTTTGATGACAGCGGCGCTTCGGGAGCGTTACGCAGCGGGAGATGCTTTAGATTTCGTGCCCTACCAGCCAGACTTCGCCGTCGGTGCTCTGGTCAGCAATCTCTGGTCCGCTTCGAAGACACGCGAAGACTCGCAGGAAGCGGACGTCGGGGCGAACAATGCGTTGCCTGACGTTACGGAGCATGCGCTGAAGAGTCTACTGAAGAGGGAAGATAAAAATAGCGTCGCAAGAAGTAGTTGGCAGACACAGATCGCAAATTGGTCAGAGGACCCGCAGCGCGCACCTATCTTCGTGCTGCAGCTAAGTGACGAGAGCTGCTGGGGCGGCGCTGATGCCGGGGAAGCAAGGATCGACGGCGCGAAGCAGTTTTTAGTGGACAAGCTCCGCATGGAAGTCGTCGATGGTGCGACGGATGGCGCCCAGCTTACGAACGAGAAAAAGCGGCAAGAGCTGGTCTCCAAGGTGAAGAAGAAGGACGCGAAAAAAGACGCCCAGCCATGCTTAGTTTTA